GGGGGGGGGTTAGTAGATCATGGTATCATAACCTCAGTGAGAAACAACAGAGAAAACTAAGGGATGGAGACGAGGGAAGGCTGAAGGCCCCTGCGCGTCACCCGCTCTGATAGCACTGGAAGCCATGGGCATCGATTGAGGGCGGCCATATTACAACGCCGGTGCTGTTCGCCTCTTGAAAATGAACGAGAAGTCGACTTACCAGGCCCAAGACTTCCAACGCAATTGATATCTTGATGCCGTTCGGAGTCGCTGCCGTGTACAATGTGATCGTCGGCCTCGCTGTTGTATCAGCCATTGCGCGCTTTGCATTGGGTTCCTGGTGGCCGTTAATTGCTTTGCTTTCGCGCAGTCCCGATGTCAATACTGCATCAGCCGAGAGCCATCTGCGTTGCATTTGTTCCCATTAGGGGACGATATATTACCGTCTCCGTTCGCTCCACCGATCCGTTTACCACTGAAATGGTGGACCAAAGCCATCCACAAACTATCAGCATGCTTCAGCCGGCGAGATGGCAGTCTGGACCGACTGCGACTCGTCCTGCTTTGTTCACGATGACAAATTACGACACGTCTACGCCAGCATCTGGAATTTCCCTCGACAAAGCGTCTCCAGCATGATTCAGCAGTATCTGTACCGAGTAGTTTTGGTGGAGCTATGTCGAACCGTACCACCAGTAGGATAGCCTGGCAAGCCTGAGAAGATGCTCTTACCTGATATGGTCTGTTGCATGATGTATGTTTTGAGTCTATTGGATCCGCCAGTTCAACTCGTCGGATCAATAGGAAAACGCGGGCCAGGGTGCTTGTGTGAAACAGGTATCGTCTATCTCTCCGTTGGTGTTTGGTTGAAACTTTAATCCATGTGGCTCGATGCACGATCCGTGTGGACTGCTTGTAAATCCAGGACAGAGCACTTGTTTTAGTCATCTAGAAATTTGCAATGTCCATGTAGCTCTGGAGTTTGGCTTCGCATCAGTGATCGAAACACTCCAACAACGATGGCAGATTTCAAATTTACAGCCTAGGTATTGTCTGGCATAGAACCACAATTGCTATGCTTTCCATCGCGCCGCTCGTCGCATGTTCATGATACTGCGTATGCTGCTATCATGTCTCAACAGATCATACTGTACGATCTGCCAACTCGGGCGCCACGACGATGCTGGTCTCTCAACCCATGGAAGAGTGAGAATGTTCCCCAAACGCCCTCCCATTGTGAGATAGACTTAACAAAGCTCCACAGCTCGAATGCTCCTGAACTACAAACGACTGAATTATCAGACAGTGTGGGTAGAGTATCCTGACGTCGAGGCTCTGATCAAGCCACAGTAAGCGGCCATTGCTCCACCCGGTGTCGTGCTCGTGGTAAAGCATGAACATATGCTGAAGCACGTCTTCGATTGCAGTCTGCCCCCGAATGCTGACGGCATACCCTACACAATCCCTACCATTCAAATGCCTAGCGGCGAATGGGTTATGGACTCAAGAAAGATTGCAGAGCGTCTTGAGCAGTTGTACCCCAGAGCCAGCGTTGAACATAGCAACAGATCCCTATTTGGCCGAAATCAAAGATCTGGCCAACAGGATTGCAAAGATTGTCTCTCCGGACTTCATCCCCAAGATTGCAAACCGCGTCCTCGGCGATGAAAGCTTGGGATACTGGCATCGAACTAGGGAGGAGTGGTTCGGAGGCCAAAAGCTGGATAAAGTGGTGGTTGAAAAAGGCGGAACGCAGGTCTATCAAGAGGCCGGACCACTAGTCATGCGCGTGACAGAACTCTTGGTCAGTAATCCTGCCGGTCCGTATTTTCAGGGCCGAGTTGTCAGCTATGCAGACTTTATCTGGGCTAGCTTATTGCATTTCTTCGAGAATTTGGCCGATGACTCTTTTGAAATGTTGATAGGCTCAAAGCCAACTTGTCACGTTGCGCTGCTTGAAGCTTGTCGGCTGTGGTTGGCAAGGAATGACCATTAACTGCCGACCACAATTGCGAATGGCAAGCTTCATGGTCCTGCATAGCGCTGTGCTTATTCACAGCACTTGTCCTTCGTCCGGATTTTGGCTTTGAGAAAGTGGCGTGTCCAAGTCCATGTTGAAGAAAGTCTGGAAGTCATTGAAGGACGCGTCGAAATTTGGGAAGTCCACCTCTGGTCCAATAGTCCAATCCAATAGTGATGCTGGTGATGTGGAAGGTGGTGCTACTCGCTGCCCCGAAGCAGTTGTGGAAGTCTTGGTCTCATTTTGTTCGATTTTCTCCAAGAGCGCAGTGATCTTCTGCGAGGCTGTCCGGGCGAATGCGACGGCTTCCTTATAAGAGTCAAAGACCTCCATTGCACTCTTTATCTCCTGGATGATATTTATTGGGGGTTTCAGTTTTGGTCCAAGTCGTTGTTGTGCAGAACGAGAGCTTGCGTAGAGAAGGAGAGTTACCAGTGCATTCCACAGGTATGCCATGGCATGAAAAAGGGCGCCTTGCAGGGTTCCACTGGTCCGGACTCCTACGTAGACCGACCGAACGGTAAGGCTAACAATGTCGGCGGCGACGTGAATGCAGGTTGTTGCGAGCTCCTGTAATTCCTCCGCTACCGCCTCTTTCCTTCTGCTCTTTTGAACCAATAGATTGAGGAAAACCCGATATAATAGCAGCCGCATGTGAAGGAATCGGAGCCTCGCAACTAGGCCATGTGGCTCTTTCGCCCATGTGCAGTCATGGAACCAACTGTTGAACCAAATTTCATATGCCCTATCCGCCCTCCGAAGTGCATCCCCGCGGTCAGCGACGCTTGCGTGTTTGAAAGAAAGAGAGTAGACATGGTTGTAGGCATCCCAAGTCACGTAAGCAAATTGACGCATTCGTTCCACGTACTGCAGGTCGACCGGGGATGTCTCCAAGTTGAAAGACTTGATATCAACCTCTCCAACCTCGACGGCACAGGGGCGACCTAGAAATGCCACCATTTCTCTTTCGTACGTAAATAAGCACCAGAAAGTTGAGCACCATCCGATAATATGGGGTGTTTGCTCTGTTTGCTTGGGGTCGAATCTCAAATCTCTGTGAAGGCCAATGCCATAGCCAATACGTGATGCGACACCCAGCACCGTATACGCTTCATGAAGCCGGTGCTCATTGCTCAGCCAGAGAAATGCGAGCAACAGACTGTTGACAGCAGATATATCGCCTCCCATGAATGGCACGTCGCTCAGAGTCGACTTGGCAAGTTGAAAACATGCCTCTCCATGTTGCGGTGAAGCTAATGCCCTTTTCCGCACGTCTTCATCCGGATCAATCAGACTATATTGATGCCCAAGAGCGATCGCCATATACATGACCGCAGTCCAGTACTCGTATCCCTTACCCTCCGTGGGCAGGCCGTTCCAGTAATCTGCGCAGGAGTCGACAAGCAGCTTTCGATTGAGAATTGGGAAAATGCGGTGAGCAGTCTGGAAGTATCGATGTACATATTCGTTCGCGACCGACTCGGGCGGTAGAAGCGCCCCGGAAGCTTTGCCGAAGGACAAAGTCGAGCCACCGCCTAACCATAACTGAGCCCTATTTTCGGGAGAGTATATGTCTGGTGCGCCGTTTCCTGGGTCCTGATTTTCGTTTGCATCGGCCTCAGACGTCTGGACAGCCTCGATCATCACATTGACCGATGAGCCGCCGTAGAATTCGGGATGTCTCGGTGCAGTTCTCAGTTGGTTAATCCCTCGCAACGCGTGAACCATATCATCGTCTGGTTTGTTAGCAGTTCCCACCAGCACGTCGGTGCTGTACAGCAGGGCAGCGCCATCGTTGTCCGTAGCCGAGCCAAACCCTTCATATAAACGTAGGCGTTCTTCGAGATAGGCAATCCTCCTGACAGTTACATTAGTAAGCGCTGTTCAAAGGACGGGGGGCGATAGAAGCGGAGGGAAACTAGATTGTGTTTCTTATGACGATAAATTCGCGACGACTTACTTGACGGCTTTTGCAAGTGTCAATCGTTCAGAAGGATGAGCCACACCCTCATACGTACAATGGAGATTCTCGTCTTGACAAGCTCCGCATGGACTGCGGGCGTCGCACTTTGGTAACTCAGTCAGCAAGGCTTCGATCTCAACATGCCCGGGCTTTCTAATGTTGTTCGCTCAGAACATCCCTGCGTTTAGAGGTTGCCAGGAGCCTGACAGCCACCCGAGACTCCAACGGCAATTCCAACAGCGTTGTACTCGAAACCATTTTGCAGCCAAATTCAGCGGCAAATTTGGACAAGGGTAGAGGCAGCGAAATGACGTACCTTTCTCCGCAAAGCTCTGCAATGATTACATGCTTGCTCTGATCGGATTCTCTTCTTCGCGAGCTTCACCGTTGAAGCCGAGGGCGAGTCATATACTCTCTTGCGATTGAGAGTTCCGGCGTTGCTGGACATCGAAAAACATAGTCTAAAGTCGAGTAGAAGAGAGTTTGCAAAGGAAGTTAAAGAGAGAGAGGGCAAGTTGGTTTGAGAATGGCCTGTATTTTAGAGAAAAGATCGCGTGGAAGGGGGAGGCTAACGGCGTCTTTCGCAAAGCTCACACCCCCGTATCTACAGTAGTCCATCAGGCACTTGCCGCCTATCATTCCGTACCTACTGGGGCGTGGGAGCACTGGAACAAACCTAAATTCGCAGTCTGGGCCCGCCTAAACAGCCTAAAAACGCAGGTGATTACAATAGCTGACCATTGTGCAATTACTGGTTATTTTTCATTGAACGCAACCATCATCTAGACCAGAGCATATCCTAACAAAACCCGTGTCGGACCTCGTCTTGCTAGGGAAATCACATAGTTGCATATCTCATATTGAACGGCTCGCGTATGGCCGTACTTCCCGGTGGAACGGTATCGATCACGGCGACGGCGATACTTCTTCGTGGGCATAACCTGTATCTTTGATTTCAAGCTGATGCCTCTTTTCACTGGCGTCGGCGAGCATTTCAGTAGCCTCGCCATTCTTGACAAACAGTCCGTCGATCTCTTCCAAAGACAGTCCTTTTGTCTCAGGATAGAACAGCCAGACTGAAAAAGTCAGCTATGTTCGACCATTCATGGATCTCCACATACCAACTGGCAATTGGATGAAGGTCATGACGATGAAGATAATGTAGAATTTCCAACCTAGATTCGCGATTCCAATCGGCGCAATCTTGACTGGAAATGTTTAAGCACCCGCTCGCTTGAAGGGGGACGTCAACTTACCTGTAACGAAGGCAAAGGTCCAGTTCGAAAATGCTGAATGGAGGTGGTCAGCAGGATCTGGGGGAAAGAATCAAAAGACATACCGTTCAAAGCACCACCGACATGTCGGTATCGGACTGGCACCAATTCTGGACCGTAAACCCAAGCTCTAGAACGATAGTCAGCGATGTCCAACAGCACATAGAAGCAAAAACAAAGTTACGTCGAGAGCCAGCTCCAACCGAAAGCGAACATGATTGCACAAGTTGCACCAAAGGCAACCCACAACTGAGCTTTGCCGCCATTCTTAACCATGATCATGTACAAAATATAGAGCACAAACATGGGGACGGTGCCGGAAATTAGTAGCTTCTTGCGGCCAATTCTGTCGATGAGGAAGACGCCTAGGATAGATCCCAGGAGGAAGGCAATTGAGACAATACCGCCGAGGATGAGAGCTAAGCCATTTTCGATGCCCAAGGTGATAAATATCGAAGAGCTGTAGTAGACCACGATTTGTGTCTTCCCTGGTTAACATATAGTTTGAACGTCGGGTTAGATCGACTCACCCCTGTCATCTCTTGTAGCACCTGAATCACAACGACCAATATCAGCCTCTTCAGGATTTGATCACCCGACCGGTTGAGCAAGATGTCCTTGATACTGGCTTTTCCCAGGCTGTTCTCCATTTCGATCGCGGCCAGAATCTCTGCTGCCTCGGCTTGCACAATCGGACTTTCGATAGGTTGAGCTTTCAAGGCTGATAGCACGACATTGCCCTCTTCAACACGATCCTTGAAGTACAAATAACGTGGACCTATTGTTTCCAGCAAGTTAGTATCCTTTATTGAAAGTTGGAACGGAATCTAAGACAAATGACTTATGCCCGGCAATGTTTTTGATACGACAGAAGTCCGACAGATTGATGAGAACTCGGTGGGAGTCAGAAAACTTACTCTCTGGTAAGAAGGGCAGACCGGCTAGCGTGAACAGCACGAAAACAATCTGAAACGCAATGGGAAACCGCCAAACGACCTGGCCGTGGAGATGGAAGAAACCATAATTGATCCAATATGCGATCTCGGAGCGTCCGTTAAAAAAAATGCATCCCTCCTAGGAGTGGGTGCTACTTACCACGATGCCCAAGATGGCAGTGGTCAGTTGAGTCGCGATGAGCTTTCCACGGTGTTCGCTTTTTGCAGTTTCTGCTACCCAAGTTGGGACGATCGCTGTGTTAACTCCGTTGCCAATGCCAGTGATTATGCGAGCCACAATGATCTGCGCAACAGAATAGCTTGATGCCTGGAGTGCCGCTCCTATAATTGTGACAATGCAGCCGAAGGTGATCGCGGCCCTGCGGCCATATCTGCCACCCCAGATTGCAGCAGCAAGACATCCGACCATATTCTATGTTCGTTAGCGTCCAGAAGCACTTTCAAGCCGAAATCTCGCGCAGTGTTCCGGAGACTCACCCCAATGTCATAGATCGAGACAACTGTCGACAATGTGTCGGGATCATCAGGAGAAATCCCCAGAGCTCCAAGGAAGTCGCTCCCAGAGATAATCGAGCCCAGGACTCCCTGGTCGTAGCCGAAGAGTAGGAAGGCGCTGCCTGCACATAATGTGATGGCCCAGGACAGAGAGTGGCCTTCAAGACGAAGAAACGGTGTTCTTGCGTTCGCCATATCTGTAACGGATTGTTGTTTAGTGAGCGTGTTGGAAGGAGCGTCACTGCTGCGGTGGCCGTGAAAGGAATGGCTCTTTATACATGAGGTCCGAAGGGGACCTGTCCGGCAATGAAGCTGGTTGACCTTCATCCCCTTGATGTATAGACCCGTCAAGTTTTCATTAAGTTTTGGGGCTGTCAGCCACGGTTGGTGTACAGTTCGCATTGATACCACACCTTGTGCCGAGAGAATTCCAGCCTGACAGTTGCGGAGGCTCCACACGTATGGCTGGCGGGCTACGACGTGCGGAGCTCATTTCAAGTGCATATCAGTGTCTCCCAAAGCTCGCATTCCATTTCTTTGCACGTTGATCAACGTGAGTTCCGCCACAATGGTACATCAAAACTGGCAGTAAAGAACGGAGGCCCATGGGGAACCCCACACTTTGGTCCAAACTCAATTTTGAGCATTATCCAGTAGGATAACCTGGGTAGCCTGATTATCCGTTGTTTCTCTCATCTGCAGAGGTGGGTTTTGGATTTGAGACAGCCACAAAGCAGTCCAACCGTAGCAATGGTGAGTCTGGAATCTAGGACGAGACCTAATTGCGCACGAGTTAGTGTGTTATTCCCGAGCCATATTCGACCAAAGCCCATAAAAGTCTAAGAACCCACGACTGCCCTCGGAAGTGTCATGGTATAGCATCGTCGATTCTAAACTCAGTTGTCATGGGTTCAATGTCAATTCCTGCGCTTTCTTCAGTCGACCATCCTCTTTCCTATCCTAAGCCCCTCGAGCGTCAGAGAAAATACTTCAAGCTCGATCAAAATGAGAAGATACTAGCCAAGTCGGATAGACTCTCGGAACAAAAGTACTCCCCTTTAGTCGTGCAGAAGACTCCCCAAGACAAGATGTTATACTTGTACGAGCGACAACGCATTGTTGATCTGTGCAACACTTATGCATATACGCTGGATTCGACCATGATGGACTTGAAAGTGGCTGAAGACTGGGCGAACCTCTTCACCGAAGATTGCGTGGTAACATACCCATTTGGCACGCATCATGGAAGAGAAGGCCTCGCAAAATTCGGCATGATTGCTGAGTCCCGCTTTAAGCGTATGCTCGTATGTCCCTCGGCACTATTTGACTCCTCGCACATTCTGATCCGCCAGTAATAGCATATTGCGACCAATTTTACCATCTTTTTTGATTCTGATGATATCGCTCATGGCCGGTATGCTTGCTTCGCAACACATGGCAGAAGCGAGCATGATTTGTCCGAGCATTTCATGGAAGGAGGTTATTATTATTCGTCTTTCAGGAGAGTACCCAGTGACTCCGGTGACATCTGGAAGTTCACCAATCTTACCTTGGAGATGATCTGGACGTTGGGAGACTCAATAGGCTTGAATGAGCCGCATGAGAAACAGACCACACACAAACATTTATAGACTGCCATCGGGCTCAATATACGAGGGGTATGATTTCTAGAGACATCAGATGGATCAGACCTAGCCATCGACACTCTTTCAAGGAGAGCGATTCGACGACGGGTTGAAGTTTTCTTATATTTTTGCTGCTAAAACACTATCAAATGTTTTGGTATTTCTCTACACTATCTACTTGCCTTTTACTAACTATACTAGGAGGTAAATTATTATAGAAATTGCTATACTAGCCTTTTTATAGCTAGAAACACTCGTTAAGCACAGCGTAGGCGAAATAAAGGTCTCTATGCTGGCCTAGTTTATACCGGCCACCTAAGTAGAACGTTTGTCTTCTCACTATTCATATTTGATTCTTTCGTTCTTCTCCCTCTTAGGCCGGTGGTAGGAGGAAGTGTGTCGTCGTACTCGCTTGTTGCTTAAGTGCCGTATAGCCCCCTGCAAACGAACTGAGCCGGTCTAGGTAGTGCAAGACACTGTTTGACAACCTGGGCCGGATGGCAAAAGGAACAGGCAGGAACAAGGGAGTAAAAATACTATTACTAACTCCATATACCGTGATACAGTACAAACATGGCCCAAACGGCAGTGGAGTCAAGCCAGCCAGGCAGCCAGGCACCAAGCGCTAATGATGATACACTCTTAACTCCGTGACCATGATATGCGCGTGCGCGTGTGTGCAACAAGCTTTTGCCATGACGCCTTCAGTCGTTGCCTCGTGAAAGGAAATGGCGAAACGAACGTCATAAAGACAACGTCCTGGATCCAATGTCGTCCTATGTATTTGTCTCGATTGCCTCGGGGAGGAAAGTCAATACCGTACGCTTCCTAACAGCCATAGACAACTTCCAAAGGTACGGTACCAAAGGGGTCAGTTCTCACCCTTCTATGATGTCGAAAGGGTCACGACTGTGCTCGAGTCCTGCTCAGTTCCTGCCGGGGGTTCGGTAGAATTCGGATCTGGAACTGCCGCCCGCGACCCTGGTGTGGTGCTTGTCGCGGCCGGGACTGGCGTTGCTGCTCTAGCCTCGGATTTGGCTAATTCTGCAATGGCTGGCACGGAGGCACTTCCGTCCGATGGTTCTGGAGCTGTTGCATTTCTATCCGAAGGCTCTGGCGCCGGTGCGGAAGGCGCACGGGAACTCCTCTCAGTTTGGCGTTGTGATGGAGATTGAGTAGATTGGGCCGTAGCCTGAGTCTCGGCACGTGGTTCGACGCGAGAGACAGAGCTGGAATCAGGGATGGTGTGAGGTTGAGAGGGGCCAAGATATGATCTGACCCTCATTGTAACAGGGTCCATTGGGTCTATAGGACTGGGAACAAAGCCGTATGTTGGTGATGGGTTCGATCGAGGCCGCTGTTGCCCAAGTGGAGGCAGAGGTTGCGAATGGTAGTGATATGCATCAGGATGGGTCGCGCCTGGAGCGGTCCCTGGCGAAGGGTTGGGAAAGGGCAGACTGGATGACCCTCCAGGTGGATAAGGATAAGGGTAATGATAGGGATGAGGAGTGTAGCTCCATTGTAGGGAAGCCGAGGGGTATGGGAAATGCGGCGGAGGGAAGTATGTATTAGGTGGGAGAGAAGGATAAGCCGTGGCCAGGGGCGGAGGCCGTGGCCCCTGTGGTACCTCGGGCAGAGCACTCGACCTTCCCGGGTCTGTAGGTACTCTTGCCGGCTGTTGCTTTTCAGCTTCCAGATCGCGAATTTTTTGCTCGGCCTGCTCTAGCCTTGCTCGCAGCTCTAATTCGGTCGAAGATACCGATGTCACTGTTAGGCCACCGCTCGGAGGAATCACGTCTGCCGGAGCTGCCGTAGCGGAAGGAGCCGCAAGGGTCGCTGTAACGACAAGAGCAGTCTGAGACCTTTTTGGGGCGGGCTTTCGTTTCTGTGAGTCCGCGATGTTCCAAATAAATGTGCCGGGAACCGTTTTCTTCTTGCGTCTGTTTCCGCTTTCGGGACCAGGGTCCTTGACGACGTCGGTGGTTGGTGGTTCTGTTGTATCTGGCCCAGACTCATCTTCTTCAAGCCTGCCCAGAAAATCGAATAACGGCGCCAAACTATTTTCTCTTTGTGGTGCGGTTGACCCATCGTCTGCCTGCGGGACTGGCTCGGTAGCAGACCTCTTGGGTCTTGGGGGTTTAGATTCATCTGACTTTCTCCTTTTATGTTTCGGGAGCTTTTCTGGATGAAAGATTTCTAGTAGACGCTTGCGCTTTGAGCCGTTGCGAGGATTGGGAGCCCTTTCTTCGAAGGTCTTGTGGAGAGGAATGTGTTTGTAGTGGAGTTCCATCTTGTTCTTTGTCACGGAGAATTTGATAGAGATCAACCCGTGGCAATCGTAAACTGGTTTGCGAACCTTGACACCAGCTTTGATCTTAGAAACGCCCTCGTTAGCAGCCCGGCCCTTGTTGAGCACGGAATCATTGCAATCTGGGGTGGTAATCAGCTGTTGAAAACTTGTGCCAGGAAGAACCTGTTTTTGGTACAAAGTGCCGTGGTGAGGAGACTCACAGTATGAAAATCTGCTTGCTTGGTCTTCTCGACTGATCCAGTGATTGTGGAAGCTGTAGCGATATCCATCCACGTTTTGACATGTTTCGACGAGTGTTTTGCTGATACCTTTCTGCATGATCACCCGTTCCTTGGGGTCTTCGATCGTGTGCAAAGCGTCGATGACGGTGATTGCGGTCTTGTTGAATAAGCTGTACGTATACGGCGTCCTTTTTTCACCTAGATCTCCTTTCCCAAGGGGCTCCCTCGCAGCCACCATAAAGGCGGCGGTGACAGGGAAGTCAAATTCCAGAGTGGTGTGTTCACGGTCAGTGGCCGGGTCCGCCAGATGCTCCTTTAGCTGGGCTTCTAGATCTTCCAATCTCTGACACTGGATGACTATGGATTTTGCCAACGGATCTTTTGCGTGACGACCCTACAGACCTTATTAGCACACACTGATTTATGCCAAGTCCGGTGATAAAGGGCTCGTCTATCCTGTTAAGTATGCCAGGCTGGACGGGCACTTACACGTGGACGCCTCGGACGCGTTTTGCCATCGCTGCCCGGCACCATTCCGACAACGCCGTGTGAGGCATCTTCGTGAAGGTCACTTGTATCGCCGTCTTGGGATTGAGGCAATTGCACGGGAGCGTCATCTGATGGGTCGAGAACTTGTGGCGAATCCATTGCGAGAACAGCTTGGAAGATACCGGTACGACGATTCGGATTAAGTGTCTTTTGCAGGTCGCAATAGAGACAAGTTGGACGGACCAGAGAGGGCAAGGGAGGGATTCTCCAAGGATGCCCTCCCCGTTCTAACCCCTGCCAAGAACGCAGATCCCATATTCTCCATTGGCTCATTTTTTTCACCGCATTGTTTGACGATAACAGCTTCTCTTTCCCACTGCGCCGCAATCTCTTGATGTCAGGAAGAGTAACCTCGTTATTCCTAAGACCCCGGAACTGCTTACAGCCCAAACTGAGACTTGTCTTCCAATACTCAAGTCGTGGTGCGGCCATGGCTGCCTCTGCCCCAACGGACGAGCCAAGACCCATTGTATTCTCCGGGCCTTCGGGCACTGGCAAAAGTACCCTTATAAAGCAACTCTTTGCGAAACATCCCGATCTCTTCGGCTTCAGCGTCTCCCATACTACTCGAAAGCCGCGACCTGGCGAGGAAGATGGCGTTCACTATCACTTCATCACCCCCGACAAATTCGAGTCAATGATAGCAGAAAATGCCTTTGAGGAGCACGCCAGGTTCGGAGGTAACTACTACGGCTCCTCGAGGAAGGCTGTCCAAGACGTCGCCGAGGGGAAAGGCAAGAGCATCGATGGCAACACAGCTCCTGGCAAGAGGATATGTATATTTGACATTGAGATGGAAGGCGTCAAGCAGTTGAAGAAGAGCCAGCTGAATCCGAGGATCTGCTTCATCCAACCACCCAGCATCGAGGTTCTGGAACAAAGACTGCGTGGCCGCGGCGACACCAGCGAAGACGCAATTCAAAAGCGTCTGGCCCAGGCCAAAAATGAGATGGAGTATTGTAAGACCGAGGGCAAGAACGACAAGGTCATAATCAATGACGACCTGGATGCCACATTCAAGGAACTTGACGAATGGGTGATGAAAGATCTTGCTACAGGTGCCTCAGCTTGATTCGACAAGCGGCAAGGGAGGAAAACGTTTGTACACGGAGTTTGCATACGGAAACCACAGCGATGATGAAGAGTCATGAGAATTAGTTTATACCCCAGCTCAAAAGACGAAAGGCCCGCTCTCTGCATAGACGCTACATTAGAATAAAGTTTCAGGTGACAAGAAAAGGATATGGCAATCGCTCAAGCTCAACCATTGCTTTTGTCAAATCCATCCCCATCCCCCTCCCCCTTGCTTGGATGCTTCATATGTGCAAATCTCCTAATATCCGTTCATCGTCATGCGTTGTGAGCCCCTGCTCAATTCTCGGTCAGCCGCAGGACTGATTGGTCTGCTGCCAGCCATGCCGCTTGCAGCGCTGCTCTCCTTCAGAGCCAACAATTGCTTGGCTCTGAAGGTCTCGTAGTGGATCTGGCTGGTGGTTTCGATGAGGTCCTGGAGGTGAGTGCGAGTAAGGAAGTTTCGAAGGTACACAAATTCGCAGTGATTCTCGTCCTCGACGTTGATGATGCCCCATTTGTTCTGTCGGCCGCGAACTTGCTTGCCATTAACAATAATCGACTTCTCGCTGCCGACAACTGCAAACGGGATGATGTCCTTGATGGTGGCGTTGGTGGCTCTTTCCTCATCATCCAGCTCTTCGTTGTCATACGGGTACATCTTCAGGTTATGGAAAGCAAACTCTTCCTTGATCCGCTCCTTGAAAGCTCTGCGTTCCTCAAGGGTGAGGGAATCCGCCTTGGCAATGACGGGGACCACGTTGACGACGTCAGAGAGCTTCTTCAGAACCACAATGTCAATGGGTTTCAGAGCATGGCCAGAGGGCTGGATAAAGAAGAGGCAGCAATGGATGCGGGTGTCTTGAATGTAGCGTTCTCGCTGAGCAGTCAGTTCTTTTCGGAGGTAGGCAGAGTGCTGGTCTTTGATGTATTTCACGATGGGATCCCAGCTAGAGAAAGTCAGTCACATGTCTGCTAAGTCTCCATCAACAGTGATGGATGGGCAACACCTACCAACGATCGTTATTGACCAGATCACCATAGCCAGGGGTATCGACAATGTTCAATCGTAGCCTCACGCCATTCTCTTCAATGACTGCAAACTGATCAGTGGCATGTTTCCATCACAGCTGAGGATAGATTGACTGACTGTGCGAGACGGTTTGGATTTCTGTAGTGGATCGTGTTGGTTCATCCGGTCGAAGGCGGCCTTTCGAGTCGATGAGGTGGCTCGCAAAGATCGTGTTAATGAGGGTTGATTTCCCCAGTCCAGTTTGGCCTGAAGACAGTGAGCATTTGAGCCCATATGAGTCTTCGACAACCCTTACCAACACAGATAACGTTGAATTGGAAACCTCTCTTCAACAGCTTCTTCTCGATCTGTTGGGTGATGGAATCGAAACCCACATGTGAACGTGGGAAAACCGCGTTCGGTTGATTCATTGCCATAGTCATCGTGTCTGCCCGACTGTAGAGACTTCAAGGATCCTAATGCGATGAACAGAACGAGCCTGGGTCGACGCACAGATGGAGGTAAGATGGATGAAAGGAATGGGTTGTGCACGAGAAAAAGAGGGAGTTGCGACTGCCTGCAAGGAAACAATTTCCCCAGACGATCTTGCCAGCATTGAAAGAAGGACCCCCTTTTCGTCTCGTGCCAAGGGCAAAAGGGACAAGGGGGCGTCACTTCAAGGAAGGCTAAACTGGCGCGTACCGGTTTTGTCGCTGCTCTGTGCATTGTCCCTGGTTCAGTAGACGCTAACCAGGAGGAGCTAGCTTTGCGAATGCGAAGCTCGCCAAAGATTCTCGTGAAGCATCCATCTACAGAGTTACAACAGCTCTTTACAGAGACGCAGCAGTGCCGCAACTATGGCCCTGGCTGCTGCATTCAACAGTCCTCAGCTTTCACAGATCTTCCTTCGGAGGGGCACAGGCACTCTGTCAGCCTCGGTTCCAGCATGGCTATTTCGAAACCTCATCTCCGCTTCCATCGCAATACCCTCAATCGCAACAAGTATCCCCGGACTCATTTCAGACATTTGGGAGGGGATCCTGCGGGCGGTTCCCAAGAAGAAGACGTCACATATGAAAAAGAGACATCGACAACTGGCTGGGAAGGCCCTGAAGGATGTAAAAGCCGTCAACCAATGCCCCGGCTGCGGGAGGCCGAAGAAGGCTCATACGTTGTGTCCATATTGTGTTGCAGGATAGTCTAGCACACCCGATGACTGTTAAATATACTAACTGAGGCCCCAGAAATCTATGAAAGTTGGAAACAACGAGATGCAGAAGCGAGCGAAACAGCCAAGGCGTCAGAGCAGACCAAAAGTTAAAGGGATTGAAGAGCAACTTCCGAGTGGAGAGAGAGAAGGGGACAATGCATGTATGGCTGGTGCATGATCGAGTCCATGCGTTCTCCGCGCTTCAGCACAAAGGAGCAGCGCGCATGCCAGCCTCAGAGATGCTCTTTCTATTGCCACTTCTCCCTTTCAAATCCAATCCCACCAAGCACCATTTGGCACAGATGGCATCAAATGCTGGAATGCCCTAAAGACTGGAGCCTTCAACAGAACTATGAATTCAACCGGGATAAAACGTGATCGAAGTTGGACATGAACAACGCCTTGCGCGCAACACACAGTGGAGAGGGCCTTTTTGTGTGCTTCGGGGAAGGTCGAGCTGAGAAGAGGCAGTTCAAAATGGTGCGCGATAAGCTAAGTTTGAGGCATGGTATAGAAGGAGGTGGTATCTGATCTCTGTGGCTCCTACAATATGGTTGCACTTGGGTCGCATTGTCAACGTGTGGAACTCTGTAAAATTACGTCATTTCAAATGATATTTGTACAATGTCAACAAGAAGCACCCTGGGTTTAACCTACATTGCAGTTTGAGTCTCTGTCTCTTCCTTTATGCTATTCTGATCAACTCGCTCTATTGAAGTTGGTGTACGATGCATCGGCGTATTCGACATGGTCAGTAACCAGATACTCTTTGTGCGTGGGGTTGTGTCAACTGACATTGGGTTAAGTCAAAACAGTATCTCGCCTTGCATTCAATCGATGAGGGTAATATCTATCCCCTCAATGCCCTCGAAATCCGCGACTAACATTACATTGTACAGCCCACGCCACAGATATTTTTGCCCTCGCCGTAACTCGGACCCAAATCCTCACAGGCTCCGGCGAATCCTCGATTAAAATCCACTCTGCTACCGAAGATGGCTTTCCCATTGCTCAGGTGCTGAAAGACGCGCATAAGCTCGGTTGCCACCACATTAGCACGGACCGCGAGACTGGCACGAGAGCAGTGAGCGTCGGCTTTGGTGGTGAGGCCAGAGTATGGAAATACGAGGAGGGAAAGTGGAAGGACGATGGGGATATTGATGTCGGTCCAAAGAAGAAAGCAGGGGAGGTTTGGGCTGTGTCTTTGTCCACTGATGGAAAGTTCGTCGCCGGCACAACTCAGGACGGGCGAGTGAATGTATGGAATCTGGAAGATGCCGCGAGCCGAGAGAAGATCAGGGACTTTGAGACGAAAGGAAGCTTCGGCATGTCTGTCGACATGGTAAGGATCTCACTACTTGGCAGCAATTGGGTCGGCTGGCAACGAGACAAGCATACTGACGCGCCGTTCTTCACGAGGAAAGTCACCAGATGGTCGATTCATTGCCAGCGGCCACGAGTCCGGGGGAATCTATCTGTTCTCCACCGCCACCTCGCGCCTGCTGCACTCGCTTCCTGGACTCATCAAACCCGTGCGTGCCGTCAAATTTTCTCCCGGTTCCACTCTACTTGCAGCAGCAGGTGACGCACGAATCATCTCCCTCTATGATCCTACGTCGGGCGAGCAGGTTGCCAATCTTAGTGGACATGCAGCGTGGATCACGGACCTTGACTGGAATCACAGTGGTCAGTACATCTTGAGTGGAGGTCTGGATGGTAAGCTTAAAGTGTGGGATATCGAGCGAAGAGTTTGTGTTGCGACACATGGCGAGAGCGACAAAGGTCTATGGTGCGTTAAGTGGCTACCTAAGGGTGAGACCAGTGTTGAGAGACAGAAGGCCGAAAGGTTTGTCACTGTGGGAAGTAATAAGGCTATCGCCATCTACCGGGAAGCCACAGGTGGATAAAGGAACTGGGCGAAAGGCGATTCTGAGGAACTATCTATTGATGGAGTCGAGAGACTCCGATCTCACTCGACGCAAATCAGTGAGCTGAACCCCGCAGATCTGATGGTCGGGGTCTTTTCAGGGACAGCAAACGCCGCTGTATGCCGCCTTCTCGCCTATTGGAACGTATATGGCTGCCAGACATCATCATAATCAATGGTGGTAAGCAAACAGGAGAGCAGAACATCAGTTGCGCCCTAAACTTCAGGTGTTCACTGAGAAGATGGAACGCAATTGTCGAAGGCCTCTACCAAGGTCATGGGTATGCAGACCGTCCGATGGTATGAAAGGAAAGGGCATTCGGAAACTGGGACCAATCAGCTAGGATGTAGACCAGCTAGACACATTACCCACGATCTCCTATCCTGAGCATTGATTTTTCCCGTACGACGCGCATGGTCTGCATGAGCTGACGCGCCTGACACTACAGCCTTGCCAAGCACCACAGCCTTGCAGGCGACTCCACTCTGATTAAAATATTTCAATCGAGCCTTTGAGCTTTCTCTTCTTCCTCCTCCAATTTATTGTCAAGGCACTCAATATACCCTTGTTGAATGCATTTCTCCTCCCATTGCGTCCACACATTCCCGAGCTGCCGAGATTATATGACAATGCCTTTCTAATCCAACTCCGCTTGATTCTTGCTGGTAGTCTGGCAGAATCGTGGTGGTGAATGGTTCGCTTCTGGCTGACAATATTCACTACGGGAACTTCTATAGAGTGTTCTGCCTCACCCTCTCTCAGCGTCACCAAGGACGCTTTAAAATATCCAGACTATTAAAGAAACCTCTTTCTTGCCTTTGCCTGTCTTCTTTCTTCCCTTCTTTCTCTCTCAGGACCTTCCTGCCATCGACCATCCTCCCTTCAGGTCGGTCCTTTTCTCAGGAACAACCTGAGCTGGTAACATCTACTATATACTACACTCATTCCTCCCCTGTCCCGCCCTTGCACATTATTCGGCTGACTCGTTCAACTTTTGGTCAATTCGAAATTTCATTTCACCTCAAACTGCGTGTCATCAGTGAACTGAGGCAGGGTGAGCTGGTAAGTAAGCCACGGCACTTTCGAAGCTTCGTCCTGCTCCACCTCTTCTGGTTTTCCATAGCGGATGTTGTCAAAATCATGCCGAGATTGACAGTCTCAAAGGAGAATTCTCCTCTCGTGTTACACTTTGATCCGTGCCTGATTGGGATAACATACCTTTCTGGTCAGGCAAAATAGATCTGAGTGCGTCAAATGAGGAGAGACATTCCATATTTTGCTGTTGGAAAGCCAAAGTGAGAGAGGAACGAGACTCGAGAACCCCAGCGGTCTTAGGTCGACAGACCTTGTGTCTGAGAGATATCTCAGATTTACCATACTCCTGTACAAATCGAAGTCAACTGATTTGCTTCTACTTCGGCTTCACTTTCTTTCAGCACCTGTAGTAGTACATTTTGTCCCATCGTTGCTCGAACATAGTCTCTCGGTTGTGGTGACCAGCGCGGCGGAATCGTGTTCCCGTAATCCTCCTGGCACGAGTTCATGAACACAGGTACAGTATGCAAAATAATGCACTCCAGAGATGGTTGAACAGCCTCACTGCCAGCGTCTGTAGCCCGTGTCCTTGGTCGCCATACCGCCAATATCCCCACGAGCCGTGCTCGACGTTTGAACATAGTAGTTTCATACGTTGTAGCAGGGCGACCGCGCCAAAAGCTCACTGTCGGGTTCTACATGCCGCCCCAAGATTATCAGCACATCCTTCCTAAACCACGCAATATTCTGGTTGTATGAATTCCGTTTTGCCTTTGTCACAGCTGCTTCCTCTTCTCGTCCTCCTCCGCTCTCTTTCCGAACCCATAGGCAAGACTTCCACCAACCAAATTCACCAGACACAATCCCATTGTGGCGCCTCGAATGATGCCCCTCGCGCCGAATTTATTCATGAAACCCATTCTTCTCCTCCCAGCCAGAACCAAATAGGTACCACTCAGCGCAGCTGTCGTTCCCGCGCTGTCGATCTTGAAGCCTTGCAAGTTGAGATAAGTCGAAAAGAGTAACAAAGGTGGAAATAGCATGGGAAGGGGTTGAAATGGTCGGGCATGCTGTGCAAAGATGAGCGTAGCGAGAAGAGCTGGAGGAACAGGATTCTCTGTTAGGAGCGTAAGCAGGTAAACTGGGAAAGTAGTCAATCGCAATGCGAACGTTGGAGGACTGTGGTGGCTACGGACCTCCCCATTTTTTGGCAGTGACAACCAGAGACTCTTTTGCTTGTTCTTGTTTTCGAGGGTCAGCCATTTTGAATGTCTACAGCACTGAGTGGCGTCTCAGCATATTTCATTCCGTAGTGAATGCCGTTGTTGTGGCCTCAAGCTTGTGGAGAGCTGAAGTTTTGGTGAAAGCACGAGGCAAGCCAACGTCATTTCTGGCTGCCGTTCGGCAACGGCGCCTCTGGTTACTGCAACCCACCCACCATTTACTCGGCGCGGACTTGTGATTTCACTTTTGAACACCTTTGCCGCAAAACATTGCACCCCTCCTAAACCCTAGCGACATTCAAAAGCCTGCCTGAATCGGATACTCCGATTTTTTTTAATTCTCTCTGCCCGAACAAGGGCTGCGTCCGAACTCCTAAGCCCCTTTCATCCTGCGGTATGTCCGCGACAGCTTCTGGCTCCGATGCCAGGGCAAACGGCTCTGCCCATAACCGAGAACACAATCAAGGGAACCAAGAGCGAAAATGGACCCCTCAACAGAAGGCCGAAGTGATAAGAATACGGAGATGTAGTCCCACAGCTTTCTACGAGATCCTGGCGATCGAGAAAACAGCAAGCGACGGAGAGATTAAAAAGGCCTACCGAAAAATCAGTTTGTTGACACATCCGGATAAAAATGGATTTGAGGGTGCCGATGAGGCGTTCAAGAGTTAGACCACTTGAATACCCTTCAAGGCTATGATGCTGATGATCATTAGTGGTCTCTCGCGCATTCCAAATACTGTCAGACGCCGACAAGAAGTCGAAGTACGATCAGTTCGGTGGCGACCCCGATAGCCGCTTTTCCAGCAGTGGTGCTGCAAGCGCAGGAGCGAGTCCCTTTAGTGGCTTTGCGCGATCACCTGGCAGAGGGCCCATGTATGAAGACGAGATATCGCCGGAGGAATTGTTCAACAGGTTCTTCGGCGGTGGCATGGGACCTGGGTTCCAGTTTGGTAAGACGCCCACCCCCGACCCGACGTCCGATACTGCTGTAGAAACTGTACTGATCTGGAACAACAGGCGGCGGCTTCGGGGGTCCTCAGTTCGTCTTTAATATGGGCGGCGGTCCTGGATTCACAGTACATCGCATGGGAGGCGGCAGACCGCGAGGCAGGCCGAGAGATGCTCAGTCGGACACTGCACCGACAGGCCTTTCAGCGTTGACACAACTATTACCGCTACTACTGCTCTTTGTTCTTCCGCTGCTGTCATCGTTCTTTACGGGGTCCTCCAATTCCGGTCCGCATGTTCGATACGATTCCCCCGTTTCGCCACACACGATGCATCGAGTGACACCCAGGTACAACATTGATTATTTCTTGAATCCGGCGGAGGTAGAGGGATATACATCAAGACAGTTCAGCGCCCTAGATCAACGGGCGGAGGTGGATTATGTCTCAACTTTGAAGTATCAATGCGAAAATGAGGTACAGCGGCAGCGGCACGAGATCAACGAAGCAACGGGTCTTTTCTTTACAGATGAGAACAGGTTAAAGAGGGCCAGGGAAATGACAATGCCCGGCTGCCGCCGGTTGGATGAGTTGAAAGTAAATCGGCAGTACTAGTTATGGGTTTGGAATGTCGTATGATTGCTTTTTCGTGATTGCTTGCAAGAATGCATTTTTTTTGTTTGGTGTTGGGGGCGCCCATATTGGCCAGGCCAGTGGAAGGCCGTAAGAGAACGGCATAGCTTGTTGAAAATGTCTGCCATTCTATGGAATGAAGGGACTGTTTCTTCGAATTTCCAATGTTGATCGCCTTAGTACCAAAAACAACGTTCATCGGCAGGCAGGCCAAAGTTGGGGAAGCCAGGCAGCCCACTAGCCAGGGCGCAACCACCGGGGGCAGCAAGAGCAGGCAGCCGGAGTGCTGAGGACTGCTTTGCGCGGGGGGGCGCGCCGCCCCGGAGGCTGTAGTATCTCCGAGCCACTGATTCTAGTGTCTTCGAAATAGCATCGACGTCAACGTGAACCCCAAGTTGTCCGCCTTCGCGCAACCTCACTGGAACATCCTCTGCGACATTCTGCTATCTACAACCACCACAGCCATGGCGGATCCTTCGATGGACTCGGATAAGGTGCGTGTGATGCTCACGCATCAAGATCTTCTAACATCGATTAGATCCGCAATAAGAGACTTGCAAAATTACAGCAGTCACAGCCGCAGCAGTCGCAAGATGCCGCCGCCGCTTCTTCAACTCCAACCCAAGATGGCCCCGAGTCAACGCCATCATCGCGACCAGAGACGCCCCAACTCAACAACCCTGACCCTCCAACGCCGGCCGGGTCATCAACGCCATCCGGCAGCAACACGAAAGACCCGTCACCTCCACCTACGACTCGGATACGAATCACCCCCGCGAATGTCACTCCTCAGAAGCGAGAGATGGACGGCTTGGAAAGGCCAAGTTCACGACAAAGTTTCAGGCCGAATGAGACTATCGAACAGTGGGAAGACCGTACCTTGAGGAATATATTTCGTCTCAGTCTAGACCCTGACCAGACAAAGGACATGCATGGTCAAGAGCTCCATGTTCTCCCACAGCTTAGAGAAGAGTTGGAGGCTGAAGGTAAGCCAACGCTGTTGAATACCGACCTTCTAGAGCAGGCCATCATGGAAGCCGGTGCGGATCTGAGAAAGTCGACTCCGCACGACTGGCTGTTCGGCTGCTGGAAAAGAATCACGAGGATGAGCAAGGCTGTCAAGGACCGGACGCCCGAGAACAAGAAATGGACCATCATATCGGAGGCTAGGAGACTCTGCATGAGCTGGTGCATCTTGTCCGTGACGACACCTGATGTTTTCGGCGTAGACTACGATGGTGTCGCTGCGCTGGCGGACCACCTCCTGGCCGATCCAGACGAGGATGCAGGCGTTTGTCATGATTTCCTCGCAGAAGTCATCACAAGGTTCGAAGAGGATGAAACAATCAAGGAGGCATTTGTTGGGGCTGTTGAGAACCTAAGCCGCCGCCTTGCCAAACTGTCCATGGATTCCGACTACCGACGCTACACTGCCATGCTGCGACATCTCATTAGATACAAGCCTGTGGCTGTGGCGATCACGCAGTCGAAAATCTTCGTCGACAAGTCAGTATCAGCTGCGCAGCTGGAGGTTGCCACTCTTCTTGGGCCCTTTTTCCAGTTATCGCCGCTGCAAGCGGAAACGACGAAGCAGTACTTCTCAGGGCCGAAGACGATGGACCCAGGAAGGATTCGAAACTCTCAGCAATCGCTTCAAATGTCTTTGAGGTCCCATCAGGCTGAACTCTTTGATATCATCAATACATTGGTGCGCGCCTCTCCCGACGCACGAGAACGCGTTCTGGACTGGTTTGCTCTTGTGGTCAACTCGAATCACAAACGCCGCGCCATGCGCGTGGACAAAGCGACTGTTTCGAGTGACGGCTTCATGATCAATGTCACCACGATCTTGGATCAACTATGTGAGCCTTTTATGGATGCACAGTTCTCCAAGATTGACCGAGTCGACATCGACTATCTCCGAAGGCATCCACGTGTTGACATCAAGGAGGAAACCAAGATCAACGCTGATCAAGAGCACTCCGACGAGTTCTATAAGGACCAGCTCGAAGGTACCAACAACTTCATCTCAGAATGCTTTTTCCTCGCTGTAGCTTCTCATTACTATGGGAGTGAAGCTGCCCGAAATATGCTGAAGGACATGGACCGAGATCTGAAGCACATGGCTAAACAAATCGAGCAATTTGAAACAGAACGACACAAATACGTCAACAACCCTGCGCAGCTGGCAATGTTCGAGAATGCACTCAAGAGATACAAAGATCAGCACGATAAGGGCTTGTCCTACAAATATGCTGTGCAGGGCGTACTATTGGATGAAATTGCGCAGACTCGTTCCATGCAGTTCATGCGATTCGTGACTGTCTGGATCCTTCGTCAAGTCTCTCCTCATCGCCAGTTTCCTAAGCAGAAATTGACGCTCCCTCTCCCACCCGAGCAACCGGAGACCTTCAAGAATCTTCCTGAATATTTCTTGGATGTTATCAGCGGTAATTTTGGATTCATCATGTACAACATGCCGCAGGTGATCTCCTCGACGCAATCAGACGAGCTGATAATGCTTTGCATTACCTTTTTGCGCAACTCCGAATACATCAAAAACCCATATTTGAAAGCATCCTTGGTGACAATTCTCTTTCGAGGAACATGGTCCTGGCGTCAAGGCGGGCGGGGAATTCTTGCAGATCAATACAACAGCATGCCATTTGCGACTGAGCACCTTCTGCACTCTTTGATGAAATTCTTTATTGAGGCAGAGTTCATGGGCGGTCACGGTCAATTCTTCGACAAATTCAATGTGCGCTTCGAGATTTTCCAGATCATCAAGTGTATCTGGCCGAATTCTGTGTACCGCGATAACTTGCTTAGGGAGGCCAAAGTCAACATGGAGTTCTTTGTGAGGTTTGTCAACCTGCTCTTGAATGATGTGACGTTCGTGCTGGATGAATCTTTTACGGCCTTTCATACAATCTACGACATTTCGAAAGAACTATCACTTGCTGGCTCGTCGCTAGACCAACAGCAACGGCAGGAAAAAGAAGAGGCATTGGAAGCGGCAAAGAGCAAGGCGAAGTCATACATGCAACTGACCAATGAGACGGTGGCAATGTTGAAGCTCTTCACCGAAGCTCTCGCTGACGCCTTCACAATGCCCGAAATCGTTCAGCGGTTAGCGGACATGTTGGATTACAACCTTGATGCGATGGTCGGACCAAAATCCACAACCCTCAGAGTCGAAAATTTGCAGGAATATAATTTCAACCCGAAGGCTTTGCTGAGTGAGATTGTTGACGTCTACCTCAATCTGAGCGAGAAGGAAAATTTCATTCTTGCTGTTGCCCGTGATGGTCGATCATACAAGCCCGACAACTTCGCTAATGCCGGAAACATCATGCGCAAATTCGTCCTCAAGGCCCCCGAAGAACTTAATAGGTGGCAGCGTCTCACGGAGAAGTTTGCTAAGGCAAAGGCAGAGGATGAAGCTGCAGACGCGGACTTGGGAGAGATTCCTGACGAGTTTTTGGATCCGTTGATGTTCACGCTTATGGAAGATCCTGTGAGGCTGCCCGTGTCAAAGATTGTTATTGACCGGAGCACAATCCGGAGCCATCTGCTGAGTGATCCCCACGATCCGTTCAATAGAGTGCCGCTGAAGATCGAGGACGTTATTCCTGGTAAGTCCCCCCTCGTTTTCATGAAATTAAACGATATATATCCTTAACGCATCAACCCCATTCCACCTTGTTCCGGTTGATGATGCTGACGGTAATCTGCAGCGACCGAGGTGAAAGAACAGATCCAGAAGTTCAAGGAAGAAAGAATTGGCGTTCGGCGCAAGGACTTTGTCGAGACAGTCAAAACGGAAACCGGTGGCAATGCGGACGGTGAGGCAATGGACCTGAGTCAGTGATCAAACCGTCCACTCCTTCAGCCACTGAAGGAGAAATGTTGCAGCCTTGTGCCCGTTGTGCAATCCTAAAGGTGTGGGGCAGGATCGATGCACGAGAGCGGGATGACACGGTAGACCACAATCATGAAAGACGGCATCAAGCTTCTCACATGCGTGGCCCCCAAAGGAAATACAGTGACAGCCCTGCAACACTAATAACACCATAGCGGATGATACTTGGAGGACGTACGGAATATTGTATATGGGAATGCGAGGAGAGGTATTTCTTCCTCGACTGCTTAGTCCTCCCCGTACCAAATAGCTCGTCTGAGCCGACACGAAAACTTCGGGCGCGACGTACAACTTAGATGCCGAATGCCAGGCCTTGCTGCTTCATCGAGAGAAAGAAAGGCAAATTCCAGAAAGTATAAGGCACAAGGCATTTGGCGAAATAGGTGGCACAGTCTAGCACCGAAACGCACGTCATACCTGCTCGATAATGCGGAAGTGGTCTTTCCCCTATAGAGCTGATGGGAAAGGTGACGCCCAGAGCTCCGCTATCTTCCAAAAGCAAGCGTTGACATTCATTGTCACAGAGGCCGACTTCACCTCATCGCGAGTGACTTTCAGCTGGCGACTAAGGTGTGCGTTGCTGCTTACTAGGCTTGCTTTGGGTGGATGCGTTTGTCGTTGATCCTTTGCCTCCACTTCGCCTCATAGACCTCAAGCTAATCAGAGAAGAGAAGGCGACACATGGTTCCTGGAGAAAGACGCATGCCAGCGGAGAAAAAAATCAAAGAGGGTCACAAGGGGTTGCAGCCTCGTACATACCTAGCCTCGCGAGCTGGGAGTAAGCTTCCTGAAACGGCTAGAATGACCGACTATCTGTGGGGCAGATGTGCTTTGCGCTCAGTGGCACAGCTTTTCCTCGTTGTTCACCGCATCGACAGCTGTGATTCTAACCATCGCAAAGGAGATATGGTGAGAATTTGTCCTGGGTTTTTCTGCTTTGCTGACCGCGCCGTGGTGATGTCTGCTTGTCACTGGTTGTGGACTGGTCGATCGCCACGGTCGATATGAGACCGCTGGCGTTCTTCTCATCGCGCTTGCCGTCGCGGTGCGGGCAGAGGCACAGTGTCACATCCTACCCAGAGCGTTGTTGCGATCTCTCCTCTCGGCCTAAGATCATTCCAGACTATAATTATCTCCCCTCAATCTTCTGATCTCAGACTTTCTTTCTGCAACAAAGCATTCCCTTCTCAAATTGTTCTCTATCCCTTAGTCTTGTGATGGCTAACCTGTTACAGCATCCGAATGATCTGAGGTGGTTTGGAGACGCCGGAACCCAGAAGGCCAAGTCCAAACGATGGGGTTTTCCGAGTGCCATCCATGTTCGTGATTTTCGCTGCAGGTGTTGCTGCGGTGGCGGCAGAGCCACGAAAGCGCTACCCAAGTCTCCCGAAACCACCCGTCCCGCAGCACCGCGCGACAAGATATGCTTGGTCTTCCCCATCGTATGCATGCCGTTCTCAAAAAAAGGATGGCCGATATCTCAACAGTTGTCAATTGACGTCGGCTCGTGAGCTGCAGAGCCAAAGCTGCGAACTCAGGAAAACGACCTCGCGGACTGAGGATCCAACAGTTACTTGTCGTCCACTTAGCAGCTATCCTACTGCGATCCTACCGCCACAGTTCCAATCCACGATCACAAGCCCTTGACTCTTTCTCTTCCTTGATGCCGCGCCTTACAGTTAGTATATACCAGTCCACGATGAAGATACCTAGCCTAGGACGGCTATGTCGCACAGTTCTGCAGGTCGGGTGGCTCAGAAGGACTTGGGTGGCGAACGAAGCCGCCAAAGCAATGCTGGTACTCCAGAAATATGTAATGCGAACTGCTCTACGCCTGCACCTTCGTTTGTCATCTGACGGGAATACTTAGCCAAGCTACACTCAAACGAACCGCAAAGATTATATATATATATATGAGAAAGATCCGCGCACTCCGCCAGTTTTGGATCCAGGGTTTAATCGGCCAACCGCGCTCATCGCTGTAGAAGCCTTTCTATGATCACTCTCCAGCCATGCGCCCTAGGAAATGATCTCCAATATGATGATGTGCGCAGTCACCAATGATACGTGCTATCTGAGAACCTCTTGTTGCAGATGTTGCGCGCTCTCTCTGGGTGTTGGGTAGAAGCTGTGCGCTCTGTGCTGGACTCGTACCTCGGCACGCACCCGTCGATATTCCCACTACCTCCGAACGAGTTGCTGCGCTGAAGAAATCTGAGATGATGAAACCGTTGGTCGACAAGTGTGCGGTTACAGCACTCTGGATATTGAGTGTGGTCATGGATCCGCGACGCAGGGTGCCCTGGAGACGAACTGACCCAATATGTCACCAAGCCGATAATTGGAAATGAGGCACCGTGGATGGGATATCTACGTGGCTGCATCATCCTCGACCGTTTCTACATGTCACGGTCCAGCGTTCGGGGAGCAATTACACGATCACCCTTATCTCAGCCGGCCGGCAAACCATGATCCCGGATGAGCAGCGAGATGACTGGCTAGGGGATGGGATGGACGTGGTCGTCCTAGTGGCAAGGCCCGATGGAGTGATGCAAATCAAGTAGACTGGATCAGGACTCCAGAGGACCACACTGCCTGGCGAGGGTCAAGGAAATCTCACGACCTTAACGAAGAGAGCCTCGATCGGGTTCACGACCAGCCCCTGTTGAAAGTTTCCGCCGCGGCGCAATCCATCTGCGATACCTGCACCAACAACATTGGCACTTGAGCTGACATTTATCCCGCAGTTCACATCTACTTGCCAAAAAAAAATAGGAGGTTTGGATGGGAAGGAGGTAACTCTCTCACATACAGTGTCTGGCGTTTCGATCACACGTCGTGTCGCCACTCGGTTTTCCCCTTTACTGAAGTTGCCACTTGGGTATAACTGTATATTGTAACAAGGCGAAGTAGCTGTGTTGTGCTGACATGGGGGTGGCTGGAAGGCGATTTGGCTGGTCACATGTCAGGACGAAAAGGACTTGCATCGATTTTGGCTGTGGACGAGAGGTTGAATGGGGCTATTGGGCGTTCAAACCAGAAAAACAAAACAAAACAGGACAGAAAACAATAACAGTGCCAGTAGAGACTAGATGGCTGAGCGAGCATGCCATTGCTGCCGGAGTGCTTGACAGTTTAAAGTGCTGGCCGCGTATCATTTTTTACAGTTTGATGAGAGTATTCTATGGTTTTTTTTTGATACCGTCTACCTATTCCTCAGCATTAGTCTGTGTTCCCCTCCACTCCTCAACGTCGCCGCCGTGTTAGGTGCTCGTTGCACTAGCCGCTGCCTCTCTGTGGGTGCTCGGCCAGTACAAAGGGAAGTAGGCCGAGCACTATATGGGCCGGCCGCAGGAGGAGACTCTGAGGGTTAGGGTAGCCGTAGGAGGACAATGCCAGGCTAACCCGGAGTTCATGCGATTTGTTTGCGAGGCTAACCCCAATTCCAACAAATTGGTTTGCCGGCGAATGACTGCTCTCCGCGAGAAACTGGGAGCCTAAGCTAATCCACGCTATAGTAAACGATTTCGCGGAGGAAGGAAAATGATCATGTATTTCCCGGATCCCATAACGTTTACGCGTTTTACTCCCAACAGAGATCGACCTTAGTTAGTTTTACCAATGCAATAATCGTTGAAGAACTAGTTCTACATTCATTTACCATTGTGCAAGCCGCAGAACAAATCTACATACCCAAGGGAGGTTACACTATGATTAGACAGGACAAGAGGTAGCAGTGCCTCCACGGTCAACCACAGTGGAAATGGAAAAGGGAGGTTTAGTGCAGATGGGGTTCTGCGGATCTGCGTCTGGAGCGAAATAGTATTTTATCCTACGTTAAGAGGGAGACTCTACGGCGTTGTTGCATGATCGTGGCCTTGGTCAGTGTTGTTCTAGTTCTTCCCCACTCTCGAAGTTATATACGCCATAAGTGGTTTTCAATCTCTGCAATTAACTATAACGTTAATGGCAATTAGCAGTTGGGAGTAGCACGGAAGCGCATAGACTCGAGAAAGGACCTCGAACCCGTCCCGTGGAGAATCTGCCTTGGCTGTGCCTTGGCTGCCAACCCTCCGGTGAGGCTGGTGAGGCTAAGGGCCAGCTACGCCCACCAGGTAGTCCGACCAGCACCTTTCCAAGGCTGTTCTGAAGCGGTGGATTGATCTGACCTGTCATCAGGCGGTCCCGGTTGCTTTGGTAGTGGAGGGTTCTTGGATATTTTATTCTCAAAAACGGATGACCGGGAGTTTTGCATCCCGCGACTGGAATCCAAATTGGCCTGCAAATGCCACCTTCTCGTTGACACGTCGATAAAGTCTGCTTTGGCGGCTTTTACTTGGATCTAGTTTCATGGGTTGAGAAATACAGGGCAACCAATCACAAAGGCAGAAAACTTACTGCGGCAGAAGGGGATTCTTCAATTTCAGAGTCCTTTTTTTCCCGCAGAGCCTTATCGCACAGAAAAACCGCCTCCAAAATCCCTCTTTCTAGGGGCAGATTAGTCGATGCCTAGCTCCCACAGTAGCTCCGCTGTTGAACTGGGGACAGATCCAGAGGCATTCTTCCTAGCGTCCAGTCAGCATGTACCTCGTAAGGAACACCTCCCGGACGGAAGGGGCTTGCTGGCCTTGAGATAAATAATTGGAAGACTTGTTTCTTGAGACTTAAGTTTGTAACCTACTACTCGACTCACCCAACCGTGGATGAGGTCACGCTCTCTGGCTCTCTGGCTGAGAGGAAACATTTGATCAGCCTCACCGATCACAAACGGAGAGTATCCATCCCCAGCGCACGGAGTTAAGTTTCTAATCCAGCATAGAGGTCGGCGTCCGGATGCAGTGGCAACCTGATTGACAGAGGAGGCGTGGCTTTCTGGGTGCCTTTGGAACATGGATTGGGTCGGCTTGATGGGCGTTCTAACGATCCAGTCGCTGTTGGCGACCCGTCATGCTGCCTGCCGTGGGGGGCAAGGACGAAACCAGCCGCACGGGAGCACCTTTAAAGGGAGAGCCGCATTGTATTCCACCACCCAATCCTGTGGAGAATATGGTGCTGGCCAGAAGGGACGCCTTGTGGATTTTTGATCTTTTCCCATGAGGCTCTGCGCCGAAAATCGCCCTCCACCTTTCCTCGGGCACTTTTTGTTCAGTTCCGTGGACCTCAGCGGGCAGAACCAATCAGGAACTATGCTTCACTACTTCGCACCCTGCATACAGGCCCTGCCTAACTTTCGGGGCGCCTGGTGGTCGTGTAGTGGCGTGACCAGGTGTCAGTTTCCTCAACCCTTGGTCCGACTTTGTGCTACGTTACCAGACCATTCACCGGGGCAAAGATCAGGACTCTGTTGTTCACAAGAAACCCTAAAAATACACTAATATTTGCGCTACCCAGTATCTATCCAATCAGCCAATCCAGACAATGACTCCACTGCAGTGAGTCGCGGGGAATTTCCCACTCTATGTGCGTTCTGTAGCTAAAGAATCGGGTTCCAGATGGCTGACACTGTTGAACAATCTCATGGCGCCAAAGTCTGCCTTTTCTACCTGTTGTACACAGAATTGAGAGTGGATCTATCTTGTTGATTGTGTTCCGTGCCCCTGGCTTTTCAGAGAGACTCTGCCTATCTATATACTATTTGTACTGTGGCAACAAGCGATTCGCTGAATAGATCTGGACCTGCCCAGATCTGTCCAGACCTCGTTGTCGATCAACGGTGGCACCGAGGCTATTATAGAGAGGCCTCGGTTGAAGCTTTGGTGGATTGGTTGGTTTGCTACAGTGGCGTTCTGCTGTCAACACTACCCGATTGCCACGGGTTAATCTTGTGGACGACCATCGACAACAGATCCGACATGCCGCAGTGCATCCAGTCAGACTCACTGTACCTGGGAGGCTTTGCTTCGATGGTGAAGTATCAACCTTTCGAAATGGACTCGGCGGGATCAGAAACTCGCTGCTACAGTCTCTGCAGCTGTTATTCGCTTTGGTGACTGCTTTGGCTCAGATTATTGATGTTACTTGAATAAGGGGGATCAACTTACTGTTTGTTGAGATGCCGTTCGTACAGATCTTCCCTGTGAAACTCCCTGCTGCAATGCTCGTGCGGACAACGGAATCCAGGAGGTACATGGTTGAGTTGGTGGCGTCTTGATGACATCCGATGTGAGTTTTTATAGAACACGTCCACGGACGGATAGACATACCTCAGAGCCTCTGCTCTCATGAATACCTTGCCACAAAACTCACAGTTATGGACAGGAAGCCCTCGTTTACCTCTTTTCTGCCGCACTTTCTTGACTGGCGCTGATTCTAGAATCGGACTTGGAGGTGGCTCAACAGATGGAGGTGTAGGGCTAGGGGCAGGAGACACGTTCGGGGCCGGTAGGGGTGGTGGCGCGGGAGGAGGTGGCGGGGGGGTCTGAGGTCTGATAGGCACAAATTCCGGCAGCTGTACTTCATCTGGACTAGGATGGTATTTGCGATTGTGCTTCAGTAACCCCGTTCTACTGGCGAAGCCTCGGGCGAAGAACTCGCAGGTCGGGTCGGCACATCGAAGCTTCTTGAAATGGCCCAGTTCGTGGTTGTTACGGGCCTGGATCGTGTGAAAGCCATCTGAGTGGAAAGGGCATTCATGGAAGCGACAGGTAAACTCGGATTCTCCATACTCTTTTCTGAACGTGGCGAGTGTTTCCTGGTCAATCCTCGGCGGCACGCCGTCAAGCTTGCAAGTCAGAAGGAAGAGGACCACCTCTTGGTAGCGGTGGCTGATCTGGCTGAAAAGCGTAGGGTCGTGCTCCAGCTCGTAGGCGTGATGCTCTGGACAAGGATCAGTTTTCGGAAGAGGACCTATCTGGAGCGAACACACTTTCTGCGACTTTATGCGCGTGCCTCTCTTGGACCAAATGTGCGCGAAATGTTTGCACGTCGGTTCCCATCTGTCGGACATGGTCGAGGTCGCCGAGCACAGCGAGCTCCTTGCATATCTCATTCGCGGTCGTAGTGTCATCTAATTTGAGACTCTGGGCTGCATGACCTGGCTTGCCTTTCCAATATCGTTCCTGAAGCGTGCGTAAAGCTGAGACCATGATGCCGCTTGAGTCCAAATTGATCAGATCTCGGGCACATTGGAGTATGTGTTGGAACCAATACTCGTTCGCATAGTTGTGCAAGCCATGGAAGCCTTTGGCAACTCTTACTTTCGCAAGATCCTCGAATGGACCGGGCGCGAGAAAGTAGATGGCCGTATTCAGGTACGTGATACACGAGAAAGCAATATTGTAATGCGCCTGGGACTCTTGCAGTAACGGCCCACTAACCTTGTCGAGGATAAATCTGTCATTATTTGGGTTAGTCGCGCAATCATCCTAGCCCTTGAGGGTCTCACTCTTTGGCTGAGTAATGTACAAAGTCAACCGTCTTGTTTGGGCCCTCTTCGATGAGCGGTTTGCAGAGATTCATCACGGCGGGAGAAAGCTTCGTTTCATCGTCTAGCACCATATTGTCGGCGTGGAAGACGATCCCGTCCTGCACCTCGCGCATCTTCATGAGCCGACAGGAGCAGGCGAGCCACTCTAGGATGCGGATGACCTTTACATACTCTTTGTGATCCATTTCTTTGGTGACACGTTGCAGGAACCGACCATACCTAAATTGACTCAGCGCACTGTGCACGCAACATGGAGCTACTCACGCCTCCTCGATGCCTTTGGGCAGTTCCTCGGCCGTTTTCCTGAGCTCTGCCAGACTGTAGCACCTGTAGAGCTCCTCAAGGATCAGGCGGACCCAGAGAAACATACCTGTCTGCATGTGAGCAAATGAGTAGGCCAGGGACTGGTAGCACAAACCGTCGGCTTTCAATGTGACCAGATCCAGGATATCTTTCATGTCCCTTTCTTTTCCCTCGAACCTCGCGCTCAGCTCTTGAAGCGCTTCGCTCAAAAAGTTCTGTATATCTTCTTCGACCCCAGAGTGTTCATCCCTCAATGATATCAACGGTCTGTTCTTCATTTTGCTAGCAATGGCCGGGACGTCTCGTGAGGAGATGGTAATCTTGCACTTCCCTCCGGTGACTTTGGCAAACGATAAGATCTCGTTCAGCATGGACCTTTGCTGAGGCATGGAATATTCGTCTAAGCCGTCGATGAAGATGAAAGTCTCTTGGATCATGTCCAGGAGATCGGAAATCAACCTTTTGACGTGGGTGACTGACGGCGGCAACGCTTTATTGGCAAAAGTGTCAAATGCGTACGGCACCAGGTCTCGATTCGCCCGTAGTAACTGGGCAGCTAAACCTCGTAGGTTCCCGGACACGATATCCTTACCTTGGGTATAACTGTTGCAAATTATGTATGCAATCGTCCTGGTGGACTCACGCTGAAGCGTGTCGATAATGTAGGAACACAAAATAGTCTTGCCTATCGACTCGAGTTGATATCAAGTGGCGGTGTAGTGGACGGTGTAAACAAACCTGCTCCAGGGATGCCGTTCACCCAGAGGACCCGGTCAGCATGGGCATCGTCCTTCCAGCTGATGAACTTAGGATGTTTAAAGATCCAATCACATGTCCCCGACTGTCTCCTGGCGAGCAATCGGTAAAGTTCGTCATCCTGGTTCCCTTGTTGGACATTCAGCCAGGCCAAGGTGTCGTTGATATAGACCTGGTCGCGTTCCTTTTCATTCTTATCGAGCTCCTCAGCCGCGTGTGCCCTCCACTTCCGGGCTTCCACGATGTCGATGGCTATAGCCTCCTTCATCAGCATGTCTTTGTGCTTGGACAAGTTCGCAAGGATGCCGCCAAAGCGGCCCTCAAATGATTTCCAGGACGAGTCGAAAATAATATGCCATGCTAGAAACCAGTCTCGATCAGCAACTAAAGCGCCTTTAGATGGGTAGTGGAGTTGGTGGAGGTACCTTTCCGCCGAAAGAATTTGTATGCGCGCTGATGAAATTCAAGGATGTCCGAGTACACCAGGGCCATGATGACCATGAAGTTTTCATCGTCAGAGCAGGCGCTTTGTAGCCTGTCAAAATGTGGCATTGACGATGCAATCTGTGAATAACCGTCGAGCAGTTTGTCAAAGATGTTGCTGTAGTTGCTCGCCAACTGTCGACATTGTTAGATGGCCGTTGGACAGAACGCTCGTTCCTTACTTGTACCATGAACTTGATCGGAGCCTACAATGCCCTTAGCGACTTGTTGACACGACGAGACATAAAACCCACCCAGATCCATGGCAGATAAGGCGTTCCATTACAAAGGACTTCAATGACCCTTGAGTACCTTTGCAGGTTGTCCAGCAGCGGTTTGATTCGACTGAGTGCCTGTAAAGACTTGCGTTGGCGCTGAGATTTCTGAATTTCCTCCGCAGCATCCCAGACATCCTTGAGCTCTGTCTTCTGAAACAGGAGACTGTCGGCGGGAGTCACAGAGTCTTTCAACCTATGAAATGCGTGCCTCATGATCGATCCGGGTGACTGGGATGCCGCCATCTTCTTTCAGCCTGATTACTAAAAAAGAGGTGGAGGATCCTAGCGGCGACAACAACGTCGTACCGCACGGGACTATTAAAGGTCGCTTAATCACAAAGGATCATTGACGATTTCTCCAAGTGTGATACACATCGGTCGCTGGGGTCGTTCATGGATAAAGCCTCCCATAATACCAACATGGCCCTGCAAAGACTGATGGCAGACTTCGACGGCCGAATTAGTACCTGAACCCAGACCCGACTCCCCAGACCCAGTGAGTATATACCTCGTACAGCTAATGCAGACCCCTGGAAAATACGAACATGCGACTCACAAGGACTTTTCTGTATGCCATCCGACGGGTAAAGAGCAAACAGGATGGGTTGTGAGTGTACTTGGTAGCCGCCCGAAGAACCCAACCTTGACTTCAAAGTGTGAGGTGTAGAAGTGGTTCAGCAGTAAGCATCACATCTGGACTTTGACTAAAAGTGATCGCAGGTCTATCGGCTTTGCCAGGCACAACACGTGCATCACGGCAGGCAAGCAAAGATCCTTTGTCAAAAACTACACGCCCAACATGCCCAACCTTTTCGATTAGTTTGCCTCAGCCATTCCTACTGCAGCTCCTCCAAGGCAGATTTCACGAGTGAGAGTGACTTATCTTTGGCACCTGGAGGGGCGACCTTTCCCCTAGCGCCTAGGCTAATGGGGCTGCTCGAGTCGTGCTGGTCTTCTCATATGGACCACCGAGGAGAATGCAAAACCCCCTTTTCGGGCGCGGAGGACTTAGGAAGGCGTGCAGCGATTGACTCTGAGTACGATTGGCTCAGTAGGCCGTCCGTTGTCCAGGCTAGTGAGGTGTGGCTAGTCGGCTCAATTGGCATGCCATTGGACCTAGACTCTGCACTCTCACAAGCGACCCGCCTTGGATGGCATTTGCTAACTGCCAAGGCCCGGCCTCAGCCTCAGTGGGCTGATGAGGTCTGTTGTTGGATCTTGACTCAGCCTGCTTGTACTTAAGTGGAATTGGCTCTTGATTCTCTACCTGGGAACTGGCAGTTGATTGCCCTCTATATATTTGGTTAAATAGGTGGTAGCCTTGTTGGTAGCCTTGGTAGCAGCCGTGCGGTAACGAATGGGCGCCAACATACGAGGTAGAAGTTGCCGGTTTCAGACGCTAGTCCTTGTTTCCTTCAACAAGGCTCAACGCAGTCAAAACCTGCTGCATCATCCCTCCAGTGAGAAGGAACAGAGTGGCACGACAAGAGTGCTCAAGTAGGAAGTAATGCATGAACCTGGAGCAGATCAACGCGGCCACACATGCCCAAGCTTGGGCTGCCAGTCAATTGCACCATCTCGCGATCAGGCTGGTAGCTTCATGGAACCTGACACCTTCCTAGACTGGTCCAATGAACAAGTGTATATCCACGGCCACAACAAACGCCAGAGACTCGACACAGGGTATAAGTCCCCCGTGACCTTAACAAGCTATGATACGGGGAGCTTTCAATCTGACTTTGGGGCACCTGTTTCGGGAGATGAATGGAGCAATGACTTTTCTATCCTTAACGCCCAGTCTGGAGAATATCAGGTTGGCTGCTATAAGACCGACCAGGTCAACTGTGGCAGACCCTTTCCAGGTGAATTGCTGTACTGTTATGGAATGGTAAGCGTCGAAGATGCATACGCAAACTTTAACCGCCTACCAGCTCATGCCATCTAGCTACCGAAAATCCCGATACTCTCCCATCGGACCGGCCTATCTACAGTAACGTCTTCGTCACTAGACCTGCACTTCGAACCACCCAACTCACTGCTCCTCACACCGGCAGGAAGAGAATTTGGCTGTCTCGAAGAGCGGACCGCAAAGATTCTGGCGACTCTGGCAGGCGAATCCCGCGTCGCGTTCCAGATATATGGTTATGTCACCAAAAGACGAGCCAACACCAAAGATGCCAAGGGTAAAAGTGGCCAGAACGACCTTCAATACCTCTTGAATGCGATAATCTACGGGCCGAGGGAGTTAGGCCAGGGGATTGGCGACTTTTTGGTGAAGTGCAAGATGTTTCTCCAAGATCCCCTAGGTTGTGATCGAGACGTCCCTTACCTCAACCCGCACTTGTTATCGCGTACCGAGGAGGTGGTCATGATTTCGTCGCTGAAAGTCGGAACTGGCAAATCTTCAGAGGCCCAAGAAGTGGTGGCTGTAGACGCTCCAAAAGATCTCTTCAGCCGAATCTGTGACGATGGATATCTTCAACTCACTGACCCACCGCTTCTGGTTCATACCAGGCTGTATAGGTAAGTTTCGGCGAGGGTATTGTTGCATGACACCCGAGATACTGACACGCGAAGACATCAAAAGAAGGCCTTGACATTCATGAAACAGAGAGAGCAAGCCTGGTCGTTCAAAGATTCCCTAGACAGTTTGTGGGTAAAGGAAGTTGATGAAACGGGAGAGCTGATGTTCGTCACGCACCGGTATCATACCCAGCCAGTCTAACCCTGGCAGATACACCAACTTGGTCACCGAACAGTCCCAACGGAATGAGCCTTTAGAATCTAGAGGGGGCCTTTTGGCCGATCAGATGGGACTCGGGAAAACATTGACTATGATCGCGCTGATTGCCCTGAACCCGGCTCGGCTCGCCTCGTCGCTCGTATTCACGGCCCAAGGGACAATCCGTCGCATCAAGTCGACGTTGATCGTTGTGCCATTTTCTCGTGAGTGGCTTCTTCTTTCTCCGTCAGCAGCGTGCAATAAAAGCTCACATTGACAGTGTTGGATACATGGGACACTCAGCTACGACGGTAATACCTTCGAGCGCCTGGCAAATGTCACTCACTGATCTCCCTAGGCATCTCAAACCGCGCTCTTTGTCCTGGCTCAGGTTTCACGGCTCCCAGAAGCACAAACTGCTGTCATTGGGCAGCTATGATATCGTCATCACCACTTATGAGACGCTCATGGGCCAGCTGAAGAAGCACAACGACCCTAAGTGGACTGATGGTACACTGTTCTCCTTCGCCTGGCATCGCATTGTGCTTGACGAAGGTAGGCCTGCGGCGCCAAATCTTACGAGTCCTGCTGACACTGTGCCACAGCCCACATCATCCGCAATCGGTCTACTGCCATTGCACAAGCCTGCTGCGCTGTTCGAGCGAGTCGACGCTGGGCAATGACTGGGACACCGATTCAGAACAAGGCGACCGATCTGGGAAGTCTTCTCGAGTTTCTCCATTTGGAGCCTTTTAGAGACCCAAAGATCTTTGAAGCGATGGTGGTCAAGCCCTGGTTAAAGTCAGCCGACAAGGACACATCCCGACTCGAGAAACTGATCAGATATCTGTGTCTCTGTCGCACAAAAGCGATCATCGACCTCCCTCCTCGAAAAGACGTGATCCAGCATGTCGATCTCTCGCCAGAGGAGGCAGAGCACTACGAATCGGCCAAGAACCGTACCGTCCAGAAGCTCGACGAAGCTCTCTCCGTCAATCCCATCGCGCCAGGCATGTATCTCAACGCGCTGGAATGGTTGAACGATCTCCGTCTCATCTGCAATCATGGGTTGATGCATTCCAGGACGCAGAAGACTCCCACAATCGTGTCTTCGGCTGGACCGTGGACCAAGACGACGGCGAAGAAGGCTTTCGCGATCTTAGTCGACGCCGGCTCGGCCATTTGTAAACTGTGCCAGGCCAACTTGGCAGCCGGGACCATCGAGGCCGACGGCTTCGAGCATTGTAAGCCATCTCTTTCCAAATGCTTGACCGTCATCTGCGGCATGTGTATTCAAAGCCATGCAAATGGTGAGCAAGTCCCCGGGTGCGGCTGCAATCCGGCGTGTCTTAAGGCTGAAGTGTCCTGGGCACGGGAAATTTCGAACAGGCTACCCGAGTCTGGGCTCCCGTCAATAGAGGAAAAGAAGGTTTCGACCAAGTTGAAAACCCTTCTGAAGGACCTTCAGCAGCATGAAAAGACCGAGAAAAGGTATAGTTGACTCTGCCCAATGTGATCCAGCACATTTCATTGAAACGTGCATTGCAGTGTGGTGTTCTCGTTCTGGACGTATACACTCGACCTCATCGAGTCGTTACTGCTCCAATGTACGACAATCCGATGTGCTAGAATCGACGGCAACTATTCGGGATCTAGGCGTGAGCAGGAAATCCAGCGGTTTCAGACAGACAATCTGGTACGGGTCATCTTGGTCTCTATCACTTGTGGTGGAACTGGGTACGTTGTGCACACGCTTTTACTCAAAAGCGGATGTGTTCCACCCTACACAACTGGACCGAAATGATGTGCTGACAATCATCCTTTCTAGCCTCGATCTTACGGCAGCCTCGCGGGCATATCTGCTTGAGCCTCAGTGGAACCCAATGATCGAGGAGCAAGCCCTCTCTCGCATCCATCGCCTGGGCCAGACCAAAGAAGTGAAAACAATCAGATATCGTGTCCGAAACTCGTTCGAGGAGGTGAGATTAGTACGCCTCCGCCCTCTTTTACAGAGACACTGATTGTCGGCCAGAAAGTGGCCATGATCCAGGATATGAAGAGAGATATCGCGGCTGGTGCTTTTTCCAGCGATTCGCAAGCGGGCGTGGTGAACAGGTCAAGTCGGCTCCAGGTAAGAGCAGCAACCATTTACAGCCGATATGAGGCTGAGACTTCGTGGTTCCAGGAGTTCCGAGCTGCTTTTTGAAGACTAGACGAATGATCAACATGCAGGCGATTATGGTCACACGAGCCGTGATCGGCCTGTTTACTATCCAGTATCGATATCGAATCGATAAGTGGTCAAACTTTTCTGAGATGGACACTGTAAGACTCTAAGGCCAACGTGTTCCTTTCCGAGGAAGAAGGGGTCAATCAGAAATGAGGCTGACTATGGGCGTTCCCGATACCGCTACTGACTCTGAGGAAATTAAGTGAGAAGGTAAGAGGAGAGTGGTAAACGAGGTTCAAGGTGTACGGCGACCTAAATCAAGGCGAGTGCATTGTTGGCCTAATTAGGCTGAGTTTTAAACATATTAAGTCCTGGCACAACCATATCACCTATTTAAACCCTCGCTGTTACTCTGGATACATTTTCTTGATCAATCAATCAAACCTATCTTTAATCCCAGATTGGTTCAACATCTACTGGCAATCGTAATTGGCAAAGTCACACGAGCTCCATCCAATCCTGGAGCATGAGCAATGCGAAAAAGGCAGTATTGCATGATTTCATCCTCGCCGAGGGACTCACCCTTTCTCGCGTCACTCTTTGGAGTCTCGCGAATTTGTAGTAACACTGGTTTCGTCACAGCGTAAGAGAGCCACTGGTTTGATGAAAGTTGAGAGACGGTCCTAGGATCTGGTGACCTGTACACGCCTTAATTCGAAAAGTGGGTGCAGAAGCCACCGTCCGACCAACTCATCTACTCCATCCGTGTATTGGCGTCGCAGCCAGCTTCGACAGTGCTTGACCGCCTTCCCCATGGCGATTTCCCCAGCTCGTCCCTTCCACTGGTCAATTTGGAATCCAACAACATGATACAGCTGCAGTTCGTGGTCCTAAGAGCTCAGCCTGTTATGGAGGGGAACGGCAAGGATCCGCACAAACCAAATCAATGTCGGCAAATTCCACATCTCGACTTCGTGTTGTCTCCCTCTGGTTCAATATCGTTTGAGTATCATCCTACACGCTGCTTCACATACACGAGAGGCCTATATAGGCAATACCCTTCTTGCACTCAACTCAACCGCAATTACTGTTCTTGTTACCTAATCTCATTATTCTTTATTTATGTGAGTATTCTTCTCGCACTCGAATGAACAACTCCCTCTCAGAAGCATCTTAAAGCTGGATATCAATCGAGCCATCTAGGGTACAAATCGCAACGCATAGTGATCCCGTTACCAAAGCCGACATTCGCCGCTTCTTGGACATCGAGCGTGGCCCCCTGGCCCCTACAAAGGGACTCTATGGGATGGTCCATTCAGTTGAGCGTTCAGCGATGATACAAGAGCACATTGTAAATTGGTCAATCAATGCATTGTTGATGATCTAAGTCGCACTGTCGGCTGTCTTCGTGGCCCTGGACGCAGCAGGAGATGAACACCATACCCCAGTTGCCGTGCTTAGAGCAGTCAATGGCCTGATCACCGCTGTTCTTTCCATCACCAAAGGTCAGGGGTTGCCAGCAGGTTTCTACCAGCATGCCAGCGGGCTGAGAAAGGTGATTATGGAGATTGAGAGACTGGAGAGAACAATCGAGTCTGGGGGTTACCGTGACTCGGGAAGACTGTGAACATCTATTTCCGATGTATGACCGAGTCCAGAAAGAACACGACGCGAATTTTCCCGATATATTCAGGATTTATACACCCCTCTCAACACCGCCACAGCCAGGATCCTTATTATAGGAAGAAGAGGGAAAATGGATGACATTTGCACAAGCTAAGGGCTTCACGGGAATACCATCTATTTTGAGAAGCTGCTGTGGTACCCATGCTTCGTTTTGTTCTGTCGCCATGACTGGAACTGGTCAGTGCGGCAGCGTTAGCAGGCTTGAGAAGGGAGAAGCACAGCATGGCTTCTGCCATCTACCGATATCGGCGGTTGAGACTACGTTCAGCCAGTCGCTCTATTTGACCGCAAGGTGGAATATGCGGAGGCGGTTAGATGATTGCTTGATAGCAAAGATGTTGACTTCTCTGTGGATTCTCTGTTCATCGACGCTCTCAGCTACCGCCAGGCTTCGCGATCAAACGAGTCGACTTGGATATCTTATGAAAACTAGGCCCCGATTCCCAATGTACAAATTCTGCAAACACCAGTCGGTTACCTCCCTGGAAAATGTTACAACTTCACCAGAATCACTAGCATCAACAGACGGCCGGAAATCTCAGTCTGTTTCACCTCTTTTTCACCAATGTCCCCACGATATGAGGAATCGTGCTGTAGGGGTCGCAGAGTTCCACGTCGACCTTGTCCCAACCACCATCCCTCTCTGCTGCTCTGTGCAGGCTCGACAGCGTGTCCCTCGTCAACTCACAGCCGCCCATCAAGGAACTCCAACCAATCCACATGTACAATTTCTGCAACGAGCGGCCAACTGCAGTTCCGCCTTTCGTGCTGTCCCCCGAATTGATCACGTGCTCACACACGACCATCCTGCCACCTGGTTTGAGGATGCTGTACAGACCTTCAATCACTTCGTCCAAGTCATGGACCCCGCAGAGCACGCGGATGCAGACGATCTCGTCAAACGGAGCGTTCTCCCCTCTGCCCTCGTTATCGCTGGCCTTGATGACCCCGGCCCTCGCCAGTGCTGGCACTAGCGAGTCGAGCTTCGCTTCGCAGCTCAAGACGTGGTACTTATTGCCCAGACCAGCGTGATCCGCACGCTTTTTCAAAGCCGCGTGCATGCTCACGCCGGGCTCTGCCCCGTATATTGCTTCGATTCCCTGCGGATTAGAAAAGCGGAACAATTGGTGTCCAGCACCAGGACCAACATCCAGGATGACACCCTTGCTCTGCGCGAGGATGGGTCCGAGAGGCGTCGGGGTATCTTTGGCACATATCACGCCGCCTATAGCCCAAACTGTCGCAAAGGCCTTCTCCTTGTAGCGAGCAAAATGACCAAAAAGCAGCCTGGGATGGAAAATGGCGGTCTGGACGTGGCCTTTTTTGAAACAATAACTTCAGTCAGTGCATCAACCACAACAGCTGTTATGACGGAGTGGCCCTTCATCTTTAGAAGACGTACAGATGACGCTTGTGAGAATGAATGTGCCTGGCAGTGCGTAAGATACCAGGCGTTGAATTGGGTTGGAAGACGACATTTTCTCCAGCGAATCTTTGCTGATATTGTGTCGGGTCGCCTTGATGATGACCACGCATCGGACACGTCGGCTGCGGAAGGACAAAGCTTGGACTCTGAGACGGAGTGGAATGCTGCTGGGAATCAACCGGTTTTATCAACACTGCGGCAGCGTTCGCGTTACCCTCGAATTAACATTCTAACATTCCTCAGCCCCCATGTTACACAGCATTGACCTTCCCGAATACGATACTACGGAAACCCCCTTTACGAGGTCTTTCCTGCCTAGAAAGCGGCATTCTGCCTGGCCGAGCCTCGTGTTGATGAAGGGATGGAGAGTTAAGAGTTAGTTAGTCAAAACCTTTTCCGTCAAGCCAAACTTTCAAACTTTCCGGAGTCCAGACCCTGCAAGGCCAGGTTCAGTCCCCCTTCCAGATTGATCTGCCATTGGTGCACCATTCACAGAAATCATGGAAGGGCCTCTTGGGGTTAATTCCTGGGGAAAGGGAACTTTCCGGCGAGCGTGCGCTGATGAACCGTTCTGCCAATTGTCCATGGACTTTTAGGGGGCAAGTTCTCTTCTATTGGTTTCTTGCTGCCAAAATGGCTTCCTTCTATCTCGCCATGAACTTGGCTGCTATTTCGAGAGTCCGGACAAAGAAAGAGCTCCATGCATCAATCATCACTGATCAGATGGCTGGAAAACAGAAAGTCACGAGGCCGTTCGTGACTTGGCAGGCTGTGGCATACGAGGTGTCTGTCCGGCCGTGCTGAAATCTTGATTTTGGAAGAAGTCCACTCTCTGCATTTCCGATTTCGTGATCGATACGAGAAATGCATCCTTATCTCGATGGATGACTCTTCATCACTTTGGCCGTGAAGTAGCCCTTCGTGCATTATTTCGCGTAAGGTATCACCGAAAAGCTTCCACGTTCTTGCGCCAACCGCGGTCAGCGCAAGGGAGTCATTCTTCCTTAGGTCAACTTAATCACATCGCCCATGCGGAACAGAAAGGGAGCCGTGCCCAAATCTCCCGCCCCGCTTCGAACAGGCGGCCACGATTCGAGATCAAAGATCGCACTGGGAAACTTCGATTTCGCGACAAATTTCAACCCACGCTGATGACAGACAGACAAGACGCTCCTCACAAAACGACAAAGCTGCGTTCACTGCAATTTTGGGCTCATCGGCAAATACTTTTCAGATATCCTGAATCCGGCGGTGGGATCCCCATTTGCATTAGACATGTGATACATCGTGCTGTTCCACATGACGAATCACGGTCTAGCAGTTTCAAGGTCCTTGACATCTCCCCCCGTATAGGTATGCCGGTAGTGGTTGAAAAGATCTCCGTCCTTGGACGGATTTGTAACGCGCAGAATGCCGAATAATCCTGATGCTGTCGTCGTGTCGGTATTTTGAGAGTGACCTTGCGGTAAGGAGTAGCAAGGCTTCCAGCATATCGGAGAAATATTCATTCTCTCGGATCGCAATGTGGTCGGCCAAAGCCACAAAATGCCAGTATTCCGTCTTCTGCTGCTTTATCGTGTTGATTGCCAGTCTCGCGAAGCAAGAGCAAGAGTTTCGGTGTTGCTCCTTGTCGGCCAGACTGACGCAAGGTTTTGGTCTGGATCAGTCATTCATGAAAGACGTTAAGCATGGAATGAAGCATCATCTCTGCAGATGACACCCGGTTCGGGCACAAAAGTGAGTTCCAGCCACCTTGGGTCTATAGTGTGGAGCCCATGAGATTTCCATGTTGTCGGCTAGCAGTCTGAAGATCTCGACATTGGCCCATATCCGGCGATGATGCGATCTCTTATCAACTCCCTTACCAAGGCCATTGCGCTTTGGTGACGGTGTCACCCGCAGCAGGCTCTGGTCAAATCAGGGCACGTTTTGCCAGCTGGGAGCTTCAGAATCAGTGGAAGCAAGCCGCTCCTTGTCATATGGGCTCCATTGGCGTTGTTTTTCTGTCGAGGACCTTGACGCTGGCTGTCATGAACCGGTCTTCCTTTTGCCCTTAAGCTTACTCATGGCTAATGTCGTCTTCTCGCCGACCCTCGTGTCGACGACTACGCCGTGTCCTCGGGTACGGACGAAAGCCTTCCTTATCCACGACCAACCGCCAAAGAGCGGGGTCCTCCCGACCGAGCCGTACGTTCTCTTTCAAATTACTAAGTCGTCGTCCATGGACTTGGAGTAAAATGATGCCATCAACCTAGGTAGAGATGTTCGTCTTCCCCCGCATCACGCGGCCGGCAGTGCGATCTCCTACTCATAGGCTACTACCCCGCATAAGTACTTGGGTATTTATATCAATTAGTCCAGGTATCTCACATCGAGATAGAAACATAGTCAGCCCAGCTACTATCACTTTCCGCGGAAAGCCAACGAGTCACGATCAATTTTTGACCCTTCCCCCTGTTCCTTGTCCTTGTCCTTGTCCCCAAAGAACCGAGAGCGAGAACGAGAGGAGAGATGATTTACGAACTCCGTATCTATACCACCATCCCGGGCCGGTTGCCGAATCTGCTTGCTCGATTCGAGAACCATACGCTCAGGATCTGGGAGAAACATGGGATCAGGCAATTGGGATTCTGGTAAGTATGTTCGTTTGTATAGATAGCTTATCCAGGAAGACTTGGCCTACTTTCGCATCCACGAAAGGAGCCCCTCAGGAAGGACGGGGGAGTTTTGCACACAATTGAACAACATCACCTGGAGAGTTGTTTATTCTGGGGACTAAAGACACTCTGAAAACACACTACTTTATTCCGCGTTTCTGCTCGTGGAACCAAGAACCTAGGCTAAGAATTTTGTCTGTGCTCCGCTTTGATTTTTCCAGGACGACGCTCGTGGGCCCCGACGCCAACGACCTGACCTATATGCTGGCATGGGAATCCCTAGCTGAGCGCGAGCAGAAGTGGAACGCCTTCTTTAGCGACCCCGAGTGGATCCAAGCCAGGGCCGACAGCGAGAAGGACGGGGCCATCAACGCCAAGGTGGCGAGCAGCTTTCTGGTCCCGACGAAGTTCTCGGCAATCCAGTGATCATATTCGAATGATTAGCCAGAGGCAAGACGGTCGGCCGGGGCAAGGAGGAAGAGGGGAGGAATAGGATAGCTTCGTTCTTCGGCGTTGCCGTCCTCTCACCATCCGAGTTCATGGTAGCTCAGAACCACGGGCCTTCAAATCTATACACACGTCGTCTTTTTGTGGTCTCGTCACATCGCCACATCGTCAAATCTGACACGCCTACCATACATCACGTCAACGATCCCGTAAATATACCATTTTCCTTGTCTTGCCCTCTAATGATCCGCCCCTCTCTTGGATCCGGCTCGATAAGGAGGTGGCGAGGAACACTAGGGTCTTTGTTGGAATTCTAGCCTATGATCCAAAAAGATATGCTAAAAAAAAACTGGAAACAACGACAGGAAGACAGCATATAATCTGGTTCCCGGAAAGACGGCAGAGGTGTGCTGGGTTTCCTAACTGTTGCCTATCTCCTCTCCAATCCCCTGTGAACAAAAGCAGGGTCTGAATAGAGTATTTCATTGAGGTCCTGCCCGGCGCCTCCCCCTTCTTCCCCCTTTTCTCCCCCTCCAGCCTTATTCACTAATTTGCCCGCCATAAAAGGAGCACATACTGTAACAGAGCTCTTCAGGGTTCGGCATGCACGTGAAACAACGCACAGGGGCCTGTCAGGCAGGTCGGTGATCGAGAACGCCTTTCTGGTCGGAGCTTGCAAAGCAACACCATCACAAACACCATCCAAAAGAGGCGGCGGCTAGGGTAATGAGTGCCTAGCACAGTAGAGGCGTGAAGGAGCTGAAAAGAAAACAGAGAATGCTTCGGAACAGATAGACTGTATCAAAACCATGCAATACTCGCAACAAACTGTAAAGAATGGCACACGGCCAGCACTGTAGCCTGTTCAGCACCAGCGCAATTGCTCTTCAATATCCCTTCTTCTGTCTCCTGTTGCTCTCCTTATCCTCGTTGTTCCATGGCCACCTAGCCCTTTTTACCTTTAGCGCTCACAGTCACAGCCAAATGTTAGCTTTTTTTTTTGCTTTGATATGTGACCAACCAAATCGTTCCCACGCTAACCTAGCACAGCCACTTTGCCTTTGTTACAATACGTACGATCATGACGGGCTCTTTCCTCATATTTTCTGTGATTCTCCATCACAGCTCGTCGTGGCGCACAGTCATCTTTTCCACGGCGTCTTTCACGTCCCTGGGCCAGTACGTTTGTATGCCTCCACCACCCCACTTTATCGAGGGAAGGTCTTTTCTTTTCTCCCAGATCGCAGAGGACGGAAGTTGGTCTCTCAATCGCTCACTAACTGCATCCACCTCGTCCATGATTCTCATCAGGTTGCCTCCCATGACGCCGCGCATCTCTTCTGACGTCCAGCCCCTAGAGAGAAGCTCTGCGACCTGCCCCTAGGTCAGCGGAGGCGCGAGGGGGGGGGCAATATGATGAATGGAGAAACTTACTATATTTGGGTATTTGCTGGCGTCTTCCAGACCGTCTACCGAGATGTACATCCCGTCAAAGTCGGAGGCTATGCCAACACGATTCTTACCTACAATGCCTGCAATATGCTCGATGTGGTCGGCGACGCGGGAGACGTTGGCGCCAGGATTCGGGCCGATAAAGGGTGGGAAGAATATCGATTGGATCACGCCGTCTTTCTTTCCCGGACCGTCGCCAATGAGTCGGAGTATGTCATCGGGGACATTTCGTGGATGATCCCATAGGGCACGAGCGCCTGCGTGAGTCCAGACTACCGGTGCCTCGGAAAGCGCAATAGCCTGTCTCATGGTCGCATCCGATGTGTGCGAAAGGTCCACCAAAATGCCAACACGGTTCAGTTCTCTAACGAGCTCCTTTCCAAGCTGTGTTAAAGCGTTGCCCTCGTGGACCGGGTCTATGGGGCCTCCAGGGCCGGCGGACGAAGCGAACGCGCTGTGGCAGGTGTGCGTCAGTGTCAGATAGCGGACTCCAAGTTGTGCGAACAGACGAAGAGCGCCCAGTGAGTTGCCCAGCAAATGTGTGCCTTCCATGCCAATGAGCGACGCGATCTTGCCGGCTTTGAACGCGCTCCAGACTTCGGTGGACGATCTGGCATACTGGAGGTGCTCGGGGTGCCGCGCAATCATGTTCTGTATGATATCGAGCATCTCCATCGAGTCTCGTAGGTGGTTCGTCGGCGTGTTGAAGTCGGATCCAGGATCTTCCCCAGTCACGTCGTAACAGGGTGCCCAAACGGTCCAGAAAGCTCCTCCCAAACGGCCCTGTCTCATTCTCGGAATATCGACATGGCCAGGAAACGAGCTGTTCAGCTGCGGGATGGCGTCTAGTGGCCGTCGGTCTGGATTTGGGCAGTCAGAAACTCTTGCAAGAAACAGACATCGACAGGCAATTACTCAAGCTTCTGATGATCTGTGGCAGATCAATGTGCGTGTCTAGAAGAGGACTTTCTTCCATCAGCTCGATGGCTTGGTCGAGGAAACTGCTGCTGCCGCTACATCCTCCAAAGGAAGTCAGGAGTTGGATGACCAACAGAGGAGCGAGATGCATCTTAGCTGTTGTGTATTTGCAACAAAGAGGAAAAGGTCGAGATAGCCACCGACAGTTCGATACTCAAGGTACGAGCAGGACATTAAAAACACCGGCTCTGCTTCAATATAACCTGCCAGATATCGGTCACATTTCCGTCGACCTTCTCTTCGGCTCCTTTCCCGCTTGGGGTGTGCTATTGGTAATTGGCGGACCATCACGGAGTAGGCCGTGGCACATAGACGGCGTGACCAATCGTCCTCGGCGTTCAAGCGGGCGGGACGCGGGGCTCATTGTGATGATCCTCTTAACTATTACGTGCCTAGGTAGTGGGAAATTCCTATGACTCAGTCCTGAGAATCTTAGGCGACTGTGCTGTTGAAGTTCTGTGAAATCTCTATGCAGCCGATATATGGCTGGGGAATTTCTATCTTCTATATTATCAGGTGATTGAGGTTTTGTGTTTATAACTTCTCTTTTGTGGGCGCGTGATGATTCATCTTTTTTTTTTGAGGATCGTCAAGCCAGATTCGTACCGTTCAAGTATAACAGTCAAGCAGGCACTCAATCCTGGGTTGCTTCGAGCTCGGCCTTATTTAGTATTCTGGCTAGTACCTTTTATCGCTCACACTTCTGACCTTCGAAGAGCTCCAACTGATGTCGCTTACGAACCTCGTTCAAATCGTAAATGTCCCGCCAACTCTCCAGTCCGGTTGATCACGTCGACTTGTTACCAGCCGGCGGGTACTACATCTCAACGACTATATAGGTTAGCTATGCTTAGCTTCATCGAGTCAGGAACCTAACCAAGCGTGTCATGAATGCCTTGTTCGTGCTGTTCTCGTTGGCGCTTACGTCTGGCGGCCGTGTACTGTTGTCGAGAAGTCAGCGAGAATTTTCTCACACTACCACGGTGCGAATTCATACCTCGTGTAGATTCCGTGGTTCGTATTTGGCTGGATTGGCCTCCGAGGTACAGGCTGGCATGACCTTGAATTCCACATCAGTGTCGGCCCACTCGAAAAGACCACGCACTTTTCCCTTACCGGAACCGAAGCATCCATGTTGAAACTGAAGAAGAATGGAATGGAGTAGCGTTCCACTCCCGAGGTGTTGCGAACGCGGTGGATAGTAGATACGAATTTGTCGTTTGAGATTCTTTGTAAGAAGTCTCCCACGTTGACAACAAAGGTCCCCCGAATTGGCTTGGCTGGGATATAGATCCCGTTTTTGTTAAGGATCTCCAGGCCACCCACCATGTCCTGGTTCAGGATGGTAAAAGCTGTTGGATGTTAACCCCTGCAGTATCATATACTAGGGAGACACTGATAGGAGAATATCTCGTACTTTCAAAATCGCTATGCGCACCAAGGCCGTCTAGGTCTTGTGACCCAGGAACTCTGGGCGGATAGTATTGAAGAATGATTGAGACGAAAGGTGCCGTGACAATAGGATCAAAATAGTTCTCGTCGGCCCCAAGTCCCAGGGCAAATGATCGGAGTAGCACACGAGCAAGTCTCAGGAGTGAAGCTTGATATTTCAAGAGTGTGGTCTTGAACTCTGGGAATTGAGCTGGCCATTGATTGTGTATCCCAATGCATTGCTCGCGTTGCTCTGGGGTAAGGGAAGGCGGCTGCGGATCGTTGTCAGGCTCGTAGCTGTAGAGAAATGATCCCTTCTTCACTATCAAGGGAAGATCAGTGTTTCATCGTACGTCTAACTAGGGTGAAACTAATCTCACCTGCCTCCCCGTCCGGGGTTTTGGTGTAATGAATCTCGTATCCTCGCAATGTCGGGGACTTGTAAACGTCCTGCTCCTTCTTCACAGCAAGGGGCTGGGCGTGATATTTGCGGGAAAGTTCAAACACCTTGTCAATCAACTCTTGTGGTATCCGGTGGTTTTTGATGTACATGAAGCCAACAGTCTTGCACACATTTGCAATCTCCTCGGCTGCAAGTAGACGCTCCTCGTACTTATCACTGAAGATACCGCCAATATCGACTAGTGGGATTTCGTCGAATGTTTCGACGGCTTCCTCACCACGAAGAATCTTTCGCCTGTTGTTCAGCGTCCCGTCGCGAAAGAAGTATTCATATTGCGGCTCCAGCTGAGAGCTTGTCGTTACGGTGGTCGACATTGGTGCCGCTATTTCTGATTTAGGATTGCGAGTATCTTATCGTTGCTGAATATTATTTGGTGTTGCTTGATTTTTCCTCGTACAAACACTGAGATATATGTAGAGGCGATAAAGGGTATATCCGACTGACAACGGACATTCGCGGTTCGGGAGACGGGGCTGGCAAAGAGGGAAATAGAGAATAACGACAAGAGTTCCTAGTGACCCACCTAGTGATGGTATTCTCGGGGTTTTTAGAACGAGTTGCACCCTCGACTTAACCAGAACAACTGAGAACCCTGGAACTCGTGTATCACAACAAGCGACACGTCCGACAGCCCTCCAGATCCCTAAAGCTTCACTTAGTTAGCCCCGTGTTGGAGCCAGCGGCCACATCCGCCCACGAGATAACGAGCCGAGCTGCGGAGATGATGGGCATCTCCCTGATAGAACGAACAAGGTCCGCAATCATCCACGTTTTCCCGCTGGAACGTCATTCATTAGCGCACCATCCTCGCGGTACAATGGTCTTGATCTCTGCCCGGACAGTGTGCTTGTTTGGACTGCAACTCATTCGGCAGTACGGTTTTGTGCGAGAGCAGCAGTGCTTAGGTCGAGTTTAGGTGGTGGTGAGGGAGACGGACCCAGGGAAATGGAGTGCGCTTCGCTCAATGTTAACAAACTTCTTGAACGCCAGCATGGAGTCGATAACAGCGGACTGGAATCGTTGTCTTTTGGCACCTACGTGAGAGACGAGGGCCATAATAGCAAAAACTTTCTGCTCGCAAAAACAGCGAACTTGCTCTCAGCCTGATAATTAACTGCTTTTTCTCGTGTGGAGCCTGGCTGTCACCACGTCACTGCACTCCACTGTACGTCTTCAACGATCTACAGTATATAGCCAAACGATATTCCCAGATCACAATTCCACTCTGCCTTCTATTACCAGCAGCACCCTATTGTCGCCAACGGCCCAGAACGCCGCTGGACATGTGTGGTCGAGTTGCCTAGCTTTGCAACGGATCACTAGAGTTAGCTGACAGTGTAGCTAGGAGGGGTTGCTCCATATGGAACAACCCCTGTCTCTTGGGCTGCGCCCGGTTACAGTGCACAGGTTTCATTTTTTTCTCCCCCCTTTCAAAATTGAAGCCGCCCCTGCGGTCCCTCCACAGAGTCCTTGATTCTTTTCTGCAGGGCAGATCAGATATCAAACAACCATTGTTACCTGCCCTGAAAAATATCCAAGCTGGGGGACGTCTTGACGGATTTCCACCCATCCAATTCTCCCATGAATGTTTGTCATTCCCCGTGCCCGCTTCTTTCAGCCACTGTCTCCGCTTATTTTGATGCACTTTTTGAATGCATCAAATTTTGTGGAGCCCAGCGTCTCAATCAAAGACTCGCTGGGGCTGCAGCGCATGCTAGGTGCATGGCCAGGCTGGCAAGAATTTGCCAATGAAAATGATCTCGAAACTCCACCGACAGTCGCAACCTGGGGCTGGGCGAATTGTCTTCAACTTGACTGAACTGCCTACATAAGTATGCCCCTCTTGACCGCCGGGACGTGGAATCATCTGCGAATTTGCACCATGGCACAAGGATTCCGTCTTCGACAAGGTCAACAACCCCTGACAATCCGCGTCGCCCGTCGAATCAGATCCGTCTTGGTACTCCAAGTCAGACCTTTTGGGGAACACTAAAAGTGTGCAGGATTTTTTTAGTATACCCAATATGCCGTAGCCTCCCGGGCCAAACGCCATCCAGCGACGTTGTTGGCTGATCAGGATGCGGCGACGTGCCCTCCGCAGGTGCTCGCTCACAGTGGCAGTGGGCTAATCGACCCACCTTTGGAACGCGAATCCAATAGTGGAGAATGAGAGACTTGAGAGCATTGTACCTATGGTGTATACAGAGAACTGATGCTATGCAATACTGTTCTGTGGGAATTTGATTGAAAATTCTTTGTAGGGCTATATTTACAATACCTTTGCATGTGTGCTCTGTCCATTCCTTCCCATTTCGCTAGACTACACGTGAACTTCTACTCTAGTCTCGCCGACAGAATTGTACATACTCCGTAGTAATTTTTTCTGTCTAGTCACACGCCCACATCTACCATGGTGTTTGTAGGAAGCAGTTGCAATATTCACCATTGAGAAATTTCATTCTATCACTTTCACATCGTTTGGGGCGCATGTATTCTTTTTACCGCTAGAGCTGTTTGTTCTTGCATCTGGTCACCCCTACCGTCAAGCTGTGAACGGGTTCGAGTCGAAGGAAAGTGCATTGCTCAATAGAAAAGTGACGAAAAATGCGCCCTAAAGCTGCGAAATCGATTGATCGGTGTGCCAGTGCGCAGGACGGTCAGGGATCGTTTATATCATGGTCCTGCTCGTGGTCTGAAATGGGCTCAGCCTGTTGTTCTCCTACCTCTTCATCTTAAGGTATACATTGTCTTGCGTCCGATAGAACGCCATTCCATAGATACCGGATCAATCTCTTCTTTCAATAGAGCGGTGGAGAGCGGTGTTCGATCCCAAAATTGAATGCATCCCCTTGAGTTCATCAATTTTCAATTTCAATACACCGCGACCGACAAAGTTGAGGCCGGTAGCCTAATAGCTTCGATTCACTGTTGAGAAACACTGATGTTGAGTCATTTAGAATGAAAAAGTGTCATCCAAACAAGGACTATAGTCAAGCGCGCGAACTGCCTGATGCCCAAGGTAAGCATGGCCATCGGAATTGTGACGTTGGAGGAGAGATGGCGAGCTATTAGAATGAGGCTGACCAAATCCAAGCCACTGGACAAAGCCATGAAATCGTTCTTCCTAGGCGAGAAAGGCAAAAGGGTCAAAGTACCGCGGAGAGACCGCGATGTACACACTGTATATTGTCACGGAAAGGCTGCGACAGTGTCAAACCCGTGTGTGGCAGGTGTCAGAGACGTCCAGAGCGTTGCAACTATCCTAAGGGCATACCCTCAAGGAGTGGTTTAGTGGATCTTGGGATGTCGAAGAGATCTGAACAAAATTTGCCGCAGGGCATATCTGATGAGAAGACAAAAGATGCTGGCATATCCGCCGACGGGCCGCCAGGGAATAACATGACCAGAGCACACTTGACGACTCAGGATCGTGAGGTTCAAGGAGGACCCGTCCCAGCATACCAAGTATGGGGGCAAGACGGACGACAACCCACGATGACTGTGATCTTGACGCAGCAATTTTCAGTCGATGAACAGGTCCCGGAAAATCTGCCGCCCGAAATGCAGCGTCTTGAACAGACCCGAATGAGAGTCCTCGAGACCACCAGAGCGTACCTGGGCACCAACTTCCAGTTACGAGTTAATACGCAAGAGCGACGAGGCGACGTCAGCGAATCGCAGGTGTGTCAATCCCAGGGCCGAACCGGCGTAGAAGGTAGTAGCACGCAAGTTCCGCAAAAGTCCGACCCCAAGTCAAGGACGAGGGAGAACGAGGCTGGGACCAACGACGACGGTGTCCTCCGAGATTGGCTTGCCCCAGAGGCTCTTTGATGCAAAGACCGGCAATGGTCGAGCTGCACTTTCGATGCGACTTGGCCTGGTATCGATACAGGGTGGAAGTGCGCTGAAAAACACGATAAAGCCAAAAAGAGAATGTGTGTCATTGGGACTCGGGAGTGATGCAATTGTTGATGGAAGGGGCAATCAGCTTGAGATTCCAGGTCGCGTTAGTGAACTCAAGCAGACCCAAGCGGACCCGTCTGGGTGAGGAGGGCCTGGCCACGAACCAATATCATTATCCATCAGAAGTTGCCCCGATTTCTGACCTCACCAGATTCCGCCTCCCTTTTTATAGTTGACCATATGCCGTTTCAATTGGCCTTGTGATTAAATCATCCTCAAAGTATGTCAATACGATCCTGTTCTCGATATTCCAGCTAGTTAGAAGCAGCAGGAAATTTGCTGATGATGTCTTCCTCCGTGAGAATAGTATCTCCTCCAGTAACCAAGTCCTTCGTAGGAATGAGTCGCATCAGAACACTCTTGGCCCCTGTGCTTTGAACTGCAAAGAAGCTGTTGACGTTGCTCCTGGTTGAATTCCAGCAGCGATCCAAGAGCCGTCGAATTCATTTGAGGTTGCCACGTCCGGGTCCGGATAATACCAGGCCGCAATGGCGATGATGAGGTACACAATCTATACGTCCGAATCAGCACTCAGAGTCCACCAAAAGCCCAAGGAGGGCCTCGACGGGGCCCGAACTCACCACCAACAACGTCCCCTCAAGGTAGTTGCTTTCTTTATCCCTCAGGAAGTTCCCAACCACTAGAATCGACAATACGAGTAGAGCAATCATGAAGATCTCGAAATTCAAGTCCATTGGTTTCCCAAGGGCCCAGCCCACGATGACAACAAGCGGACCATTGAACAGTGCTGTTTGAATGCTCGGGCCCAGGCAGTGGTACAAGGCAAAATTCATCTGCCCGTCCCAAGCTTCGTCAACTGCGGTCAGGTGCTCGGCCGCTTTTTCAACCAACGGAAGCAGTATAAGGCCGAGAAATTGATCAGGCACACCGGAATGCACGATAGTTTCGATCTGCTCGACAAGGAAGATGGCAAGGAGGGTAATGAACGTCAAAGAGGCGACTATTGCAACGACGCATTCAGAAAATGTCAACTTCTCCTTTGCCATGTCGTGCGCCCGATCTGCATCATTAATCTCATCTGCCTCGAGTATCTCGTCGAAAATGCTATGCTGACTGCGTGCATTGAAGACGATGTAGACGGCGAAGGCGATCATGAGGATAATGCTGGTCGCTTGGCTCATTTTCAGCACATCGTATTGCAATTTGTGTTCTGTGAAGCCACTCTGTGGGCGTGTCTCGCCTTTTAGCGCAGAATAGAACGCGCTTGGAATGAGGAGACCAAATCCAGCGACGAGAAGGAGACCAGAACCAACTTCAGAGACAACGGCATGGAAGGTTTGTGTCTGTCGACGAATGCCGCCGAAAAAGAAGCAGAGACCCAGACAAAGCAGAAGATTTGTAAGGATGGAGCCAAGGATAGCGGCCTGGATAACTGGGATCAAATTTCCTTCTTCTGCGGAGCTGTCATCGCCACCTTTTTCGGTGTTCTTGTGTTTTGCGATTAGAATCATGAACAGGACAATCTCCACGATACTGCCCAGGGCTGTCTCAATCAGGATTCCCGCTACTTTTGGCATCTTTCGCGCGAGCTCTTGGCCGGCGAAGCCTAAGAGGTTCGCTGCGGGGACCATGCCAATGTAGCTTGTTGCGAAGACCCATTTGTTCAATGTAGCCGAGTGATGGCCGGGAAGGTAGTGGAGGATTATGGCAACAGGAACAAAGGGCCATAGGATGTTGACCGCCATGGAGACCTGGGATGAGGAGCGCCATAAGATGCTCATGAAAGACCAAAAGTGGATACCGCTGCGGCCAGATTCTCCTTCGTGGTGAATTGTCAAAAGGCCACCAGGGCCACTGTGGTGAGAGTCATGGCTGCTGGTGTGAGGTTTTGAAGGCGAGTCTGTGGAGGGGAGGACTTGATGAATCAAGTCTGAGGGACCAGAAGCTTCGGAGCTCATTGCGGTCGATACCCAGGCACGACTTGAGGCCAATATATAGAAAGCCGCGAAGAGCTGAGTGTTCGGTTAACCTGAGTGGGAGGGAAATGGATCATTGACTGGCTATTCCTGTAGATGAAATTTGTCTTCCCCGAAATTGAGGTGCTTTAAATCCACGAGGTCAAGATGCAATCGAGGAAGCAGTAGAAAAGAAGGAAATTCAACTATTTGGCTTGGAGGAGGCTGGAAGCGGGGTTTGTGTCTTGGTTGTGCTCTTGGCCGGTCTTGGAACGTCAACATACCTCGTACTTTGTTGGCAGAGTGTGCAACCAACACCCAAAGGCGCAATTCAATGAGCAATGCTTCGCAGTCTACTGGTTAAGAGCTTGGCGATCAAAGAGCATAGAGGCCCCTAGACACCCGCAATACCCAGTTATCTGGCGAGCAGGCGATTCAACGAGCTGTTCAGCAGTCCAACAGCATGCTACATCGCCTGTGGCGTGGGTGTGAGTTTACAAGCTTTCCCAGCCACCGATAATGGATGACTACCCACTTCTTGTCCGCTCACCAAAACTGCTCTTAGCAATGCCGTGAAAAGCGCTGCGAATATTGTCGTTACCTCATGCTTGAATATCTCGAGTGTCATCGCATGCATTGCCATGTTGCTAGTCCACTCCAATGTGGCTACCAAAACTGCTGTCAAGTACTCATCTGTGAATCCTATAACAGTCAGGGACAAACCGCGTACGTCACTTTGCGGAATCATTTCGACAAGGCACTTCCTGGCTGAGGCGAGCGCGTTCTGTTGTCAATATCGGTGGACAAAAACGAATACTGTTCTTGAATGTTCGGCCCAAGCTGAGCATCTGTCGTGCTTGCCCACTTTGAGCCAGCTGGCCAGGGGCCCCTTGGTACCCCGTGGCATTATGTACTTCAGCTGCCTATCTAGCTGTGGACAGAAGGTTTCTGAGATCTAGAGCCCCCTGCAAAGACAAGAAACATGTTAGAAATTAACTTTTCATCCTTCCCATCGCAGCCCCAGGTTGAATTAGGTTGAATATTTTTCCTTTGACTCTCACGTCCAAACAATATCGAGAAAATATAGAAGGCGATATGGCATAGTAAACACCCTGTGCGTCTATACAAAGCTTTAGAGTTGGGCTTCGCGTACACTTGGTTTGCAGTCGGCCTGAGGCCTGATGGAATTCATTTCCGCTTAGGACTAAGAGATTTCTGAAGATTCCGGGATCCCTGGTCAGAATCACAAAAATGTACACGGCGCAAAAATTTTGCCACCAACAAGATTCGAACTTGTGATCTTCGCATGTAATTCAGACGAGGTTGTAGTCTTTGGCGTTACAAGTGCGACGCGTTACCCCTGCGCCATAGCGGCTTGGCGAGTATTTTTTTGTCAATTTTGACAAAAAAATTATATGAATTAAAAGTATGAAATGGGTGGAGACTAGCGGCGCCAAGCGCGTTGACGTCTTGGTTCTCGCTCCAGATTTCGAGTACTGGAACAATGAGTGCCACAGCGACCGCTGTGACACCAGTCGCCAGTTACACTTGTCTAGGCAAAATTGAGAACCCATTGCTATAAAAAGACCTAAACGAGCCAAAGCTGGCGAACGATGGGATGGGGATACCGATTATGAATAATACCGCTCTCGGTACCGTGTATAGATAGAGAACCCGGAGGTGCCAAGGCAGTCGTAAGGCTGAGAGCGGGCGGAAGGGCTGAGGACCGGAGACCACCAGAAGATCACCTCATAGTAAGCCTTTTCCATATTGGTTTTTAAAACTACATCTTCTAACACGTGCACAATCAGAGAAGTGCCCAAACATATCACCCAAGCTCCTGATCATCAAAGCCCACCGTGATCCTCTTCCCGGACGATCCGATACTCCCGAACTTTATGCCCCCCAATTTTCCTGTACTGTCCAAGCCGCTGTCTGGACTCGATAAAGTCTCAAAACGCCGACGAACACCCGTCGCCGTCTGAATCTCGCCGCTGCACAACGCCAACACAGAGTGTAAACGCTTGATGTATACGAAGCCCACAGGGAAACAACAAAGTGGAACCCTTTTGACCGTGGCGACGTTCGGCCCCAGCGGGCCTCGACAACTGGTTCCGTCTGTGAATGTGGGCTCGGTTGGAGGCTAGTATACGTTGTGCCTACTTCAAATTCTGAGAAAAGTGGGAGGATCATCTCCAACTCTTCCTCAGGTCTAGCAAGGTTGTACTTCATCCATAGATAAAGAAAGTTTGATGCTTTCAAGGCTTCAAGTTGTATGGGCTAGAAAGGATGTTAGAATTGGGATCTACTCTGGCCTAAAGGGACTACGAGTGCTTACATTGAGTTGAAAGTCATCTGTTCTCGGGAGCTCATGCCCGTTTGGGCTCTCTCGTTGATCAAGATCGTCTTGTCAACCTCATCCCGCATACGAGCAGTGTGGGACTTCGGTCCATAGGTGTCAAGATGCTGGTAGTAGAGCCACATGATGATACAGCTATTCAGGTCAGAATCTCCCTCTTATTGATGGCCTCCAATACTCACCTAGCCACAGTTGCACACATGCCAATCCACAGGAACACGGTAGCGGCAATGGCTCTACCGTTGTGCCGATAGATCAACGGAGGATTGATTTTCTCTTGAGCAATCTCTTCTGCGTCCTGTGTGTCGGCCGAGATCCAAGACTTGCCGGTTGCCACAATGACTGTGAAGGCGAGTGCATCGCCAATGGTACACAACGTCACAAAGACTGCACTGAGTCTCCATGACCATCGAATGTTCTTGGGCTCGTAGCGTTCAGGGAAGAAGAGATCGAAGAAGAACCCGGCCCCGAAGATGGTAGCAACCGCCACACCACAGAAAATATTGTATGAAGCAATACCGACGAAGTCGTCGTTGTGTACAGCTGCGGAAGAGTGTAAACTCTCAATCCTTGACTGTTGCTTGACATAGTCTGTCATTCCGGAAAGTCAGAAATGTTCTCAGCCGCAGTGGGGGACTCGAGATGCTCACCTGTCAAGGCAGCGGTGCCTATTGATTCCGATACAACCATGCATATCATGGCAACTTGGTAGATCACGAATTTGGTCCGTCGCATGTGGTAGTCTTTCTTCTTCCACATATAGTCGCTCCCGAACTTCCTCCAATGGATATCCTTCAAATCGAGACCCCATATGACTGGTGCCATGGCTGCTCAAGTGTGTCGATGACAGGTGCTTGGAATACCGTGTTCCAGTATTTGACGATCGAGTGTCCTTTTCGTTTCCAGCCTCGATGTTCTCGATCTCGGAAATTGTGTCAAGGCGGATTTTCTGTGCTGGATCAAAGGTATTTAAGAGGACAAGACCTTATAGAGACGGAAATCTGATAAGAAGAAGCGTGGGAGGGGAGGCCGGACGGGTGATTAAAGCGCCTCATGGCTGGTTACCAATCCACATAAGCGACAGTCATAGGGAAGATCAGCCAGACCGGAACAGCGCTTTCACCAACCCCCCTCTCGCCCCATCGAATCGTACGAAAGGATGGCAACGAGCCATATTGTTTTAGTACTCGGTACTCGTTCAGGCAAAGCAGCTTCGTCTTTCCGAAGAGTCCTTGAGGCCGAAATGTCCTAGAGAAGGGTCCGGGTGATCCGCCTACAGCGACAAGGGTGGGAGCTCCCTCGCGAACAAGAATGAAGCATTCGGTTTAGGTCAGCCTGATGCTTGCATGTCAGATGGTCCAGTTTGGTCCGTTGGTCCAGAGAAGTTATGCATTTGCCATCTTCCATAATTGGGGAGGGGCACTTTGCCCCGGCAAGAGTCAAGCAGCCAGTGAGCGCGTCATACCTAGCGGGGAGGCGGCTGGAGGTGGCTGGTCCACACTTACGAGAGCTGAGATGTTTTGGCACCGGTCCACGCAGACACAATGACGCACGAGGCATAAGGGCGCGGATTGTTCGGCTCACCAAGCTTTTGGTCATGGGGCGGAATGGGCGTCAAAGGGGCTCCACGGCGGCCAGCGCCTCACCCTATCCCTATTCTAGGGGCGATCACATACTCTTTCTTCCGTCGCACTGGTCACCATCCTTCTCTGATCCGGCGTTAACAAGTTAGTTCCCTTGTTACGGGTTACACAGTTCATAACCCATTCTCCATTGGAATGCATGAGACAGTCCTCTCCAGTTATCTCCCGCGGGGATTGAGGTCCCTTGGATCTACTCTATGTGCCCACGACGTTTGACTCACCGAGGAAGCTCGATAATCGAAACTCAAACATTGTTCATTCATGGATTGTTGCCCTGAACAAAAAGGAAAGGCCAGGTAGAAGAAGCCCCGCCATCCGTGAGCCTGTCCTTCCGGCCTAATTCGTTGAATAACAAGTACTTGTAGATGCCTCCCGATGGGCATGTCCTCTCTCTCAGATGACCAACCTCGGTGGCCGATCTGATCAGCCATTCAAAGACAATTTCCCTGATCTCTTCGAGTGTTTTTGATGGCTCGTGATATCTGTCCGCCCAGCCTATTCATTCCCCCCCCGGATCCTGGAAGGATTTGTGCAATCCGCGCATGTTTCAAGTTGCTTTCCTCTACTGCGACCAGCTTGATTCCTGCTCTGGGGTATTGAGAACTGGTGTCTTTACTCGTGTTTTGATATGTTCGCGGGGACTGTGAGGTACTTTTCCTGGCCCAAGTGGCAAGGTTCCGTAAGCTCATACGGCCCTCGAAGCACCCACGGAGTACACTCAAAATCCTCAGCCCAATCACAAAAAGCTCGCCACGGAGGGTGTCGAGTGAGCTGATGTTCTCTTATGACGGCTGTGTTTCAAGGCCTTATCTTGCTTATCAAAGATTCCAGCACTTCCAGCATAAAAGAGCTCATGCAGTTCACTCAAGAGCTTAAGCACCCCGCCACGGTGTGTGGCGCTTCTTCTTCTCCATATCTATTGCCAATGTCTCATGATGACTGAATGATATTACTGGGAAAGAATTGCCCTCCCACGTATTTTCTTGGGCAGGCCTTTTCGACTGTCCACATCAATGGTACATGTAGGTACCTTTCTCCTAACTCTCCGACTTTCTCCGAGTCCTCGTTCATGCCTGCACAACTGTTGTGAAGCTCGCCCTTAAGTCGTGTCAGTCTCTCTGCCTCTACACGCTCTAACTGCGACCATTGTGACCCCAAGCCCCGGATCCGTCGCAATGGCGTGTCCAAATGGTGGGGAGACCTAGCAATCCACATGCGGAGGAAGTAGGCTATGGCAGAAGAGGCTGCATCGAAGAAAAGCTAGCCAGACAACAGTCGCCGGCCCACACTGAAGATGCGATTCTCCGAAGGTGGGTGGACTGCGGATTTTCGAGTCCTCCACCGCCGAATGTTTCTTCGATGGCCAAAACGTACCAATCTAAGACCGAGAGGTCTCAGAAGGCATCGGCGTCGTCATCGTGTTGTCAAGAATATTCCTGTGATGAAGAACTTCAAGGCCGCTCACACACAATCATTCGGCACACTTAGACCTGTTAAAATCGCTAGCCCCATCTGTGAGACAAGATGCTCGTGGCATTGCCCTATTTTGTTGGATTACATGCTCTCCCCACCGCAGACAACTTCATGCACTTGGTTGGATATTGCCCACGTGTGTCTCTACTAGCCCATGGAGAGTGTGCCGACGTGTATGCCGCACTTGCCGTTCGCAATGCCGGCGTCTCTGGTCATATCTATTCTAGCATATAATGAAGTAGCGTGAACGGAGAGAAGGCGAGGCCGGTGGCGAAGGCCACGTTGAATGTTACGCATCGCCCGAGTGGGATGGAATCGTTGATAGAAGGATGAGCTTCAAGCTCTGGTGGAAGGGCCCTGATTTGTTCCGTTTGGTGGATTTTCTTTAGCGGAACGAGAGATCTTTGACGTCCATGACAACTGTTCTCAGTCGTGGTTCTTAGTAGCAGTATTGCAAAGACAATGATCCCTCTGCCATGGTGTAGTCATTGCTACAAACAATCCAGTATAACCCAGCCGTATATCCGCATGTCTCTCTGGCATTTGAAACAGGACATCAACACGATTTGCCGCCTAATTAATCTGTTGGGTGAAAGAGTCCGTCGATATGAAGCAGGGCTATGATCACGGTAGAGCGGAATTATGTCCTTCATCCTTGGCCGGATGTGTTGACGACGAGGAAAAACCGGCTGGGGCGTACAACTGAAAAGTACGGAGCAAGTATGCCTGCCTCGTTGGGTTCATACACTTCCTCGAAGGATGATATAATCAGGTTGAAGGTCGTGATGGTCTGTAACAAGAAACATGGTTTGTTGTGATAATGAACATGATTCGCCAGCAAGCTGGACGCATCAGCAAGGGATTAGAACAGATCCTGAATTCATCCCAGAGCGTGTAGAGCTTGATTTTCTTCAGCTGAACAAGACCCGACATTGCGAAATGCCAACTTCGTCCGGGCGAAGTTGTCGCCACAGCTCCGGAGACATAGAAACGTCGTTAATAGAAAGCTGACACCTCTGAGTAGATGCAGGCTGACTGGTGGTTCTGGTGTCTAGGGGTAGTTGGTCGTGAATCCCGCGCCGTTTCGGGGTCGTGATCTTATGTACAGTACTGTACTGGGTAGCCTGGCTCCTTTGATAAGACAACCACATTCGACCATGCACGCCAAGAGGTCTTTTAGCGCCTTGGCACTTGGTGCATTGCAAGTTGCACATATTGGCTCCGGAAAAGCTTCCTCTTGCGAACAGTCTCCATACGGAGTTAGTCGCCGCTTGGCGCTCCCCATGCCAAGCAAAATTTGGAGAAAAATTTGGATGTTAGGGTTGAATCTCGACTTTTGGATTAACAGGCCAACAGGCTTGGGAGAATAAGTGGCCGACACACACCTGATTATTGCATACAGCGCCGGTGCAGTCATGGGTACCAAGAAACGTAAGGGTATGTAGAATCGAGATTAGTTGAACCAGTGGCATTAGCTGACCTTGAGTAGAGTCGTCGGCTGCAACCGAACAGCCTCTGAAGAAAAGCAAGAAATCAAAGACCACCGACAAGAAGGATGCGTCCGAAACCGAGCTCAAGAATGCCGCTGCGATTGCTGAGCCCATCAAAGTCTTGAAAGTCACGTCCGATGACAAGCAAGAAACCCCCCCATCCGACAGTGTCGCTGCAAAGAAGTCAAAAAAATCCCGCAAACGAGCTTCCGACTTCATGAATGATGATGGGTCACTGGTGCCAGCAGACACTGCAGGTACAGCTGAGGGGGACAAACCTGCCGATAATATCGTCGAGCCAGTCAAGAAGTCAAAGAAGGAGAAGAAGGACAAGAAGGACAAGAACAGCATCAATGGCGAGACCCTCACTGCTGATGGCGTCAATGGCGTGATAGAGCATATCGGGGCGGAGAATCTCGAGACTGCAACCTCGCATAAACCCGTGTCCACTTCAATGCAGGCGGAGGCCGAACGGACCCTCGAGCATGAGCTTGAAGAGGAGTTTGGTGGCTTTGCCAGTGGGGACGACCAGGAGGCTGCTGCCGAGGTCGAGGCAGATGACAATGCCGCCGCTCTACTGGCTGGATTTGACAGTGACACCGAGGACAAGCAAGAAGACGAACGGTTCGACTTTGGAACAACGCCTCCTTTGCCCAAATCGAAGAAGACCCAAAAGAAGTTGGAGAAAGCCAAAGCAAAAGGCAATGACAATGGTCCCGGAACTGTCTATGTTGGCCGCATACCTCATGGATTCTACGAGAAGGAGATGAGGGCTTACTTTTCTCAATTTGGAGACATCACCCGACTGCGGCTGTCCCGAAACAAACGCACTGGCGCGTCGAAACACTTTGCCTTTATCGAATTCGCTTCCAACGAGGTCGCAAAGATCGTGGCGGAGACTATGGACAATTATCTGATGTTCGGTCACATTCTCAAGTGTAAATACGCCGAATCCGGTTCTTTACACCCTGATGTCTGGAAAGGCGCAAATAAGAAGTTCCGGAAGATCCCTCACGAGAAACTCGAACGGGAGCGTCTTGCCGCACCCAAGACGGAAGAGCAGTGGCAGAAAAAAATTGAGAAAGAGCAACGCAGACGGGACAAGAAGGCCAAGAAGATGAAAGAGATCGGGCTAGACATGCCGTCCTCAACTTTGACAACGCCTTCAACTGCCTTGAGCCAGAAGTTGGCCGCTGGGGAGGGACTGAAACAAATTGAGAATGAGCAGGATGCCCCTGCTCTGGCTATTCAGCCCGCAAGTGATCTGTCTGACGACAAAGTTGCCGTGGAAGAAGGCAAGAAGTCAAAGAAAGAAAAGAAAAAGAATAAAACCAAGAAAGGCAAGACAGACGAAGCTGGTATCGCCTTGAATCCCACGTTAGTGTCAGAGTCCACGGAGACGCCTGCTGAAGGTGAAGCCCACAGCACTGCTGCCGAAGGTGAGGGAGAGCCGCAAAGTGCGGAGGCAAAACCCACTATCAGTCCGACTGATACAGCAGATCAAAGTGCAACAACAACCTCAAACGACATGTTCAAGGCCGAGAGAAAGGCATTGAAGAAGGCAAAAAAGGCAGCCAAGAAGTCTAACGGTGTCGCTGAGTCTGGTGAGACCGTGCAAACGGCTGAAGAATCTGCTCGAGTTCCTGCGCCAGACGTAGCAGCAGATGCCAAAGCAGAGCTCGCAGCTGACTTCATCTCACTTGGTCAACTCGATGACAGCGAGGGCAATCCGAAGTCGGGTTCGAGCCCGGCTGATGGCAAGAAATTAAAACCTTGGAAGGTAAAGAAGCCCAAGAAGGAACGCAAGAATCTTGTCAAAGCTCGAGGGCCAAAATCTAAACTGGTCTCCACGAAGCCGAAGCCAGACCCCAACGCCACGGGTAAGATTCCGGGTCTTCCGCTTCTGGGCAAGGGCAAGTACGACAAAGCCACACGTTTGGCGCATAAGGAAATGAAGAAGAAGCTTCTTGCCGAACGTGCAGTCAGGGGCGGAAGAAGCCGTGGTGCAGCTGGAGCTCAGGATTAGGAGCCTCTAGAGCGCAACTCGTCGCAACCGGGTCTAATAATACCAGATCCGGGGGACAATGTTGTGCGTTGCCCTCGATGCCACTGGGAACTTGAAGAGGGAGAATGTCTACGCTGTGGCAAGTTCGTCGTAGTTCGATGCCGAGGATGATATTGATCACGGGTTCGACGGACCCATGCGCGAAAATGTGTTCAAGTATTACAATCAATAGCGGAATGTCCCTATGAACAGACGCGACAGACGAGGACAGGCACGGAATGCTCCAGACCCACAAACCAAACAAAAAGATCGTCAAACCATACAAGGTCAGGAAATGAGACTGAATACTCACTCATTCGAGCACGAAGGTCGAATGCCTCGTGTGACAGAGGCTAACGGGAAGCCACCACTGGAACAGGCACATCAAATGCCTCCTGCGAGATCGAGGCGTACTGTCAAGTCCGCGAAATGACAGCCATAACCTCCATCTCAGTATTCTCGAGGAACTAAAATTGTCTTTGATGATTGATCCTACTTCTCTAGCTCAAATCGATGGACGGTGTTGTTGGCGGTGGGACTTCATAATTGCAATGTATTTGGTGGATATCCGCCTCTGCCCAGGTACAATTGGTGTCAGGCCTAGGAGGCTACTCACGTCAGGAAGATGTTCACGGATGTTGACTCTAGCGACTGACCCCGTGGCTCTTTTGCGAGCTCCATCGCAGGGAAAATAAGCAAATGGTAATGGTTAGGATGGTGTTTACACTGATTGAATTCACTCTACGCTCTAGGTAGCGCGATGTCAACAGTCGCCTGGGGTACTGTTCCAAAAAATATCAGAGGCTTCCACGCTTGAATCACCGATGGTTTATTCTTCATCCTCATCTTCGTCGATATCCAGCACTTCCACCCCTTCTCTTACCATATCAACACCTCCTTCCTCCCTGCACAGCCCACGCCCTTCACATCCACCCAGCCCATCAAACACCGTCCCCAACATCTCGCAACACACCCACCGTACCGTTCTCGTGTGTAAACTCCCGGTATCTTCCCCTCCCGTCTTATCCTTGTTCTTGCCCGATCTTCCCACGTCGACAGTCGACGCCCCATCCGCAAGAGCCTGGAAAATGACAAACTGATCCTCTGCGAACTCATCGAGACAGCTCCCCCTCTCACACTCCCTGGTGAAGCTGCGCACCACGTGGCCCACTGCTTCCTCTACCATGCGGTGGCGTTCTGTTTCGTTTGTGACCTTCCGGCCTGGGCTGAGGTAGTCTCTCCCCAGAGCATAGCCCGCAGAGGTCTGTGCGACTAGCAGAATGTAGAGTCGGCGCTCGTCGCCCGAGTCCGCGGAGGAAGGGTGTAATTGGATGGGGATGGAGGGGGACGAGAACGGTGGTATCTTTCGCAGGGTGTTGACGAGCTTTGACTCGGCGAGCGAATGTGTCTTAGGGGAGCCAGCGAGGATTGTCATCGAGACGGATGTTATGGTGATCGGTCCGGGTGAAACTATGCGGAAGGGTGGGAGGGTGACGCCTTCACTCTCCTCGTCCTCCTCACCATCAGCTCTCCCTTTCTGCTTCTCTGGTCGGCGGTCGGCCTCCGATTTCCTCCTTGCGTTGTCGTCTTCCGGAGACTGTCTCGGATGGAACACGGAGATCTCGACCTCCCCTATTTCCAACGCACCCGTCGTCCACCCGCGCCCGAGGACTTGAATGTCGACTTTGGGCAGTCCGATGCGCTCGAACAAAGGGAGAAGCACCTGTTGCATGTATTCGCTCGACGGAGATTTCGGGACGTTCGTTCCGCCCCTTAGACGGATGCGGAAGGCCGGCGTCTCTGGCCTCTCCCTGCGACGGCGGAGCATCGAGAAGACAATATACGGGAAAATCGCCTGCCAGATGAGCCAGACGCTTCCGGGATTCTTCAGTTCGATCACTTCTGGCTCCCCACTTTCGTTTCCTTCCGTCTTGCTTCGTCTCGCATGTCGGTCCCCATATTTCTGTCGTGCAGGCTTGAATGTGAGGTCCTGACTACTCGCCTCTGCACCTTCAACCTCCGCACTGCACTCACGGGCCAACCACCTCAATGCCGCCAGGTGGCTCTCTTTTAGCCCACCGCCGGGTCTGTGCTTTGCAGCTGCAGCAGTCGCTGCCGTTCCATCAGTTGCCCTCCCGCTAGGGCTAGAGATTCCCCTCTTCCCACGTCCGCTCTTGCTCCCTCGACCGTTGTTGGTCTGCTTATAGAACGAATTCGCTCCTCGGCCGGCGCGAATATTGTAGATGCGAATAGGGGCCTCGCAGATGGCTGACAGTGAGAGAGCCACGCGGACAAGCTGGCCGCCACCTTCAAGGGTTGAGCCGTCGAGGGCGAGCATTTTGCAGTTCCCAAGGAGAAATTGCCAAGCCTGATTTAATGCTCCTCTGAGTGCTGGCACTGAGAAAATGGGGTTTAATAGTTAATTCATACGCATTGGTGTTTGTTGAAAGATCGAAAGCAGCAAGGCGTCCTTCGAAAAAAGTTGGCGCGTCTGTCACCATGCACTGCCCCCAACCCGGTGCTCAGCCTCATGGGTCTCATCCTGCCTTGCTAGAGTGAAACGAACCAAAGTGCCTGCGCATGCGTGAGGCTTACGGACAGTTATCGTGGATGTGCTGCTTTCCATTGGATCGGTTGCGAGTGCCTTGGTGTTCGCGATGATTGTTTACACTCGTCTCGGAGTCACAATGACTGTTCAGAAAGTTGGACTAGCCTAATAGGGCCTAAGCCGCCAAGTCTTGGCACTGCGTCAACCGGACACCCTCTTTTCAGTATTTCAACCCCTTCAAGCCCCTTGTCACTCCAAATAATAATAGATTTTCTCAAATGACCTCAAGTGGTTCGACACAGAAACCGACTGAGTCACTGACAGAACTATGCTGTTGTCGCCACGCCTGTCGCTTGTGCAAGCAGCGCATCGTGGGGCGGGAAAGGGTCGAGTATATGAGGGCAAGCTCAGGGGCTAGGAACTAACATGCTGTGTAAACGACCACATGAGAAAAGTGCTACCCAGTACAAGGTCTGAATATTCATTTCTCACATCAGGCGATAGTGAACAACTGGCTTGGATCGTCACTGCAAGCCGCCTGATCCAGCCTGCCCGCTGCATCTGCTACCAAGCACACCGCTCCAGCACCATTCTCCGGCTGGAGTCTCAAGCTGGTCTCCCCTACGGTAAAGGAGAAAAGCTGACTGTTGGTGACTTGGCCACTACCATCGGCTCTTCCCCCGCAACTGAACATGATCACCGTATCTCCAGCGGCCCTCCTAGGATCGAAATTCAGACATCCCTGTGTCAGGGTGCTAACTATCAGAGCGGAATTCGGCTGGTCATTGTGAATGCCCGCAGTGATGATGTCAAAGCTCTGGTTTGCGCCCCCGTCGCATGGCTGAAGCGTGATCGGTATCAGGTTCTCGCGGAAGTCGCCAGCCGTTGGGTCGATGAAGAGACAAAGACCAGAGGTAGACTTGAGCGAGACGGATGAAAAGGCGCGCGTAGCGGTGTTGTCACGAGGGTTTGCTTCTGCTGCAGCAGAGGGATTGAGGACACTGCCAGCACGAGAAACGGAGAGTATCGAAGCGGAGGCAGACGCGGTTGCTACCGTGCTCACAACGACAGGAGGTGGCGATGTGGTTGGGAATGGCGTCACCGAGGTTGAACTGGTAATCACAGAGGTGGTTAAGGCGGATACGGTCGAAGCTGGCACCGACTGAGTCACAACGGTAGGAGATGCAGCACCCACATCAGTGGTAACGACAGTACTCGGATCGCCGAATGTGAAGGACTGATTAGCATCAGCCGCATTGCAGGCAGCTATGTCGATCAGGGCTCCATTGACGGTCAGACAGTCTCCAGGTGCATTTTCGGGAGTCAAGGTAAGAGGGCCGGCACTGCCAGTGAAAGGGAAAAGCTGCGAGTTCGTCACAGTTCCACCTAATACAATGTGTCATTAGTGTCAGGCTCTCCCTGGCTTTGGGTTGCGAGACTTACTCCCATCGGCACGTCCACCGCAGGAAAACAGAATTACCTGGTTTCCAGCGGCGCGACGAGGATCGAAATTGAAGCAAGCTTGCGTCTGTGAGGCTCGGCAGTTAGACCAAGTTCCCCTCCATCTTCAGGCATGACGTTGACTTGCCAATGTGCTGACAATCAGCATGGCCCCTGGCTGATCGTTGTGCTTCTCAGTGGTGATGATATCCCATTGTTGCTCAATGCTACCGTCGCAAGAACCGACTTGTATCGGGGTCAAATTGGCACGAAAATCTCCAGACAACTCGTCGACGAAGAGGCATTGTCCATCTGAAGTCTAGTCACAAGGCTGATCAACATCACCCTCACAGTTGCTGGCGTCGACCAACATACCTTGATTGGAATAGACGAAAACGCCCTCGTGGCCGTATCGTCTCGCTGTTGGGCTTCCTCAAAGGTAGCCTGGTCCAGCGCCGTAACGGTGCGTTTCTCGACAATGGGATGGGCAACGCTGAACGACGCGCTTCCCAAGAATAAAGCACAAAGAAGGGAATTCATGACGCTATGCAAGGACGTAATATACAGCAGAATTCCGCAAAGTGTCTGCACCAGGCAAAAGAATGGAAGCCCGGTCAACAGGCGTGCGGTAAAGAATGGCGTCGAGAGAATCCAGCTCGAAGAAGACAATCAATCAACTAACACTCCCCCCCAAAAGACCTCCCTTACCATCGTATATATTATATATCACGCATCCTGCAATCTTGCAGAGTACCATTTCCCCACAGCCAAGATCTCATTTTCCGATCCTTGACGAAATCTGAAAAGTGCAAAGAGAGTTCTATCGTGTAACGATCTGGCGTTTGACGAGACGTTTGCCGCGGTAAGCATTTGGGGGCTGTCCGGCTTCAGGGGTTTGCCGTCCACTAGGAGACACGCCACAGTCTTTCGCTATTCACGTTTCAACCACGCATACTCGTACCACTTGTGCTAGTACTCGGTACAAATCAACAGGGATAATTCCCCTGCAAGGTGTTGTATCAAACACTCAATTCTTCCGCATCAGAGGCACATTACCTGTTATCACAGAGAACGGCGATGGTCGAGTCACATTCGCTGGCATCATCAAGGAAAATCCAGCCGGCGACCGCAGCTTTCCACTTACAAAAATCGGTCAAAGCTTCCTTGGGTATTTGGTAGAATACCCAAAGCAGAATTTCATGTCTATTTTAGAGGTAAATGGGTATCGAATAAAGAGGACATTGATAATATACACGCGCGGCATTCCGCCGATTCACTCTGTAACCCGGCAAGTCAGGTAAGGGTTTCCTTCAGGCTGGAATCTGCGCCGTTTCCAAAGGAGGATACTCTGGGACATGCCATTTCAACGTCTCACCGCCGAACATACCAACCCTCTCATCAAGCCGGAGGTACGCTGCCAACCTTGCGAGCAAATGCAGAAGCCAGATTCCGGGTCTCGATCTGGGAAAGAGCAGAAATCCAACTCTCTCGGTACCGCCGTGTGTTGACGTGGCTATGGGCCGGAACTTTTCCTCGTAATTCTGCGCCGCCTGCACCACAGCTGTTGTCGGCAATGACATGTCTTTCTCGTATTGGGTTGCAATCTCTCCTGCCAGGATATACGACCCTACGAGACCCCACGTACTCCCGAGACCGCCAGCCGTCTGGCAGTGCGCCGAGTCGCCGACCAGCACCACTCGACCTTTCGACCAGGACCCCTCGGGAAGTCGGACCTCCTCGAACGGTGTGCAGTAAAAGTCATCTGCCTCTGGGGAATGTCGCAATGCGTCCGTGAATCGATCACACTCCCATCCACCCCCCTGATACAGATCGGCCCATACCTTCCTGAGCTCCGCTGGACTCCCAGATTGATACGCCGCCTCGAGCCCGGCGTCTTTGCCATACATAAGCATGTACACGCGAGTCAGACCTGGGCGGTCCTTTCTCGTCCCAACGATGTGGGCCACTCGGCCGGGCAAATGGCAGAACGTCGCCCGGTCCGAGTCTCTCACCTTCGATGGGATGCTGAAATACCCAATATGACCGCCGAGAGGATAGCGCGGGTCTGGAGCCTCCGGACCCAGCATTATCTTGCGTGTTCTCGAACCGGATCCATCGGTGCCGACAACAAGATCAAAGTCCTCCTTGCGACCGTCTCGGAAGCTCACGTGGACCTTGCCGTTGGGATTGCTCTCTTCATCCTGGGTGAAGCTGTCGACGGTGATACTGAACAGGTGCTTCACGTTTTGCCGTCCCTCGGTGAGTCCGTACAGGATCTGAACCAGATCGCCGCGCAGAATCTCATATTCGGACGTGAAACTCTGCCTCCCGGAACCGTCACGGGTGGCCGGGAAGAATGCCTTGGTTCGACCGTGTACGTCAATGAGCTGCGTGCCTGGTTCGTGGACGGACGCCGCTCGCACGGCGTCTTCGATGCCCATCTTCTTCATCATGGGCACGGCGTGTGCGCGAATATCCACCTGTTGGCCCCTGGCTCGCATCTGGGGAGAGCGCTCGATGAGGGTGATGTTGGCGCCGATTCGTGACAACCAGTAGGCGAGAGCAGGGCCTGAAATCCCTCCGCCAATGATAAGGACTTTCAAGGGCGCCATGGCGGTTTCCGCTGTCGTTTGTTTGCTAGGAGGGATGGCCAGGGTGCCAAGTATAACATCGAATAGTGGTCACTATCAACACATGGAGAATGAAAAGCGTCGTTAGGTCTCTTCTACCTGTATCCCGGGGAACTGGAGAAGCATATATTGGAGAAAGACGTTTTTCAGTTGTCTGCCTGCTCGTCTTTCTCCTTTTGACAGCTTTCGCGGTGATAAAACTTTCGGGGTTGGCCGAAATCGGCCTTCCCTTGTCCGCGGGTTGCGAGGTCCGAGTTCATACCTCCCGGGATGCTACGCATGCGAAATGCCTGTGTCACTCTAATCTCCGTCAAAAACTATGCTATGAGCAGCTTCCAGGCTTCGTGATCAGGTATAGGGACATGTGCGAGTTCAATATGTTGCAGCCTTTTAGTAGGGTTCTTAATTCCGCCCACTCTCCTGACCCCACCCTCACGATTTCATCGCTGGTATCAATACAGATCTTACCTCTGGCACCAGGAAAACCTCTGGTGCCAGAAACACAGAAGGGAATGGATAGCAGGGTTATTAGATCCCACATCTTTTAGTATTAATCGTCTCATTTTCCCCGTACAGCATATCCCACTAAACGAACCCTGTGCGCTGGGTACAGTCGTTCAAACTGAAGGAAAGCCAGATCTTTCAACCTTCAAAATTGAATGCAAAACGACTCCAGCTTCTGATCTTCCCGCCGCGCCTCCAAAATAGCAAGGGAAACGGTATCAGCACAACGCATATTATGCCGAGCAGGGTAGTGGCCCAATCAACGCTCATCGACATGTACATGTTGGAGGTGAAATGAGGGAAGGATGCCGCGATGATGAAGCGGATGAAGGTGTTGACAGCGAGAGCGCTGTTAGCGTTCCTAGCGTAGACGTCGATCAGGTATACGACGCCGGTCATGAAGATCAAGATGATTCCGGCCCCAATGAAGAGGCCGGAAAGAACCTGTGCTGCCCAAGGTATTGACGGGTCCGATGTCCAAGCGAACCAGAATAGACCTGGAGAGTTTCGAGATTAATTATCCCCGCTATCAATGTTGGGGATAAGAGAGTCAACTCATCTCACCGATTGGAAGAACGAAAGATCCCGCAATCATGGGCGGCAGCCGATCCTCAGGCGTTGGTTGCCTAGCTGTGTCGGAAATACGTCTCGCGTACCAAGTCTTGGTGAAAGCCGCAATAGCGAGGCACCCAGCTACCACGCCAGCGAAGATACATATGAAAGGCAGGCTTCCAACTGTAGGAGACCAACCCCTTCTGACCTCGAAGGATATTGGGTATGCCTCAAAGGTCAATAAAAGGATGCCATAGACCAAAGCCATGTATATTGTCACGGCGATAAGCTGAGGCACCTCATATGAGTAGCATGCTCAGTCAGGGCAGAGAATGACAATTGAGAACTCACAATTGGCTCGAGTGCTATCATATGCAGAGGCTTGGTCAGGTATTTGTTCAGGAGAGTCCTGAAGTCAAGCGGATATTCTTCAGCCTTTGCATGTAAGGCCCAGTTCCTGGTCACATATCGTCTCTCCTTGGCCCTCCTGCGGAGAAGAACCGGTTCGAAGGTTTCGGGTGTGATGACAGCGGCCGGGAGTCCAAAGGCCACAGTCATCAGAAGGGTGATCCATATCGTCCATCGCCAGCCGAGAGAGGACTGCGTGATAAAGCTCCCTATAATAGGACCAGCAGCAGGGCCCAGGAAAGCCGCGCCGGCAAAGACTGCTGCAGCGACACCTAGGCTGATCGGCTCCATGAAGTCGACGTACATGCCTCCAAGGATAGCGACAGGGGCAGACCCGAACACGCCGCCGGAGAAGCGGCAGATGAACAGAGTTTGGAGATCGTGTGCTACCGCTACAGGAATCTGGAAGATGGCAAAAGTGGCCATTCCTGCAAAAAGGGGAGCTTTGCGACCATAGATCTCTGACAGCGGACCCCATACCAGCGGGCCTGTTGGTTGCTTAGCCTTTGCTTGAACCGCAGCCTTAGTGTTTGCCTAAGGGAGGGATACCGAAAGCAAATCCCAGCACGTATAGTGATAGCCCTAGGATCATGACATCCTCCGCAACTCTGAATTCGGCAGCCGTTGCGGAATAAGTGGTCGCGAAGACGCTGCTGGCAAAGGTGACACAGAATGTCATCAGACCGGTGATGAGGACAATGCACCATTTTCGCACCGGAGACATGTTCTTGGGGTTATAGGGGTCTTCAGGACCGTCCCAGTTGACCAGTATAGAAGGATCATCGGTCCCGTTCAGGGCACCCTCTTCATTCCCTTGCACCGGAACGTTGCATTTAGGGCAGAGGACGAGCTCTTGCTCTATCTTTTGAGATTTGTCGTCTGTGTCACTTGATGAAATCTGAGGATCAGCTTCTTCGCGTCGGTAGCTTCTTTTCGTCATGATGAACTGCGGATACTGTGCTGTTAATCAACAACCTCAAGCTTGGAGAGACCTAGAAGTTTAGTGTTTGCGCAACTATAGTCATAAGCCCTCAATTCGCAGTTTAGCAGTCCTTTCTTATAAATTAAAAGGCGAGGAGCAGTAGCGACAGCTCTGCGGTTTAGGTCAGTACCAAACATTATGATGCCATCCATAACGTTATGTCACAATTGTTTTTGACATGATGACTCAGACAAGACCGCTGCTCGGTATAGCACAGATTGCGAACCCAGACTGAGAGCATTGTGGGAACCATGCTATGGCATCAGTGGAGGTGAGGTGAGTGTCCTGTCCAGGACAGGATCGAAGTTAATATGAAAGTACCTTGTGGGCAAGTTTTGGAGTTTGCCGTGGAGTCGGTAGGTCGGAAACGGAGATGGAAAAGTATTTCTCCGTGAAGCTCAAAGGTCTTGGCGTTTGTCCCTTGGCCTTGCAGACCTACTAAGAGAAACTAGTGTTGCTAGTAGCAACTAAAATCTATTTCTTGGTACTACTATGTCGTATGTACTCACGTATTATTTAATAAAATATATCCTCTGGTAGCTTTCAGTAGCCACTGGTATCTCGTCTCACTCAGGTTAACATTTCATTTCATAGATTGTAATTTTCAAGAATTTGACTGCGCCACACTAACAATGGGAACCGACCAATTCTACAAAGTGGAACTGACTAACTCCGCTGTACTGGGTATGCCCGGCGTATAAGAACGTACGGCGCCCTCCCATTCCGCTCTAACGCCAAAAGGAACTCGGTACGGCTCCACAAAGCCCAGAATAATCTCCACTCTCTGGCAAACGTCACTCACCCATGTTTTCTGCAACTAACGATATGCATCGAGACTCCCTGTTCGAAAGCTCTCGATGTATTGTGTAAGAAGATCATGTTGTCTCTGGTTTGCTACGTGTGGAACAGCTGCTTCAAAATCTGCGCAGATTTTTGACATTGCAGCATGGTCTCCTGCGACGGTTCGGACATCTGCTTTCAAGTCACTGCTCGGGAGATAATTAACGACGAACGTGTCCGCAGAAGTTAGGATGATCTCGAATGCGAGTCTTGATCCAGTGGTGATCTTCGGGATTCGAGTATTTTCTGGTTTACTTGAGAGTTGGCTCATCAGCATGGAAATAGCAGAATTCTCAGACTCTGTGATCGGCGCTTCTCTAGGATAAAGGTTGGATTGGTTCTTGTCGTCGGGAAAACTAAGACTGAATAGCGGTATTGACAGCATTGGGTCAATTACCTTCTGTATGGTAGTGTCTGCGTCGATTGAGATACTCGCCATTTTCCGGAGCGAGGCAGCAGATACGGACGGGACAACCTTACGATGGCCCTCTCTCTATGTTGAGTTAGTGGGTTTTCCTGCCTTGTGTAACTCGAGGATGAAATCAAGGATCCCTGTGCCTTCAAAGAACGTGCTTGGAATTATTCAAGCTCTGAGAGTCGTTGATTCAAGGTATCGACGATGAAGACTCTGACGAAACTCAAGATTTTAAGAGACCAGACTGAAGTTTATCTCAGAAGAAAAATCTTGATATGGCCGATGGTAGTACTGAGGATGCCTACGACCGCCATATCCCAATTGTTTGGAGAGAGTCTGACGAGACCAGCGAGCGTCGTCATGTATCTGCCATAGACTGGCTGAAGTCGGGCTCACCGCGGAAGTGAGCTGCCTAGAGTTGTGCTCATATCTTTGCGTTGTAGGCAGTTGGCGCCAGGGGGACCTGATTCCGACTTTCAGCGAACTTCGGAGAGGTGAGACGTTCCTTCGCCGCCGGACTAACCCCAGTCTTGGTTCATTCACTTTCCTTTGCATTACCAAGCTCCTGCCTCTGGGCACTGCTGGCGGAGGGCTTCAACTATCTCTAGCAAGAAAGCTTTGGGAGTTGAGGCTGCATCGCCCTCAAACGATCCGTCGAGACATTTCAGCATGGCATCCCGGTAATCGATGCCCATGCTATGTGCTATCCGCTTCTGGTTGCTTGCCTTACAAAGCTCTCTTCGAAACTGGGTGGCATCATGAGTCCACAAAGAGAAGGCAGGTCTCCAGGTTGCAATTTCAAACAGAAGCACGCCCAAGCTATAGATGTCGAAGGCTTTGTGGTAGCCCTCTTGCGGCTGTCCCTGAGCTAAGGGGTGTCTGTAGACGTTGAAGCGTTCACTGTGCTCGAGCTTTTCCGAAAACTCGTCTGGCTTGTCTGGCCGTGCATAGGCGAAGCCACAAAGATATGGTCGACTCCATCGAGTGTCGCCTTCCTTGTGAGCAAAAAGCACATTGTGGCTCCTGATGCCCTTGTGTAGCCATCCAATGGTCAGTAAGATTGAGAGTGTCATTGCCAGCTGGTAAGCAAGCTGATATCGTTGATGAAGCGTTGGTAATCGTTCTGGGGGTGGCTTGTTCAACAGCTTGTTGAGAGATAGTACACCTTCGGAGCCCGATGCAGGGGACTCAAAGACGAAGCCATATCTCTTATTCGCAATGTCGTCAAAGTACCCTTTACAGTGCAACGTCATCAATTCATCAGGCTTCGGAGTTGCATGAAGCATCTCTGCCAGAATATCGTTCCGCCCCATCAAGCGGATGGCATCCTGACCTTGAAGCACCCGGTAGTCCTTCCATTCGACCATGACCGGACGATCACCATCCTTTCCCCAGCTACGGCCACCGGCTGTTCCTTCCTCAATCTCGAGGTTCGCTGGCATAGGGTAACCGCCAAGGCTTTTTCCTGCGAAATCTTTTTGAAATCTAGCAATTCGTTTCTCGAGATCTTGCTCTAGCGTCTTCTGAAGACTGCGAAGTGCGATTGTTCGCTGCACAAAATGCTGCGTTTCTCTCCCTCCCAACACGCCGCCGATGCGGGACATTTGCAAGCGCTCTTTCTGCTTCCGCCTTCTCACCACCCACCCAATGCATACGATCCCGAAGCGAGACGGGCTTGCCGATATTCTTCAACGCGTGTACAGACTCAATTTTGTCAAGCTCAGACTTGACGGCCCGAAGCGTGCTCTGCGTTGTCGTCTCATGCGCTTTCAAGACTCGAAGTTTACCCAATGACACCGCTTCCCCATGTTCTCTATATCCAAACCAGTCCCTTTGCCAGCTGTCGAGGATATCCCGCTGGAGCAGTAATTGGGTTGCCAGAAATGCGGTATCATCTTCCAATCCGAAAGCTTGTGCACATATATCGATCCCCGCCTTGATCGTATGGATCAGATCAAGCGTACCTGAGAATGCGCCAAGGCTTAGCCCAGCAACGCCGAGCTGTCCTGAGAGCAGGGCAGAATCCATAGAGAGGACAAACGCACTGCCCACACACGAGAAAGGTTGGCAAGAACAACCTATACATCTCTTCACCTAGGCGTGAGGTTGCCGACCTTGAATGCGGGGCCCTGAAGACACTGCAGCTTACCCCGCACTCTCAATAACCAGCCTTGGACTCATCGAATGCTAACGTTCTCGATCGTTAACATCGACTATTGTGTCTGGGCAAAGATGAGCACTTTCTGGGATGAACCTGTGGCGCCATCGGTGGTCGGCGTCTCCGCGCTACCCGGCTCTCCGCTTCAGCCTCGCCCTCCACGATGTCGCGGCTTCCTGGAATTCCTAGCATTTTTTTTCTCAACACCAGAACCTCATTGGCGCGGCCTACACCCCGTACTAACCAACGCCTCCTCACATTTCACGGACGTCAGCATGGGAGGCGTCTCCTTCGATGTTCGAAGAGTCAGGACTTCAGCTTTCCCACTTCGCCTGAATGAGGCGGTGATGAAAGACCGCGAATACTTGGTGGTGAAGCAACCTCGTCCATCGGGCGCCAGCATATGCGTTGAGACATTTGATGAAATTGCGACGGAGTTTGCCATTCTATCACACGAAGGAATCAAAAGTCACCCAAACATAATCGACCTATGTGGTGTAATCTGGCATAACTTTGGTACACCTGAATCTCCGCGAATTGCTCCTGCCTTGGTGTTGGAGTTTGCCGACTTTGGCACTCTCAGCTCTTACCAGGCTCGTGGTTTGGGTCATTCCCCCATTGACAAGTTCGACATTTGCGACGATGTTGCTCAAGGGCTTTACTATCTACACGGATGCGGCGTTGTTCACGGTGACCTGAAGGCCTCAAATGTCCTGATGTGCAGGCATCCGCAGCGATCTTTTGTGGCTAAGCTTTCAGATTTTGGCTTCGCTCTCTCCTTGGACGACGAAGTACCCAGGCTCATCGGCTTTACACAATACCTCGAAGCGCCGGAGACCCACAGCCCTTTACAATCAAAATTTCTTGTCCAACTCGACGTATATTCGTACGGGCTATTGGTACACTCCGTTCTAAAAAATGGGGCACAGTATTACGATGTCATGCCTGAAGGTGGTCGCCGGGACCCAATTGACAAGATGAAGACGTCCAATCTACTTCCCAGTATATTACAAATGAATCTGCTGAAGAGCGAAAAGTGTCTCTTGCTCATATTCTGCAAGATTATCGCATACTGCCTACGAGCGGACCCAAGCGAGCGCTTTGGAGGCATTGCCCAGATTTTAAGTCACCTCAGGTTGGCAAATCCACGAGATCTGGATCCGTCGTTGCATGTTGGTGAGGACATGTACAAGTCAGTCCGTTTTCCGGTTGAGATGTATCAGAAACGCAAAGGGCTGTTGAGAACAGCCTTCGAGCAACGGCTCGCAAGCTATTTTGAGGCTGTCAAAGATCCCATTCCCATGATTGAGGTTCTCAAGACTATGTACACAGCTAGAATGAATCTTGAAATTGATATGGTCATATCGAAACCAAGCGCATCAGATGTTACTCATTATGACTGCCGACCGGGATTGGATCTTACCTTGTGGAGGTTTATTGAAGCATTGTCGCCTCCCCACTTGGAGAACCAGTCGGACAGCCAGGCATCCCTTCCAACCGAATTCTTGTAAGTGGGTCTAATATACCCGTCAATCGCTCACTTTAGATAGGGCTACGATACCACCAGGGTCACGAGTCTCGCTCGAACAGCAACAGTCAGCCGATGTGAGTATCACTTCCCTGTTATGCACTTGCACTCAAGGCAATGCAGCTTTCCGAGCATGACAAAACCCTGAAGAAGCTGCCAGCACCTGTTCAACTGTTCATCGTTCAGGAACTGCATCGATGGAGAAACTATGAAGACAATTCTGCCCATAAATCATTCGCATTGTTTAACTTGGGTTATTGTTACATCGACGGAGTTGGCACTATTGTGGATGTTGATCACGGGATAGAGCTGATAGAGCAGTCGGCTCGATTAGGCTGCGTGCCAGCTCGAAAGTTCGTCCTTGGACTGTACGCAGCTGATGGACAATTGCCTGATCTTGAACAGGCAGATCTGTTTGAATGGTGCAAAACTACAGCCCAAAAGTATCACAGACTACCACCGAGGGTGTGGAGCTTACTCACATGGGAAGCCAAGGGACGCTTACGAACGGAGCTGATGTCGGATCGAAGCGCCCAACCTACCAATTCGCCGGAAGTGAACACCTCTGAAGGCGCGCAGATGTCCCCGGCCATAGAGTTCGAGCTGGCCTCACTCAGTGAGAGGGTCGATTTGCTGCAGGAACTCCTCCATGCGCATCCTATGCTTGTTGAGACAAGGAATGCTTACGGCCAGACGCTGTTGATTCGAGCTTGCCAGTCAGGGAATCTCGAAGCTGCATTGGCTCTGATACAACATGGCGCAGATGTGAATGCTGTTGACAATAACGGGTTTGTGCCCCTCCATTGGCTGATAATGTTTTCCAAAAACGAACAGGAGTCCTTTGTGAACGCTCTCGCGAACAGACACATCCAGACGGATTCTTCAGGGACATGGCCGCGGTCGGAGGGTGCACCGTACAATCTGCGAGGCGGGCCCCTAGTCGATGGGGTTCCTCTGCGCTGGGCAATCGCAATCGGCGACCTTCATGCAGCTGACTTAATTGTCTCACTGGGAGCAGACCCGGTTCGGTCCACGCCTCATTTGATCTCCCCCTTGGACTACGCATGCAGAGAATGTGATGTCGCCATCGTGCAAAGACTGCTCGACGAACCCGACATACGGAAAGCTGCGCGAGATTATCGCCCACTGCCGGGAGACGACCACTCAATAATCGTGAATGCTCTATTCTGGGTACTGTGCGGCGGCTCGAGATTCGCGCGATTGGCAAGGCAAGGTCGAGAGTATCAGATCAAGGCTGATCAAACGATTAAATGCCTTGTCGAAGCTTGCGTGTCGTGCGAGGCTGTCCTGCTCACCGGACCATTGAAGATGTCAGCTCCATTCGCCACCGCCTATCACCACTGCAACGCCGATTTCATGCGATCTGGGCTGGCTAACGGATTTCTTCCTTATGTCAACTCAACTTTCGGTTCAGCATCGGATGGAGGACCAGCCATGGCACTAACCATAGCACACAGAGATCGTGATATGTTCAGCTATCTCCTTGAGGCAGGCGCATCAGTGACATGGCGCAATATGAGCAAGCTAGGCCCGCTCAGTCTCGTCGGGAAAGAGCTGGATGACCCTTGGTTTGCTGAGCAACTGCTGCAGAAAGGCGTTCCTTTAGACGACGAGGAATGTCCTCCGACGGCATTTTGTCTAGCTGTCTTCTGCGGCAATCTCAAGGTGGCGAAATATCTCTGGGATAAAGGCGCCAACAGAGACATCATGGGTCCTGACATGACAGTGCTCGGTGAATTGATTGGTCTGCGGACTGCAAACGCTGCTGAGCGCATTAAATTTGTCCTTGATCTGCCAGATCGCCATGGCTCCGACGGATTCATAGTCTTCCGCCCGCCAGGCCGAAATGAAGGAATTTCCGCCCTCCACATTGCCTGCTCTCCTCATTTTGCCCCTGCCACTTTTTCGGAGGATCCCGAATCAGCAGAAACCTGCCGGCTGACGATTTCGCTTCTCCTGCAGAAGTATAAAGGTGCACAGTACGTGAACAGCACACTAGCGCCACATCACAGCGTACCGCTAGGCCTTGCCATTGAAGCAGGTAACCACCATGCAGTGCGTCTTCTGATCGAGGCTGGCGCCGACCCTAACGCGAGGGACGGGTACGGGCGAACGCCCCTGGATAAGCTCTACTGGCGCTACTACTTTCCCGAGACGCTAGGCGTTCTCAAGAGCGTACGGGACGACAGGCGCAAGCTGGCGGAGAGGTTGGGATTTGTGAACCAGAATACGTCAGAGATCTTGAGCCTCTTGACGTCCTATAAGGCGAAGGTCAATACCTTTCGATTCCCGGCCTGGTCCCAGGGAGATAATGGGTACAGGTCGACCGAGTGGGTTGAGTTCAGGCTCAACAAGATTGCCGAGCACCTGCAAATTGTTTCAACGAAGCCAGTATGAGGAAACGTGCCAGTGTGGGGCAAAGCTCCTATTACTATTCTGGAGAAGTCAATGCGGTCGCTTGAAGAGACAGACAGGTGGAAGGCTGCAGAGATCAGGTAGAAGGTTCCGAGACACCTAGCACTGTATTCTGTGAGCGAAGCAATGGCACAAGCGCTCTGTTCTGTTTACTTGACCTGCGCTGTGCGTGTGCTTGACTATTGAGAAACCTACTAGCACTACCCATAATACCAGCCAACCACCACCACCACCAAAGCCACTACGTTTAAAGGTATCTCGGTGCCCAGAGCAACCGCCGCACCCTATTACACCGGCAGGCCCAATGCTGAAAGGAAATTTAGGTAGCAGCGTAAGGCCAGGGAACTTCATAGGTTCCTGACGCCCGCCTAAAATTGATACCTAGCCGAGAGGCAAGTGTAGCCGATTACTATGTGGCCTGATTTAGCCCCTGGTGTGCTGCTCAGGGAGTACTCAGGGAGCGCTTAGTGATGTTCAGCCAAAGGCTCAGTTAATGCTCAGGTTAAAGCGGCCTTTGCTCACCCACTAGGATCAAACCGTATAATATGGCAGTTAGGTTTTTCGTTCTGGAGTAATTCAGGTTTGCTGGATTGGATAGGTTAGATACGTCTTGGCACTGCGGCAAGATGTCACCTATCGGACTCGCCGAGTACTTAAACCCTCGCTGTCACTTCAGATATTAATACTATTGCCAAAGTAGTGATACCCGAAACAGGCATCGCCCAAAACCGGCGCCTTCAGGTGATTGGTCAAAATATACGCTCGGCCTTTTACTGGCCAGCCTTCCCGCCCAGCGCTATCATACCGTTCTGCTCAGCTTCTTGACCACGACATTCACTCGCCAAGGTCGACACTCGTTCTGGCACTTGCAACGTTAAGAACACGTACAAACACACCTGTCTATTATGGCTCGACCCACGACCACATCCGCGCCATTGAAGGCAACCCTCCATGATCTCTGGCGTTCAGGCCTTTGGTGATGAATGCTTGCCCTGAATGACTGCACGCCGCACCAGTGCAGACAAACTTAGCCTGCATAGATATCAACGAGCAATTTCTCATGAGTTCGATCTGAAGGAACTCATCTTGTGACATCCTCCGAAAGCTTTCCTGCATAATGACCGCCTAGGAGAAATCACTGAAGACGAAGAACTTCGCGTCGTCCATGTCGGGGGATAAATCTAAGCTTCGATCTGGGGTTTAAGGCTCCTGGTCCAGTGGTCAAGTATAGAATACGCCCATGGCTTGTCCAACAACCTCCATTAAGCCAGCTAGGGACGGGCAACTGCCGATGCAATCGCTAGGCAGAACCCACACAATATCTGACAGAGTGACCAGGGTTTGAAACACGGGCACGAAGAAATAGCTGCGGTCCAGAATTTCGAGAGGTCAAAAATACCCACAGGCTGGAGTGCCACGGCTAAACAGCAACAACTTAAAGGCTCAAGAGGCGCACACACCAACCTGCCTATGCAGATTGACTAAACTCTGAACGGGGAACCCTACGCCGAAGGATAATACCGATCGCGGAAGTCCCTGGAACAAATTAGTAGATACAAAGAAAATCCGCTCAAATGGCCAGCTCCAGCTCCGGCACCAGCCACACCAAACTGCCATGGAAAGCACCTTGATGTATTAGAATGTGACATTGAATGAATGAATAGATAAACAAGGGGTTGATCGTATCCATTTAGGGCCTTCTATGAGAGACAGTTAAGATACTCAATGCTGCTGCGCTCCAGTTAGTCTGTTTTCTTTACAACAAATGGCCACCAAACCGGCTATGGTATGCTCAGCATCGAGTGGCGCGAAGTGAAGGCTTTCAAAGACATGCAGGGACAGGGAGGATATGCATGGCCCTATCCAAGAGGTAGGCCGAAGGAAATCAGAATATGCAAAAAGATGTGGCCTTGAAGATGGCGACTCGGCGAGAGGTGTATTGTATGGTATTGATGTTTTCTTTCGTAGCTGATCTACCTTGTTGATGTTCTCATTGACATGTAACATTGTGTTGATTTCTTCGTCCTGTACTGCTCCTCTTCGATACCACGTCCGTGTCGTCGCAGTGTATCTCGTTGTCGTTTCCCATATGTGGCCGCATCATATTCTGACGAGGCTAATCTCTTAGACATTCCGTTCGACGTAACTCTGAATCATCCCCTCTATCGTAGGTTCGTATTCTACCAGCTTCACGTCCCCACTGTTTTCATCCAGCACAGTGTTGGCCTGCACAAACACTTTGCGGGGTATTTTCTTTTTCAGCACGATAGGCCTCGCTTTCTCTGCCCACCATTCGTCCACATTGGTGATGTCGTCATACAGCTTCTTTCCAGCTTCAAAATCAGCGGTTGACTTGTAGATGTGTAGTTTCTGTAAATAGGCTTCGACTGCAGGTCGTCCGTGAGAAAGGATTTTGTTCCGATCAAGATGGATTTCGAGGTCGTCCGGGTTCTTTATGTCAGCGTTCGGAGATTTGAGCTCGCAGAAATTTTCGCCGCCATCCATGAACGTGCGGAGGATGGAGAAGCGAGCTTGCATGTGGGCTTGGCCCCATTTCCGAGACTTTGGGTCCCAAAATTCTAATGCCGCCACTCCGGCACGTGCCATTTGGAGATACGCCGCGTACAGGACGTCTCCAGCTTCATTGCTGATGTCTTCCTTGCCGTCACCGAATCCAAATATTTCGAGAATCCCAAAGTCGCAGGAGAGAGCCATGGCAACGCATTCGGCGCGGCACTCTTCGTACGACGAAGCAATTGAACCAAAGACGCTGGACCAGGTTTGACCGGGCTTGTAGTATGAGAGGATTGGCTTCTTCGTGATGGGGCTCATGGGTGGATGCTTGATGTCGAAGTTGTACTCGCCAGGAGCCGTTTCCTGGAGTAACTTGCCGCAACCGTGACCCAGAAGCTCGTGAATGCCGACCTGGATTTCAAAAGCAGGGTCACGGTACTTACGGAAGAGCTGGTCATCTTCTTTCCGAATGAACTGGATCGGCTCATTGGGAGCTTTGGCGCTAAGGACGTTTCCAAGGCTCACATTCTTGAAACCCTCGTTCTGCCTGATGAAATCATAGTTCGGAATGTTGATGCCTGCCGGTATGCCGCTACCAGCGAAGGTCAGGACCTCCAAAGAAGTAAAATCCGGGCTCAAGAACTTGTCTTTCTCGAATTCCTTGCTCCACGGTAGCTTCGGAATCATGCTTGGTGCTGCGTCGACAAGTTTGCCAAAAGCACGTGTCCTTTCTTGGTTCACCATAGCAACGAAACCTTCCCATTCACCACGAACGCCTTGAGGGTCCCGATAAGTCTCGACGAATCCTATGTCAGTCTCAACCATGGGCTTTTTGTTTTTGATCCAGTAACGCTGCGATTCCACAAATCCTTGAATGCTGCCAGTTCCAAACGACCTGGCATACTCGTCAAGCATCTTTTCCTCAACCTCATTGGCAGCATCTTTTCTTGCTTTCTTGATTTCGAGGGCGATCTTGGCCATCTCTTCTTGATAATCGCCGAAACGAAGATGTAACTTTTTGTCAGCAAGCTTCCCTGTCAAGTCAATTGATGAGACGTCACCAAGATCACGCTCCGACGCAGGCGGGTTTGAGACCCCAGACGCAATGAGCAACTCGAAATCCCCAGAATCCAGCTTCCGCAGTCTGGTGTTCTCTATCAGCAGTTTCTTCTCTTCGAGCACATCCCCCACAATAGAAATTTCCTCTTTTGTTACGGTTGGTGAATTCGGGTAATATGCTGTCATATGGCCCGCTTCTGGATATCCGAGGTGCATAAGAGCAGCATTCTTGGTCTCATATATCCCTCCTCCCGTCTTTGTGGCTTTTTCATGGAGACTTTTGCACTCATCGTTAACGTCACAGAGCTTCTTCAGGTCTTCGGGTGAAATTCTCGGTATGAATTTAGAGTCCCCAAATCCCTTGTAATTGCCTAAATTTCCTAAGAATTGGGCGGCATACTCGAGCCATAGCGTGATGTCGGAGGACGAGACCGAGGTATCGGTAGAGAGTTTCTTGTAATCGCCAGTGCAAGCGCGATGCAGGGCAAGTATGAGATCGTAGATGGCGGGGGATTCCGGGGACACTTGTGCAAGCGTTACTCGAGTGCCGTGGAAAGAAGCACGACTCAGATGATGAGCATACCGCTTCTGTTTGGGCGACAGAGCAGCGAAGTGGGGGGCGATCTCCAATCTGACGACGGTGGGAGGATTGTCTGCAAGATAGTGCGAACGAAGCGACGGATCCATGTTTGCAGCGGAAGGAGAGAGATTGTACAGTTGTGAGGTAAGCTGGGAGATCCTACGGACAAGTCTCTGGAGACGGAACGAGGGGCCTCGCATATAGAAGAATCAAGTAGATGTAACCCGGTCAGTTAGGGCACGAGGCTGCGTTGGGTTTGGGTAAAAGAGCCAACAAGGCAAACAGCGAAAAACAACAAACATGCCAAGAGTCCTGCGGGGGTGATCCAGAGGCTAGTGGAGCAAAGTGGAGCAAAGCCCCCACCCTTTAGGGTCAGCCTCGTCGACTTTTCAATCCTTGGATTATTTTATCGCCCTTTATCTTGCCTAGAATTTGTTTCGAAGCAATACGTGTCGACTGAGGCACTCTTCCTGGATTTCCTACGTACTCCCGACGAACTGACTTAGGCTTGCGGGCGTATTGGAGACGAACAACTACTTCATTATTGGGCCTAAATAAGGTAAGCCTGGCCGCTAGGGAATATTTGAGAATCAAAATCTGGGAAGAATTGGCTATAAGAGAAAAGAGGCGCTGCATCGGAGTCTTGACGAATTCATTCAATGGGAATACAGTAGGCAAGAGACAAGAGATGGCTGAAAATACGCCGTCACACTTGCCCTTAGCGGCCTTCGCGAGATCGCATCCCACCCCAGATCTGCCTGCAAGTGTAGGCATTTCTGATTCCGGATTAGAATCTCGAACTGCAAGAGTGTAGTAAGAGTAAGAAATGCTTGGTTCTGCAGGAAGCAGGAATTTGTGTCGATAAGGATGGACTGGACGAGAGTAAAATCCCGAAGATTGTGCGATTTGGTGAGGATTGGAAAAGGAAGAACAGGACCATGGTCGCATGGCTCGATGACATATCAGACTCGCCACTAAGGAATGACCGATCGAGACGATCCATAATTGGGATATATCTTCTGACAGTAGAAATGGGGACCTGAACAGAATTGGGAATTGTGACGAAGGCATTCCTTTTGTCTCGGCAATAAAGCCAGGACTGGTGAGCTTGTATCAAAAGAAAAATGAACCAAATAGAGCGGAGAATGCTGTATGGAATATAGAATAGATCATCTCCCCATTGCGGAGGACCTCATACAAGCCATACTATGTTCTGGCTTCAAGTTTCTCCCCTCAGCCTCTTCGCCAGATTCTGAAAAAGCGTCCTCCGCTTGTCGACGATGTCATTGAAGATCTCTGCTGGTCCGGGCGACCCAATCACAATTTGATCGCTTCCTGAAGCAAGCCCCTCATAGGCCGCCTCCGTAAACTCGTCAATCGGCATGCCTAGTGTTCGCCCCCTTTCAGCGCCCAGGTAGTCATGAAGTTCGGCTTCCAGTTGTCAGCCATGCCATCAAAGGGACGCAAACAAATACCTACTCTGGACGGGAGGCGGAGATAATTCGATGACCTTGACCGAAGAATTCCGCAGTTGGTCGCGGAGACACAGCAAAAAGGCGTTCAGTGCGGCTTTCGAGACTGAGTACGCCGGTAAGGTGGAAGCGGGAACGAGTGCTAGGTTAGACCCGGTGCTACCTATGTTAGTGGGCATGATCTCACTGTTCATTTGGGACACTCACAATATCAGACTGGTCTCCTTTCTCTTGTTCATCAAGAATGGTAGGAACTTGATGCTAAGATCCACCAGAGATGAGAAATTAATTGCCACCTCCGAGTGAAACGCTGCCAGATCGACCTTTTCTGGAAGGGATAAGTCGATGGGGCTCTGAACTCCCGCATTTAGAAAGATACAATCCAAGTCTGGATAGGCTGCTGTGACGTCCTGCACAAACTTGTCCATGTTTTCCCGTTCTCGGATGTCAAATCTGATGGCTCCAGCATTACCCTTGCCGTGTTTTTGGACGAACAAATCGAGTCGCTCCTGTCTACGTCCCACAGCGATGACCTTGGTACCTTGCTGAACGAGGCGGTCTGCCATCGCAGCACCGATTCCGGCCGTCGCCCCGACAAGAAGGACTTGCTTGTACGCGAAAGCCATAGCAGCTCTGATCTGAGGCTTGTGAATATACTTATAGTGTCAAAAGACGAACTGAATTTTGCGCTGAGATGCTTGATAAGATTGGAATGCTCTGAGATTTCGATTCATGACGGACTCCTCAAGTATATATGGGTCAGCTATTCTACCTAGCACAGAATTCCGAGCAGCGACATTGGTGAGAGGTTGTATGTTCAACAAAACTCGACCAACTGTTCGAAGAGCCGTGTCTCCTGCAGGAAGACGGAGATAAAGCAATCCAAGGTTAGGTTTTAGCGCATGGAGCTGGTTTAGCGATGGCAGTCGGAAGACTTCAAGGCATTTCACTATTCCAAAATTGAAGCGTCGTTGCGTTCGACGGCTTGAATGATCCAGGGAGCATGTAAAGCAGATGCGGAAGAAACAAAGCGAGAAGACGATGGCGGAACAACTTTAAGCCGCGAAATGACATCACCGGAACACTTGCCGTTTGTGGAATAGACTCTAGTGGAGATATCATGTGGCTCCAAGAACGACTCGCCGACTAAACCCGCCACTCCTATTCGAGTACCAGAGGCATTTCCATCTCTCGACACTGTTGAGAGCATGGAGAAAAGGCCAGATCACAGTCAACACCGAAACTCTTTCCATTTTCATCCTCCAGGCCCGCTGGATCATGGTGTACAACGGAAAACCATCTCGAGCATGCGCTCATTGCAGACGGAGGAAACTTCGCGTAGGACCCCTTGCGTTTAGTTGAACTGAGATCACATTGCTAACAGATTACAAGTGCGATTTGCACAAAGATGCATGCGGTCAATGCGTGAGAGCTGGTTTAACGTGTTCTGGCTACCGCGATCCTGATCAATTGAGAATCCGAGACGAGAGCCAGGCAATCATGCGCAGAGCCCAAGGTATACCTTCGACGCCAATCGCAACAAGTATCCGCATCCCCCTTATTGACAGAGCAAGGGCGGCCTTTTTCTCTCATTACGTCGTTGGATTCGCCAAAACATATGATGTGCTGGAACGCATTGGTCGACAATCGCCATTGGACAAGCACTTAGCAGCCTGTGTTGATGCTGTGAGCTTAGCTTTCTTTTCCTTTCAGTATGACGCTGCAGTGGCTTTTAAGCCAGCTCGAGAAATGTATTTGTCTGCTCTTCCGCTGGTCAAAAATGCCGTGGGTACACCAGAGTCTCTCGCGGGTGACTCAACGTTGTTGGCAGTACTTCTGCTCGACTTGTTTGAAAAGATAACTAACCGTAATCCCATCTCATCTGAATCATGGATGAGTCACGTCAAGGGTGCTCTGGCCCTTGTCAAGTTACGTCGGCTAGAGCAGCTGGAAACCTACATCGGCCTGCGGCTATCGGTTCGCCTTTTTACGAATATGCTCATAAGCTGTGTTGCAGCAGATTCTCCAGTTCCACCAGCATTGATTAAGCTCCGCTCCGACTTACAACCTCACGTCGACCCGAAAGATCCCAAATGGCAGGTTTCTGGGCTAGTGATGAAGTATGCCAACTTTCGTGGGGCAGCAAAAACAGGACTTATGGCACCTTCTGAGATCATTATGCAAGCAAAGAGACTGGACAGCGAGTTCAGCTCAATTGCCAGAAACATGCCACCATCTTGGATATCTCACAGAATTTCGGTTCCGACGGGCTCACCTGGTGTTCTGGAACAATACTACGACGTCTATCCAGACTATTTTACAGCGCAGACCTGCAACGTTATCCGAATCATGCGAATCCTGCTGAACAGTCTCATACGAGCGACATATGTGAAAATCTGCTCGCGCGGTATTGGTGTCCATCCTCACATATTGAATATTGCCTTCGCTTCTGTGATAATCGATGCCATGGCAAAAGAAATCTGCGCAGCAGGGCCGCAATTTACGCAAAAGCCAAATCATTCTTCGTCGGTCCGAAAGCTGCATGGCTATACACTCCTCTTTCCATTTTACGTGGCAGCCATTTTTGCAAGTCCTGAGACAAAAGTTCGAGAGTGGGTCATCCAGCAGTTGAAACGCCTTTCTGCTGACTCTGGCATAAGAAATGCTAGTGTAGTGACTAAAATGCTGGAGGACAGAAAAGATCCTAACCCTTGGTCAATATATGCTATTCTTGGAAGCTATGCGTTTGCTGCATAGCTTCCAGGAATATGGGAGTTGCCTTCAAGACATTGACTTTCAGACTGGGAACAGATATACCCTCGGTTCAACCTCTCTTCAAACGGTAATAGCAGCGTTACCTTCATCGTTCACACAGCAACATCGCCAGCAACAGCGATGGAGGAGCTTTTTGCGCCTCTTGACATCGACGACGAGGACGCCGCGGACATCAATGTCCAAGGCAACAGCCTTACACCTCTTTCATCACCCCCTGCATATGGTGAAACAATCCTCCATTTTGGCGAAATTGACCTGCCCTTCGTTCCCATCGTTGTGGTGGCAACATGCATTCTTTGTCTCGGAACACAAATCTGTTGCTTGTGCAGCAAAGTCTCAACGTGGGCCTTTCATTGCTGCTTCCTGACATGCCACACACCGCCAGGTGACCCTTTTCATGGTTCCTACAACCTTGCCTATGTCATTGAGTTCAATGAGAACATCGAGAGGGTCGCCAGAGTCCCGATTCAAGGTACAGGAGTCCGAGAGGCGGACATTGACAAATTGAACACGGACTATACTTCTTTGAGATATATTCGAAGCACTTTGGACATGCCGGTTCCTGAGCTCTTTTGGTTCGAAACGTCCTGCGACAGAGTTGGGGTACCGTTTGCTCTCATGTCTTTTGTTAGTGGTGAATCTGTCTGCCTCCTATGGCACGACAAGGAGTGGATCACCGAAGAAAAGCGGCTGAAGATCCTCACCAACTTAGTACATGTCATGGTAAAACTGTAACAACTACGATTCGACAAAGTCGGTACGCTACGATTCAGCGATAAGAAGACCGTGTCTCACATTGGCCCGTTACACACTGTGATCGAGGCCGACGAAGAATACATCGAGCACGGCCTCACACATGTGGATAAGTGTGGTCCCTTCAACACATTGGACGAATGGCTAGGCCACAATCCGGATACTTTCGAGGGTGTTCCTGAGACCGCGCTCTCGGCTAAAAGATGTCTTGAGGTCATGAAGCTTGCCATGTAGTCTACCCCGCCATATCTCCGACAGGCAGACCGCTTTCAGATCGATTTCTGGGACTACAACTATCAGAATATATTCATCGGTGACGACTGCAATATCACGGGTATACTAGATTGGGATGGTATTCGAGCCGTGCCGCAAGGGATGGGCTGCACCCGCTATCCATCGTGCATCACAAGGGATTGGGATCCAGGGAGCTATGAGCCAGCTTTGGATGGGAACTGGGAAGATTCGATGGAAGATCCACCTGAAGTATTGTCGAGGTATCGGAAGCATTATGCTGACACATTTGCTGGACTGGGCCTCCAATATTACGGCCCTCGTGAAACAAAGCTCTCGCACATTTTGGAAGCCATCAACATCGCCACTGGCGATCAATTTGCACGGCAATACATTATGATCGTCCTTCTCAATCACGCCTATGGATGTTCAGATCCGCCAGGGAATCTTCCAAAGATTGGCCTTCGGAATATCGACCGATCACCAGAACCTTGATGAATCCATCCTATCCAGGCGCCAAAGCCATGCAAAAGGTGATTCTGAAGCAGTTTGAAAAAATGTGGCATGCCGAATGGGAGACACCGGAAGTGGTAGGAGGAGGGGAAAAGGAATTGAAGGTGTATCGAAAATATCTATCCAAGTTGTGGCTGACAAAACAATACCGTACTACCCAACGGCCTACCACCAGGAAGAGACGAGAAAAGTCTCGCAAATACCGGCGGTACCTCGCACGGTTCTGGTCATCGAAACAAGGCGGTCTCATGGCGATGTGGAAGCGGTAGATTCGGATCCATAGGGGCTAGGAGAGGTGCTGGGGGCCCGCAGATTGTGATGAAGTTCAAGTTTATTGTATCGAAGGGCAACTACGTCTACCCTCTAAGTCCTCTATATGATTACTAGCTCATGTCATTCTTCCAGGATTGCTAAGTGTTTCGTGAACGTTGCTTTGGTATCAAGTATATTGATTACCCACTTGCAATCCGCTGGTCACTTGTTCACGATGTTCGCAAAGTCCGCCGCTGCTTTTGAAGATAATTCGTCTGGTGACTTTGCTATCTGGCACAGTCGACGACAACGTTCTTTTGCCACGAGGCTTAGATATATTGATGCCGTGACGCTGGGCAGAACACTGGTATCACGGATGCAAAGCACGTTCCGCGGCCGCCTTCAGACTGCGGTTCGCAGTTGTTGAAAGTCTCCGTTTCTCTTTCTCATTGCCGTGTTCTACCTCGAAAAGGGTCTTCGTGACAGCGAGCCTCGAAGAAGCTTGAGATGACAGGAGGTTGTCTGCACTATCTATTCTGAATACGGCAAGGACTGAGCCTGTGACGTAGACCAGAAAAAGCTACATGACACTGCATAATGACAGGAATCATATTGCATTTCATGAACGAATGGACGCGAATCACACAGCTATAAAGGTGCGAAAGTCCCTAACTTGTCGGTCTTGTAATATCACTCTCATCTCCCTACACTCAACATCTGATTCTTTTTCAGACAAGAGCCCTTAGTATTGCTTTCTCAGATATTAAAGACCTTGTCATATCGAGTCGTCTTCTCCGGCAGGAGCTTCTTTTGGCAGAGAGCGAGTACGGCGAAGTTCATTGACGTCGTTTAGTGCATCAGCTCCAGAAGCGTCATCGCCTTTCGCACTGACACTCGTATTGCGTCTGGTTCTCGCAAGGGATATGCTATCCCTGCCGAGTTCGGCGGCTGAAGAACTTGTTTCTCGTCTGTGGGAGGGGGCTGGTGACCTGTGAGATGACATGGACCGGATAGCATGGCGCCTTGGACAGCTTTCAGAGTCTTCTCTTGAGACGACACTAGATCTCCTTCTTGTGATGGCTCCCCCATCATAGCCGATGCCTCGAAGAAGGCGCGAATTCCTTTCGCGTTCTTCCCTTCGTCGAATGTCCCCTTCATCTTCTCTAATCATGCCACCCCCAAGGCCTGCAACTCCGGCCTCGGCGTCATCATGTGGGCGGTATTGCCTTATTTTCTCCACCTTTGTCTCTGGCATTTCTGGCTTACCTCCTAAGGAAACCAACACGACGTCCCCGGTTGCGGTGAGACAATCCATGGCTTCCAATTCTTGAGCAGTGAAGAAACGAGGAAGGATCTCCCAACGAAGCGGAATCAGGGCCACAATCAAGATAGGAAACGCAATAGCCCCAATTGTCTGGCTAATGGCTACGGTGGTAGAAAATCCTAGGAACTGCCAAGACAGGTAATGCCAAATTTGGCGGCGCGGTACTGAATTTAGCGGATCTGAAGGGCGTTGAAATGTCGGATCACGGAGTAGAAAGGCCAGTTTATGAGTCAATATCGGATTCGTTAGGATACTGCCCATCCCGACCGTGAAGAACACTCCACTCATGATTGCCCTAGGTACCAGGGATAAGACAGTCAGAATAGGTCCGGTCATGGTCCCAAAGAGGGCAAGGCACATCACAAAATGTGAAACGCGTTGCTCTGCCACTTTTTGGGCCACGGTCTCCTTGCGAATTATTATCGGCTCTGATTCGTCTCCAGTCTCGATGATGTAAGGCGTATCCTCATAATATGTGACGGAATCGGTGTGAACTGGTGCCTGTGGAACAAGGCCATTGGGAAGCGGAATATTGAGGATACCACTGACAAAGCAAGTGCAGCCGAGAAGGAAAAAGTCCCAATGGAATCCAGCCGGCTTCGTAAGCGGGAAATTGCGTGCTTGGGCCGTGAGAGAAGAGACGTTGTGATCGTAGTAGAAGAGGAGTGTCATAAGGAAGCCAAAAGGGACTGCAACAAAGATCCAGGTGGTCGGTAGTGTCCAGAAATCCACAACCCATGGCCTTTCGATGGTCGGAAAGAACGCCCGCGTAGTTTGCAAATATTCAAAGTGAACTCTGGAGAGATTTCCGGGGAAATGAGTAAAGCCTGTCCACCAAATCGTGGCTAATGGATATGCATAATCTGAGAGAATTGCACGCAACCACCCGCGCGTATAGGCTGTTTGTCCGACTTGCTCTAGTAAATACACCGTGAGGAAGTATAGTATTGCGACAAGGGACGAAGCGAACCCGTTCGTGATCTGGCCATTTTCGAATCCGACACTTAGCTCTTCACAGCCTTTGATAACGTAAATTGTGCCAACGTATAGGCCGAATGTTTGGGAAGAAAAGTCGGTGACGGTACGCATATAGTCAGAGATATTAAGTAACGCGGTGGCCCAGTGGAAAGTCGCGGACCAGATGCCAACCCAAACCATAAAGCGCGGATATAGAGTGGCGTCATAAATTTTGACTATGTCGTAGATAGTATAGTTGAACAAGGAGATGAGACCGGTAACACCGACAACAGTTAAAGGTTGGCAGGAGAATAAGCTGAAGACGCCGGCAGCAAGCGCTGAAGAGAGGAGGGCCTCGTTGATTCCAAAAAATCCACCCGTGTTGTGTTGCATGTCAAGTTGAAACGCCAGGGCCGGCAGTAAGTTGACGAAATAGATGCGGACCGTGCCAGCGAAGACGCGATAAGCGAGCCCGTCTCTGAAGTCACTCCAGTAATAAGGGAGTCGTCGGCGGACATCGTGGTACATTCCTCTACCAGGCTGCTTGAGGCGGCTTAAGAACCCCTGGTCGTCCCGCCATATGTATGGGTCAACTTGGACTTCACAATAATTCTGGCCCTCGGAGGTCATTGTAAGAGCTTGGGAGTCTGGACCACTTCAATTGAATCCCGGGTCGTTGCGATTCCTCTGTGGGTAAATGGAGACAAGGACTCAAAGTCCTGATATATATAGAGAGAGAGCCAGAGCTGTCGGGTCACCCACCGATATTGGGATCTGCATGGCCAAGCAGTCGGATGGCTGGGTGGGGATTTGCACTGGACTTATTTTGCGTGTTTTTCGCGTTGGCTGGAGAGGCCATGACCGGGGGTTGATGATGCCCAGTAGAACTAGACGTCAATGTCCCAAACCAACAGTGCCCATCGCGGGCCCTTTTCTTCACCACTTCTCTCCTCTGCGGGCAAAGCAGGCATTGGTGACGAATAAATCGAACTGAGCCTGCTTTTCCAGAGAAACACGGGGCGGTGCAGGTCACCCACGGATTCTAGAGGTATACCAAACGGAGAAATGAATTGCCACCCTTCCATTATCGCGAGGAAGACAACTTCGACGAGAGCTTTGGGGGCAGGGGCTATGGAACAGCAGAGTGTGGCAAAGCCAGAAGTAATTCTGCCCGGGCAGAAAAAATGAAGCAGAAAATAGGAGGTATTGCGTCATTAAAAAGCTGCCAAGCCACTAAACTTACTGGGTAATAAAGGAGATCACTCCTCGCGAAACGTAGGTATCGAGGTATGTACATATCCAGTCTTATGTTACTTTCCCTAGTTGCTCTGCAGAGAGAGTAAGGGATTCACCCCGAATGGCTTCAAATTCGTCCCTCTATGAACAGATTTTAAGGGAGATACGGACTCCTCTCGAAAAGGCAGTGAACGATGCACTGTCTTCATTGCAAGCGGGTGCCGGCACATCTCGCATACGTCTTGAAGCTTGCCTCGACCATGCACACAGCGGTATCCCACAGAGTGCACAAAAGGAGACACAAAGAATTACGCTGGTCAGTCCCCTGATCGCCTTGGTATTCTCGTTGCGCTAACCGCTCGTTCGCCTTAGGCGACTATTGATCTACCCTGCCTTTCAAGAGGATCTGATAGTGGAGAAGCAGCAGCAAACGCTGGACGCCAACAGTTGAATTGTAACGAACAGAACCCCCAGCTTCCAGGCGGCGTTTCCGATGATGAATCTCTGGAGCGTAGCTCTCGCCACCTCAAACGCCGAAGAATGGTCGGCGGTCTGAGGTTGGCCAAGTCTGCGCCTACTACCCGAGATGCCTCGCCCGACAAGGGTTCATCACGCCGCCTGACGAGCAACGCTCGCCAATTTTCGAAGCGAAATGTGCAAGCCATCACGCCCCAGCGGGAGCAGTCTCCGTTCGAACGACTCGTCATCGGTATTTGGAAGCAGATACACGGTTCTATACACTTGAACCCACCAGACCACGTAAGATACATATACTCATTCAGCGCAAAACTCAAAAGCTTTATGGTTTCCTCTCTTCATTTTGCTGGAACTTCCACCACTCTATATCTTCGATGCTCCAAAATTTCCGATGATAAGCTAACATTGGCCTTCTTGAGGCTGACCTATGGCACAATCTGCATGAGTCAGGGTCGTCCACATCTGTAGGAGTTACCTTCCCATTAGCCATCTATGGAGATGTTGCTTTTCAAACCATGAATCACTGTTGTCGCCAAATTACACAAGTAAGCCGTTGCTGCAGATCGCTCGAAGTCATTGTACAAGCTCGATGGATACAATGCTACGATGAGCAAGTGCAAAAGCTTATGGTGGAAAATCCCAACCAATCAATTTCCAAAGCTCGCATGCTCGCTCTTGCAGCCGCAAGCAAGGACTTCGGATGGACTCAGAAGGAGCTGCGGAATAAAATGTTAGAAAAAAGGCAGTGTAGGGCTGATACTACCATCTTACCCTAGTTGCCTCCCACCACTGCTCCATCCTTCATGACTATACAGTACTAACCAGAACATCTTTAGTGCCATTTGGCGCGGCTACGACATTATTCGAGAAGCCGGAGGCTGGGTTTCTCTGATCTTTGCCGGCATGGGCCTCTATCGTTTTTGCAAGTACCGTCTAGGATTCTGCCCTAAAAACATGATAATCCTGAAGAGACTCCGTTTGCGATTCGAAGTCGCTGCCGATACTATTCACCCGGAATGGCGTCGAATGCTATCCGTTGTCGGAGAACAGACAACTTGCACATATTTTGGACATCCCTGCGACTGGGTCGTTGGAAGAGACGATCCGCCTATCCCACTGGCCGATACCTATATACAGTGGACACCGGACTTCAATTTCGAGCACCTGGAGGATAGCATCATAGATGAGCAGGTCTGGGGCTCAATCGATCCACGGACGGAAACTCAAAAATTCCAACATACGTTACCGAAACAGTTTTCTTGCGCGAAATGCAGTTCGATACAGTCTAATGACCCCAGGACGAATGAATGCGACTGTTTTCCCACTCTTTTTGGAAGCGGTTCACGCCAACCATGTCCAGTTCAAATTTTTCGCACAGACAATGGAAGGAACAATGGTCTACTTGCTTGCTGTGTAATTCTATCCCTCACTTCTACATCTCCTTGTTCGGACTAACATTTAAATCTAGCCATTCGACCGCGGAACGGCGATCGGCGAATTTGTCGGTGTTATTACAAAAGGCCTACGAGATCTCGACGTTGTGCAAATGTCTGGGCCAGCTGGTGTATACCAGATCTGGCAAGGCCGTCAAGGGAACTACACCCGCTTTGTGAACCACTCCTGCCAGCCGAACTCGCAATACGAACGGTTCGTATGGCTTGGTGTGCAGCGGGTCGTGCTGGTGTCCAAAGGCATCTCCGCCGGAGAGGAGATTACGGTCGACTACTCCGATGATTATTGGAGTTGCTTGGATAAGGAATGTTTATGTGGCGAGAATTGCTGCCGATTCAAAAAGAAAAGAGGGAGTTGAGCAAAAGGTGGCCTTCACCCTTACGAGATCAAAGTTGAGAAAACCCGACGTGTGAGGGGTTTTTCTGTGAATATATAGCCAGGTCTAGAAAATTCGCCATTCTGCCAGTGGCTTTAGTGATTCCGGGCATGGAGATAAAGGCCATACAAAGATATACAAGAAGTGGTATTGCATGGGCAACGTGGGCTATGGCAATTGGCAACGTTGGAATTACTCTCAAGGCATGAATAGCCCAATAATGATTGATATAGCTAGCTCAAAAAGAGGGTGGGGATGAGAGAGGTGAGGACTCACCCGGCCCGTCCCACTGGCCCCTGGGGTGGGTGTTTCAGACTCTATTTGGAGGGAGCCTCGAGGCGCGATACGCAGGATCGGTTGATAGGGTGCATACATAGAGCTACCTCAGCTGCCTGGCTTTAAAAGTTTGTTGGTTATCAATCTACGGAGCGCATTTGACGGCAGTTAATACTTCGCAAAAGTCCATTGCTAGCCATTATTCAGATCCTCCGACGTCCGAATACACCCTTTGAAATACCATCATCTGGAGAAATGCGCATTTGTCTTTGCCGGTCTACCCACCTGCAGTCGGCAGGCATCTATTTGGGGGAAATTACATCACTTGTAGAGTTTATATCTCCCCTCTCCATATTGAGAGGTCGTTCCGAATGACATGTGGGGCCAAGTTGAACATGGGGATGATCCACATAGGCGCCTCTGCCTCGATTCTCCAATCGTGCCGGCTCGGCTGTGAATCTTGTCATTTAGATGGATATTTACTGGGCCATCTAGCCCCTCAAGTAAGGAATATAAAGCGTACTCCTGGTGCTTGAAAATCATTGGCATCCCACCATCGTCTCACCGACAGTCCCCGAAAGTCCAAGGAGTGTCTGGTACTGATAGGATGTTGCTGACTTTCGTGTTTCCCTCCTCATGGTCCGGGAGCCGCGCATTGAGTGAGCCGCCCACATTTCTTACCGATGATGGCATCTTGGGCACTGTATACTTGACCTCCGAGGTTGACGTCGACTTGCTGTTGGAAGCAGTTATCGAGATACGGCTGACTGGTGGGTCACAAAGTGAATTTGATATATTCTTTTTACTAAAGACTCCATTTAGGTCACGTTAAGACCTCCATAGTCTGGGCAGACAATGTTGGTCAGCACACTGATGCAAGAAACTTAACATATTGTCAAAAGGTACTTGTTCATTCAGCGTTTCCCTCTAAAGCTGACACCTAGGCAGATTCTCGATGTCGTCCAAACACACGGAGTTCGAAGACGACTTTGCGCCTCCTCGCCTTGTTCGATGAATATATGCAGCTTCCAAATACCTCTCACGGTTCTAGAAGCTCCTGACGACAACTCTCGTCTGTACAGATGTGACAATCATGAACAACTGCCATCGTCACTTGAACAGAAATCTTCAGCAGCGCTGAACTGGAAGAACTCAGCACCAAAGACTGCTGCATCCGTATCTTATGCATTGCACGCCAAGCTCTGGCATGATGACGTTTTGCTCGTCTCAAACTCACAGAAGATTCGAATCTTCAACTGCGCCGACATTGCCCCGCCGGTATGTCTTAGAGACTTTGGTGAGGAGTACTGCAATCATCAGGAGGTTGTAGTGCGGAAGAACCTTGTTCAAAAGGTTGGAAATATGTCGATAAAAGCGACCCAGCCAGAGGCTTTGGTCTTCAGCGAACCTGACAGCTGTGCAAAAACGAAAATCATGCTTCATGTCAAGCTGCAAACAATGCAGGGACCATGTGAAGGTTATGGACCAAATAATTTCGAGGTCGTAATCAAGTGGAAACTGCAGTCGTCAACCTTTGTGTGCATGCATATGCAAGACGCAGCTCCTACAATACGACAACTTTCAAGGCTATCGTCAATGGGATGCATAACAGACACCGCCGCGAGCCATCATTTGAAGATGATTTGGTCGGGCTGGAGACGGACGAACTCAGCTGACCCAAACTCCAGAGAATGGACCGCAACTTATCCAATATGGCTCTCAGTAAGGAGTTCGCCAGCATTGCCTCCAACATTTTCATTCCCTTTCCTTTCGAAGAGGTACAGCATCTCGATAGGAATTAGCGGATCTGGAATATGGCATTCAAAAGCGACTCTGAAGCTACCGATACAGATTATCTATCGAAAGAAAGCCACCTCGTCGTCGCAATGTCTCATCAGAACGAGTCAGTCGAGTGGGTGTGATGATGTTATGGGTGTGATATCATTGTCGAGCAGTAGTAACGGTCAAGAATTACCCCCATATTTAGCATAATGCGGAGAGAAACTACCAGGATCCATGCTACGCGGTAAATAACTAAGAGTCGAAGTAACGCAATGCCTTATTCTATTCACCTAGTCCTATTGACAACAACTCAACGCTTAAGAAAGAGGGAGAGTCTTCTTCCACCTAGTTCGAGTCAGCGGAGACTCTAATGACTTTCTCTCTTTTATCCATTAAGTACTTTAAGAGTAAGATAATATTAATCGATGGTCTCATTGTAACAGCGCACTTCAGGCTTTGGCATGCACGTGCAACAACGCACAGAGGCCTGTCCAGCAGATCGGGAATCGAGAACGCGTTTCTAGTTGATACTGACAAGACAACACCACCACCATCAACTCCACCTAGAGGGCAGCGGCTAGGGCTACGAACACCTAGCACAGCGGCAGCATCGAGGAACAGGACAGAACTGATAAAACACTCAGGAATTAGGTAGACGGCGCCAAAAACCATGGAATTCGTGATACTCTGCTCAAACTGTAAAGAATGGCACTCTGCCAGCACTGTAAACTGTTCCGCAACCCCTTTCTGCCAGCCCATTTTGGTTTGACATGTGACTAGACAGCTTTTCCTCCCTGCCATCGCCCTACCAGCCCAGCACAGCACAGCCACTTTGCCTTGTTACAATATATTACTATAATTATGACAACCATGATGAGACCAATTGAACGCCATCCACTGGAATGCGCAAAGCGTTTCACCAAGTTACCGTGAGCATGCCTCAGACAACGAGGACTGATGAACAAGGTGATGACCGTCAATATTGAAGCCATTTCGTGATTTTGAAACACTTGGGAAATTCGTACCCTTCGCAGCATCTGGGCCCTGAACATTTGTTGAAAGCTAAGCTCTTTCTCCCGTCATACTTTACTACTAAACTTAGCCGACACAGAAGCGAATAGTCTCCAAGTATCGGCTGTGATGATCACCGCAATAGCAACACAGTTTTGGAAAAGATGTCTCTCAGAGTACCAAGCTAGCCATATTTCCTTCCACGGCGATGGCATAAGAACAATGCTGTCTATGGCAGAGGGGCGACATAAACAACCAGAACGGCACCATATCTATGTCCAGTCCGTCAGAAAGTCCGTTCATGAATAGATGATTCGCAGTGGCGGGGAGGGGGGAAAGACAATATACTTACGCAGCAGCAGCCGCAAAGATTTCTGCCTTCCGTGCCTTTGTGAAGATCGCCAACACAGACGTAAACATCATGACGGAGAAGAGGATACAGAGGAAACGTGAACGGTCGGTCTGGAGATTGTACAAGAGTATCATGGGCAAGAACAGCAAGATCACAACGGCCAACGTAGTGATGAGACGCGAGAACTGTTCCACACGGGTAGGCGAGTCGAGGTGAGTGTAGGTGTCTCTACTATGGTTGCGTGTAGACTGTGGTTTGGAGCCGGTTACTAAGTTAGAAAAAGGCAAATATAGGGTCACGGTTGCGACGGACACTTGCCTTTGAGGCGAAGACCTAATGATCGGATTGTCAGCCAACCGCATGAGAGATATGCGGATAAAATCCGAATGCTTGGAAAACCATGGCTCCAGCGGACAGAGCGAGCGAGATTCCATCTTACCAGAGTTGTGAGCTTCGAAGGGAGGCACTTTTGGAGCAGCCACTCAACCGTCTCATCGCAGGGGCCACGGTCCTCGTTCATCTCCAAAGCCACCAGGTCATCCGTGTCGTCAAATACGCCGGCTTCGGGCCTCACGACAGGCTTGTTGTTGTGCATCCAGTTAACTGTGCTTTGCAAGTTGAGGGCTGTCGGAGTCGGCATCATAGACATTTTTCGATAACTAGATATAGCTGCTTCTGTTCTCATGAATAGAAGGTGGATGAGGAATTGATTTACAATGAGGAGATTATGAGGGATGCGAACCGTACTCCTGAAGCCCTGTTTTGGCCTCCTGGATGATCGCCAACCTCCGCTCGTTGCCGTCCTGCTTGTACGAACTGAGATAGAGCCTTATCTCTTCAGCTTCGTCCTCTCTGGCTAACTGAGCCTCTAGATCAGCGAGCCGGGCTTGCTGAAGGAGAATGATGCGAGCTTGCAGAGTTCGAAAACGCCGGGCAACACTGAAGCTTGGGTTGCTGGAAAAGAATGCGGCGAGTCGAGGGTAACCGAGTGGATAGTCTTCGACTAGGAGGATATCGCAATTAGTACGAATCAAATTCGCGTCCGGTGATGAACCTACTCTGACGAGGCTGAGATCGAGGTTGAGATTGAATCCCATTATCTGCCCCGCTCCTTCGGAGAGAAAGTATGGATGCTTTGGCACTCTGGAATAATCGCTTAACGGTAGGTATCAGAAGGGAAGATAGAGAGTTTGACATTGTGATTATATCATATCATATCATATTGTATTCACTAATCTGCCTGAGCATCGATGATATGCTGAATTGATAGCGAGGGAAATCCAAGACAGATGTGTTGTCTTGAGTCCGACCCGTGATTGGCTTAATTCAGGTGCACTCTGCCTGATGTTCAGCCTCATAGATGAAGGTCGGATATTTTGGCTGCCTTTCCACCTCGCCACAGCATAAGAGGATGCCTGTTGGCCAGATCCTGTTATGTAAGCTCTAAGGTCGCCTCTTCATGTTCGCGCCGGGAACTTGCTCCTCAGTGCCCAGTCGCTCGTCGCGAACCCGATACTGCTCGTTTCCAAGGACACCAACAATCTTGAAAGGGCCCCTCACTCCTCTAGATCCAGGTGAAGCAATCCAGACCTGCTCTCCCTTTTGAAATAAGGACTCTGTAGGCCACTGCAAGCCACAGGGTCAGCGTAACAGACACATGAAAACTGCGACAATACCTACCTCGGCTGGATCTGCTCGTCGAGCGACTCGGGCTTTCCAGTCTTCGCTACGTGGCATTTCTTGGTCATTCATCGAGTCCTTAGGTTTCTCTTCGTCATTTTTATCCATGGTCAGTGCTTTTAGGTGGCTTGACGGTTGCTTGCTTGAGGGAGTCGTTCGCTAGACGATTTCTGTGATGATAGTGATACTAGGTCAACAGTAATATCGAGCAAAAGCGGCAAGCGAGACGCGCACGGCTTGTCTCGAGACAGCAATGTTACCTCCCCGCTCCTTTCCGCATGCCGCATCTAGCACGTGCAACATGAGAAGGTAGCCTCAGCCTCAGCTTCAGGCTCAGCTGCTCTGCATCGTCCTCGTAAGCTTCGCTAATTTCAGCGACCAATCACAAAAGAGAGTCGTTTGAGCAGGAGACAATCCAGATGGGGTAGATGGCTTGTTTCCGAGCACGTCGCAAACGATATTCGGATTCTGGCCAACAATAGTCGCTGATTTCTATTCAGATAACGCCAAACCCTCCAAAATATCGATTATATCCTTGCGGAAGTCCAGTTGTCGCTCGCCGACATGGCCCTTCAAGCAAGTTGAAACTGCTCCTGCAAACCTGGTTCCCATGATGTGACTGAGATCTTTCCCAGCACTCTTGATGAACTGAGCTTGCGCATCTTCTGCCTTCCGAATATGCTTCATACTTGCTCCCGGCAACTTCTCGGCATTCACCCAGAACCCAATTTCGAGAAGTAGAACCCCCTGGTCTACCGTAAGTCCGATGACAGGTCATTGAGGGCAGAGAAACCTTTGACTTACCAAGGAATAAATGTCATGCTCGGGCCCAAATTTTGCCGACGGCGTTCCCCATCTCGACGGCGGCAGGTATAACAATCTGTTCATCCTAAATTCGGGCTGTTGGCTGGAAGATTGTCCGGTTTCACGAGCGTATTCGAACCCAAATAACCATGGCTGATCGAGTGCTGACGTCTTGTCATTGTTCTTTGACTTGTGGAAGAATAAGATATTCTCGCTGCGTATGCCTTTGTGAATCCATCCAACGCTGTGTAACCCGTATAATGAAAGAGCTATCCTGTAAGCGAGTCTGTACCTAATTTCCAACGGGACTCTCGGACTTTGACCGAATTGACCTTCGAGCGTCGAATGGGTAGAGCTACCTTCAGGAATGCTAAATGCTAGGCCATACCACCCTTCAGATTTGTCCTGGGTATACCCAATGCAGCGAAGGATTTGGAAATATTCAGGCTTTGGTCTTGACAGAAAAGACGACGTCTTCGGAAACTGTGCCTTCATTGACTGGGGGGGAGACCCGTCTTCTCCTTGTAGATACCTCACGATCTCAACTATGACCAACTGATCATTTTTCGTGGCCAATGAAAATCGATCGTTGTCTCCGAGCAACCGTTTGTGAATGAAGTCTTCGCAGGGTATGAATTTTGGTTCAGGATCAGGCACTTGCTCTTCATCACGAGCAAGCAAGCTCAAGCCTATCGTGGTAGTCAGCCCTGCTTGTTGCGCAACTTCGTTTTGTTGAAGTGTTTTCAGGTCTCCCCTCTGAAAGGTGGGGTGCTTTGATGTTGCATTCCAGACATTTTGAAAGAGCTTTTGGGCAGTCATTTCAAATTTTTGGAAGATGGATGATCCCAGCGGTGTACTCCCATCAGCAGCCGTATTGGGTTCGGGAGATGATGTAGTAATCGCCGATCCTGCCACTTGAATTGTTTCGGATATCCTGGCGTCAACAATGTTCTGACTGAGCTTGTTCAGATCTGTTAGCAAGAGCCCTTTGTCTTTCGGTCCCAGTGAGTCAATAAATCTTCCACTTATTCCAGCCTTGCCGTCATCGAGAAGAAAATCACGGAGGCTGCCAGATAAGTCGACAACACGATCCACTTTGATGCCAGAAATACTGTTGGGAGCTGTCCGTTTTATCCAATCGCCTAGTTTCTGGATACTATGACGGCTTGGGGGTTCTAGAACCGAGACTGTAATGGTAAGGGCACCAAGGGGTGATGCTGTGCTCGGAGACCTGGAATGAGGTCGTAGGAGGATACTTGGTGCCGGGTCAGGACGCAGAGTAAAATGAACCGGTGTCACTCTGGTTGTATGCATAACTCTCCTGTTTATCCTCGCGTGCAGCTCATCTACCTGCAGACCGTTCTTCTCAACCAGTGCTTTCTGAAGTTCGTCCACAAGATAGCGCGTAAATGAATATTTCCCGGGGCAAGGTGTCTGGCCTCCCGCCGATGAAGCGGCGAGAAGTTCTAAGGAGCCTTTTCTTCGATTCTTGGCGGCCTGCGATGCATGACAGCAGTCGAAAATAAAGAGAACATCGGCGCTTGCGTTCTCCAGATGAGGTTGGACTTCGAACCAGTCAATTGTGGGCTCACCCACGGCCTTCCTATAAAAGCAAGGAATTAAAAAGGAAATTTCAAAGGCGGAGGTGCGTCTTACGCCGCCCAAACTGCCTTCCCTCTCTTGTCGTCGGGGTCGCCATGGCCAGAGTAATACACAATCATGAGGTTGGAGCCTAGATCGTATGCATACTTGAAGTCGACCACGGCCTTCTCCAATGCATTTCGTGAATTCGTCGACGGTATAGGAAATACAACAGTGTCATAACCGAGCCCGGTGGAGAAAAGATCCTTCACTTCTCGGGCTTCGTCTTTGCAAGGAGGCTGGAAATCATCTTCAGTCCAATAGAGAACCAGGGCCGCCACCTTTTGATAAGGAAAACCCCGCTTCGGAAAAGACGCAGAAAGATCACTTTGTAGCTCCCGTTTTAGATGGTCAGTATTCATGATAATAAGCTGGGTCTTGATTGACCAAGGAAGGAGAAAAAGGAGACATCGAGACATCATTTTCAGTCAGTTGATGTTAAGGCTGCCAGGCAACCGGACTAACCAAAAGTAGGCACGTGCAGCTTAGGCATCAATTCAGCTTCTTCGGCTTGCAGCTACAGTTGAGGCTCGCCTTCTTCTCTCCAAATGCACCTTCGCGCTCGTCGGTTATATGATTCGTCTACTCTTTCGAAACACTGCCGTTCTCACTCAAGCGTGTTGGTGGTATTGGCGATGCGCAGATGGAGGCTAAACTTGAAGCCGCCTTTCCCTTCTGGCTGGATGCAGGGGCCCATTCAACTTCGAAGTCGTCAGGACGACCATCCAGACACGTCGCGGCCTTCATCGCAGCCACTAGTCGGTTACCAGTGTACCAGCAAGATCAGCTGATCAAAATCAAGCCTCTGGGTTCGGGGACATCATTTCAGGTAGACGAGTGCAAAGATACAAAGAGCGGGGATTTGGTGGTGGCCAAACAACTGCGCACGAAACAAGATTCAGGCGAACTCTACGACGGCGCCGTGCTTCAGGAGCTTAAGGTTTCGGTCTATCCACCTTTCCTGAAACATGACAATATTGTCCGAACGCTAGGCTTCCTAGAATCCGAGGACCCCACAGCCTTTGGACCTTCCGTTTCGCTCGTCTTGGAACATGCAGACCATGGTTCGCTGGCTGAATACCTTTCAGGTGCTTCCTGCTCGATGTCTCACGAGGATTGGCTCCAGCGACAGAATTTGATGCTCGACATCTGCTCGGGTTTGGAGATTCTTCACAGATGCAGGGTAATACACGGAGATGTCAAGCCTGACAATATTCTTCTCTTCTCAACCCACTCATCCACCGGATGCCCTTTGATGGCTAAGCTTGCAGACTTCGGAAGCTCCATTGTCGAGGATACTATATATGATGATATTGATGAGGGCATTTCGTCCCCCACATACAGAGGCACACCCCTCTATGTCCCCGGTTACTTACGAAAGTACTCCGGCAAGGTCCCGTTCCATCTAATGCCCGCCGTCGAAATCTATTCCTTCGGTTTGTTGCTGTGGTCTATTTGCGCGGGCGAACCGTATTACTTGCGTCTCGTGCATCCGGACCGAAAAGACATGGTGGAGTGTCTGGACAGTTTGGGGACTGAAGGGCTTCGACAGCAATTTCAGTTGAACCTGGAAGTCATTTCTAACACCAGTGACTGCTTGAAACCTTCAGTGTTAGGAGAAGTTTTCGACTTTTGCGTGAGAGATGTGGAGATTGACCATTCCCCCATTCTGCCTATCGATCGAGAAATTATCTATCGCAAGGAATTTGCAGCAATAAGTGAAGTGTGGAAAATTCTTTCTAGCCACACGAGCGAGAACAGGTATAATATGCTGAGACTCTCCTTTACCAAAACCAGCTGAATGAGATAAATAGTGTTAACTATCACGATCAGACCTCTTTGTGGCAGCCATTCCACCTTGGCAGCATCCCCTCCAGAGTCAGTCTGCTCAAAAACCAGAAACATCTGACCCTTCTAAAAATTCAATTTAGGAGAATGTTGATCATATACCCTGGGCTCTACAGTGCGACTTAGTCCAGCAACTGGTGGACAAAGTGAACAATCGGCAAGAATCAGTCTATCAAAGGGGCAAAGCAGCCCTGCAACTCAGTTCTCACTATGCTGTTGGCCTGGGGTGTAAAAAAGACTATGAAAACGTCCTACACTACATCCAGTTATCCGCCGCCTTGGGCGATAACGTCGCCCAGCTAATCTGCCCAAGAGTTTTCCAATCTCATGGAAAGCTTATTGGCCAGGATGATCTGGAAGATATCTTACGTTCTTTCTCATACACTGAAGAGGCTACGTCAGATTACTCGGACGCCGATATGGAAGACCTCGCAAATGACATGAATCATGAAGAAGCCGATTATGGTACGGATTCTATTGAAGCCTTGGATGATCCTATGCAGGACACAGGAGGCTTAGAGAGCGACTCTGAATCCACTAGCGACTCCGATACAGATCTTCGCTGGAGTGTGTTCCTTCTATCTGCCATTTTTGACAGGGATTTCGACTCCAAGGTCGACACAGAGCCAGCCGACTATTTCTGGATGAAAATACGTATGTTTGAGCGAGCTATGGGGTTTGCCTCTCAAGGAGCACTATTGAGATACCGAGGTGAATGGTATGGTGGACTTGACGATACGAAGTTGGTAACTGCGCTTGAGCAAACGGCGGTCTCCTCACCACAAGTTCCAGAAGTGGAGCTCAAATGCGAGGACGGAACTCTCATACACAATCCTGCCCTTCACCATGTTGTGTTTTGCGGAATGTTCAAATTAGCCAAGCAGCTTATCGACCACGGGTGGTCACTCAACGCAGTCAATGATGAGGGCGACACCCTTCTTCATCTCGCCATGCGACACGGCGATTCACAAATGACAGAATACCTGATTAGACGAGGGATAAACGTGGCAGTGAGCAACTTTAAAGGAGTCACGCCGCTACACTACTTATCAATGTTTGGAAGTCAAGAACGGAACTCGGAGGACGGTGGCAACTACTCTGACGCACAGATCGAAAAATTGGGGACACAACATGTCGTAGAATTCAGCGGTCCAGACGTTGATACTATTGCTAACATGCTGGTTGATGCAGGGGCAGATGTGAACGCTTCCATGGGTCGGTTCGATTCAACTGTTGACGTCTTCTTCTCTCACCGCATCAGCGGGACACCATTGCATGCAGCTGTTACACTCGGCAACAAGTCGGCTGTGCAGACATTACTCCGTCTAGGTGCAGACGTTGAGATTCGGCCTTTCCATGATTCGGACACAGCCCTTGAGCTGGCAGCCCAATTGCACCTAGCAGATATAGCAGAGTTGCTCTTAGATCACGGAGCTAGCCTGAGGAGTGTCTCAGAGTCAGGCTCATCAAGTGGCACCTGGGCCATGCATCACGTTGGATCTCATGTTCCGCCTCTGTCCAGGTATATTCCTTCAGAGGCTTCTCTCGTAAGGATGACCGCTCACAAATGGCAGGTGGCTGTTACACGGTTCTCGGTACAAGGATGCCGTCCGAGATACCATTCGTGTGTTCAATGCTGCAGCCGAAAGGGAAAACTTGTCTCTCGATGAATTGAACGAGGCCGGTCTAACAGCCTTTGAGTATGCCCTCCAAGAAAGCGGGGAAGACACTCACGTCATCGAGGCGTTCCTTGACTGCGGCGCCATACTTCCTCCGAATGCTTTATCAACCGCTGTTCTGAGTTGCGGGTCTGACGAAGCCAACGCCTCGAAGGTTGAACTCGTTCTCCAACACGTTACTGGCCCTGGCCCAACAATTTCAGGTGGAGACAACAGCCTGTACACGGGAGAAAGTTCGCATGCCTTGCATGTCGCTGCGTCCACAGGTGCATTGGCCGCAGCTAAACTAATCATCAGCTATTTCGCCTCGGAGTCGGAGTCTCTTCTTCGCGCTCAGAACGACGAAGGACTGACTGTACTTCATGAGGCAGTCATCGCTGGAGACATCAGTATGACCACCTATCTTCTGTCTCAAAATTCCCAAATCAACTTTCGAGACCGGGAGGGCCGTACTGCTCTTGCAACAGCCGTTGCTCTAGGCAATAAAGCCTTGGTGCCACTATTGATGCTTCCAGACGCAGACATGAATATTCGTGAAGGCGAACACGACGGAGGGACTATTTTGCACATTGCAGTGCAGAATGGACCACGCCGGTCCTTGATGCTGGCATTTTTACTCTCCGCAGATTTCGACGAAGCCACTGAGAGCTGGCCACGGTTCCCTCAACTTCACATCCACGGTATCCTGGATGCCGTTGACGCCGCCCAGGGCAATACGGCGCTCCATTTGGCAGCATATTCTGGAGATTATCCAAGTGTGTTCGCATTGTTAGCCGCAGGAGCGATTGCCAACGTCAAGAACCGTGCAGGTTCCATACCTCTTGATTTGGTGAGACAGAGAATAAAGCTGCATGAGTCGCAAAAGGAGCAGCCTGTTCATTTCGAATTGGAGGCAGCCCTGAAGAAGTGTGCAACTCACCTAGAGCGTGCGAAAACCTAGGAATAGGTCGTCATCTTCCCCTTACCTTCTTTCGCGACCATGTTAAGCTGCGACCGTTATTGATATTTGGTGCATCAGCGGCGAAGAGCTTCGCCTTTGCACCGGTACGCCTATGGCTGACCTCCGTGCTTCATCGAAGCCCGGAGGAACCTAAAGAGGAACTCCAGAGCCGACCACTTCAAAACAAACAGCGATAAATTTTCCGAGTCCGGCCCGCGCTCACGACATTATTGTTGATATATCAGAAATTCCTTGAAAATATGAACGAGTGTATGAAACCATTCTGGGGTCTAGCTGAGTGAGTTCGCTTCGAGCCTCAGCGATCTTCGCATCGTGAAGGTCGAGATACGCGTCGAAAGCATGCTCGAAATCTGCGTCAGCTTCTGCTCCAAGACAAGTGACATGAGCTGTTAATGTCTTTCAGAAAGGGTCCTTAGACCATCCAGGAAATAAACATAATTACGGCCTTGAGTCGCCAGGCTTTCAAGGTACTAAAATTTCGGACTGATTATGTGATTGCCGCATCAATTGCGTCGGTCGTGTCGCTAATCTCTAGGCTCCCAATCTTCGACAGGAAAGTAAACGACGCTTGTGAAGGAACCCTGTGCAAGCGGCCACATATATCGAACGGCAGCATTGATGTAGACATCCCGAATAGACGTTTCGGTCAGTGGTTTAATCTCTAAACCCCTCCGATCTTTGACCATACTGTGACAAGGACACATCTTCTCTCTGGGGTCATAGCTCCGGACTGTGAAATCTCCGCAGGAGCTGCCGAAGGGTTTTGTCGAAGCAGGTACCGAATAGTGCGGCCTGCCTTAAGCTCGATAGCATGTGCACATAGTTTGGCTTAGATACGGGCGTTGGTCCTCTTAGCTCTTCGACAGACGGTGTGACCTGATTGGATATGCAGCATTTTATGACCCTGTCGTCCACGCTTGCCTTACAAGCCCCAGTTTTTACATGTTCTTGTCCCATACATCCTCGTGTTATTTCCGGATTCGTCGCAGACCCTTGCGCTATCATGCCCTCGATAACCACGGCATTGGAAGAACGCGGCGCAATAAGCCGTAATGCGAATCGTTGATTTGAAGGAACACAGTTGTTCTAAGCCTTCACCGCGAGAAACAATCGAATTTACCAAGGTTGCAAATTTACCGATTCTAACCCACGAAGGCGTCATTCACTAATAATCAATCAACCTATATTGGCATTGGCGAGAGGGAGCACACAAGTTGCTGGTGGAGAACAAATGAGGAATACTAGAATCACCCCTTTGAAGTTGGGCTTTCAACGACAGCTACTGCACGAGCTCAGCACCACTCATTTAGTAAACGAAATACAGGCAGACAGATGTATCTATGCTGGCGTGCGCGACTTTCTCAGCCCGGTTTTTCAAAGTCCTCACAGAATCTGTTCTCCGTGGTCATGTTTCCACTTCGTAAATCATCTATCTCTGGGTGGCACATATGTCTCGGGGGACATGTGCAATGGTTGGGCCTACCTGGGAAATGCCTCTTAGTCGAGGGACGGCCGCTGTAAATTGCACAGCCTGTGTTAGCGCACACACCAATCGACGTCAATGTTTCGTTCGCAGCACATATTGACATAGCCAAATGCCTGGCTGCCGTCCCACTACATCGCGTTGTAGTTGCTCCTGGTGATTTCCTCTAGTGGATCTCTCCCAGCCAGAGTCGAGCCATCCCCAGCAAATTCTTGGTCATTTATCGCCTCATCAGCTCTCCCAATGTTGTCGGATGGAAGTGGCGGCCAGCCTCTGCTGGTAAGGTCGACCGCCGAGCTTATATTATCATTGAATGACATTGGGAAGTCAATGCCGTTGGCGCCCTCAAGACCACGGAGCTGAGGCGAGGCTGGAGTTGACTGGTCGCGGCTTGGTTACCTACTCAACACGCTATATGCCCTTGTCTTCGCAACAGACGCTAAAAGCACGATGATAGCCTCACTGATGTTCCATTCATCTGATTTTACAGTTGAGGAACGGAAGGGAGGGGCGTGGCCTTAGGAGTCCTACTCCGAAGAGGAGGGGATGCCCTGAAGGCTCTCCTCAACACCTTGACATGGCCAAACTCCGGCACCATACCCCAAATCTCGAATTTCTGTTTGATGGATTATGAGTCGGACTCTAACCTGTACCAAGCCGATACCCTTCTTTATGTCTCGGGCGCGCTGGTCCATCCTCATCCTGAATCTTTTCTTTATGCAGGAGAAATGTCTTTCCTCTTACCGCAGACTATCTCTATCTGTCCAAATGGAAACGAGTTCGATCTCTAGTTGTTGTATTCTCTCTTCTGCCTGATCAGGAGCTCCGAGTCCCGTTTGCGGTCAACTCCAGCATTCAGCTAGCTTCTCCGCTAGATTTACTGTCTCTTCTTCTAGTCGGGACACTTTAGTGGTGAGACTAATGATTAAGTGGACAATCTCGCACGCTATATTCAGACCTCACTTAAGTGATAACCTCGTACAGTTGGCACAAGTGATCCACGCACCTGTGCACAAGATCCCGGTGTCGAACCTGTCGAAGCCCTGAATGCGGTACAGCTCCAATTGAGGCATCCAAAGAGCTCGAAGGGTTATTTGGGCTCTTTGCTCGATCTATATCGCTATCTATGTGAGACATTTCTCCTCACTTCGTTGTTCTAGACTGCTCGAAGGATTCGAAGGAATTCGGAGCGAGGGTAAGGAGTCTTGGAAGGCTGTAACGTGGTCTAAGTAGAGCACTGCAAGGGCGGACGGTGTGGTGTTTGGGGGGGGAGGATCAAGACTCTGGATGCGTGCCATTCTCTACCTCAGAGAGCTGTGGCTCTCGTATATCTACTGGGTATGGCACGCGGTGCCAAGGCCGTAAGCTGGCCAGGAAGAAGGTACCTAGCAAAGCCTACCCTCGGGTTGCCTCGAGGCAGGTGCGCGCACCACATGTGGCGAGGATTAGCCCTAAGGGGTTCGGAGGCGAAGTAGGGGATTGAAGGGTTTCGCATGGTCACATGACCAGATAAGCACTATTGCTGTTACTCAATGGAGAGGACATGATAAATGCTATGTATTAAGAAGGGTATGGGAACCTGCCTAACATAATAGTGGTGGAGAAGAGACCTCCAGGTACCTTAGGTACCTTTAAAAGTGCCCGGTCCCTACCGAGGCTACCTATTACGGATTCGGCTGAATATCGGGCCCACGGATAACTTGTGGTCACCGAGCCATTAACACAGAGAGACTAATAAGGCCACCAGCCAAGGAGTTTCATAACTTGGCGAGCGCTCTCCTATTACTAGCACGCTCTTCACAGGAGACGCGCGACCTCACTTCATTTCTTGTATATTTGGAGTCGTGTATAGCATGGGCCATATACATACTATAGGGATATCTATCATCACTTATCGCTAGACTCTGCCTACTTTACCGAGAAATCCATAATACTACCTACCTATAGCTCGTATTTTCGCGATCGTACCCGCCTCCCTTAAAGAAGAAATTAGCGCTTAGTCGTCCTTCGTTGGCGAAACGTCAAGGTGATCGTACGAGGAATTGTTAACTTATTACCGGGTACTCGGTACTGAGTAGTCTGAGCCAAACCCCTTCACCAAAAACTCTATTTTCCATCGAAGTCATTAGCTCAGCCATACAGTACATCTCTTGTAGTAAGTCTACCCGAGAGTTTGGGTGACATCGAGCATTGTGTTCGTTTTGGTCGGAGTCCAAAGCTGTCCTAGCTGCTACAGGGAGCTTACTGAGGTCGAATTTAGCCTCTGGTTTATCGATGCCGGTCCGTGTACTGGGTACTGGGTAAGATGCATGACGTCCAATTGCTTCAAAACTTGCCAGAGATCTTCTTGTTGCCGCTTCACGCTTCTCGATTAAGAGCATTCAAGTCTCGATCATTTACTTACCATCCACGCCACCGTTCCTTCTATCCAGTGCGCCACCTTGTTTCTTCAACCTATCGCCATCGCCATCCTGTTTGCCTGATTCAGTTGATCAGAACACATCAGGACACTGTCGGGTCCACGGTATCTCCACCCTGCGAGTCGCTAGTTGGTAAACCTGCGAACCCGACCACGGCCCCCAAATCCTTCGGCTCCAAATCCTTCCCACGAGCTCACGTTCATGTCTGAGCTGAATCCCGCGTCGATCCCCCTCAAGATATCTACCAAGTACTGTACTATAATCTAAGGGAAATGATCAAGGAGCGGCTGACTCCACGTGCTCCTATCGGCCGTACACGCCGCCGCCGCCTTTATCTGCGTGTCGCATGAGGCTCTCGAAAGAATCTATGCGTCCTACTTAGATAATCCTCGCGCGATGTTTGTTGTCCGAAGCTCAATGTTGGTGGGGACGGTGGTGAGTAATCCACGCTTGCACTTACACGAGGTTAGAGCTCAGACAACGGCGCAATCCTTCTTGACCCAGATTTATGGATACACGCGCAACGCTTCATGACTCCCCGGGTTTTGAATCCAGCCCCCAACTACTGGAATGCAAGCGCCAAATCTTGGTCTCGTCGACTGGAGTGGTGTGGCAAGATGTAAGAGAATCAGCAGCAGGCCAGTACTGCAGCTCACCTCCTTTTATATTGTACTGCTTCGCTTTGTCGTTTCCCGCTCCGTTGGATCACACTAGATCTTCACTAGATCTTCCTTCGCCTCCCCGTGTGTCTCTCCCTTGGGTAGAGCTCGCTTTCATTCATGGACAGTTTCCCTCATTAGTATTACACTCACTTTCCCGTGCATCTTATTCAGTGCCAAGCAGGATGGAAGAGTGATCATCCTTTGTTGCTGATGATCCGACCATGCCCAGCTCTCGATATGCGAACTTGAACCTCTTTGGGGGCTCTCGTTTGACTTCCAGCCCGATTTCGGACGAGCCCCTGCAATTTTCCAACGCCATCCCTGATTCCACATACAGCCCTCTACCGACCTTCTTCACCAGCGACGATGGTGCAGCTAGATCCTCGAAGAAACAACGGGTCCGAGTCAATGGTCAGAAAATTTCAGGCAAGTCAGTTGAAAGTGTCTCTTTCGGCGTTCCTGATCCACGTCGACCTCCCAGTAAGTTCGCTTGGACCCGTGTGAAATCAGGAAAGACTGAAGCGATCGTAGGACGTCGGACAACAAACAGTTCGCTATACAAAGTTGCCTCATCCATTCGTGACTTCGCCGTCTCTCATTTCGACGTCCCAAAGGTAGCAGCTCCGTGGGAGCATGAGCTATCCGAGAAATATGGCTCCAGCTTGCCCCCTACGTCCAGTGTCCGCTACTTTGACCATCGACGGCAGCGACGGAGGCTGTTTATCAACAGCAGTTTCCAGTGGCTCGTTACTGCTCTTATCTGCGCCCTGCTGGCGGGCTGTTTGTACGGCTTCTCCTCTTTGATAACTGGCCTGAGCGCGACGCGCAAGCAAGTCTTCAACGCCCTGGTGACCGGGTTGTCGTTGTGCTTGGGCCTCAATCTTGCTTCCTCGCTGAGAGGCTATGCGCAGATGATGCGCTGGCGTTTTCTCGCCTCGGGGTATCGCACCCTTCAGGATTTCGAGCTGGTCTTGAACTGCGATAGCCAGTCCAAGGTATTTCGCCTGATCTGGGCTGGGCGGACACGCGGAAGCCGCCTGCCGAACAAGACGCAGATCCTCGCCGTGGTGTGGTTGTTTATCAACATCGCCGTGTTGATCTTCACAGCCTTGCTCGGGTTGACCTACTCGATCGATGTCAGTTCTGACTATGTGCGCCTGACGTACGGAAACGTCAGCGTCGCCGACGTTTCTTATATCGGCAACGCCAAAACTACTGCTCTCTACGCCGGTAATGACTCAAGCGCAGCGTCCGTTCTCGCGGAAACATCGGTCGCCAATGAATGGGGGATTACCGGCCAGGACTTTCACGTCTGGGAGACCTCGTTTGACCAGTACTTCGGCATGCAGCAGTCAATTTACACCGACGGAAGCTTGTACTGGTATCGGTTCGTTGACCGCTCACCGCTCGCCTTTGAGCTGACGGTCGTAACCCAACGCACAGTAAACACCACTGCGACGTGCCAGTCATTCCCAGTCACGTACGGTGGCTACGCTGGCTTTCAAACATCCAACGCCTCGATCGCCTGGGACGTGACATGGGTCGATGCCAACGGGAAGGAGAATACCTGGTGGATCCCCGACGTCGCAACAGGCGCGACGACCTGGATGTCGAATATGACGAGCGACTGCGGGCCTCGATGCATACAAATCTTTGCTCTTCAGACTGCGGACAACGACACGACCAGCGTGCCCAAACCGCGATTCTGGAGCTGCCTGTCCAACGTGTCCCACGTAGACGGCATCGACTTGTACATCAACCCCAACCAATACCAAATCCCAGACGATCAAGCGCAGATCCTGGCCGGCGCGATCGGGTGGTCTGGGGTGTTGATGGAGTCAAGCGACAACGCCACGTCGAACAACCCGGAGACGCACATCCAAATGGTCAATTACCCTGCGTCCAGCCAGTGGAGTCCGCCGGGCAACATCACCGAAGATGAAATGGCGCAACTGGTCATGAAGTTCACCGCGGGGGCCATCTCGGCCATCGACGCGGACGGCCCGCGTCTCAACGTCACAGGCTATGGGCCAGCCCCAGCGCAGATCCTCACGGTACAATGGCAATACGCCGGCTCGATCCTGGGCGGCATCCCGCTGGCCCAGGGCCTGGTGCTCCTCGCGGTGATCACGTTCGCGAACAAAGCCATTATCAAGGACACGAGCTACCTGGGCATGGCGCGGCTGTTGAGGCCCGTGGTCGACAAGCTGGGCGACACGGGCTGTCTGCTCACCGGGGACGAAATCGCCGAGCACCTGGGCAATCAGAAGGTGATTTACGGCGTCAGAGACCCGCCTGGCGCTACTGGCGGCACCGGAGACGACGTCGGGATGATCATTCGACATCTGGACATTGTCGAGGAGACAGAGGGTCTGGGGTACAGGAGGGGACGGATGCCCGAGGGGAGGTACGATGGTGTGCATCCTGTCCGGGAAGACGAGATGGAGCCATTGTCTTTGTTGGAGAGCAAGGGGCCCGAAGTCCTACCTTCACGGGAGAGCGCGCAGAGCGCGACGGGCAGATGTGACGACGAGGATGGCAGAGGACATGCCCTAAGATCGAGAAGGAAGTGCACGAGGCGCAGGATGAGCATTTGATTGAGTGAGGGCATTGACGAGGCCGCAATGCAGTGCGATGACTTACGACTTTGCGCCCGAGCACGCAAATCTATGATGGCATACACAAGATACTATGTACCAAGGACAAGTATATTCCTTAAATATACACTCACACATAGAAATATAACTTCTACCCTACTGTCCACGGCCACATGAACATGATTCCTCGATTGGTTCCACGGTTCTATATATATCCCTGAAGTGCTAGTATATGCCACGTATAGCTTCTAGATCTAGCGTCCATGTATGTCCCAATCTTGTTTGTGAGGATGATACCGTGTCTAGCTTTGCGGAACGGCTCTCCTCCAGGTCCTGTCTTCCATCGACGTACACGAGTTTGCCCTAGCCACAGTCCCTCCCATGGTAACCACATAGTTCGCCTTCTGAGATGCGTCCAAGGAACCAACTTTGATTGGATCTCGGATGGTCTGATGATTTGTGACTCGCCATGCCTGGTGAAACGCGGAGCAAAATTTTCTCTCGGTTGACCGAGTCAACACCCCCGGATGGGCGCAGCTGCAATCATAACTTTGCGCCCTTCGGCTTCCTCTCATACGGCCCACCGATCATCTTCTTCCACTGCTCATCGAGACTCTGCTTCTCAACCAGACTCTTCTTACCCCACGTCCGATTGTACTCTTCCTCGTCCTCCCGCCAGATCTTCATCTCACTTCCAATCCAGTCGCACGCATGCTGCGCCGTCCGGTCCACTGCCTCCATGGCAATTAGATGGCCCAGGTCGTCGAAGAGCACACTCCGCACCCGTCCTACGGGAGCGCCTCCGCTCCCTCCAATGCCGACGCCTGTATGGTCCATTTTCGCCTTGCAAGCGTCTGGGGTGCCCACGTCGGATTTTCCGCCGAAAACATAGAGCACGGAAGGTCGGAGTTCTTCGAGGCGGAAGAAGGTATTGGGTCCTTCGGCGCGATAGAACGGGTAGATGGTTGGCAAGGCTGGGTTTAAATCGGGGTGGGTTTTGCGATTGACCGGATGACCGTTATACCCGTATCCCTCGTAGTTCGGGCGGAGGAAAGTGAAGACTTCTTGTGGAACTGGAGTTGTCAACGTTACCTTGGGCGAACCATCCTTATTCTTTGATTCGTCAGGGTGGAGGATGGTGGGCATGTCTCTCAGGCCGTATTTTATCCATCGATCGAGGACACGAGGATCCCATGCTTGATAGAATTTGCTGGATTTGAATGACTTTGCAGCTTCTTCACGCGAAGGCCAGACGTCGCGGCGGAATGTGGATAGACGGGCTGGGCTCGGCCCTGCGTTTGGTGCAACAGAAGAGTATACCTGGATCACAGGATCGATAAGGATTAAAGTGGTGAGAAGACGGGGGTGGATATATGCTAATTGGACCCTGCGAGGAAGTCAGTAGGCATCGACCTGAGATAGGGGGACGAGCTTACAAGTGATTTCCTCCCATTGAATGGCCAATGCCTATGATAGGCCGTGGCATCTGGTCTCGCTTGAGGTTGATCAGGTGTAATAAATCTCTTGGATGGTCATTCCAGCAAGGGTCATTCCCGAGCAATCGCTCATTCAGTACACTGCTGTGTCCCTGCTGTGCGACATCGGCAATCCATATACTCCTTATACGAAAGCCATGACTTTTTGATCGAGCATGTATATCATCCCATAACGGCTCATATAGCTCTTTGGGGAAGCCATTCGCATGTGCTCCTAAGATTGTGACATCTCCAGGCTGCGGATTTGGGTTGTCTTTTGGTATATATTGCTTCACCGCTAGGTGTAATACATCTTCCTGTGAGCCTGCTGTGGCTCGGGGGTACTCTCGGATATGTTGACAGGGAATGGAGTGTTCGACAACGTGGAAGGACGACATTGTTGGGAGAGGACTGAGTCTTCTTTCAGGATCCCAGCAGTGGCACTATGATAACGAGGAGATATATCCAGCCATTGGCAAAGAAATTCTCTCGAACAAGGTTCTAGTCCTGGAATATATGGGCATGCCCTCAACTGCGACTAGAAAAGGTCCCTCTGCCGTGCCATTGGGACTCGAGAGCGCAAGCTGGAGAATTGCCGAGGTTCTTGCCACATCTCGGAACCGGAACCCACCAAGGCTGTGGAGGTGGCTAGACGTGTCGGCAATCTGCAGTCTTTTGCTCGTCGCAGTGCGATCTCTTGGAGCCCCCGAGAGCAGAGCCTTGTTGTCTACGGCGTTTCGAAAGACTATAACAAGTGTACTTGTTAGAGGGGCATGTCCAACAAGCCGACACATTGACCGGAAAGAGCGGAGGGTGACGAGGCCGCCAGCCTTGCACGTGATTAGGCGCGGAGCCTCTTTTTGTCTGACGATGATGAAACGCGTCTATCTCAGTCTCGACAACCGCGTCGCATGCGCTGTTAACATCTCCTTGCATCTCCATACGTATGCAGATGTTCCAACTCCCAGCACATTATCCCACAGTCGCGCCTGAATAATGTGAAAGATCTTTAATCCATGAGCATTTCTCCCTGGGACAGTGGCTGTCATACTTCGTAGCTTCATCGGCACAGACTGCATCCGCCGTCGCGAACATGGATAACGATCGGGCTGCGAGTCAGGAAAAGAAGCCGGCTCTCTTCGCCCAATGTAGCTTTGCGATCATTCGCACTGCTGCCTTTTCGGAAAAAGATGCTGAGTCAGTACGTATTAGGACGTGATTCAAGGAGTTTGGGGAGGCAATTTCCACTGACCAAAGTAGATGGCAGCCGAGCTGAGACTACACGATGGCCTGGTTGTGATTGACAACTATCCAGAAGCTCGTCTGGACCTTCGAGGCATCACCCATGTTATCTCTACCACCTACGACTTTCCCGACTACAACTCCTGCTTCGACGCTCTGATTCCTGTCGTTAGGCCCACCTGGGTTCAACATTCCCTCGCACGGGATAGACTTCTCAATCCACGTCAATACAGTCCTGACCCTCGCTACTTCATGTCAGATGTTGTCGCTTGTGTTGCCGACCTGCCGCAAGGTGACGCTGATGCAATAGCGGGGGGAATACTCGCCATGGGAGGCGTGTTCTCTACGAAGCTCACAAGCCAAGTCACCCACATCATCGCCTTGTCTATGGATTCAGAAGCTGTCACAGTTGCGGAAAAGAAGAAACTCCCTGTGAAAGTCGTGTTACCTCACTGGGTGGACGATTGTTTGAAGTTGGGAAGAAAAATTGGCGAGGATCCCTACATGCTTCCAGACTCAGAGATCACAAAACCCGCCACCGGCAGGGCTCCTAACGCAAGGCGCAAGACCGAGGTGGATGGGGCTGCACATCCCGACCCTGTTCAATTGAAACAAAATCCCAGTCCGCCGCGGAAGTTGCAGAAAGTTTTCAAGAAGAAGGCTGTTATGCTAGCGAGCGACTTGGGTATTTCTCCATATCTGCGTGGCATCCTGGATGGTCTCATTACAGCGGGTGGCGGGACAGTCACGGACTCGGTGTCTCAAGCCGATATGTACATCTGCAAGTATCGAGAAGGGAGGGATTACAAGACGGCCTCGAGGACCAGGAAAGATGTGGGAAATCTGTCCTGGCTCTACTTCCTGATACAGACTGACGAGTGGACATCCCCAATGCGACGCATGTTACACTATCCAGTGGCCAAGGATGGACTTCTGGGCTTTCGTGGCCTGGTCATAAGTCTCTCAAACTACACCGGTGAAGCTAGAGCGTATCTTGAAAATCTGATTGCTGCCACCGGTGCCACATGCACCAAAACCCTCAAGCAGGACAATACTCACCTCATCACCGCCCACGACCACAGCGAGAAGTGCGCGGCTGCAAAGGAATGGGGAGTCCACATCGTCAACCATCTCTGGTTAGAAGAGAGTTACGCACGATGGAAGATGCAAAGCATAACCGACAGCAGATACACACACTTTCCTCAGCGCACAAATCTCGGCGATGTTGTTGGCTACACTCAGTTGGATCGCAATGTCCTCGAGCAATATTTCTTCCCTGATAATGACGCCGAGACGACGGATGCCGCTGATAATGAACCAACCAATCAGGCAGATCAAAATGCAGGTGAGGCTAAACACCCGCTGTCTACGAGAAAGATCAAGAACGAACAGACACCCAAAGCTGGCCTCACTAGTCGGAATCCTCAAACCCCAGTGACCTCCAGATTGGTTGTACCAGGGAAGGAAAACATTACCCCATCAACAACAAATAGTCGCAAATCCAAAGAAATTGCAGCGTCTCGACTGCACGCGCAAGCTGAAGATATCCTTCTCTTCAACAAGGAGAGTAAACGTAAGGGTGGCGTTATCTATGGCGGACGGCGCAAATCAGATCCTGATCGTATTCAACTGGGTCGGAAGAGATCGATGGATGAAGTAGACGGTGCCGATGAGTCAGACGATAGCGATGCAAAAAAGGTCAAACGCGAGGATGCTCCCAGCATTCGCCTGGTCATCTCTGGATACAAGAAGTGGGTCAACAACGCCAAAGGCGAAGATCGTGACAAGGCAAGGATATTCTGCATCCACGTCTATGCCCATAGCGCTAATATTTTTTTTTTAGAAGCAACTTCGCAACCTCGGGATTTTCGTGACTACCGACGCCAGCAAAGCTACCCATCTGGCAGCTCCTAACATTGTTCGGACACAGAAATTCGTGACCGCCCTTGCTTACGCGCCCTTGGTTATCTCGACGGACTTCATTGATGCTTGTCTTGAGAAGGACGAACTACTCGATCCAGAGCAATACAAGCTCCGCGACAAAGACAATGAGAAGAAGTTTCACCTATCTCTAGAAAAGTCTCGGCAGCGGGCCAAAAAGAATGCGAATCAACTTTTGCAAGGCCGGTGTATTTACTGCACGGAGAATATCACTGGGGGCTTTGACACGTTCAAGGCAATTGTGGCAGCCAATGGCGGGCGGTGTATGCTCTGGAAGAATCGCAAGGGCACAACTGTTCCGTCCGGACGAGCAGACAGCGAAGCGTCTACGGATACCGACGTCAACAATGATGTGTATCTGCTTACTGACCACGGCAAGGAAAATCAAGGTCTATGGTCACGGTTCAGAGAAATGGCTGAGGGTAGTCGGAAAATACCGAAAATCCTGGCGTCAGACTGGCTGTTGGAAACTGCAATGTCTCAGGAGATACGACCGACCAGGCCCTACGAGTTGTAGGGATTCCGAAAATGATAACGTGGTCTGTGATGAGCGAAATGAGTGATTGTTGCTTGCGCGATGGCAGAAGGCATTGTCCTCCTGGACTGGATACCATTCAGAAGAACTTGACACCTTGCTGATCCTCTGATCCAAATACCTGCGCCTTTCCCTTCTTGACCAGCGTATTGAGGCTCTTTTGCAGCACTTCTGTATCCAGTCCATAAAACTCCTGCTTCTCCGTAGTTTCACCCTGGACCAATTCATAAAGTGTCAACACAGTGCCCTTCTGACCAGTTTCTTCCACCCAGTTCGCGATGAGGGTCGCCCACTCTTCGGGTTTCCGCCACCAAATCCAAGCCACTGACTTGTCAGGGCCACGCCATTCAGCTCTCTCGTCACCGTCCTTGCTAGCCATGTAATCTATCACAGCCTTTGCATCCTTTAGACTGAGTCCCTTTTTCAATCTCGCATTATAGAATAGCGGACTCTGAAGGGTGTCGATGACCGAGAGTTGGAAAAGATGGTAATGTCGGCAGTAGCGCTGGATGAATTCGGACCATTTTTTCAGTTGGGCCTGTCGCGTTAAAGAGGCGGGCTGGGGACTGAAGAAAGGCGGAAAATTGTAACTCTTTCTGAAGACCGATTCTGGGAGGTCCTCATGTGATGGCTGTTGTTGGCCAGGCGCAGCAGACGCCATTGCTGTTTTGTTGGCTGTTTCGATATCTGGTGATTGTCACCGCATATCCTTCAACCCGGGGATCCGCATCTCGTTTTTAGTCCCACGTCAAAAGAGCGCCCATAGTTGGTACTTGTACTTGCAAACTGACTACCGCAGAGAATCTAATAAGAGTATGTGTACGGAGTATCTGTATCGACAACAAGAATAATCCCTTTCCTCATCGCCCCGCCTGAAGAAAAAGGTCGTATTTGGTCGTCATATTGGATCCGGGAGACGGAGTAACTGATTTTCCGCAGTCTTGGCGTCTCGCTGCGGTCACAAGCCACCAACTCGTGCGGTGCCTCTAGAAGTCGCGCCTCGCCTTCAGTGGCATTCCCGCGTTCCCCAGTCCAAAAAGAACTTGTTCATTCGCATCCCCTCTGGCAGCCGATATTCAACCACCACTCAACTCAGTGCGTGGACAGACTCCAGCGCGTCCTTAGATGAAAGCACAAAGCTCCAAAGCCGCCTGAACCCTCCCTCTCCACCTCCAATACCTCCTCGCCTCGTGCGCAGCCCCTTCATCATGCCGCGAAAACGTACCAGAGACGAGATGGAGGTCTCGGAGCCGGAAGAGAAGAAATATGAACCTTCTCTACTCCAGAGGATACGAAATATGTGGGAGTTCGCTACCGTCATGCAGTTTATCTTCTTCTTTGGCAAGGCCATCAAGATCGACGAAGACTTTGACATCGAGGTACGCCTTTACACGACCTCTACCCACATGAATTGATCACGGAAATGTCGCGGCGGAGTGGAACTGATGCGCGGGATGGCTAATTCTCACTTTGCAGGACTTCGAGAGTGAGTGTTTGAAACCCGGTTATTCTGAAAAACTCGAGGAAATCGGCCTCACCCTTCTCAAATGGATCTCATCCCATAGAGGTCTCAAGTTTGTTGACCCTTGCCTGCTGGACCCTGCACATCATTAATCTAGATACAGTTACGATATCTGGGATGAATACACCCGCCGGCAGTACCTGGCCAAGGCTCCTCGCCTGAACCCCTACGGTGACGAGGAAGAGCCCAAGCGGTTTCGAGACTTCGACATCTTCACGAAGATTAGAATCCTCCACCAGCTCACAATATGGACATTTTGGAATCCCGACCGTATAAGGGAAAAGATGACGGAACAGCCGCGCGAAATTGATCAGACTGAATGGGTAAGTTCCCCCGGCAAAGCACGTGCGCCACAGTGATTCTCATATCTCCCCAAATAGCGCATTGAAGAGTTTGGCTACGACAGGCATGACCGCCTTTACTACCTTCTCGACGACAACCGCTTTTACCGACGGACTGAACCCCCGTTGCCGCAAGCTCCAAAGGGAAAGCCCAAAGCAAATTCCAAGAAAGCCATCGCCGCCAGACGACGCGAGAGCAAGCGGAGAAAATTGGAAGCCGAAGCTGCCGCCTTTGCCGCCGCTGCTGCCGCCGATGGTGAGGAAGAGAATGAGGAAAACACCGAGGAGACAGAAATTGCTGAAGAGGAGAATAAACTTGAGCCCTGGGAGATCAACACCTTTGGTGGTTTCAAGTGGGAATGCCTCTGCATCACCCTCGCCGATTACCAAGAACTGTGTGAATCCTTTAAAAAATCCAAAGACCCCAACGAAAAGGCTCTACGAGAGCGATTGATAGAGGAGGTCATACCTATCATTGAAGCCGCCGAAGAGAGACAGCGTCGTAAGATAGAGCGTCGTGAGAGGGAACTACTCATGATGGAGAGAATGGTCGGAGCAAAGCGGTCAAGTCGACTAGCGGACAAGCACGAACGAGAAAGAAGAGAAGCTGAACAAGCTGAAGCTGAAAAGAAGAAACAAGCGGATCTGATCGCCGCTCGCCGCGAGCAGGAAAAACAAGAGAAGATGGAGCAAGAACGGCAGTATCGCATGATGACCCGAGAACAACGGATCAGGGATCGCGAGCTCAAGCGGCTGCTCAAGGAGGAGGAACTCGCCAGAGATGCACTCGAACAGAAGCGCATTGAAGAAGGGGAAGCCAGAGGATCTGACCGTGCCCTCAAGCAGCGAATAGAGCGGAATAAGAAAGAGCTCGAGGAACTCGAGGCTGGGGAGGATTGGACCTTTGACTGCTCCGGGTGCGGAAAGTACGGCAAGAATTTTGTGGGTACCATGCCTCCCACTGTCCATTCGGTGACTAATGTCTCTGTAGGATGATGGCTCTCACAGTATTTCGTGTGAGAGATGTAACATCTGGCAACACAGCAAATGCTTGGGCATCTCCAAATCGGCAGCGGAAAAGGATGACTTTCACTTCATCTGTACAGATTGCAGACGTAAAGAAGAAGATGCAAAGAGGCCCAAGATTTCCCTCAAGTTCCGCGTGGGCGCATCCTCCTCGCCAGTCCCACCAAGTCCTGTGCCTGCCACGTCCAAGGCCGTCGCCGCTGAAGTCCCCGTGGAATTCGCTGCTCAGTCACCCAGGCAAGGTGCGATGACAAACGGCCATCAGTATTCTCCATCGAACCAGCTGGCTAGTCCCTCTCAGCGCCTCCCATCCGCGCAGATGAATGGCGTCCATCCCCAGCAGCGTTTCGGTCCAACTCAGCAAATGTCTCTTGGTCCTGCTCAATACCAACTGGCGTCAACAAGCCCTCGACAACAACAGAACTTCACCATGCGCCCCATACAGCCTTATCCCTCGGGATTGAGCACTGGTGCGGCTAGAAGCCCGCCGCCTCCAGGGCAAGGTAATCATCCAGTCTTTTACAACAGTACTCAACATCAAAACGCTACTGGGCAAAGGCCGTTGGCGCCCTCACCGATTCCCAGACACCCACTTCAAAACTCCAGCACACAAGTGGTGCCGAATAGTGGACGTCTCCCTTCTCCTGTGGTTAATCGCCCTACCATCTCACCCACTCAGGGAAATATGGACGTCGGCCCTGTTGCAGGGATTCCTCAGAAAGCACACCAACTCCACCAACAAGCTGCAAATGGCGTGTTTAGCCCTGCCAACGGTTCGCCCTCACAACCTTTAGGCACCCCTCGTCCAACCTCTCAAGACCAACCTCAACCTGCTCAGACGCCCATTTCCAGAGCTCCAACTTACCCACTGTCCGGCCTCTCGCCTAAGAAGCAACAGACTCCTGGCCCTCTACCGCCTCTCCCCTCCGCCAGTCCTCAGCATTCGAATCCCATCTCCTCACCACCCACTTCATCGTCATTCCAGCAGACGATATCTCCAACCGCTAATATCGAGATTATCACTCCCTCGACTACTTGTTATGCTGTTGAAAAACGTGCGGTCAGTGGCACACCTATTCTTCCTCCGGTTGAGAATCTCCGACCCAGCCCGGAACAGCTGAGGCATATGAGTTCCACGGAGCCAGTACCGACACCGAGTAAGCAGTCCCCCCCTCAGGCACAAGTACAGGCTCAGGCTCGAAGTCAAGCCCACATCCAGCGTCGGCCTGACGACGAGCTTCAAGCAAAAAAGCAAGCCAACTCAGAAGGCGGTGGAGTGGATGGTACTACCGAGCTTGTTGCCGTTAATGAGAACGGAGTCAAGGCGACGGAAGGAGGTTCACATGTGAAAGCAAATCTGGGGTCCAAACAGGATCAGAGAACGGACAATGCCGCAGTCATGAGTGATGTCGAGATGCAGGACGTAAAGTGAAACCCGTTTTGGATCTCACGTACTCCTTTGGTCCATCTCACAAGGACATGGAACACATGATTGAAGTTTGACGGAGTTTTGTATGAGTACAGACAGCGCAGAGCATAACAGAGCAGAGCACCTCGACAGGTTGGACCACACAGCCTCGCGAGCCATGAGCTCTCGCATGGTCATTATTATCATAGGAGTTGGAGTACGTACTCTCAAGACGAATTAGCCATGCACGGCTGGACCGAAATGAACGAAGATAAGACCAGACAAGACGAACAACGAGAACGAAGCCCGAAGACAGACGAATTCTGCGCTGCTCGTGCCGTGCCGTGCGGAGTACCTTGAATGATCAACAAGGTACGAGGCAGTTTAAACTTGAATACCAGTAATATCTACTTGTAGTTTTGTGCGTGGTTTCCGCCGCTGATCGATCGGATCTGCGTGGGATCTCTGTTGAAGGACCGATGCGGATTGACGAGACCTTCATGTACTGGTAGTTGTTGGTTGACCTGACTGGACCAGAGCTGGTCGCCTGGCCGGATAACTATGTACTAGTTGTGGCTGCTTCTGTTGCAGCTGTTGCTCCCCCAGCATGCGTGGCTTTCTCTCTCTTGACCGCGCGCACATATTTCAAGACGTCTTTGGTTCGTCCATAGACGCCTAAACTGGGCAACACAGCACAGCACATGACATGTCTGGTTCTTCTGTTCCGATAGAGAGCACAGGGGCTTGGTGGTTTGGTGGGCCCATTAATTCCAGACCCGCCCATTGTGCACTACGACGACCTTGTGCACTTTGTCCGCCGACTGCTGCAACGTGCCGTTGACCCAGCCCTCGATGCCTTCCTTCAGGAGGCGCTGGTAGTTCTGGATCGTGGACTGCGTGAACCACGCGATGTGGGATGCTGAAAAGAATAGTGAGCGGGATGTTTCATCCTGGGGAAGGAGGACGAAAAGGGACAGAGAGTCAGAAGAGAAACACTCACAAATGGTCAAATTCGGCACCTCGTCTTCCCCCTTCGCAACGTCCGGAATCAGCGGGCTCGTGCCTGGACCTCCAGGCTCCGTCTCCAAGACATCCGTCGCGGCGCCGGCGATCCAGCCCTCCTTCAACGCCGTCGCCAGGGCGCGTTCATTGACGATGCCGCCCCGCGCGATGTTGACAACCAGTGCGTCCTTCCTCATCATGCGCAGCTCCGTTTCGCCGATCAGGTCGATCGTGTCGTGGTCCTTGGGCAAACACACCCCGATCACCGTCGCCCTCTTCAAGACTTCGTCAAAGGACGCCCTCCCCGGACGGACAGTCGAGGCGTTCTTCCTCTCGCTGACCAAAACCTCGCCGAATCCGACGGACTTTGCAAGTGTCTCGAGCCTGGTCCCCAGAGTCCCGTACCCCATGATACCCAACGTCTCTTGTCGACAGCCCATGGGCGGGCCAGACGGCCACATCTTTGTGAGGGTCCCTTTTTCGAGCCACTCGTTCGTCTTGGTCGTGGCGTTGTGCACCTCGACGATGCGCTTCCGCGCTGCGAAGTACAGCCCGAGGAAATGCTCCGTGACGGCGTCGACATTGCCGCCGGGACACTTGGTCACGGTGACGCCTCGCCGTGCGCAGTCCTGCTTATCCACCCACTGGATTCCCACGGCCATGACCGCCAGAATACCCAGATGAGGGGCCTTGTCCATGTCATGCGGCGTGACTGGGACCACACAAGCGATGACAATCGTGGCGTCTTTGATGCGCTCGGCGACTTCGGCCGGGGTGGTGCGTGGGTAGATGTCGATTGTGTGGGGGAAGTCGAAGCTGGGCATGCTGGCGTGGATGCCTTCGAGGACGACAATGTGGTGCTTGTCCTTGCCGGGGGGCAGGGCCCCGGGAGTGAAGAGGGGGGCAGAAAAGCCGTTGGTGGTCATGGTGTAGGATGGAAAGGGTGATGATGTGAGTGAGCGCGGATGGTGATGATGATGATGTTGTTGTTGCTGTTGTTCAGGTTTTGTTCTTGAGGCCCTGTAGCCGGAGAGTGAGAAGAAGTTCACTCTTCCGTTAGAATGGAGCCTCGATCTCCCAGGTGAATGTGCCGTTCGCCTCGACAAAGTGAATCTCCAACCCGTCCTCGCGTGCGTGGATGATGTTGCTATGATTGTTGTCCTGAAGAGTCCTCCTTTCCAAATCATCAACAGACGGTCGCAAACCCAGTTTGGTTGATGGTCGTTTCCCCTGTTTCCTCACTTTCTGTTTCTGCGTGACTTCTCTTTTCTTTTCTTTTCTTTTTTTTTCTTTTGTCTTTTCTCTTTTCTCTTTCTCCTCCTTCTCCCTGCTCTTAGGTCCAGGGGGGAAACACCCTTCAAAGCGAGATGGGAAGGAGAGCTCAGCCGCCTGCCCAAGATCGGGACCTTCTGCAGAGAGTCGGGTATCCAGAAGAAAACCTAGGAAAAACGTACACCCACCTACCTACCCGTCTGTCTGTCTATCTGTCTCTCTATCTTTCTATCTTCTCTTCTATCTATGGATGGCGGAGACCCCGTCCTTCGTAGAAAGTGTCACGAAACGATAGATAGCGAGCGGCTTGGTTTGAATTGGACCAGTGTTTGTTTATATCCGAGATCCAACGAAGAAAAAGACAGAAGAATTCTAGTTGAACAAAAAAAAAAGCACCAAGGAAGGGGGGGGTAGTATCAATGGATGGATATAGGCGAGGTTCGTATCTACATACTTCTCCCCATGGTGATTGGTTGCGCCCTAACGACGACAAGATTCCCACTTCTGACTTTTTCCAAGAAAAATGTTGACAAAGCCGGGCCGTGTTTCTCTCTTATATCCTATGTCCTGAGCCGATCCTGTCTCCACCACGGATGATCCTTCAACACCCACTGTCAGCTATCTAGACCACTGCCAGATTGGGTACGGGGAATTGTTAGAACTTTGAGGATGCAGCTCGAGGCTCTGCTTGTGAAAAAGTGCCTCGGCTATACAAGGCGCCGGCCGATACCAGCTTCAATCATCAATTGGTGAGTAAAATTGAACATCGAATTGGGTATATATGGTTGCACACTTTCGTATCACCGCCAGCGCAAGGTCAGCGAGAGCATAGGCGCTTGTGCGGGGATCCTGGAGTACGACATTTGTCCAGGATCAATCCCTTCTCCTTTTCTGTCCATAGATTGCTGCTCTGTGGGCACCAGAGGCATGGCCCCCATTACAATATCCGAGGGCGCATTCAAACTCCCTGTCCTCGGCCGATGCCGCTCTTTGACCGTCTTATTAATACAGACTCAGCTTTCGCATGAGACTCGGGAAATGACCCTCGCCCTCTTCTTGCCTCTTAATGTTCGCCGCCACCTGGCTCTCCAGCGTCTCCGTTTCAATTTGGCCGAGGATCGTTTCGTCGTAATATTTGTACAAGGTGCCGCCTTCCGTCCATATCCGTCGTAATGTTACCACCGTCGCCAGCGCCGAATAGATCTGGTATTCCTCCTTTTCAATCTGTTTTAGCCGGTCGAGCGATGTGTATGATTTCTCCCACTGACTTTTCGTCTGTCGTTCGTATTCGGCGAGGATTTCGTGCGGCGTGGCGGTGAATGAATGGACTATTAAGGTGGTGTTTCGAGATGCGGTGGTGTTGATGAGTGCTGCGACGACGAATTTGCCGACACTGTGACACGAGGCCGTTTAGCATATTATCGAGGGGGGTGGTAGAAACGTACTCAGCCATGGCCGTAAAACTGACTGGCCCATTACCATCTCCCAGCAAGACTGCCTTTTTCTCCTTGACATCAAATTGTCCCAGCTCGGGGCGAGCCATCATGGTGCCAAAGTATAAGTCGCTGTAAGGACCCGTGACCAGGTATGTGTGTTCCAGTCTCTTCATTGTCTTCATATGTGCGCGCACTTTTAACTTGAGCTGGTGAGGCGGCTCGTGGGCGGACTCGGGCCAGTATTCGATGTCGGTGCCATATTCCGAGGTGAAGAAGCGGCGCACTCCGACCTGCTCGGCCCAGGTAATCAAGTTGATTTGCTTTTCAATGCCCCCGCGGCCGACGCAGGACACAATGGTGTCGATGCCTTTTGAGTAGGTCGTGTGTCAGTGATCTGAAAATGTGTGCAAGTGTGTGCAAGTGTGTGCGCGCTGCATGCTGCAGGCCTGCCGGTCTCGGCGAGATTGACGTGTGTAACATACCTTCATACGCTCTCTTGACCGCCGACTCACTCTCCAACCTGCCCGTGAAAATTTCTACACCCCAAGCCTCCAACGCAGCGATATCCTGCACCTTCTCCACCAGGGTCTTCTCACTCGTCAAGACGCATATCCGCTCAAATTTTTCCCTTGCGTCGACAATAGCCCGCGTAATGTATGTGCCTATAATGCCAGTTGAGCCGATGATGAGGATGTTGCGGGTGGGCTGCGCCGCGTAGGCCGGCATGGCCGTTGGGAGGGTGAACAGGCGGGGAGGATCAGGATTGTGGCGTTTATTTTTTTTGGGAGGGGTAACCGAGGATACGGCTCGATGCTAACTAAGACCGGGTGCTTAGTTTTGGATGGCTGGTCGCGCCGCGGCCAGGACTCTCAGTTGTGCACGCGAGAAGTTCGAGTACCTGAGGGTTGACTGCAGAGGATTGGATGTGAGTGGGGGACAAGCTAAGTAAAGTGCTGACGGTGGATCGTGGATCGTGGGTGGCGGGAGGTCTTCGACGTCGGTGTGAAAGAAACATCAAAGGCACATAGACACTGTCGCAGATGGTGGAGAGGTGGAGAGGTAGTGATGAGGTCTCTGATGGGCAACACGGTATATAGATGAGAGCGTGTGGATATATGTGTGCAAGGCTGCGACGTGGGGTGAAGCTGAGATGCAGGTGGTTGTTGAGGCCGTGGTAGTACTAACGGTGACAACAAAGAGGTGGTTCCGAATTTGGCCCTCGTACTCGTGTTGGGCTTTCCTTGACCGGATCGTGCTTGCGATGGGATTGAACAATGACGCCACGAGACAGAGCTGAATGTAACGGACAGCAGGAGACCTTCTTTCCCAAATTTAGCCTTGCCTCGCAAGGCCTCCGAAGGGGAGTTCAAAAAGGGGCTAAAAAGGGGGGTGGGAGAGGGGGGGGGGGGTTTCCAAGCTGAACAAGAGCCTTGTGGTTACCGTCGAGGCTGTTGCAACCTCCACCTTCTTGCCCATCAGCTCATGGAGAAGCCTGCTCTTTAGGTATCATGGATGACATGTTTCATTTGCGTGTTGCTGACGCCCTTGTGTGGCAAGGCTCACACTCTGCTCGTCTACGACTATGTATACAAATATACTTCTGCCTTCCTACAAGTCCTCTCGTCCTAGCAAAGGATTGACGGCCATACGTAAGATGGCCTCGCTCTTTTCTCCTGATTTGAATGGTACGGACGCTGACCATTATAGCCGCAGCGACCCCGCGCCGAATTGCATATTCACCTTTCTCCTTCCAGCAGACTCGACTCCTCCCTCGGCGATGTACATATGTAGGTGACATCGGACTTTGATTACAACACCTTCAGCCTTCGCAAATATTCCTGTCTTGGGCATATTATACTTGACAGAACCACATCTGAATGGATCAAGCTGCATCAAAAATAAAGGTACCCGCCTAACAAGGGCCAAGGCCCTCTTCTTCTTACTGTACTACGTCCTCCTACTAGAAACAGTATTACCAGGGTGGCCACAGCCCCGCCGACATGGCCCCCATTCTCAAGTTGAAGCTAGGAAGAAAGTACGAGCACGATAACGAAATCGCATCTGCCTTGTCCGGATTCCCGGGTCCCCAACCCACCACGAAAGAAAGTCTCTCCGCATTCAGCCTGACGAGCGCTTCAGCTCCTGACTGTGCCATATCCGAATGGTTGGACACAGACTGGGGCCCCCAATCCACTCCCCGCACTACAAACGAGTACACGTTTGTTGACGCGTCCCTGCTCCTCACATTCTGTACTCCGTACATCCAACCGAATCCCCTCGAGGCGTCGAGTCAGGAAGACCGACTAACCTGCCTTGTCGATTCATGGGGGCCGTGGTCTCGATCAAAAGCAAGAAAACTTGATTGTCGTTGCAGAAGGTAGGATCAGGAGCCATGCTGTCATGCTCCCTGCTGATGAGCAGGAGCTTGGCGAGGCTCATGCTGCGCTGTGGCGGCTTGCGGCCCCATGCAAGTTGACATGAGAAAGAAGGCTGCCTGACGATCATGGCTCAACGGCGCTGGATGCTTGCCACCCTTGTATCATATCGTTGCGAGTGCACCTTCGAGTATATTGGATAGTCGCTTTTGTCAGTTTTCCGTTCTCTGGGGGTCGATCCTGCCTAGGTACCAGGCTGTGGGCCGCGATGGAGCCACCAGAGCAGTGCTGACTACTGGGCGTAGCCTGTTGTTACACGGCGGCCTATACCTCATGCACGATCAGCATATCATCTTTCCGGAACTTCCACAAGTCAGTGGGGTATCATATTGTTCAAGGGATTTGGCTGTCTGAATTCTTGTCTAAATCAGCAAAGATCGCCGAGTCTCAAGCCGGCTACCCTTGTCAGTGCCCTTTGGCACTGCGCCAGCGTCCCTGGTCGCAGATGCGGCCACATCAGGACAAAATAAAAATGTGCGCAACATACTTCTCCTCAGCTGTTCGCAGAGAGGAGAACCAAAAACATTTCCCGAAATGTACCGAGTACCGAACAGAGAGCAAAGAGGCAAAAACAATCAACAGTCAGGATTCCCAAGTGGTCACCCACCTTAGTACTAACTGACCGGCATGTGGCTTAAGTACGGCTGAGCGAACGGGAAGCCCTGTTTTCCACATCCTATGGTCGATTGCGAAAAGCTTTGCAACATTATGACTTATATTTCTTGTAGCTTTGTCAGAGAGACCAGCAAGGCGCGATGCTCAGCATACTTGTAGATCACGCAATGAATCGCCATTGGAGGCCCTCCAACACGAATACTTTAAACTGCATGCTGAGCCCCTGTGATAAGTCTAGAAGCCAACGGTGCGCCTATTAACATGCATGGCCTTGCTTAATCAAGTTGCTGGTGTTACCAGGTATTGAGCAGTCGAGACAAATTTCACAGGAAAAGAATGCTTTCCGGTGACGCTGCAACGCCATGATTGGAAATATGTGCTTGTACTCGTCTCAACCCAACTTGTGCCGTTGCTTCAATGTCTTTCTAGGTATCTTGCCCTAACAAGATTCTACACCTACCCTTTTGTTTCAAAACTGGCATGGCAGATTGGCTTCACTATGTCAAATCTCTTCAACTGCATCCGATCTCGAGTCAAATCCCATTAACCACTTGTCTGACCTGTGTAGATCAAGTTCAACCAGGCCCCTAATCGATAGCCAGCCCTGGCAATCTGGATCCGCGCAACGTCGTAATGCGCCTTGTAATAGGTGCCACTCAGATCGCCTTCCTCGACCGCGTCAACGCCCGCGGCGAGGACGTCGGCGCACACGAAAGCATTCGCCTCGCTGGCCCAGGCCATGGCCGTGGTTTGAGTCTCGTTCAAACTGACGCCATCCAGCCAACTGCCGGCATCCCATCCATAGTCGCCCGCCTGGATCGCTGTGGTAAGGTTTTTTGCGAATCCCTCGGCGTCCTGGCCGTCTGCTAATTGCTCCACAATCTCCGTGTCCCAAATATGGTGCAAGTTGGTCTTTTCGCCGTCGTAGGTGACGCTGATGGTGTTTCCTCCGACATCAAGCGCTTCGTCATGGAGAGGTTGATGAAGGTCTCCGACGAAATGAATGACGAACCGCATGGCGTCAAGTTTGGTCGAAGACTTGGACTTCTCGTCCAACAGGATCGATGTATAGTTCACAATGGCCGAGACGGAGCATCCGGCTTCACCGCAATCACGATTGTAGTCCACTGAGCAGGATTCTGGAGGGTTGTCCTTCGCATCGATGTAATGAAGTGGCGCAGACCAACCACCCCCACTGGTATACCGGTATGAATCAGCCCAAGTAGAGACATTGGCCATATAGTCCGATGCCGTGGAGCTCAAGATTGATTGGACTGATGCTTTTGTGGTAGATGAGACATATGATTGAGCAATCCACGCAATAGTCTCGTGTCCGAGTGTGCCCCAGGCATTCGTCAACCGGGTCAAGAGGAAGATTGTTGCAACGACAAGGGATGACAGCATGATTGCCGGATTGTTGTTTGTTAAAATTTTGCTGCCACTCTCACGACCAAGGTGGCCTATTCTTATATGAGAACCTCAGCCTTCTTGGGATGTTACAGCCGCGTCCATATCCAAACTAAGCTTTGGGCGTTCGAGGGCCAAAACAAACAATTCAGCTGTTTCAGAATGCATCGTTATCAGCATCGGAATACAGAATCGACGATCTCAACTTCCGAGGACCACTGGCACAGGCATATCGCCTGTAACCGTATTGGATGAAGACGAAGAGCCTCAATTTCCTCATGTTGTGCTGTCTGTGGCCAATCCCAGTAGCCGATAGCGCCAAGACCGGCTCTCCAAAACCGAAGGCTTCGCCCGGCGCCAAGAGAATGTTCTTTTTCCCGCAAAACAAAACCCATCGTTGCATTCAATCAAGTTTTTGCCGCTTCGCAAGCAGGTTCAATGCGGAGCCGGCGAGAATGAAACCACACTGATCCTTGCTCAAGGTATGGTTGACGGGGATTGTGAGGCTTTCTCCGTCCTTCTTCGTGACCCTCAGATTGATTTCGCCTTGCCCACCGTTCTTCAGAACATCCCACAATCCCTCCGTGTCGACGAGATCGCAGGCATCGATTCGACCATAGTCATCTTTGTTGGCAAAAGTCAACGGCACCACTCCCTGTTTTTTGAGATTGGTTTCGTGGATACGTGCGAAGCTCTTCGCTAGAATTATCTGGCCTCCGAGATACCGTGGCTGTAGGGCTGCATGTTCTCTGGCGGATCCCTCGCCATAATTGTCCTCAGCTACGACCAGCCAACGTTGCCCGTTTGCCTTCCATTTCTTTGCAAGTTCTGGAATGGACGACGTGGACCCGTTACTGTCGTATGCCACGTTGGTCTCGCCAGTCGCTGCGTTCACAGCACCAATCAGAGTGTTTTCAGCAATGTTAGGAAGGTGTCCCTTGTACTTGAGCCATGGCCCAGCGGCTGAAATGGTATCTGTGGTACACTGACCCTTGACCTTGTACAGAACTTTCAGGCCCTTCAGCTCGCCTTCAGGAAATGGCTCGAAGGGCTCTAGGATAGCCAGTCGATCGGACTCCGGGTCGACAACAACTGCCACACTTTGATCTGGTTCAGCAGCGGAAGGGTAGAATGCAGGATTGCCCATAGCGAAGCCAGACCCGGGCAGTTGTGCGCCTTTGGGAGGCTCGAACTTGAACTTCTCCCCCGAGGGCAAGGGGATCTCATCCGTTATTGGATTGAAGGAAGTCGACCCGGAGTATGAAATGGCCGTGACAATTTCCGGTGAGGCAAGGAAACTCATCGTTCGAGGATTCCCATCATTCCGACCCGGAAAATTGCGGTTGTAGGAGCAGATGATGGCGTTGTCTTCACCTTTCTTGACACCATCGGTCCTCTTCCATTGTCCAATGCACGGTCCGCAAGCGTTGGCCAAGACAATGCCACCAGCATCTGCAAAAGTTTCAAGCGTCTTGCTCTCCTCTAGTGTAGCGCGGACCTGTTCACTTCCGGGCGTGATGAAGAAATCGGATTTAGGCTTCAAGCCAGCGGCCTGTGCCTGTTTGACCAAGTCCTGAGCACGTGTCATGTCTTCGTACGAGCTGTTCGTGCAACTGCCAATCAAGCCGGCCGAAAAACTATCTGGCCACTTATTGGTCTTTACTGCGTCCTTGAACTTTGACAAGGGCGTAGACAGATCTGGCGTGAAAGGCCCATTGATGTGCGGCTCGAGTGTAGACAAATTGATTGTGATCTCTTGGTCGTACTCTGTACCTTGGTCGGCACGAAGGAAGTTATGTTTCTCGGAGCCATACGCAATGCCCTTGACCGCATCGACGATGGCATCTCGCCCTGTAGCGCGCAAATAAGGAATATGGTTCTCGGTGAAGGGGAAAATCGACGTCGTAGCGCCCACCTCCGCCCCCATATTGCAAATCGTGGCCATGCCTGTACAACTCAGGGTGTCGACACCAGGCCCATAATATTCAATGATGGATCCGGTCCCACCACGCACGGTAAGCTTGCCTGCCAGATAGAGGATCACGTCTTTCGGCGAAGTCCAGCCGTTGAGCTTGCCTTCTAGACGAACCCCTAGAATCCTTGGAGCTTTGAGCTCCCAAGGAGCGTCAACAAGAGCGTCGACTGCATCAGCTCCGCCCACGCCAATTGCTATAGCACCCAGTCCCCCAGCGTTGGGTGTGTGACTGTCCGTCCCCAGCATCATCAGACCAGGAGCAGCGTAATTTTCCAACACCGATTGATGTATGATGCCAGCCCCGGGAGGCCAGAATTCAATTCCGTATCTCTTGGCAGCGGATTCCAAAAAATCAAAAACCTCTTTGTTGCCTGCAATGGAATTAGGCAGATCCACGTCTGCACCCTTCTCTCCCACAATCATATGGTCGCAATGGATACTCGCAGGTACAGCCGTACTGGGGAGGTTGCATGTCATAAACTGGAGGATTGCCATCTGCGCAGAGGCATCCTGCATCGCGACACGGTCAGGCTTGAGCTTGAGGTTGGCGTTGCCGCGAATATTCTTGCCATTGTCGGTACCGGTTAATAGAGACTCGGAAGGGTTATCAAGATGAGAATACAGGATTTTCTCGGCGAGGGCGAGTTTCTGCCGGCCTAAAATGTCTCTGACATCCTCAAAGGTCTTCAGAATTTTCTGGTAAGGGGGAACCGCAGCTCGGCGCCGCGAGGGCAGCTGCGAGTGCTGCAGGGTGGCATAACCACGATGATACCATGCTCGTGCGCTAGAGTACGAGCCCAAATCCAGGGGGCATCTCACTCGCGTGGAGGGCACCCGGTGTAATATGACAGGCATCGTCAGGGAGTGCTGTCTGTGGGAGAAGCAGACTGCAAAGCGTTGTCTCCGAGCTCGGAGGGAATATGAAGTTGGAGAGACAAAGAAATAAATGCTGGTCGGCCCGAAGTTGTGCCGAATGCTTGGCACTCAGTAAACACAATCGGTTCCGGTCCTATTGGTAGCCTTGTCCCCTACTCAAGTACCAGCAAGGTACCGGTAACCTACGAGGTGTTCAGACCTAGCTTGCTAGGTACATAGGCCAGCAGTTACCCATTCGCCTTTGTACTGCGGCCAACCGAGTCACCAAAATCCGCTGAAACAACGCAGATCTGCTAGTGGTCCTCATAGCTACTGGAACGCGGTCGTTGACAGAAGACGACCTCCTGAAGAGAACCCATTGAAATGGTGGGAGGTACAAGTTGCGGACGTATTCCGACGCATGTACTCCAGCACATCCCTAATGCACTTCGCTCCAAACCTTTGACAGGAGAAAGGAATCCTATACTCTGGACCCTTTGAATACAATCTTCGGCCTCCAGGCAAATTGTTCCAAACACGAAGTGAGTTTCCAACATCCGGTCATGCACCCTGGAATCAAAGGAGGTGGTTTATATATACTGCGGTGAGTAACTGGAGCCGTAGATGGAGAAAGGAGAGCAACACCAGCCCCGTTGCCCAAGATCCAGGGTCGATTGTCAGCTCGGGCTTCAGTCGACAATACGGAGTACCCCCACACGTCTCCTAGCAGCCCCAAAGAGTCTAGTCTTCTCTCGCTTTGGAATAGACGACAAATCGCCACCTCATCTTGGGAAATGCTCCCGACAGAAGTTAAATTGACGAATCAACTTCGAATGACTTTTCTTTTCTTTTTGAGGTCCGGAGAGTTCAATCGAGCCGAGAACGTCATGTCAGCTATGTTGGGGCAAGCCACCGGGGGACCACCATTCCCCGCCTTTGAACGCCCCATTGCCTACCGAAATACAGGCCACTACCCAGGCCTAGGGCGTTTGACTTTTTACTAGTGGCTTGGTAGGTCGCCGAGTCCACATGGATGATTCTATTACTTCGTTCCTGTTTGTTCCTGCGACTCGCACACTTACGGAATCTTGTCAGAAGCCTCTGGCATTCTACAATGCGTTGGTACAGGACAAGCTTGAGCAGTGGGGCGCAGTTTCTGCGATATCAAGAATCGGCGCTGTTTCTCTGCCCATACGAAGGAGACCGCTCGAGCAGACCGCTGGCGTTTTGGCGGATTACGAGAAGCGGCTGCTCCGCTGGCCCAGCATCAGAGCGGTCGTGCTCTATGTGGCGTAACGCAATGATCACCTTCTACACCGCCTCGAGTCTACCCACCAATTCTTCTTCATGCGCGTACAAGTTGATCTTTAGCTTTTGTCGAGCCTGCGCAGAATCAAGAGACGCATCAGCTCCCCTCGAGGGAGATTGTGACACGCTAACACTGCGATAACTATTTGTGTGTAGGAAGCGAGTATTTGACGTACACACTCGGATTCTCAGCACGCCATCGACATTCACGTCCAGCATATACGAAGACTGGGTGTCAAGATGCCACACTGAAAGGGTTAGATCGGATGAGTATGCAGATCGTTCGAAAATTGATTCGCCAGAGCGTTCTAACTTAGGCTTTACCCGCCAGCACTTCTATGCAGCACCATGAGAACCTGTGGTTTGACAGCACGATCTCGGCTCCCACCCTCTCGGTTAACTCCAGCGATATCTTGGAAATTTCAGCCAGCCCAAAGACGATGGCAGATTCCAGACCTCCCGACCGATGCCTGTGTATCACATGTCCAATGACAGATTGGATGCCGCAGAATCAAGTAATTGTTGAAGTGTCCCCAACAGTCGCTTCCCCTGCTCAAACAGGCATGGGCCATACGCCATGCGTTTAATGGACAACATGGCATGCCTGCCATCTCTTTCAAAACTCATGCAATCAGAAGCGAAGGCCATCATCTAGAGGTTCAACAATCCCGACATATCAATTATAGATCAAGGTGGCTTGCGCAACTTGGAGGGCCCAGGAGACTAACCTGATGATTGCGGGTATCGACGGTCGATGCCAAGCGAGTAGGTACCGCATTCAGACTAAACAATACGAGATTGGGTAGTGAATGGCTCTATCGACCAGGGCGACCTCTCAGCTGATTTGAGCGACAGGTCAGTACCGTCTTCAGTTTTCCCGGCTGTCTCCCGGCTGCATGCTTCGTCGACCATCTGTGCTGTGGCCTGAGTGGAAATCAGCACCGTTCATTCGAAAACAACGGAGCATATCCATCAATCTTTCGCCTCTTTTCAGCTAGGATTCGCGGAATATGGCGTTTGATACTGCAGTCAGAGGGAGCACTTCTCTCTGCAAGCGAATTTCTGGCCACTTAACAACAAAACTCAAAAGTCGCAAAAAAAAAAAAAAAAAAAAGGATGATTGAGGAGCTGTTGCCTATAAATTCAAGCCATTTCCACCTCTGGCGGGTTTCATAGAAGCGTGCCAGGACCTTGGATTCACCAAATCGACCTAGGAGCGAAACACGACCACCATGGACAAAACAGTCGAGATTGTAGAATACAAAGGGAAGATCCCCACGTTAACCACTCTCGTGCACAGATTCCGAGGCAACCTGATAGCACGTTACGCCGAGAAACTTGGGTATAAGATTTCCGACGATGATTCCTTCGTCGTTATGAAGAAATGGTTGGACGAAGCCGACACCTCCGCAGCAAGGGCCTATGCATACCTTGAATCGCTCACCGATGTCCCAAGAAATCCGAAGGCCAATCCAACTGGCGGTGATGATCTTGTCAGCTCAGACTGGCTTGAGGCTGTGAAACCTTGGTTACATTGCCACTTGTGCATTACAGATAATGCTAAGCAATTGAGAATATACATGGGTCACCAACAACTCGGCACGGATAAAAAACAACTTTTAAGTGAGTGCTCCAAGCCAACTATGTGACAAGGGATTTCTACCAAGAGATGGATTTAATACGCGGATTCCTGTGGCTGCTGCGGCGAGGAGATGCAGTTCTTCCGCGAGAGAAGACCTTCTCTTGTCGAGGTTAAGCCATACACGCACCTCCTCTTCTCTCTGCATTTTCCTTGTGTATGGGTCATTTGATTTTCGCTCACTGACGCGGTCTTGAAATATTTGCAGTACATTTCATCAAGAAAACGGATGCCGGGCAGTGGGAATACGTGAAACCATGGGGACCTGTCAAGCCTACGCCGCCCCCTGAGAAGCCTGACCCTGAGAAGCCCGTGGTCCTCGCAATGGGTGCACCTCGTACAAGCAATGTCGACGTCAGCACCACAACAATGGACGACGCCCTCTTGGACCCTCGGCTTCTGGACGACTCTCCTCCACATCCTCTATCCACGGATGACACTCGGTTTCTAGAGAAGGCCGCCACAATTCTTGATGCTGACAATGGCAATGGCAACAGTGAACCATCTCAGCCTCCAGTTGCCCTGGGCGTGCTCCCGCCGAACCTTTTCAGCGGCTTTGGCGGGCTGGACGCGTCATGCGCTTTTGGGTCTCTTGAGAGTTTCAAAGCGAATGTGTTCGATTTATCCATCTCCAACCCGCTCAAGATATCTACATTTACCTGCACGGGATCCGACAGCAAAACAGCCCAGTACACCGTTCCAAGCTACCTCAACTTGACCTGGGGTACCGTATCCGAGTACTTTTCGGCGACTGGTACCTCCAAGGTCGACTTCATTCACGATCTTTCCGACACGATGGATCTTGGGTTCGACTTCTTCGGCTTCGGCGCCGAATTCAAGCGAACCTTTGACGAGCACACGAAGGAGGAAACCTTCCAGAAGTACATGGCTCAATACGACCAAGAAATTGTGTACAAGGTCGGTCTGAAGAACAAGGACGAGGTCAAGGAACACCTATCTCCTGATTTCAAGAAAGCCTTGGCCACCTGGACTGCGGAAAAGATAGTTGATCAGTTCGGTACCCATTTCGTGAGTCCTGTCCCTTGTCAATCATCACTCCCCGTTTTGTGTCAGTCTGCACCCAATTTCGTTGATGTTTGTGAGGATAACTCCTGGTCATAGATGACGGAAGCTTGTTTTGGAGGTCTCCGAATCTACTCATCCACATTGGATGAGTTGAACAACGTCACCAAGCATGATCTGGTTGATGCGATCGAGTTGAAAGTAAGTCTCCAAGCATGTTTAAGTTATCCAGACTTGCAACTTAACACGCAAATGTCATGTCTGGCGAATGACTAACAAACAATAATTGACTTTAGGCTCCTATCATCGACCCCGATACTGGAAAAAAGGTAGGGAACGTCAGCGCAAAACCAAATAGCGAAGACCATGTCGTCAACTCCATTCTGCAAACTATGGATGTACTTAAGACCAAAACCATAGGCGGCACTGCTCCAGATGGAGAAGCTTTGTTCGATTGGAGACAATCTCTGGCATCCAACCCTTCGGTTGTCAAGTACAAGGTCAAGTCCCTTGACACGCTGGTTGACGATCCGACCAAAAAGTCCGCGCTGCAGACAGCCATCAAGGCCCGTCTGGCGATGACTGAGCCAGTAGACGGTTGCAACGTGCTTGCAATCCGGGTCCCTCTCAAGCCATATTACTCGGACCGAGATTCTCGCGGCAAGCACGACATCAGCGTCGCTTACCCAGACATCCCAAAGGGTTGGTATGCTGTTGGCCAATTTGCCCAGCCTGCTGCCCTGGAGAATGCCTTCTACGGCAAAAGCTACTGTATTGCTGTGCGAGGCAATCCGAACTTCGACCTCGACCCGGACCGTGCATGCCCTGCGTTGTTCGGGGCGACGTCCGCTAAACGACGCTGGTACACCGAGCGCCAGGGCAACAATTACGGCATGTTTACTCCGGTCTTCGACAGCTCTTACCAAGACGACCTGCTCAAAAAGTACCCTGCCCTCAAGACGTCTCCGCAGGTGCCGCTGATCGACCAGTATCAGGCACTCGGCGATATTTTCGAGCCCGCGGTCGACCCACAGTCTATCCCTCGCACCTCGTTGGAAAACATCGCCTGCTTCCACACCAGCTGCTTGAAGGAGCTGCCCAAATTCCCTCCTAAAGTCTGGATTTGGGATGACACAAACACACATGGAACGCCCGACGTGACCGTCATGGGTGCCCCGAACTTGGAAATGCCCGATGGGAAGTCGAAGGAGCGGCGACAGATGGTTATCCAGGCGCCCGAGACGGGTCCATCGTATATTTTCAAGTGCCTGCCGCGAGGGGATGACGGGAGCACCGAGAAGTGGTACACGCTGGACTGGGACAAGGTGAAGTGGATGGAGAATAAGTGGATGGCGGACATTCCGCACTGATGCAGTTGCCGGTGTCGTTGCCGCTGGAGGGATGATTCAAGGCCTCTCTTTTCTTGAAGGATTTCCTAGTCACGTGTGTCGCAGAGCAGGGTGATGCGGGTCGTGGACCAAGCAGTTGAGGGGAGATTTCTTAAGGGTGCTTTACCTCTGGCTTAGTAGTTTCAACTCAGTCACGATATCTCTTATCGCTCAAGTCATGATCAAATTGACCTCTGCTGATAATTCATGGAGTCTACGTCTCTTTACCCGTGAACAGGAGTCTCCCCATCCAGGTCCGGGAAACAGCATGTACATCGACGTGGACCCAAGACACAAAGTGTAGCACAGAGCATCAGCCCTAGGATTCAGTACGCTGCCAGACAATTCCTCTGTCTTGGAGTCCATTGACCATAGCTCCCGTCCGTCAGCCATTCCACAGTGTACCTCCTGGCTCCACCGCGAAAGCGAAACGGAAAATGAATCAACAAGGATGCAGGAGGTGAACGGGGGGTGATCCCTGGAACATCCGACTGAGCAAAAGAATGGGAGATTCCGAGGCCGCGAAGGAGTTTTTAAATTTTTTGGGGGGGGGGGGGGGGGGGGGGGTTGCCTCTTGCACAGGATTGACGAGGCTGAAGAAAAAGGGGACGCGAGGGTCCATAAGTTTGCCTTAGAAAAAGAACCCCCGAAAGACACGGAGAGGCAAGGGAGGGTGGCACATTCATCCCCGCCCTATCGAGCCTACTAACCCAGCCTAGACGCAACAGCAGCAGCTGTGTAATTAGTCACCACTTCTTTGGCAAAATATCGAGACCCTGGGGTGCTCAGAGCGATCTAGGGGGAGTTTATATCAAGACCCCGGTCTCTGCTTGAGCAACCGCCACGTCGCGACTCCTGCGCGGGTTGAGAACGATGGGATTTATTGTTGTATTATCATCATCATTCGCTGCTTGCCTGATCTTTTTGACAACCGACGCGCATACTGGCCAGGTTTGGAAGTGCCGAGTTGGATGCAGGTCGCATTGACGTACTGTTTGAGGCCGAGTTGCCTGTTTGATGTTCGAGGAACGACCTGGCTTTGTCATGTAGAGCTGCGAAAGGGCGGGTGTACTCTAAAGGTTAAGAATACGCTGTGCGATTTGAATCACCGGGAAGTGAATGAGGAGATGTGCTCCGTCTGCCTCAAAATCGACGACTGTCGTTACTTCTGGTAAAACAATGTTGCCATCTCACGCGCTCTGTCGCTCCTTTAGCTGGAATTCCGCAGATTCAGTCCCAGCAATACCAAGAGAGTACCCAGATAGCTATACCACTTGGTCAGAGAGATGTCATAAGTTCTGGTACTGGGAGGATATATCGGCGGAGAAAAACTTACCTTACGCCAGTCCCAAACAGCTCAGCCCTGCCCACCTTTCATGAATGCACTTAAACTCAAGGACATGACGGTGCAAAGAGCTGTGATGCCAGAGTGAATCTAGGGCGCTCCTCGTGCAGAAAGGTAGAAACCTGTAATGTATGGAGCCCATACCGGAACGACCATGCATATAATGGCTAAGAACACGTAGATGATGTCTGTAATTTGAATGTATTCGTTGAGAAAGGATTGATATGCCATTATAGGTGCTATCACGATGTTCCTAAATTTGTTAGTGGCATTTGGATGAAGGAGAGGGGTAACTAACCTCAATACAGTAGGTCAGACATTTGTATAGCCAATTCGAAGATATTTGAACCACTGGACTTTGAAGCGAGACCAAATGCTGCTCTTTAGCATACATGTTTCCGATGAAGTCTGGAAAGTGAACACCTGTTCCAGCGTGATAGGCAATTTGTGATATAATCACATTATTTGTCCTCGGTTGTGGTGGCCGGAGACTGTTCAATTGAGCTTGCTGTAGTAGCGCCTCCCCTGTATTTCTCGTGCTGCGGTAGGAAGTTGCTAAAGAGACAATGTGAGAATGAGCTGCAGGTGCCCGCTTGCGACGCGTTTCATCACACAATGTCCGGTGGACTGTTACCCATTTGACCACATGGCTTTATCCCTATATGTTTGGCTGCGGGGGAAAATTTGGCGGCGTATTCATGCTTTTGAGAAACAGAGAGTATGCCACTTCTAACAGTCGAGACCAGCTTCCGAGTAAGGAGCCTCCCAAATCGTTGATAGGGTTCCATTCTAGTTGAGATGAATGTGTGGAATGATATAGGTATTGAGTTTTGTGTTTGAGGCTGGAGGTTCGGCCTGTTCTGCTGTTGGCTCGGCCTCCCGTACAACATGCTGTGGTATGAAGTTTCCCCATTTGAGCTTGACATCTGTTCTGTCAAAAAGGCAAGACCGAGTAAAGACGGTTAGTCCGTATCAATCCACCTGAGCCATGTGATTAATGAGTTTTGGAAAGTCTCCCCTCTTCACAACATGCAATGGCCCAGAAATAAGTTCTTCGGATACAGGAAGAGACCAGAAGGCGAGAAGCACGGGCTGTTATCTTGAAAAATAACGGGGCCTGGCCTGACAAGGGACGCCATCGACACGGAAGATGAGAGAATCAATATCTGGCACTGAAAGATATGGAAGGAAGGCGCTGGGAGGAGGCTTATAAGCATGTGAGCCCAACGAAGGAATCTCTCTAGGACATTGTTGGGGAGGAGCACAGCGAGGTCTTGAAATTTTTGGATCTCTTTGCTCGGAAGATGCGAGAGCGCGGTGAGCATAATGCGTTTGCCCGGAGGATCACGCAGGAATGTGCGGCACTAGAGGCATCATTGGATCGACCTAGCGTCGGCGCAAAGCACATTGGAGTGGTGAAAAATGCTTGACGGTCTGGTAGACGGCGGCCAAGGTCCTGATGGCAAGGCAGATTCCGACGGGGGGGGGAGGGGGGAACACCTGCTTCTCAGCATCAAGAAACTGGGCGCCATAGTCAATAGGCTACTCTTTGGATGTGCAAGATGGGTCTGGTTATGTGCCGCCGATCGAAAGGACCATCTATTCAACCAATCCGGTCCCGTGCAAGGACAGACAGGAATTCACTCTCAACTGGTGTAAATGAAGAGAGGTCCTCCACTGCCCTCCCTAGTTGCTATGACTTTCAAGGCGCTGAAAGGGAGATTGGAGTATATCATGATGCCCGCGTTCTTTTTCGTTTGATGTCTCAAGTCGCCGAGTTATCGCCAATGGGCCAGTCAAGTGCGTGAAATAGGCTCGTGCCCACGGTGCCGGTGCCAACAGCGTTCGACCCTACGTCCCGCACTTGTCCAGCGCCTTGCCGGAGGCGTCGCCCACAAGGTCGAGCACGTCGCTGGTCAGGTCGGCGTTCGGGGGACTCGTTCATGTTCAGAGCCATGTGCTCGGCGATGAGGACAACCATGACCTCGAGCATATTGTGTCCCCGGCTCAGCATTATGCGTTGGATCTATCCCTGAGCGGAAGTGATCGGCCTTGCCTTGTCTGTTCTCTCGATCTGTCCGGTACTAGAGATATCAGGAGCGGATACACGCGGCATTCAACATGAAGATGAAGAGTCCGCCGTCCCGAGCAAGATTCGGCAGCAAGGAGGTTTGCGAAGGTGGAAATCGAAACTGTGGAAACTCCAGGGGCCGTCACGCCCACGAGTCCGGCGGAGGTAGATTTCTCCCATGGCCTCCCCCTTTTTCTTCCCCTCCCATCGCTATCCCTACCTTGTCCTACATAATCCAGATCCGTCGCCTGATACGTATCACAAGAAATCGCGATCTCCCATCCCTGGCATCGCAACAAAAACATGTACATGTATGTACCTCGTACTTCTTGCTTCGACGTGACGTGACTCCTTGATTCGTTCCAACTCACGGGGGGGGGAGGAGACCCGCGCAGCTGGCCCGGCCCGCGAACCGTGAGCCCGGCTAGCCCCAAAGGCATAAGCTGCAGTTTAGGCAAGCGGTCCAGACCAGTCTTTTCTCGATATGTAGCAGGTCCTCCTCAGAATGGAGTACTCTCTACCATGGACAAATTTGTCTGCCAGGGTGGAGGGTGATAGCTGATAGACATGGTGTCCCCTTCTCGCTCATACCACCTAGCTATGTACTCGGTACCTGGTACAAGCCCTTGGCATCAAGCGAGCAAAGGTTTCCCTGTTATTGACGACTGGAACCGCTGGGCGGTGGAATGAACGAGCATCGTGCTAGTCTACTGTAGTGCTTGCGATGCAAGGGGCTTTTGGGGGGAGGGGTCCAGAGCTGAGCAAGAAAATGAATCACGTGACAAGACTAGGTGGTCCGACGATTCTCATTGGTTGAATGGCATCACCATCAGGAGAGGACCGACCCAGGTTCCCATCCCATCACCGTGAAACTCAGTCCGAGAAAGAGCCAGCTTGTGGCCCTCGGTGGTTCTGAAGGAGCCACTTCTGGAAACCTTTTCCGGTGTAGCAGCTTTGCTGGAAAGCCACGGCTCGATGGATTGCCACCCCCTTTCCACTTGGGATACTGAGACCCTCCAGCGTCCTTCGTGGAGGGTGGCCGCCCTACCTACATAGCTAGTCATCTTCATGATTTTCCATCTGGTCATCCATTAAAACTGCTTCCCACCTCGCCAGCAACTCGCCCATCGTGATGTCCTCGCCGTCCGCAGCGTCTTTTTTGACAAGAGCCAGGTTCGGATAGACGCTTCGGATTCGTTTATGTGCGCCCGCCGTCCACACTGTCTTGTCGAACTCGTCCAGTATCTCGTTCAGTCTCCGAGGGAGCTTAACCCCCATCAACTGCGCCGTCGGTCGCAACATTCGGAGCATACCGGCATAAACCAACCAGCGCCGTGCACCCATCATCAAGTGCATCGTCAGGTCAATGAGGGCCTCCTCATTCTCCTCCGACTGACCTGACGGGTCGCGCAGTGCTTTCAGCAGAATAAAATAAGCAACTGCCGCCGTCTGGCAGCTGCCTGCCATCACACGGATGAGGCCGTATGTTTGGCGGAACTGTCGATACAGGGGCAACATTTGATGGATCAAGAGGAGGGAGGTGCTGCGAGCAGTCATGCCGACGGTCGGCAGCATGTCGAGAGCAGCTGGAGCAGGCGAAGTGGCCGGAGAAGTTTGGCGGTCAGAAACCTCACTCAAGGTAAGAGCGCACGAATAGTAAATGGCGCTGATCTGGTTAGCCGGCCATCCACACACAGCTGATGGGCAAGACCTTGCTCACTGTAACTCAAACAGTGGTCCTGGCGCCTCAGGGCTGGCTTGCAACGCGGCCGGTAGATTGCCATGCCAGTCACGTAACCTCACCATCAGCTGCAGGGGTACATTCCTGTCGGCATGCTCTGTAAAGGGCACGCTTAAGGCTACCTCGTATGCTATCTCAGCCAAGTCACAATAGGCGTTGACAAGACTTTCTCCATACAGCGGCTCTGTTCTCTCTGCGCGCGGATATGGTTTCCACTCCACCGACCTTAGAAGGTCTTCTCCGGTGAAAGGGCGCGCCACTGTAGGTGGTCGCAGCGTAGGGGGTTTGAGAAGGAAAATGGCAAATATCCTGTTTCCAGTCAGCGGAACCGGATGCGGATCGACAGATCGGCGTCTCAAAAGATACTCACGTGTTGCAGGTAAAGACCGACCAGGAGACATTCAACATGGCCGTTTTCATTTTGTCCACCGACTCGGCAGGGCAATCACGTGGAAGTTTGATCTGGCTGCAGAGACCCAGTTCTTGGTACATGTGAATCACCTGCGACATGGTCGACCAGCCAAGCTGATCTTTTCCGCGCATATTTTGGTACAGCATCAAGAGGTACAGGCCTTGCAAGTTGGTCATGGAAGTGCGGCCTTCCTCGCGGTCCCACAGGCGCCTGGCTTCGTCATAAAAATGCTCGCCCCAAGTATCCGGATCGTCAGGGTCAGCGAAGGCCCCAGGTAAGTCGGAGTAGCTGCAAGAGAGGGCCAGGAGGGCGTTCACCAGGAAAGAGGAGCAGAGCGGACTCATGGTATCACCTGCTGCCATGGCTTCGATTAGAAAAGGTTCGTGGAGAGGATGCATGAATGTGTTCCACCAGGTGAAATAGAGGGAGACCAGGTGTGAGACGAGGCTGTCATCGTCCGTGACTGTCGTCCAGGGTCTTGCCGTGAGTTGGAACAGGGGTTCGTCCGTCATCTGCTCGACACTCATGGTCTTCCTTCGAGTCCTGGCCAGCGATGTCTGCTCTCCAAGACTGGCGGCCTCGGCTCTCAGCTTGAGAAGCCCGTCGACGGTGGCGTCGGTCTTCGGACTGTTTTCCCGCAGCTTTCTGACACTATCATCGATGAAAGCGTTGATCTAAACCCCGAAGACGGTCAGCGTCATCTGCTCTGCAAGGGATCTCACCAGATCATGTTCTTGGAAGGTGCCCTTTCAGGTCTGTGAACTTGACAGCGACCACACAAAGGCCGGATCGGCTCACGGTGGACAGGGGCGCATCATTTCGAATCAGCCGGAAGAGATGCTGGGCATCGTTTTCATCACTTGATCGAATGGACCGGAGCAACCCAGTCAAGAGATCCCGATGATTCTCTGTACCCTCCACCATCTTGCGCTTGATAGCCTCCTTCCGTCTCCCGTCGAGGTCTTCTCTGAACACACATTCAGTTTTGGAGGCGATACAAGCATTGCAGGGTCCGGGTGGGCCACTGCACTACTAGATGGTCAGCCATGGAGGTTGTGCAAAGGAGAAGTGGACGGCTCGTGCCTTTCTCCTCTTGGCCTTGCATGCCAGGCACGCTGCGGTCGCGTTGCTCCTGGCATTGCGGGTGATGCTCCTGCCACGTGTTGGGATCGAGGGCCCGCCAGGCTCTTCGGGCGTCAGGCTTGCTGGTGTTATTGGCCTCAGGCGCTGGGACATGGTGGTATTCCCGGATCCAATTTCCAGACCGTGGCTGCATCCAAGCGAGTCGGACGGATGTTGTTTCCATGAGATTGTAGTGGCAGCTGCGGCTCTGGCTTGGGCCAAGATAAGCGCAGAGGCTTGCAGGCGGTCACACGCGGCTGGTCTGGCTACAGGCGCTTGGGCTGGTGTAGCTGGTAACGCTCGATTGTTTTGCGCCACGATCCAAAGAACTCCAGCGGGCAAAAAGGGACGCTTGGGATTCTTGTTCCGGCGCCGGATATTGTGGATCCGTTGACAGCAGTGACGTCGCATGCACTAGCTCGATATGGCTAGTTGGTTACGCGCGAGTGATGAGATGCTGCAATGGATGGAGAGTGTCGATCGGGTGGAACTTTGTTCCCGTCGTCGTGAATGATCGTACGAGGTACCCAGTGCTGGCTCGCTGGGTACTAGCACCACGCCAAGATGCAACGCTCTGTTTTTTTGTCTGACGAGTCACTTATCCACCAGGCCACTTAGCTCGCTAGTTACCAGAAGGAGGCATCAAGCAAATCAAGCAGCCACATCGGTGCTACCCAGTACAAGCGCAAGGACGAGGCCTGTCAGACGGACGGGTGACTGAGAACTCTCGGGTTGATCACGTGAATCACTCGCTTTTATCAACTGCGTCAGCTGTGTCTGTCTGTCTGTCTGTCTGTCTGCCTGTCTTTCAGCAAGACCCTGCAAGTAACCAAGTATAGAGGACATTGCGCTGTGTCAAGAATTCCACCCAGCCTGGGCTCTACTTGTATCTCACAAGTATTCCTTCGGTCAAGTGGTCCCAGAACGCCAGTGTGAAGTGCCACTTGGTGCCACCCACTGCCGTTCCCATTCAGCCAAGAGGCTGCCACAGTGACGCTCAATATTATTCTGTCTGACCGCATCCATTTCTGTCTCTTCCGTTATATTTCTTCCGAACTGCATCAAGCAAGATCAGCCGAGTTGTTCGGACAGAACCCCGCGTGCTCCATACCTACAAGGAGGTACTTGGCCAGGGCGCTAAAGGGGGAGAAGACTCCGACAACTCTGCAACTCTGTACGCAAGGAGGATTTTGAACCTGATCCACGATCGATGCAAAAGCTACTATATAAATGCCCACCCGTGAGACAGAAAGCAGCCGATGGTGCTACAACCCGCCAACTGGGCAACTCCCCCGAACTTTCTTCTAGTACGAGGTAGAACTTAGAGGCACTGGGTACCGGCCTTGAAAAGGAAGGCGGTCCCCAAAAAAGGGTTCTTTGATCAGCAATCAAACAGATTCCCAGCACCCGTGAAAGAACAAGTCTGGGAACCCGGCGAGACGGAGCCGTCTCAACCCCTCGAGGGACCCCTATTCGTCCCCTGCCTCGTCCTCGGCTGCGGTCCTCAACTCATAAGCCAGGTCATAGCATTCCGCCAGGAGATCATTCACGCTTCCTTGCCCTTCCGGAATGTCATTCCCAATTTGGAACTTGCCGTCGACCCGCATGTTGTCGATCGAGTTGAGCTTCATACTGTAGGGGTACAATTCTCGCGGGTTGGAGACCCCTCCGGCCCTCTTGACTTCAATCAGGCATTTTCGCAAGGTTAGGAGTTGGTTGTATATGGGAAGGAGAGCTTCTGACACGGGCTCGGACGCAATCAGTAATTGATAAATATAGGCATACCCTCGTCGAATCAGGTAAAGTAGTGTCTGCCGCAGCGGGTCAGTCATGGGGTGTCAAACATTCATCTCTGTCAATCTCACTCTTTGCGCATGCAGGTCCGCAGGATGGCCTTCGGCGTCAAAGAAATTGCCATCCCGTCTCGAATCGTCGATACGATCCAACTTCCTCTGCCACATGAACAAGTCGGTTTCGCGGAGGGACCAAGCTTGGGTCATGGTCAGCCGATCGAGCTGGTTGCGAATTTCGATGAGTTTATCATAAACATCCTGGAATCGCTCGTCGATCTTCCCCTGCCTGATCCGAACACGTTAACAGGGGAAAGTCTCGTAGTAATCGGGGAGGACACGCAACGTACTTTTGTTCGACAATATCGGTAAATTTGAGGCACCTTTCGAGGAGAGGCACTACCAGGTCTTGCCCACCCTTGACTTCCCCCTGTTCATTTGGGAGTTTACCCTCTTTCATTGTCGCTTGGATCTGGAGGAGCTGGTCCCTCAGTTCGTTTAGATCTTTCTGACTAAACTGCGAACCGGTTAGCAGAGTGCGACGAGATGCGATCCCAGCAGGTACCTTGGTCCTCGCGTTCAATGCCGCAATGGCTCGAATAATCGAGACAAGCTTCTCCCATATCGGGGTCATTTCTGGAGAGAGTGTGGAGAGGAAGGTGCGCAGCTCCTGCAGCATTTCCCGACAGACTTCCAGGCGATATTGGATGCGGGTCAACAAATGATGTGAGTATTTGTCCTTGCCATGATCAAGAGTAGTCTGCATCTTTTCAAGGGTTTGTTCCAAGCTAGTCAGGTCTCTCTTGCTGTAAAACGCCGCTTCTTTGAGGTGTTGGCACAGGCGCGTGATGTTTCCGGTCATGGCGTACAGCGCAGGCGCTTCGTTGTTCCGTCCCACAGCCATGAAGAAAAGGGAAACGAGTTGAAGGCAGTCGTCCAGGACGGTGTCGACTCGGTTCTGCAATAAATGCTCAGAGCCGCGGACTTCATTGAGGATGGAGACTTGCTCGATGACCTGCTCGTACAAGGGAAGGACGTCGGAGGACTTGACATAGGTGCTTTTGTCTTGCTTGAGGAGCAGCAACTTGTCTCTGACCAGGAGCAGCTTATCCAGAATCGGCTTCTCTTGAGGCCCGACGGGTGCAGTTGTAATGGGTGAATCAGACATGATCGGTAGTGTTCATCAGAGGCAAGAATTGACAATCTGGGGAGGGGCGGCGGTTGAAAATGGCGCAGCGGTTGCGCACACGAGAGATGTCTGGGTAGGTTCTTCTTGATCGTTCAGCGGGCGTTGACAAGGTTGTAGGATAAGTGAGCAAGTGGTTCTCAAGCAACGACTGACGGATGTTCGGTTTGATGGTGGGCAAGTTTGACTGCGTTTGCCTACGCATTGCATGCACAGTGAATGTGGTGGGATGCATAGGCTCGGCCTCAGTACGAGAATGGAACTGGCGGGCATGCCGTAATGCTTGAAAGAACATCTGCCCCGCGCGGCTGGACTGGAAGCAGGTCACTAATCAGAGGCGCCGCCGACCAGCGAGGGCCCCCGAATTAATGGCAAACCCGTCGGTTCCGGGCTAGCCAGGTGCCCGGGGGGCCTGTACGGCACCTGTGAAGGGGTTGGTGCGCTTACTAACCATGTTCGCTGCCTTAGTTTACCCCCCCAGGCTCCCTGGGGCTGCCCCTCGCCTTGGCATTTTGCTTTTGCCGTCCGATCTCCCCACCTTTTCGCGATCCCCTGGATAAGGCCAATGATCCCCCAGACCGACAGCCTCGTTCTAACCTCGTCTCCAGTCTTCCTGCCTATCACCACCACGTCGATATCGTATCCCAGAGACGGACATTCCTCCTGCAAACCCCGGCAGCCATGCAATCGCGCCACGCACTGTACATCAAGATCGCCATACTCTGCCCTTCGCTGGTCTGATTGACTGGATTCTTGCTTGGGACGTGTCCAACATCAGCCACAGGGCTCACTCTCCCGTCGTGGCTAACATGCTTCGCGACTGCCCGACGGTTCTGTTCAGCCCAGTCGAGGAAGGATGGCACTCCATAGACCTCTGGTAGGAGGACTGCTAATCGGTATGCTGCTGAAGCCATGAGTGCAGTACCGGCAGCGTCTCCATACGTCCAGGCAGCAGATCGATGTGACAGCCCATCCAGATAGTTCTTCAAGAGACCCGACTTCTCATCCCGTCTCTGCTTCACCGTGCATTGCAGCATGGCGTCAATGATGCCTTTCAACGCCGCTGTGCTCCCGGACCTGAATGTGTCGTACTGAACCCGATCGATTGAACTGTCCGGAGGGGGCCGCCACTTCAAGATCGTGGCCAAGACGCGAGTCATTCCCGCTACGGCCCATGCATTGCTGGTAAGCCAAACATCTGGGTCTGAGCAGCATACTCCCGGCTCTAACTCTGCTGGCTCTGAGATAATGTGCCGCCACAGACCGTGACAAGTTTGCCCGTCGTCAAGCGAGATGCTTGTTCTCAAGACGGCGTTGTAGAGCTGACACTGCAACACAGCCGTTTCCAAGATCCGCATCTCCTGTACTGCGACACTGTAATACGCCAGAAATGGAGGCACCATGTAGATGAAATCGCCCCAGAGTTCAGGAGGCTCTTCACGGTGTGAAATGGCCGAATGTGTGACATTAACCTGGAACCTCGTGGCCTTTTTCATGAGGAAGTCGGCCTGGCGCATTGCAGCTTCATAGTAAGTCCCATCATACTGGGAGAGGAGCAAGGCGGCTCTGCCCAGAGACGCCGGGTCTGCTGCTGAGCCTATGGCGCTGTGAGACTGGGTAATACCGCGATAGAAGCATACTCTTTCTTCTTAAGCATGATGCATTTGTTGTTACTGACCTTCACCATCGACCAGTAGATCTGTGCCGTTAGTCCATATCACAGATCTTGCGTACGCAAGACCCTCGACTTTCGACGGGTCAGCAACCCTGGGAATCCGCCCGCGCGGAAACGGATCGGATCCAAAAACAGTCAGGTCTCGATCGTAGAACTCAAGGAGAGCTTCTGTGAATGTTCCAAACTCCCAGGACCGTGAAGTGATTGCACGGCCTCGAGCAAGGACCTTTTGCGGATCGAAGCCTGCGTCTGGGGTGGAAAGAAGGATCCAGATGGCGGCCGCGCATGCAGCCACGGCCAGAGAAACCGCATAGTTCTTCATGATAGCGACCTTGATCAAAGATCCATGGTCGAGTCGCCACCCTTTGTGGATGTCCAGAGTAGAGGTGATTTCGAGTTCTAGTAGGACTAAATCAGGCTAAATGTGGTGAAATCGCCGTTCTTGGTTATTATTAACACACAGCCTTATATCCGTCGCGATGGTACGAAGCCGATATTCCATCCGAAGCCAAAGCTATAGTCAATTTTCATCTACTATAGAAGTAACAAGATGAACCTCAATGTACATAGAAACATGGCTGCGCAGCCCGCCTCATGCGGCGGGCTGCGTGCCCTGGTTGCCATCCTCTTCAGGTACACTCATAAACCCTCTCCCCTTCAAACCACGTCCCCAAGACTTTGGCTCCCTCAAATTCACCCTTGCTCAAGTCACGGTCGACCATGATGAAGTTGGCTTTCTTTCCAACCTCAATAGCCCCAACCCTGCTCTCTCGGCCGGTCGCCACCGCACCCGCTACAGTCAGGATTCTGCAAATCGCCTCAGCAGCTGTGCTCGCCGCGCCTTCGGCCGCCGGAAATGCAGCAGCAACACTGTCCATGATGAGAGCACATGCGGGCAGAATGGACGGATCTTGAAAGGCCCAGTCACTACCAACGGTTAGGTGAGCTCTGTTTTTGATCATCTTTCCCCAGTTCCAGTCCATCAGGCCCCCTGACATTGTCGTCATCGGATGAACGAAGAACATCGACGGAGACATCTCGGCGGTCACATTCAGCTGCTGGAAGCGAGGATAATCGTCTGTCTGCGTTAGCAGCTTTCCTAACCAAAGCTGAATGGAAGCTTACCGTCATGCACCCCATTGCAATGTGCAATTTCGTGTTTGGGTCCATGGCTATTTCCCGCCCTCACAGCTTTATAGACGTCCAGGGCTCGTCGCGTACTCCCATATCCTGTGCAATGGATCTTACATGTCATCCCCCTCGCATCCAACTTTGCAACAGTTTCAGTCAGGTCATCGATCTCGATCTGTACCTTGCTCTCGTCGATATCTCCAGACTCCGTGAGACCAGCATGCGTATAGTACGGATGAAGCGGGACACCATCCAGCATTAACTTGGCAAAATTGGTCTGCACATGTTTGGACTGGAAAGTTGCGGCATCATCGAGCGTCTTGTGCAACGTTTCGAGCCTTTCTTCACCGAGCTGCTCCGGTTTATACACGATATGCGTTTGCACATCCATCTTCAATTCCCCACCAGCGTCGAGCTCGCCCAATGCTTTTAGGATGACTGTATTCGACGCTGCTTCTTGAAAGCTTGTCACTCCCACAGAATGAAGCAGTTTCACTGCATGCAGAATACAGCGTTTGATATGTGCCATTTCCGGCTTCGGCAGTGCCAATGCTGCCTTTGTCATCGCCAGCTCAGTCACTTCGCCTGTCAGAGTTCCATCTGGCCGACGGAAATAATGGTGGTGCGGCGCATCAGGCTCTGTGAGGCTGTAACCTGATCTTTCCAATGCGGCGGTATTGAGAAACATCCCGTGGCCCGCACCTCCACGCAAGAGCACTGGTGTGTTGGGAAATTCCAGGTCCAGTGCTTCTCGATCGAAATTCTCAATGAGGTAGAGGTCCCCCACTATCCAATCGCCATATGCATGGGCATGTTCACAGGCGCATGACGGCGACTTGAGTCTTTCAGCAATGTTGGATATGGTGGCGTCAAAGCCAGGCTTCACGTTCGACAAACGTGAGAGACCTGCCGCAAGGATATGGACGTGAGCGTCGTGGATGCCAGGCATAACAAATCGATCCTTCAAATCGAAGGTGGGAAGGTTCTCGCGACGCGCAATGTCTAAGACGTCGTGGTTTGTTCCCACTACTGTAAATTCGCCTGTTGCTGAGACTATGAACGCCTCAACGCGATTTCCCTGGTCGCCTGCCGTGAAAACGTTGCCAGAGTGGTATGCCATAGGTCTTCGACTTCGGAGTTCTGCTGCCATAGCGCGTGAACGAAACGTGGCCTTCGATGTTATCCGAAGCAACGGGGAAAGTCAAATGTGTCAGAATTGCCAATGAGCGACATGCAATGGGCTTGTTCAGTGATGGAAGTAAGTTTGACGAGAATCCAGCAATAACGTCGGTCAGTGTAAAGCACTGGCGAGCCTTTCTCTTCAATGTTTTTGTTCTATGTACTAGCACAAAGCTCAATGCATACTTCATTCGGACTTGGAAGATGTCAGCACTGCCGGTTAGTTGGATCCTGCGGCGGCTCCCCTGCTGAACTGGGCCCCCAGAATCTGTCAGCATATCTTCTGCCTCGCCTGTCAAACAGGCTGTGTAATGGCAGGTGTCATGGCTCTATCACTGAGCAGAACTGACAATGCACAATTCATGGTCTAGCCAATAGTTACAGATATGGTCTAGTGACGACACCTTAACTTGAGCGAGGCAATGGATGGTGCGGTCGGTAGGTACCTACTTGGTAGGTATGTACGGAGTAGGGAGTAGTTGGTGAGATGACGTGCTTAAAGGGCTGATATCAGCGACCCTGCCATTTCTGGTATAATCGCTGTCTGGGCGCCAAGCCGCTTCCTGGCCGTTTTCAACATTGCGCCATCAAGCACTCGACTCAGGGATAGGACTTGAAGAGGTTGGACAGACTTTTCTTCAGACTTCGGACATGGTCTCATACATCTTTCCCCAGCTGCGACCTAGCACAAGCTCCATGGAATTGTTCAAAAGGGTAAACGTTTGCATTTGGAGGCCGTGTACATGAAGAAGCCGTGACCTACAGACAGGCATTTATTGAAAGAATTCGCTTCAGCAGCAGGAGCCAAGTCGATCAAAACATATGAACCTTCGCCGTGAGATACATGGACGGGAGCAGGCTCCTGTTGTCGTCCAAGCTCTCAAGTGCCGCCTGCAGGTACGTCGGGGTTTTCTTGAGAACAGAGGCGCTCAGGTTCTTGTCCAAATGGTCCGCGCGCATCTCCCAGAACTTCTCGAACAGGAACCCTCCTGCTTTCACAGCCGCCTGACGTCCTCTCTCTTTCATCTGCTCAAGCTTCTGATTAAAGAAGCTTGGCTCATCATCGGAATCGTTACCATCTGCGATATCGTCTAAATCATCCCCGGGCTCGGCTTTGGGTTTGTCCTCCCCATCTTTCTTCATCATTTTGGTCAGCTCTTTCGACAGCTCGGCCTTGAAACTCTCCGCGTCCTTGGTTTGGAGATGCGCCTTCAGCAAGCCGCACAGCTTACGCTTCTTCCGCCTCATATATGTTTCCCAGTGAGCTTTGAGCCCTTTCTCTGGAGCCGCATTGTGAAAGTCGATCTCGGTCGTGGCGATGCGGTGCCCGTAGTACTGGTGTGTCAAGCCTAGCTCAAGGTTGCACAAGAACCACTTCGCGCCGGGGACTCCTGAGAACCGCGCCAGCACCCACTCACCAGCAATGGCGTCCAACCTTTGCTCTTGAACGAACTGAATCATGCGGCTGACCTTCTTTGCTTCTTGCGTGTCGCCCTCATCTGCGACCTCGATTTGTGGGTTCTCTTCCGACTTTGAAGCGTCATCCTCCTGTTTCGGCGATGACGGCGACTTTATACCGAAAGATGATGTTTTCACCCTTGACATTAGCCGATTTCTCTTCTGGCCGGCTTTCTGCTCCCGCAATACCTTGTTTTCGACAGCATTGACAACGTCAAGCTGCTTCTGCAAGATGTGCTTCTCACAGGAAAAGCCGACCAAGGTCAGAGCAAAACCGGTGCTGATCATACACCAGCCACTGATCTTCTGATCATTGCTTGCTGCACGTTGAATCTGTCGTTTGAGCTTGTCTGGCACCAACATCGTAATTATAACACGCTGGATATCGAAAGTCCCTTCGATTCCCGAGTTTGTTACAATAATCGGGTTAGGACAGATCATATCCTCTGGCTCAGAACGAGGCTTCACTGGCTCCGACGCTGCGAGACCAGCCGTAGCTTCTACGGTTCCAGACGGTATTGTTGGTATTGGATGCGGGAGGGGGGTAGTTATAGCTGCGTTCTGGTTTGAATTTGTCGTGATTCTTTCAACCTTTCCGATGAATGCCGCGACGAGGTCAAGCTTTTGCTTCTCCAACTCCTGGCGAGATTCCTCTTGTTCTCTTTCAACAAGAGTCTCAGCCTCGCTGAATGTGGAAGAAGGTGAAAGTGCCAAATCCGTGTCACTGGGGCCTTTGGCCGATGTTGACTCCTCGTTAGATCCCCGTTTGCCGAGTGAAAGGCCCGGTCTGCCAAACCCCTTTTTGGCAGCCTTGACGTCAAATCCCAGCGAAGGTCGTGGAGGTAAAACTTTAATCGCCAAAGAACTGCCCCCTTTCATGAATGACTGCGCCAGCTTCGTCGGCTTGGCTGTGCCCTCATCCGAGCTGTCCTTCGCAGGTCTTGGAGTGCTCAGGTTCTTTTGGATATCCTGCATGAATTGGCGCATAAGGTTGAGGCACGGCTCTAGGTCCTTGAAATCGACTGTTTTGACAAATTCTAGAATCTTTTTGAAGGGGTCGACCAGAAAGCTCGTCTCTTTGCCTTCCTTGACAAAGGTAATTGCTTCCTTTAGCACGGTAATAGACTTTTGGAAGCTCACCATTGTCGTATATCTCTCTATCTCGAACTTCCTTGACAGTTCTGCAGTTTTCTCCGCTAGGAAGTCCTTCTCATCGATTTTTGGGACTTTGAATGCCTCCAGCACCGAAGGATAGAGCGATCGGCCTCGGACGGGACTGCCGAAATGTGGTCCACTCCAGTTGAAGATCGAAACATCGTTCCAAGAGACGAGAACTTCGTCCAGAAGCCGTGCCAGAGCCTTCGTCAGACCCTCGGCGTGGAACGTAGGAAATCGCACATTTAGCAAGCCCATCAATGAGTATACCCTGTCAGTCTCAACACCGGAGTGCCTGACACATGCAAGCGGCATGACGGTATGGGCAGAGAAATTCGTTCTGGTAACACCATCTTGCCAGTTCTTGAGGCCGTGTATGCCGCCGAACTCCGCAATATATTCTCTGTCTTGCTTGATGAGAGGCATTGTTGTCGTCGCAAAACATTGAAGAAGCATGTTGATTGCATGCATTACACTGTTCCGGTCCAAGTGGACGGTGCTGGTTTCCACGACCCCGTAGGGTTCGAGGAAGTCCATGAGGGAGCGAAGTAGATTGTGGGCATTTGAATGACCGTCGCTCTGAGAACTTAAGTTCATCGCTGCAACATAGACCGCCTGGGCCATCTGCGATACAGCAGATTTCTTGTCCATGTCTTGCGGAGTCTGCATTCCCAGAACTTCAAGTATCGTTAGGAGCTTTTTTGCTGCTGTGATGGCTTTTAGGTCGTCTCTGTCCTGTGTCTGGGGCTGCTGCTGCTGAATAGGAGATTCTGAACCTGTCCTCGAACCACCCTTGTCGAGCGCTCCGCAAGGATTCTATTCCCAGATAATCAATGATCTGAGTATCTCTGAAGTTTTCATGGGGCCTATCTCACCTGTATCCCTCCTTTGTCTAGAATATAATCGAGAGCCTCATGGTGCGAAAGACTCTCGAGAGCATCCTTGAAAATATTGTTCGTTTCCTGGCCGATGTACAGGTCGATAAAAGGAGAGCTGTAGTAATAAGGGCCAAGGTATTCCACAGGCCTGCTCAACGGCTTCCAAGCAGAATTGAGATAGAATGTAGTCTTGCTCATGACTAGTTCTTGAAGTGTCCACCCTCGCGTCGCCCATTCAGGCTCATATTTGTGAATGCTCCCGAAGCTTTCGATGTTGGCTTCCTGAAGTGTGCTGCCCTTGAACCGATCCCACTCGTCGATCCATTCTGTTTGGGACCCAGGACCCTCTAGATACACTAGACAAAAGTCTGCGTCCTTGTACCAGTCACCCATGAGAGAAAGAGAGTCGTTCAGTTCGGCGGGGTCCTTCTTGTCGATACAGCATGTGTCCAACCACAAATATCGCTTTTTGTCGGTCTGGTTGAGGATAGATTTGTGCTTGTCCAGGTCGGCGTCGACCGAGTTGGCGATGATTGTATTGCTGCTGAAGAGCTTGTCGTTGAAGATGATTTTGGCCTGGTCGATTGACTGCTCAATCTTGATCGCCGATCTCCAACGTTGTAGCAGGAGTTTCATCTCGTCAACGGCCTGTTCCACTTTGCTGTTCTTGTAAAATGCAACGAACTCCTCGTTTTCTCGATTTTCTAAATACGCCTGTTCGGCATTTCTGAATGCGACCCGGGCATGGTTAACCTTATCTTCCAGTCGACTTATGACGCTCCGATCCGGATCGGCGCTCGCGGTGTATTCGTCTATGCCCACTTCTTTCAATAGATCGTCAAATACGTCGCTCTGCATCTCAGCATATCGGAGGTTAGTCAAGGCCGAGTCAAGGGTCTTTTTACAGTCATCGAGCCTTTTCTTGATGGAACCGGCATATGCAGATCTGCGAAGAAGCGACCTGACGACGTCGCCCTCTTGCCTCAGCTTGGAGTCGCGCACAACCTCAGGTAGCATTTCCAACATTTCTCTCTGCTTTTGGATATCTTGCCTACATTTTGCCTTTATGAGCTCAGTGTCTCTGTATTTTTCCGGCAGTTCAGCTGCCTTTTCTTTGACATCGGACACGTATTTGTAGTTGACCTCTTCTCCCTTCCACCTGTGCGAGAGGACGCAGTACTGCCCCATTACACCAATCTCAGGCCTTTCCACCAGATCTCCCGTGTCGATGTCCCACATCCGGTACGGGCTGCGACCCTGTGTCGTAGATGGGCCCAAAAGCTCAATGTCGTTAATACCAGGAAGTTTAAGAGATTCATCGTCAACGAAAGTAGGCTTGAAATCGGGTATGAAGATCCCTTTCAGCAAAGTTCGCAACTTCTCTGGCTCAGTGCGCAAGATTTGGTCCGCAAGGGCCCTGAACTGAACACTCACGTCAACTGACGTGGAAGCCATTGCTCTGTCCAGGCAGCTTCTTCAACAAGACAAAAGTGCGGTGGTGCTTTGTGAGATCCAATTTCTGACTTCAAGGGTATTCACTCTCAAGTCGGACAACTTGGCGAGTTCGTGTAGATGGTGGAAGGTCGACTGGGGTATTCTGGACCAATATATGGAGAGAAGCACCTTGAGAGATCATTCTCAGCCGCATTCAGGCTCGCCCATCCCGGAGCATGACTTCGTACATCAAACACATGTCGCTTGGAGATTGGCCTAAATCTGTACCCCTTCGACATAATGCGCAATTGCCAGCGATTGGTGGGCCACAGAGAACGCGAATCCTTCAAAGGTCGGTGGCCTTCAGCCTTACGCATAGCGGAGGGTGTATCTCTCACTACCGGATAATGCGGCCCACAGTAGGCGATTCGCAGGCGAACTGTTCACCTTTCACGATGAACCGTGCACACCTTCGAGGCTGAATTCTTTTACCCAGCCAGCCTATTTGGTGCTCAACATATACACTAAGGGAGCTTCACGTAAGTAACCGGTGACACGTCACCCCGCATCGACTCCTTTCCGGTGTCTAAGAAGTTATATCTACGAATCAATATGTTAGCTTCATGTGTCTGTCTCAAAGGAGTCTCTTCGTCTGCAGAAATCTCACTGTGATCTCCCAATCAGTATGTTGAAAAGAAACCGTTTCAATCTAATAGCACCAACAAAAGTTCTGATGGAGCCTAGGCCGCGCTGTTGAACGCTGCCGGATCTCTCTCGGGATTCCCTCAAAGTGGACAGGTTTTATCAGAAATCTTGCTGATGTCTAGGCTGCTGCCTCCTTGAAATGTCCTGTCAGCTTCCTCACAAACACTATTGTAGCGCCAAGGACACCCACGTACCACCTTTATGGCCTCTTACAATCGAGTTCTGGAGATCTTTGGCAGAGATCATGCCCCTAGCATGCAGTGCAATCAGTATGTTGCTCGTTTACAGCGATAAAGAAAGACCGCTGAGAGTTTCTTGCAGTGACATCCATCCATGGGAGATCTTGATTAACGGGGAGCGCTGGCCTGGCAAAGTTCGGCTCATCGGATTTGTCGATGCCTTCTTTTTGATGGCTTACTCCTCCAAAGAACGGTTTGAGCACGGAATCATTGTTTATAGTAAGTCATACAGACCGATTCTCATGCGTCGTGGAAGACTTATCGAAAGCAGAGGATGACGATGTCATTAGAAACATCCTGGAGAGCACCGGAGTTTCTGCTAAAGATAAGAAACTGGAAGTAGTTAACGAGAAAGAGAGGAGGAACCATCCTGACGGTACGTATGACCTTCGCCGAACAACTGACTTCGCCGCGTGGACCTCTGAGTGAACATGTCAAGCTGACGCTGCGACTATATCCAGTACCTGAAAAGTACTTCAGCTTCAAGAAAGACGCCATCCACTACACAGTGACGAGTCTCGGGCACGAGATCGGTCTCAAGACCGAATATCCGAAATCAAGCCTACAGAGATACGAGGTCAAAATCCGTAAGAACAGCGACCTTCTCAAGAACAGTGAGTTCATGCACCGCGAGTAGTGTTCAAAGCTCAAAGCTGATGTTTATCCTTACCTAGGGCACATCAAACGAGGCGTGAACCAGCATGGCCTTGCCGACATGATGTACGATGCGATCAAACTTGGTTTCATCACCCATGCCCAATTGGTGGTGCTGTCGACCAAACTTCTTGCGAGTACGGGGGCTGGCGACATCATGAATAGTTATTGGAACATTATCAATGCTCCTGGTGATGCTGCCGTGCTATCGAACGAAAGGACATGAGATGTCGAATTTCATAGAGCTGGAGAGAGAGGCGAGGTAAGCAAAGAGTCTCTGTGGGCGTTCTCGCCGAGCAGCACTTGTGTCATCTTCACTCGCACTTTGGACAATGTGGCTTCTGTAGGTTCGTCTCGAGGTACTATTTCACAATCACTAAACGTGGTACAATTAAATTGTATTCGGAAAGGGGGCTGAAAACGGAGCTGGAGAGCGCAAGAGAGCGATTGCGGGCGTCAGACGAAGAAATCTCCCAAAAGCGATGGCAACTCGACTTCTCCGTACTCCGTATTCTCGGCGACAACCACGGCTTAGGCCCTCTTCCCCGAGCCATCAAGGATGTCGGGATAGCTCCATCTGGTGGACAGTCTCCATCATAGAACGGGTTGATGCCTTTGGAAAGGCTAATGGGCTAGTGGGATAATTGGCTTTTGGGCGTGCCCACTGTCACAGATCGCTTGTGCTCGCGTCTCTTCCTGTGCCATTGATGGGAACGAGACTTCCCAAAAGAAAATTTATCAAGTGTGATCATGGGGACCTCTTTCCTTGAATTTTCGTGACACCTGATGGGAGCTTTCTCTTTCACCTTTTCGTTCCTGTCAGTCATTGATACACTATTTTCAGGAAGAGCACATCACTTTCTTTCCTTTGGGACTTCTAGAGAGGCTGGCATACCGCAAGCGCGGCCGCTTTTACGCGGTTGACGCGACCCATTGCGCCCGCTCGCCCGCTCACAAGCCAGAGTATGACCACCTAGGATGTCGAAAATTGGTGGAAGTGCCGCCCAAGAATGGAACCGGGAGAATCGTTGACTCGTTCCAAATCGCAATCACGTCAATGGACCTTGGAACAGCTGGGCATATCCTCCTTTGTTGACAAAGAGGGCAAAGAGCAATTGCCAATTCGACTTCATTCAGAAGCACCAAATAGCCACCCGTCCTCTCAAGCGGTTCTGGATAAGCCAACCGGGCGGCGGAAGCTACGTACGCCTCCAGCCGCGCATCAAAGGGCTGAACTCCCGCATCGCCCACCCCACCGTTCACGAAAACTGGAGGCAGACACCAAATGCTAGACTAAGTTCCTTCCAGAAAATGAAAACGTGCATTGGTTCTTAACTGGGGTAGACTGGACTTCGGTCGATTTTGGTCCACTCGAGGACTGGCCTGTTTCCCTGAGGACTGTCGCGAGCCTCGTCCTGGCTGATACCTCCCCTACAGTTGTCTACTAGGGACCCTCGTTTTCTGCCTGCTTCAACTTGAGGGCGTACGACGATGTGCGCCGGAGGCTTAACAATCGCTCTGGCATACAAGGGAAGCCCTTTAAGGAGATATGGGAACGGTCATGGTCAAGGTTGGAGAGCATTTTTCGGGTGATGCAAGACAGTCGTCGCATCATGAAGAGCATGGAGGTGACATTATTCCCTCAACACCCTGACGGACGCCTGGAAGAAATTTTCTGGAGCATTCGGACTCATCTTTCATTTCACGGCGTACATCTTCCTCGTTCAGGACGGAAATACCAGTCAAAGAATCTTCTAGCATCACTCCAACCGAGTGACCCCCCTACGTGCTTCTTGTCGAAGACAACATCATCAGAGCACAGGTGCTCACCAAACAGCTCGAAATGGTAGGCTGCACAGCATACAATGCAAATCATGGAACTGAGGCATTGGATTTTCTACCCCGGACGAGAGAATGGCACGACTATCAGCCCATCCAGAAGATCAAGACTCCATCATCTAATCTGGACATTGATATTAACTGCATATTGACGGACGTGGAGATGTCGGTTTTGGAAGGCTTAACCTGCACACGGCGGATACGGGAATTGCAGCACAAAGGCAAGTTGAAGAGACACATCCACATCATTACCATCACCCCGGATGCCTATGCGGAGCAGATCGAGGCGGCTTTCGAGGCGGGTGTTGACGACGTCTTGCCCAAGCAATTTCGAGTCGTGGAGCTGCTAGGAAAGATTGAGAATTACAGGAAGAAGGACAAAAGTTCAGTCGCTGATGAATAGTTAATGTATGCCGATATGGCCATCAGTGTCGGGGAGGTAAGCCTTTCACCGTCGACACCACGAAAAAAGTGTACCGGGTTGGATTTCAAGAATATTCGTTGTGAGGACACGCTTTTTGGCGACATGTTTCCGGATCTTGATTCTTGACTGAACCATCTTCTACTGGGCACTCTTGCGAGATCCCGATTGCGGACCCGACAAAGAAGAGGCATCGGCGGAGGATGGAGGAGAATCAGGAAGAAATGTTCGCCCCGAGGACGTGAAGTATCCCCACAAGGTCCGTGTCCAAAAGATTGTCTCCAAAGTCCCGAAGACGACGAGAGAGACAACTACGGTGATCTTGACGGCACGGGATGCACCCAAGTTTGCAAAGCTGAGCGGAGGGTAGGAAGAACTCGGATGACTTTGGCTTGACTGAGAGGGCTTCGCGTCGGCAGCGCTAGGATGTTGATGATGAGTGGAAAGAGTTCGAGGGCTGTATCGCCGATGCAATTTGATCAAGGGCTGAGGCGGCTGAGATGGGCGTCCGAAGTCGAATCTCGATGCTCGAGGCCCGAGACGCAGTGTTGAAAGTGATGCGGGACGAGCTGCTAACATTGTTGGCGTGTCAGGTGGACTGACGATTCCGCAGGGGGTAGAAGAAGGGTCTGTTTTGGGAAGAGGTTGGATGAGAGATGCGAGTGAAAACCGCGGCGCAAACTGGTGGTGGTGATATACTTATACCCAAATTGCTACTTTCGCGACACCCTAACTGTGCGGCCCCAACCATCTTATATTATGTGATCTAAGGAGTACTTGTGTACTAGTCGGTATTCATGAGAGTAGAAAGGAGGACCCTGTATTAGTTCCAGGAGTATAAGGGCTAAGCGTTGCTGCATGGTCTGATTGGATGGCCCTACCCAGACCTGATCCCATTTATGGTTAGTGGATCCACTTCGTAATCGTATTCGTGTTCTCTTTTCTTCCCCGCGAGACATCCGTGGTTTGATTTCATACATTTTGTAATCAGTCAGAGCGGCTGCTTTGTTCCTGGCCTCTATTCGCAAAAACCGCCGACGGTCTCGATGCCTCCACGACGCTCGCACCAAAAGTCGCGCCGCGGCTGTCTGACCTGCAAATACGGTCACATTAAATGCGATGAGAGCGGGCCCCCGTGTGGCCGCTGCAAACTGAGAGCAACGACATGCGAGTATGCGAGCCCCGGGTTAGGCCTTCGGCAGCCGCAAGCTCTGCCTTTAAATCACGATGCTTCCTTACCCACTAAGCAAGATCCCGACCAAGAGCATCTGGAGGAGCCGCTGTTTCCAAAGGACCATCGCTTGCTGGAGCTTCAACTCATGCACCGGTGGTCGACGGTGACCTACAAGAGCTTGCGAAGCAAGGTTGCGGGAGATGACTATATTTGGCAGATTGCGGTGCCGCGGTGGTCGCTGCAGCACGACTTTCTGCGGACTGGTCTGTTCGCTCTCTCCGCCTTCGAGGTGGCCAGCCGCTCTACAGGAGCTGATCGAGCGAAATACCTCGAGGCAGCCGTGGAGTATCAGACCCTTGCGCTGAGTGACTTCCGCCATCAGCTTCAGCACCAAGGCATTGATCCCCAAAGTTGTGAAACCGTCCTGTGCTTTTCACTGATGCTCATGGTGCTCGCCTTGGCCTCGTCTCAGTTCATAACGGACTTGGCAGGTGACCGCCAAGGCGACAGCATGGTGCTCAACACGATCACCCACTTCGAGCTGCTGCGCGGATGCGGCACCGTTCTCGGCGATAACGCAGAGCAATTCCTGGCGCAGAATTCCTACGCTCAGAAACTCACGCCTTTTGAAAAGTTAACACGGATGCCGCTCGATCCAGACACAGCGGTGGCAATGTCGAAATTGAATTCGGTCAACGAGAGAAGGATTCTATCCACCGTGGGCGACTCCTACGAGCATCGGGCCCAGCATGTCGCACACTTTGAAGCGTGCAGGAAGGCAATAACTCTGCTTGAAGAGTGCTTTGCCAAATGCGTCGGCCACGACGACGACCATCAGGGCTACATCTTGGGATGGCTGAATATGGCGGGCGAGGAGTATATTCACGCCATCAAAGGCAATGACCGCGTTGCACTGCTGGTGTTGATGTATTGGGGCTCGCTGGTCGAGAAACTTAGCCATCAAGTTTGGTGGGCAAGGGATTTCGGGAGGCTGTTGGTGGAGGAGATATCTGGGACAATGTGTGGAGAAGCAGACGCATTGACAACGGATATCGTCTCATCGGCACAAAAGATGATTGTACGGCAATCTGATGACAAGGCTGACGCAGCATAGCGGACCCACACTGACACAGTACGCGGTACACGAATACGATCACGGCTACGATCACGATCACGATCCCGATCCAGATGACCACGGATCCATACCTCGTACCCTTCTCAAGCTTCTGTAACAAAGTTAGGTCGGCTCGTGTTCGGAAGTCGCCTCTACGGTCTGTCTCTCCCGCATAAATAATGTATGAAGAGCTCTCTTCCTACAGAAACCTTGCGCACACATGCATTTCCATTCCCCTCAACATCTACTCGAGTAAGATGAGTGATACGCCAACTCATCCCAAGGACAAGCGCTCAACCACACCAGCGTCTCACGGCAAGGATGGCCTCCTCCGGAAAGAAACTATTCAACCACGTGTACAGAAGGCTCCTTTCCTCCAACGGCTACCCTTCCTAGTCGAGGCTCGGACGAAATTGCCCCTCATCGGCGGCCTGCTACTCACATGCTCGCCCAGTATCTATCTCTACTCTCTCGAGACAAGCCCCGACGACCATCACCAGCGCACAGACCTGAATGTCCTTGTCTGGACCTACATCCTCACCGGCACCGTAGGCATAGCCGTCGCCATGCTCGTGCAGTCTCTTCTCGCCTACCTGCTCGCCTTCATCTGCTTCAACGGCCACACCAATGCGACGACGTACCTCGCCGAGATGATGGAAAACGAACACGACGACATCAAGAACGAAGCTCACCGCAGGAGAAGGCTCGAAATGTCCCGTCGCCCTGGGTATTGGGTGTTTATGCTTCTCTTCTCGTTTGTGGCCGCTGGCCTGGTGGAGGAGGTGGTCAAGTACATTGCGACCACCACCATGCTTGGTCTCCTTGCTCAACGGTCCCCGTCGTCGCATGGTGGTAGAATCGGCTCTGCGCGTGATCACATCACCGTCGCCGTCTCGGCCGGGCTGGGCTTCGCCACTGTGGAAAACATAGTCTTCTTCTCCGCGGCGGCCCGTCGACGCAAGCCCGTCGGTGGCGCCGCTCCTGCCGCCCCGAACGAGAGCCAGAAAGCCGCAATGTTGGCTCTCATGACGGCCGTTGAGAGAGTCCTGCTGGGCATCCCAGGGCACGCGATGACAGCGGCGCTGATCGGGGTCAACATGCTCGTCCGCGGCCACCAGCAGCATCATCTCGGACACGGACACGATTTCTCTGGCGCCTCCAAGATGATGAGCAGCGCATGGCTGGTCGTGCGTGACTCGGTGTTGTTTCACGGGTGCTCCAACTTCGTGCTCTTCGCCGTGAGCGCCGCCGAGGGGAACGTCGGCTGGGTGCATCCACGACGAGCCAGGACGGCGTGTTTCGTCCTCGCTGTCCTGGTGGGTTTGCAGGCCGTGTTGGCGCTTGTGCTGCGCGCCAGATTGTGCCGGTGTGGCCTGTGTTGATTGATTGATTGATTGATTGATTAATCGTGCTTTTTTGGATCTAGATTTTGCATCGTCGTGTATCCCATCTCGTGTATCCCATCTCGTGTATTTTGCACTCTGTATCTTGCGCCCGCGTGCAATTCCGCCCGAGGCCTCAAAGTCTTTCACATCGTAAATTTTGTTCGTTTCGCGTGGAGTGAAGGGGCTTCCGCTCATGGCAAACGGCATGCGGCACGCGGTAGAGACGTAAACATACATGATGAAACATATACGGATGGACGGAGGATGCGGTAGGTTTGCTCTCCACAACCCCGTGATGATGACATGTTTGAATTCTTGTCCGCCGAGTCGCGGTCACATACACGATACGCCTCAGCAGCAGCAGCAGTATCATCATCACAGTTGATCTTCATCATCCGGATCGGGCATGCCTTCTTCATACCCCCAAGAAGCGCCGTGGACTTCCCCCGGACCTGACGCTGCGGTATGCTTGTCGCGACTCTGGGCTTGATTTGGGACGTCTTCCTCATCATAGTGCTCCTCTTGATCGTCATTTCCTTCCCCTTCCCCTCCCTCTTCCTCATCGTTCTCTTCACCATCTTCCTCTTCCTCCTCTGTAATACTCACATCCTCCGCCTCACTACCCAATTCCTCGTTTACCAAATCTCGTCCCTTTAACTTTTTCTTCTCCCGTTCGTATTCGCGATCAAACTCTTCGTCTGAGTCATCGGAGACCCCACTGCCCTCACTCTCCCCTTCGCTACCTGGATCGTAATCGTCTTCTTCTTCGTCCTCCTCATCCTCCATCTGTTGCTGGGCTTTCTCTAATTCTGTACGCGTATCTTCTTCACCTTCCACATGTCCTGCGCTACCATTCTGCGTCGCGTTCTTGCCATGTGCAGTAGCATTGAGCTTCTTTGCTCGCCTTGACTCCGCGAGACTTGAATCCTGCAGACCATGTCTCTTAATGTAGGCGTCTATGCCGGGAAAATCCGCCTGATCCAACATTGAAAACTCGGCCTCCTGGATTCCATCTTTATTAGCTCCGTCAGCTGAGCTAGCTCGATACACGATATTCAAATTAAATGTTCTCTGCAACACGGACGTGTAAGAGATACTCTCGACGTCCTCGAATGCAAAGAAGGAGAGCGGCTTTTTGAAGCCAAAGAAAATACCATTGCCCAGAAAGAAGAGGTAGCCGTCCTTACTACCACGGAAGGCTTTGACGTGATAAGCTTTGTCACCTTTCCGGTGGGATTCGGGTTTGGCACTGGAGAATTCCTCGGTGGTGGGCAGAGTGAGGCCTTTTCCAATCTTATGAAGGAGGTAGTCGAGAGCGTTTTCGAGGACGTCATTGGGCCCAGGCGCGATTTTAGCAAGGTCGCGGTTGGGGATATGGCAAGACTTGAGTGGACCGTCGTTGACAGCCCAGATGATTGCCTCAACATTGTTACTTGACTCTGACTTCAGGAGAAGGACGAAATTGTATTGTTTCGTGGCTTTCTCTGGTACAGGAAGTCTCAAGGCATAGGTGACTTGGTCCAGGGGCACTTCCATGTCGACTTCATTGGTGGCAGGATTCCTGGTGTAGATGGCAAATTTGGTCTCAGCATCATTGATATCTGTTCCATATTGTGCTATGCCCAGATGTAATTTTTTGCGTTGCGGCAGTGAGAACGAGATATCTCTTGCTTCGAAAATCACTTCGCGTTGTTGGCCACCTTTCTGCGCCGTACCGGCGATCGGGAGGGAGGAGCCGTCGGGGAGTTTGCGCTTCTTGGAGGCGGGTTCGTCGTTGGCAGAACCGTTCAGAGGACTAGCATTGAGGTGATGCGCAGCGATGTCTTCGAAAAGGGGCGCGTACTGAGGAGTTGCATCTGCGGCAGGTTAATACAACGGATCCTGGTCGCAGGATCTTGCCGACGAAGATACTTACTAATGGCATCAAAGATTCTCTTCCGTAGCGGCGAATTGTTGGCGAATGCTCGATTTATAACATCGGGTCCTGACATGTTGAGCCGGTCGAGAGATTCTGGAAAACGGAGACTGAGGAATATGGAGCTGGTGCCTTGTTGAAGTGGACAAGGTGGTCTACAGGCAGGGAGTTTACGGTGGACTGACTGATGATGATGCAATTCCTCCTCGCGCCTCGTGGCCCCTAATCGCGTCCGAGTCTTGTCCAACTGTCCAACACCCAGACCAAGCATTTCTACATTCCTTCGAAATTCGCCATGAATCACAGTCAACGGCATTGCATTCAGGAACTACCCGATACTCTCACACGCAGTCACTGGGGTAATTGGACTCTATCTCTTCAGGCGTATTCAGCTCTATCAAACTTCTCCTTGGGCCAGAATCTCGCCTTGATCGGATTGCCGTTGAAAATTCTCCCTTCCAAAGCATTGACTGCCCGCAAGGCACTGAGCTGGCTCACGAACTGCACAAACACCAATGCTTCGTCCTCGTCGCTTTCTGGCCGGTGGATGTAGACTCTCTCGACGCTGCCGTACTTGTCTCCACATTCCTCTCCAATCTCTTGCATAAGCCCACCCTCTCCCTGCGTGAGCTCGTCGTCCAGGTCCAAGCCATTCAACATGCCCTCAAGTCGGATCACCTCCGACATTGCTCCGAATTTGCCTTCTTCCTCCGCTTGGGCAGTCTTCGATCTGTTGCCACCAAGGATCTTGCCGGTGCCAGCTGGTGCGGCAAAGCCACCACCTTCTGCATCGGATTTCTTCTTACGCTTGTCGGCCTTGGCATACAACGGGTTGATGATCCCAGTGCCGTGAGCTCCCAGACCTTGACCCTTGCTCCAACCATATTTCGCCATCAAACGTTCGGCGAATCCCACCTGACCAGGACGTTTAGATCGTGTATCATCGCTCTCGCCATTATCATTGTCAGCGCGCTGGGATTCTGCAAGATTTTCTTCCAGATCCGCTTCAGACACTGGTATTTCTTCTGGTGCAGCGGGTAGATTGTACCGTACTGGTGCCCTGCTGATCTGGGCTGACGGTGGGATATCTGCTGGAGGCGATGGAAGACCTGGATGACTTTGCTGGCCTTGGCTCATGCGCAATCGTCGCAAGTATGCATCCTCGCCAGTTGCATCATCCGGAATCTCAGCAGGTGGCGGTGGGGGAGGAGGGCTTTCATCATTGAGATTGGGCGGGGGGGCAAAGGACATGGCAGGCGGTGCGAATTGTTCTGCCAATGAGTCAGCAAGGCCCACACCTTGCAAGGTTTCTTTTCCTTACTGTTCATGGGGCGACGGTAGTCATCGTCTTCAGATTCACTGTAGCTCTTCTGCCTCATGCGGTGTCTGTAGAGCAGGTCCTTCCACTCTCTGACTTCCCTGATTTTTTCCTCGCTATGTTTGTATTCCTCATAGTTGTTCGGTCTGCTCGGATCGTAGATGTCATCCCAGTTCTGCGTCGCTTCTACCGCCGCCGCCTTGTTCTTTTTGCGTTTCTTCCGACCTCCTCGTTGGCGCTTCTCGGTGTAGAAATTATTCACGTCATCATCATCTGACGCAGTGGCTGTCCAGTCCGCGATGGTAGTCTTAGGCGCAGATGGTTGAGGCGCCGGTGGTTCTGTGGCAGAGGTACCCGCGCCTTCAACTGCGGGGACTGTGACACTGGAAGGAGGTGGGATAGCGAATTTGCTGGCGATGGCTTTTGCTTTTGCCTTCTGAGCCGCAATCTGAGGTCTCTTGGTAGGTTGGAATCTTAGGGAGGCTGTGCATCACTCGAGAAGCATGGCGCAAACGTGAGCAGATCCATTCAGCAAACCTTCAGGTCCTTACGACGAAGAAATGTACCAGCGAGTGCTTGCTGTCTCTTGACAGCCTCATCCTGTTCAGGAGAGCTTTCGACGGATTTGTAGGAGACGGGCGCACTGGAGATGGTGCCAGGACCAGCATTGTTCGGGTCGAGGAGGTTCGCATAGAGCGACAGGCCTCCCCGCAGGGATGCCGGGGCATTGTTCGACATGTTCTCACATGTGCTGTGCTCTGCTTTCCATCGCTGTTGACTAGTGTTGGTTGAGAGACATGGAGAGTCACTCACGCTGCGGAAAGTCTAAAGGTGTGGTCTCGTGATTAAGACCCCGACGGGCAGTTCTCGGGGGAAAGGAAGCACCCAGAGCACCTTAGCAGGCAAAAGGCCCCCCGGGTAACCTTTAGCAAGCCTAGTGAGCCCTAATGGGGCCCTGGAGCCCCTAAAACATTCTGTTTGCATCGGAAGCTGCTTGCCAGGGGTCCTTTACGGTCCTCGATTTACCAATCGCTTGGCTTCGGGTGCATCTCCTCGCGACTAGGGATTTTCGTGTCGTGTCCTATTCGGATGACTTCAATTTCTCCAAGCTGAATTCAAACCTCCCGGTGCCAGCACGTACCAGCTCCATGGACTTATCGAATCACCCGATATAAATTCAGGGCATTTTTGGCCCACACGCCTTTTCCATCGTGTCCGGTGAGATATTAATATCGACATGGAGCCCGCGCAAGGTGTCAGGTTGGTCTTCTTATCTGTGGACTTCGCATCGCATCACGTCATTTTTCCATCTCAGACTTTTTTTCTGCTGGCTTTCGTTGACGTTGTGATACACCTCAAATAGGGGATTGGCTTTTTTCTTTTGGGATACCCATATTGTTGTTTCTAGAATCTATCGCCGTCTCATTCCTTTCAACTGCTGTTCTATCTCACTCTCTATCACAGTCTACCCAGCCATGGTCACATCCACTCTTTCCACCTCCTTTCCCAAGATATCTTCCGCCACAGCAGTTATCGTCCCCACAAAACCCAACGCTCTGACTGTTTCCTTCAAACAACTGGCGCAGGATGTCTTGGTCTTTCAGAAGCAACTTGCTCAACTGGGCATTCGACTTGCCGACGCCGTCTCAATAGCTTTGCCCAACAGCTACGAGTTCATCGTGTCTTTTCTTGCGACCTCCTTCCAGCGAGCAATTGCGGCCCCTTTGAATCCTGCCTATAAGCAAAGCGAGTTCGAGTTCTACATTGAAGATCTCTCTTCAACCGTGATCATCCTGCCTCGGGGAGCATATGCCAGGGACGGTCCTGCAGTCAAGGCCGCCAGGAAATACCATGCTGCCATTGCGGAATGCTACGTGGATGGAACGAAGGTGATCCTGGACGTGAAAGAGCAGGGCAAGTTGGTACAGAGACAATCTCAACCAGTTGCTCAAGCCGAGCCAGAAGACGTTGCACTGGTGCTGCACACTAGTGGCACCACCGGCCGCCCGAAAGCAGTTCCGTTGACTCATCGCAATTTGACAAGAACAATGCAAAACATTCAAAACACCTACGACCTCACTCCTCAAGATCGGACAATGTTGGTCATGCCACTCTTCCACGTCCATGGTCTTCTAGCCGGGTTTCTAGCTCCTCTTGGTGCTGGAGGATCTGTCATTGTTCCCGACCACTTCTCCGCACGATCCTTTTGGCTCGACTTTATTGAGCACAAAGCAAATTGGTACACGGCGGTGCCTACAATTCATCAGATTTTATTGAAGAACCCTCCGCCCAGTCCGATGCCCAGGATCAGATTCATCCGGTCATGCTCATCTGCACTGTCACCCAAAACTTTTCGGGAGCTTGAAAAGACGTACCGAACGCCAGTCCTTGAAGCTTACGCCATGACGGAGGCAGCCCATCAAATGTGCTCCAACCAGCTGCCTCATCGCGGAAAACGAAAGCCTGGCAGTGTGGGGATTGGCCAAGGAGTCGAAGTCAAGATCCTCGACGATCAAGGCGATGAAGTTCCGCAAGGCCAAGAAGGCGAGATCTGCATCAGGGGAGAGAACGTCACAAAAGGCTACATCAATAACGAGAAGGCAACCAAAGAAGCATTCACCAAAGGGGGGTTCTTCCGCACAGGTGATCAGGGTAAGAAAGATGAAGAAGGCTATGTCTTTATTACGGGAAGGATCAAGGAGCTCATCAACAGAGGAGGTGAGAAGATCAGCCCGATCGAGCTGGATCATGTGATTTCTGCCAACCCGGACGTGGCTGAAGGTGTCACTTTTGCTATCCCTTCAGAACTATACGGCCAAGAAGTTGGAGTGGCACTTGTCCCCAAGGCCGGGAAAATGGTTACGGAGAAGGGCATCACGGATTACGTTGCCAGCAAGACGGCCAGGTTCAAAAAGCCCAGCAGAGTAAGTGCATTCGCATCTGGCAGATGCACGTCGGAACTGCGCTGACTGAGATGACAGGTTTGGATCTTGAAAGAGATACCCAAGACAGCCACTGGGAAGATACAACGGAGGAAGGTTGCAGCTACTCTTCTGGCCAGAGACCAACCAAGAGCGATGCTTTAGAAGGATTGCCGGGTCTGATCGGAGAGGTTAATGCCTGACTGTTCAGAAGTACACATGGATTTTCAGCATGGCGTTTTTAGAAAGAGGGGAAAGATGATCACGAAAGGCTAGAGTTCATCATGTGGGCGTCGAGGGCGTGTAGCAGGCTTCCTAAGAATTTTCGTAGGCTGATCCCAAGATGGGTGAATGTTTTCGCGAATAGTTGGGATGGGATGGAGCTGACAAGTGAGGAGGAGCTGGGGTATTGAAGCGAGATGAAGCTGCACGTCGGGGTTGAGCTCCCGGGGTTCTTTGTGCGACAAGTTTGATGGTCAAAGGTCCTCTTCCGATGCGTGATGAGTCGAGAAGACAAGCGACTTGAGGTTTTGACAGAGATAGGTAATAGACGGAGTGAGAAGGCTGAAGCCCCCTTGGCATCCTTGGCCTCCTTCCTACCCCCACAAGCTTGACGAGGCTCTAATGCATTCTTCCCCGCTTCACGCCCTTCGGTGTGGAGAAGAGTTCGACCGATCTACGGAGTACGCAGCATATCTGCCAACGTTCTCGGTATCACATAGAATTATTTTGCTTGGACAGATCAACTCTTGATCCTACGTAGGCATTGCTCTGATTTCTCAGCTTCATGTCGACATTGCTCCGCGGTCACCGTCATCTGCACTCTCTGAAAAGCGTATACCTTCTGCCTTCTCGGTCCTGTTCACCTCTCCCTCAGACAACGCGAGCTCTGCACCGAAACCCGTCGACCACTTCACAAAGCCTCAGATCTGCCAGAACCATGTCTTCCTCCTCGACCCCTACAAAGGAATGGCTGGTCATTATTCCCGATCACTCCAACGCCCTCGAAAAACGGCTTGCGGTGCGCCCCCAGCACCTCCAAGCGCTGAAACCCAAGATTGACGCGGGGATCGTGGTCTTTGGCGGCGCAACACTTTCGAAACAGCCTTCAGAGGGCGAGACCCCGGACATGACGGGCAGTGCCATGTTGATCAAGGCAAATACCGAGCAAGAGGTCAGGGACTTTTTGGAGAATGATCCGTACACAAAGGGAGGGGCGTGGGATGTGAGCAAGGCGCAGATCAGGCCTTTTAAGTGTGCGGTACGGACGGCCATGTAAAGAGAGCTCTGGACAATGAGCACTGCGAAGAAAATATCGGACGAGAGGGGGGATCAATACAGGGCTTGCGCAGCTGGAACGAAGTCAGCATGTACAAAGAAATCACATGCGAGGTGAACCACTCCATATCAGCCTGGTTGTATCGAGCAAACAAACCGAGTTACCATGGATAAGAACTCCAACGCTGTGTTTGCTCCCGTTACATCTTGAATCATGGTGATGTGCTCTGGCAACCGGGCCGAGTTGTGTGACAAGAGAGCGGCATCTCGCACAGACCGGGTATGGAGCGGCCTCTTCGGTCTCTTCGCCTCCCTCCGGCCACTCCGGGACATGACTTCTCCCGCTTTGCTCCTGAGCGAACCATGTTTTGCCCAGTCAATTCAGAGAGTGTGACGTGGTTGCTGAATTGGGCGGTCTCCCAGCATTTCAGAGGGAGAAACGGTATTTGAAGTGACATTCAAAAGTTGGCCGCGAGCCAAATTCCTGCCGGTTGCTGGGCTGACTCGCTTCTTCGCTTCATCCTTCTTTCACTTCGAACTCACCTTCAATTCAGCTGTCACCGACCAGAGACGATAAAGACGCCGTCTTGCACCTCTCTTTGCAACACCACCGCCTTCTTACTGCTCAATTTATTCCATTTGTGCTATTTTCTTCCCACCTACCCTCGCATTTCAAAGACTTCAAAGCCGATCTGCTGCCCACTTGCGTCGACACTCTCTGACTCCACACGGTCTCTCTTACCCACAGCTACCAGCTCGTGCAGCCCAGCAAAATGAATCTCTTGAATATGCTCTTCCCACTCATCATCCTCGTCCTTGCGGTCATTGCGCAGGAGACGAGCAACAGCACCAATGCCCCAGTGACCCAAGACAATCCTTCCCGCGCCACCTTCCAAGCAGTTCTCCAAGTCGATAAACCTGTCCAGGGCCAGATCACGGGGGTATCCAACGATAACGGCACTGGCGTCAATTTCAACGTCAATTTCTTCGCCTTCCCAGACGTGATGCAGGGTCCTTTCAGTGAGTTGTTACTGGCCGTTGGGCTCAGGCAACCCCATCAGATTCTTCACAGCCCTCACATCTTGCCTGCCTGAGCCCGAGTTCTGCCTGGGTTCAACAGGATGACTGACTCTCAAACACAGAATACGATATCCACGAATACCCTGTCCCCGCATCAGGAGACTGCACCGCCACAGGCGGTCACCTGTCGCCCTTTGGCCGACAGGACGACCCTGCCTGCGATCCCACTGCCCCGTGGACCTGCCAGCCAGGCGACCTCTCCGGCAAGCACGGCAACATCTCCCAACTCACCTCCTCCACTTCCGCCGACTCTCAAGCGGTGGGCACCTTCCAGGCCATGTACCTCGATCTGTACGTGAGCACGGATCCCAGTAACGCCGCCTTCTTCGGAAATAGGAGTGTGGTGGTGCACAGTGCCAACGGGACAAGGTTGAACTGCGGCAATTTCGTTCAAATGATGACCCCGGGCTCCACCACCGGGGGGAACTTGAATGGAACCAACACCACTGCACCTACAATTTCGCCTACAAACAATGTCGCGGCCGCGATTGGTGCGATGAGTTGGGAGTCTGTGGTGGTGTCTGTTGCTGGCCTGTCTCTCCTCACTATGGCGAGCAGTCTGATTTGAGAGCGAGACCGAGAGCAAGGACCAATACTGCAAACGACTACAGTATCTCCAAGCATGCAGCACTTCACAGTGATGATGACAGTGATCTGCGATGGTAATGGATCGGTGCAAGTTTCGGAAAGCTCGTGGAGATGGAACCTTGGTGAGGTATCGAAGGGTTCACTGAGTCTGGCCAGTCTTTTAAAGGGAAGATGATCCCGCTAGCAGATGATTCAGATACTAGCATGTATGGAATATCAGCATGGCACAAGACAAATGTGATGGGTCATGAGCATGTAGTTTACTTGCGCTGTAGTGATTTCTCATACCATACACCTCCTCAACCCCGTCCACCGTTTCTCCTCAATCCGATCCATCTCAACTCAACCGTTTCAAGAATCCGCCCTGGATCAACCTCTCCACGTCCCCTTTCCGGACAAAGAACTGCGAGTTCTTGGTCAAATTGATGGCTCCGTACTCTGTCTGGATCTCCCCCGCGTCCTTGAGCACCCGCACGTCGATGAAGAGGTCGCGCGGCGGCTCGAGCGAGCCGGTCAAGTCGACATCCGTCCACTGGCCTTTGTACTGCGACAGGAAGTCGACGTAGGCGTGGAAGTACGAGGATTCCTCCGGCGAAAGCGAGTTGTGCGTCCCCGTCCCTGGCCCTACTACGACGTCCTCGCGGGGATTTGTATTCGGGGCATTAGCACTCGCGTCGGCGCCTAGTCCCACAACGTCCAAGTCCTGCCCGTCCCACACCATGCCCTCCAACTTCTCCGCCCGCACCCGGTGGTACGCGAGCAGACACCGCTTATCCCTCCTCATGCTCAGGTGGTCAACTAGCAGCGCACACGCCGTGGCCGGGTGGTCGGTCGGATTGAACGTGCTCTGCGACGACGGGTTCCCCTCGTCGTCGTACGCGGTCGTGGTAAACGGCTCGAGAATCCGGCTCACATCGCGGTCGAGGTCGCGCACCTCGCGCACCACGGAGCGCACGAGTTCTGTCTGATAGGGAGGCAGGGCCGGGAGCGTGAGTGTGCGTTTTGCGTGTTGGACCTGGTAAAGCGAAGGGGATTAAAACGTGTCTTGAGTGCCAAAACAGAGAGCCCGGTCGGGCCAAGGAGAGAGTGCGCATTCAAAACTCACAAGCTTGTTGGCAAGCTCTCCATGCATTTGGAATTACATAGAGTAGGGGGGTTCTTATTATCCAGCTTCACCAAGCCGTGGCCGAGTTGGAAAGCTGTTGGGGGGGGGAGAAAGAATGAAGTATGTAGGAAGATGTGTGACGTCGGAGAGTGGGATCCATACAAATCCCATAATCCCGATCGAACATCAACTTTAAAGTATATCCGAGTCCAGTTTTCTTACAATGAGAGTCGTTTCGCTCGCTCCCCAAACTCTCTGCCACAGCCGCACTCATCCTCCTCTTGATAGTTCAACTGCAACATGAGAACGTGCTTGTTCTCTCTTCCACATACATAGCCATAACGGTTTGTCAGATCCGATGACCAGATAAGGAAAGGATAATCTGGTCTGCCAAATAGCTTTCGGATCCAATGACTTCTCACTCTTCAAATACGGCGGAGTTCTACTCGCTATCTTGTTGCCGTGCCCGTCAAGCCCGGCCATTGCACAGGTAACCCAACCATCGAAACACAAAAGATGCGGCCAACCAGGCAACAGCCCAACCATCACGCCAATCCACCAGCTCCCATAATCTGCCAACATCCCTGCTACCCGGTTTGTGAACTCTCGTCTATCTACCGTGACACAGCATTATCACGATTCTCCCGCACGGATATCGCGCTTGTGGGTGTGGGTGTGGGTGTGGGTGTGGGTGGTTATATCGCTCGACAACCCTGAAACGCGACTATTTGTTTACAGCCTTTGGTTTCGTGCAGCCACATAAGGGATCTATTTGTTGGCGACTGTTACCTTGACTGCCAGAACAGCCCCAGTCTTCTAGTTTTGGGAAGTCCCTGCTTGGAGCTTTGTCGCCAGAGCCATTGGCTCCCTGGTCTTTTCGCAGGCATGCGAAATCTTTTTGTCACTGCAAGTTTTAGCTGTTCGTTCATCATTTTCTGATCCGCAGGCTATTATTACCTGTTGGACTAACCTGATCAGGCCATCCTGAAGACCTCTTGGCACGGCGGCAATCGCTGATATTGAAGCCCTCGAGTGTCACAGATAGAACTCTCCTTCCTTGAGAATCGATCAACTTTATGACCCTAGATTGGTCCACCATTACCCGTACCTGCTACGGCAAACCCAGCTTGAGCGTGATCACTGCGTCGATTTCAATGCTATGACATGTGGTCACCAAACTGAAAACCCATCAACACTGGATTGAAGGTGACAGGGACCTTGGAGACGACGCTTGGCGGCAGTCATGGCTACGGCAGGTATGATCAGGACGCAAGGAGCAAGCGTGAATCTTCAAGATCTAAGGTCCTCGGTGGCAGGGCCAAGGGGAACATCGCTATATCCTTCGAACACAGTGTAGGAAGGGTTCCTACCCCAGTCGAAAACAGAGAGCATGAAGGATCCATCTTGGTAGTAACATACTTAGAGTCACCCTAGGCGTGGTCTATATGATTCAAGCCTAGTTATCCGGTTAATTTCCGCTCAACCAGTTCTCCTCGAAAGGTTCGAAGATTCCCCACATCGGACCAGTAATTGCTCTTTCGTCACCATTGCCGGTGGAGAAGTCCATCAAGGTGTCGACAGACCCGTCGGCTTCTCTGTCGGCCGAAAATGCAAATTGTTCAAGAACGCTGGGATCGTACAGATGCGCTAGGCTGGCAGTCTTGTCCCAGCCTGGCAATGACTGATTCAAAACGGTCGAGAGAGAGCCATCGCTCCACGGATCATGATCAGGTGGAGGAAGATTCGAAACTGCTACCGCATCGCAACGCGCCTCTTTTCTTCTCCGCAATTCTTGCTGATGTCTCTTTGCCACAGTGAGCATTTCCTTGGTCAACTCGGCGCATCTTCGAGCTACAACGACTTCTTTCATGGCGTTGTAGATTTTCAGACTCTTTTCGACATCCGCAATGAGCTCCTCTGCGCGCACCGAAGGGAACTCCATCAGCACGAGGTAAAGAATTATCATGTTCGCGTAGAGAGTGTAGGTTGCGCAATACCACCTAGATATATCGTCAATGGCGCGAGAATATGCCACAGGGAAATTCTAGACGCCTACCACGTTCGAAGATATATCCTGTTGACAAATGCACTGTGGATCAGTAATATTGTTTTTCGGGCCGCGTCAAGGCATATGTCGACGTGACAGGAGAAGCCGGCTAAGCCATGAGCTGGCGCAGAAGCCACAACGAACGGCCGGTTAATAAGGATGCGGGCATTGTAGAAACCTGAGAAGTCAGTCGGTGACGCAGGATCGGTGATGCAGATACGCACGCATCTTCAGCACCACTTTCTGCTTGTACGCCCAGACTGGATCATCCAATGATTCCAAGTCGAAGTTCAAGAAAGGAGGTAAATCGGCCTTCCACTGATCGATGTCTTTGTTGAGTTCGAGCCCTATCCGCGACATTTCGTTCATCGAGCGTCGTCCAGATGTTGAATAAATGTCTGTGGAGACCTTCTTGAGTATGCGGGCAAGGTCGACCATCGCAGGGATGATGGCAATTTCAGGGCTCCTTGCAGCCTCCCTCTGGTCAAAGTTAGCCTGCAAACATGGCGTAGGTGCGACACAGCTAACATTGTTGCCTGGTATTTGGAGAGAATAATGCTCAGGAGCCATCAGAGAATCAAGCCGCCCGGACGAGCAACACATCTCACTAGGCGAAAGTTAGCGTGTATCACTTGGTTCCCGCATCTTGTTGGGACGCAATACATTTCATGCGAATAGATGCACCTGTTTCCTCGGTAAGCCAATCAAGCCCTCATGAAAACATTCAGACTTTTTAATTAACAATTGTGTGAGGCGAGACTCACCACCACGTGCGCTTGACTTCTTCTGCGTGGGTATATCGTGAATTGTTGGCCAGGCCAATTGCTACTGCCGTCCGTACAGCGTTTCCACTGTACATGTAGCAGGCGTGTGGCTTGAGCGCGTTTTGGCAGAATACAGTCTGCAACCAACCGTTAGCACTTGTAGGCGCGTAGCCGGCCCCATGACACACCATCATGAACAAGGTTTGACAGGTTTCAAGCGAGGATATCTCCATGATATCCCCCAAGGCTTGCTTTGCGAGACCAAAGTAATGACTCGCCCATTCCAAGGCGGATCGCACCGGCTTCCTTCCGCGTCCACGAGAGAAGGCGGCATCTTGATATTGCTTTGCCAGGGACGCAGCCTGATCGGGGCCGCTGTTGATGGCACCCAACGCCACTACGGCATAGTACAACGCCATGAACTGTGGTCGACGATCTTTGCAACCCGCGGTAGGCTGATTGATCCACGCCTGCCTCTGGCACTCTTGTTCGAAGGATTCTTCTATCAGCATGGGGTGAATGTAATGGACATTGTTGAAGTAAGCTTCGATGAAGATCTTCTCTACCTCTGCTGTGCCCAGCTCTGTGTCCAAGGGCGCCGTTAGCGCAGACGCAATCACTGGGGTCTGCCTCAGTGGGCCCGCCGGCGCAAAGCTGTCGTTGATCAACGGGTTGGCACTGTAGTCTGGCGAGGCTTGATTCACGGTTCTGGTACTGGGGCTTACAAAACGTGCATTCGGCGTTTCCATGTGCCCATGGTTCGGCGGCGTCGGACCATGCAATGCGGGCGAGTGATAGTCAACACTGTACATGAGGTCGACAAGCGAGGACCTGTTGTTATTGAGGTGTTTTAACTGCGAAGTGGATTCCTCTGCTGGTATAAGAGGGGTAGCCGCTCCTGGAGGGGCCTCCTGATACATCGCAGTTGCTCGCTTGCGGGCTTTCGAAAACAGCTTCGCCAGGAAGGCCAAGTTTGAAGAGCCGCCATAAAACTCGGTTCCGTTCGTATAAGTGTTGGTCCCATCAAGGCTGGGTGTGGCGACATTACTGATGTCTCCTGTCATAGAGCGACCGTTGGCGGCTATTTCACATGGCAGCATTAAAAGGCAGTGTGAACCTTCTTGCATTCGAGATTCCTCGAATTCATGATCCTCGGCTCTGGCTGCAAACTGCGTCCCCCGTGCGTCCTTGGACGATGCATTCGCTTCTTGAAATCCATTTGATGTTAAAGTCCGCAAGTCAGATCCACCTCCAGCGCATGTTCCATTCGCCATGCTCTCGGTGTTGCAGACCCTGGGCGGACGTTGGAGGATTGGCCGTGGCGAAGGCCGTGCAATGGGGCTTTTAAAATCTGTCATTCAAACCCTGAACACCCGGATGGGACTTAGAGTCAATTGGAGAGCCCAAGTGCCATTGATGGCAGTAAGTTTCAGTGAATGCGGACCTTTTTGACGATGATCTGCACGCGGTTCCTCCATCATGTGTTTTACGCCGTCGCACGCCATCACCGGGCCTATACACACATTTCAGAGAGTAGTCTGCTCGATTGAGCGATAAGCATTTGCAAGATTTCGTTGACATGTGGTCATCGAGAGCTCAGAGACACCACTTACATGCACAGTGAGAACATGGACATTGCTGGTCACACTACTGGGTATGCGAGTGATTGTCAGCTATTGTCCGATCGAGCCTGTCAAAAGAAGTCCTTCTCGCCCGGATTGGTGGGTCCAATTGGATCGAGAGAAGCCAGCGGATCATCAGAAAATACCTTCGATTTTCGATCACGACACATCTCGCACGCACGCGAGGCGCGGGAACGTTTCTTATGGTTGACAGATTGGGCATCTTCCAGGACCCCGGCTTGGAGGACGAGTGCAGGATGCCGGCCTGGGGCGGCAGATGATGTAGCGTCAGCGGCACTTTGAGAAGGACTCATCGAGGTAAGATGAACTACTCAGACAGTCAGACTTAAGGCACATTGAATGTTGACAAGGACAGAAGGAGTTGGAAAAGGCAAGGCCAGGAAGCAGTGAGTCGACATTCAGCTCCCCCAGTCAACCCCGCAACTCGGTGCCGTACTTTGGGCCTGCTTGGTCTGGAAACATTCCCCACCACCTCGAAGGGGCCCCAGCGGCCAGCGCCAAGTCTGGGGAAATCTTCAGAGCTCGGTACACAGCAGCCGTCGTCTGCATCCTAGCGTTCCATCCTCTACTTTCTTTGGTAAAATGCGCCCGGAATCTATATATCTGGCATTTCGCATTCTGCCGGATTGCAGAGCTGTGAGTGGAGGGGAGAACAGAAGCCTCATTCAAGCATTCTTTCAGCCCGCGTCCCTCCATGCCCCATAGACGATGCCCTCCTACGGGGTCAATTTCGTCGCCACGGGAATGAAAGGGTGAGTTCTAGACCTATTCGATTGGCTCAACGATATCCGTCGGAAGTTGCAGACCAATTGGCGCCGACTTCTTCAGAAGCTGCCCACTGTGGTTCTTCCAATGACCAGCGCCACAGACCTCTGTCAGATTCTTGCAAGGGGTTTCACGGGTCAATTGCGACATCCCCGAGATTCTTTGCCTTCCGTACGGCATTTGTACTTTACCGAACCAGCAGTATCTCGTTTTTGAGCTTGAGGCATGGCATAGGCTTGTGGTCTTGTGGAGCTAGGGAGCGGTGATACATAGTTGTATCGGTTTACTCTGCATGTCACCAGAATGCGGATCAGTTCAACATGGAACCCCTTCCGCATCAGGAGCATAAGTTTCAGAAGCTGAAACAGCACTTGCAGGAGGTGCTTCGAGAAAGTGCAGAGGGTGAACCATTGAGGCTTGCCGTGCTTGACGTTCTAAACAATGCGGTAGCTACCGCTCAGCTGCCTGGAGAGCGGGTGTGGGAGATCATGGTTCGTGTGAGTTTCAGATTCGATTCCGGACATATGGCCACGCTGCTAACGGGCGAGCAGCCTCACGAATTCGCTGTCGTCAGAATTGCCCTGGAGCTCGACATTCCCGAAATCCTCTCACGAAGTAATGAGCGCACCGCGAAAGAATTGGCTCAGCAGACTGGTGCAGAGGAATCTCTGATCAGTAATAAGGAAACTTTTGGGACATGTGCCGAGTGCCCTTGCTGACTTTTGAACAGTTCGCGTCATGCGGTTTTGTGTTACCTTAAGGCTGTTTGAAGAGGTTGGAACGCGAACATACCGATTAACATCCATGTTGTTGCACCTTGCCGTCGACAAGCAAATGTCCAATGCGGCTAAATTCATGTGGGATGTGATAGGCAAGGCAGTCCTTCATCTGCCAGAATACCTGGTCCAAACAGACCACCACATACCCCCAGGAAGGCCTGGAGTATGGGAGCTTACCTATGGAAAAGGCACAGACTTCTTCTCCCTGATCTCAAAGCAGTCAAAATTGATGCAGCAGTTCCATGATATGATGGCCGTGCAGAGGTATCGGCGGCCCGATTGGTTCGACATATACCCAGTGGAGGAAGCGGTGATCGGGGGCTTCGACCCAAGTGTTGGCGGTGTGCTGCTCGTTGACATTGGCGGTAGCCGAGGACACGAGTTGAAGAAGTTCAAGGACAGGTTCCCGCACGCCGAGGGGAAGCTGGTCTTGGAGGATCTGCCTGAAGTTGTAGATCTATCTCCCTATAGCGAGACTGACGGGATTACCAAAATCGGGCATAACTTTTTCTCCAGCCAACCCATCGAAGGTGAGGCGCAGCATGTTTGCAATCTCCGCACAGGACTGACAAGACAGGAGCACGGGTGTACTATATGAGGTCCATTCTGCATGATTGGGACGATGAAAGAGTCCGGGAAATTCTTCGCAACATTGTTCCGGCCATGAGAAGGGGTTATTCGAGGTTGTTGATCAATGACTGGGTGATACCAGATACGGGTGCAGCGCTTTATCCATGCTTACAGGATATTAACATGCTGGCACTGTTTTCGGCTATGGAACGCAGTGAGTCTCACTTCAGGGAGTTGCTGGAATCCGTGGGTCTGCAACTGAACAATGTCTGGGGCAGCCCGACCCATGAAAGATGTGTGGAAGCGATACTCCGAGACTAGTGGAACTTAGGAATAGCTATCCTAACCCTGTCTTGCCCTGGCAAGTCCCTGAAAGGGAAATTGAGGCATTGTTTCTGGGCGCGCTCCGACGCATTTTCCCCCCCTATCCTATTTTACTAGTAAAACAGCCAATAGAAGAGTCTAATAGAGGAAGTTATTCATCTCACCTATTCGTTATTGCCATGGCACATATCCCACAGACGCATTGGCATACACCTCACAGTGTGCGTATACGGGCGTACGCATAAGCCGCACGCAATAGACGACTTCTCAGTCCTAGGCGCCACCCTCTGTTGATGAGAGCTCTATTTCTTCTCGAGAACGTACGGTAAGCGACCGGTTTTCGAATTTCATATCAACAGACCCTCGGCGCCTTCTTCATAGTACAACTCGAGGTAAAACTCGTAGTGGAAAGAAAAAACTAACTGAAAGAGATATTCGTGCCGTGGAACATGTACTCCGACAAGGAGGCTACGACAATCGTACCTTGTCGTGGCAGAATCTAGCGCTAGAGGTAGGACCAGACGTCTTTTGGAGGACTCTTCAAAGCGCTCTACAAGAGAAAGGCTATCGGCGCTGTCTAGCCTTGTCAGCGCATTACACTTCAATCGTCTATCGCAGAGCGACGAGTTCAGTTTGCAATCCAAAATGCTGGCCTTACGTCCACAGCCTTGCGATTGGCATAACTTTAGGTTTTCCGATGAGGTTTATCTAGGCTACAGATCGCAAGGACTTGTATAGGTTGCTCGCCGTCCAGACGAAGCTTATTGCTCTTTCGCCGTACAGTATAAAAGCAACCACGGAAGGAGGATAAGAAGAGAGTTCACTGGTGGGCAGCAGTCGAATAATAACTACAAAAGCCCGCTATATCGATACTATACACCGAATACAAACAGTAAGATGACTCAGATGATATATATCCAGTTGTTGAGTCTCAAGAAATTCTCAATAGCTTGAAAATACAGTGCCAGAGGAGGACAGCTGTGAGACTGAGAACCGTCATGTTGATGACGTAAATAGATAGCATTGGTCTGTTCTCTGATGTGTCCATCTATCTATGCTTTCAGAGAGTTCTCTCCTGTTTACATAAACAATTGGCCTGTGTCAGGAGAGCCATTCCTAAAACTTTCTTGGTGATGCCACTCCTGGCAATGCCGTCCTGCTGGAAATTACGCTGGCGGTCAAACGGCTCTGATGCTCGATCTGTGTCCCTGTATGCCAAACCAATAGCACGCAGTTCACTCTCAACCAATGGATAGAGGGTATGCCGCAACAACTGCAAACTGTAATCGATACACAGAACCAGATGATGCCCTACTAGCTAGTTGCAATTGCATTCCAATTGATGCACTCTCTCTAGTTGTAATAACTTACAGTGGTGGGTAGAATCGAGCTGAGAATCTAGCGCCTCATATTTCAACATGGAACAATGGCTTAGGATTTGGGACACTCTGCGTTCTTTTTCGGTGCCTGCCAAACTTCACAGCAGCACATTGATCCTATCCGGCTTGACACTGCGAATGGTCCGTAATTCGAGGAGGACACATGTTGGCATGCTGTCATAAATCCTTTGAAAACAGAAAAATTGAGCCAATCTTGATAGTCTCTTTCCCTATACATCTCACACGAGCACTTGCTTCGAGTACTTTTGGTGTAAGTCCGGATACCACTTCTGGCCAACATCAGGGTGGCTAAATATCCGATTTCTCAGTTGCGCTTCTCCAAACTACCAATCGATCAGTTGCTTGCCCAAACAGGCCATTGGTCATGAGGCTGTAGCTTACACATTCATACAATGGCGAGATCAGCTCGCTGGGGACGTCCACTGCCCTCTTCTTCTTGTCATCTGAAACTGGTATCTTTGCAACAATCTCCTGGGTCGACTTCTTGAGTTCTTCGAGCCGCAGATTTAAGTTGACAGCCTGGAAAAAGGGAATACTGTAGCGGGTTGTCGCTGTTGGTGCCTGAAAAGGTCAGCGTGGGTATTCAATGCATTCTGCGTAGGCTCACCACTACGCGATGGGTCGTTCCACTGCAGACGCCACCAGTGATTGCTTCAAAGCCTTGCGCCACATTCACGACTAAACTGCCAGGAATGGGTGTCGCATCAATCCACACACCCGATTTGTTTAACACTTGAAGCCCTCCGACGCTGTCTTGGGCAAGGAACGTGAAGAAACCAATGGAGTCCTTGTGGGGACCGACGCCTTGTGAGCCTGGAGTTGCCGACGGATATTTCACAAACTTTAGCCTCGACATCTTACCGAAAAATTGATCGAAAGTATCAGCGGGAAGAGAGAGACATTCTGCGACAAAGTGGACAAATTCTCTGCCCAAAGCCGACATAGCGGTGGTATATCGCTCGACCAGGTCTCTGATGCGGTCGTTCGGAAATCGCGAAGGCCCTTCCAGTCTCTGCCAGAAAGGATCCCCCTAATTCCATTCTTCGCATTGAGTCCCGAAGTCAAACTGCTGTAGAATAGTCAGTTTAAATTGTGTATGTGCAAGCGCGCAATGAACCTCTCGTATATCTCGCTGGTTTGCCGTTGTCTCAGCTCCCAGGCCAGTATAGCCCAGGAAATGGGGAGACTGCAGCATCTCAACTGATCGTTTCTGTTCAGGGGAGAGCGAGAACACTTCTGGTAGGCTCGCGTGTGCCTCCTCGATCAAAGACTGTTCTCAAGCCTTAGATGGGTCTTCGTACGAAAACCACGCTGTCCACTTACCTCCAAACCAGTATTCGCCAAATACAGGAATCCAACATTAAATACAGCGTCTTGGAGAATTGCAAGCTCTGCTTTTTTGGTCGCAGGGTCTCTGAGACGCCCGAAGTTTACCAGGGGAATCGACGTGAATGAGGTAGACATGTTGTATTCCGCAGCACAGAGGACAGACACAGATCTAGAAGTCAACGTGGAAACACCTTTACTGTTTGTTATTCCTTCGAAAGCTGCGTTCCTATTCCGTCGCCTCTATATAGCCCGAACTTGTCACGGGATCGCTGGCATGGTGATAGAAGCTCCACGAACATGCCGGCGGAATGGGGCGGCGCAGGATAGTGGTTGCGGAGGCCTCCAAAAGAATGCCCCAAGATGCGGGTATCGCTGGTGATCGAAAAGGGCCCGGTAATGGAATCAAGCCCCTGTTCAGGGCAAAGTTGGATGTACTTGCCAGGGCCCCAACAGCACACTGGGCAGTCAGTTAGACGAATTGTGTTGTGCCTGTCTTTTACTGGTCTACCCTATATCCGTCGGATACCCTTTTAGGGGATGTGGGTTGATTGCTGCTATCCCCAGAACCTAAGAATACTGTACGGAGTAGGATGGAGGATGAAAAGGTGTAGCCTGGAGCCGAGGCGGGAGGGAATGGATAAATGGGGTTACCCGATCCGCAGCAAGTGCCAGTCAGGTCTGAACGAGCGATTTAGATGTGGAGACTGAGCCCCTTAAACCTTGGATGAGGTAGCCTAGCGTGTACCATGTGCCACACGAACTGGCCCAAGATGTCCGATAGTAGGGAGCAGAGCTCCGGATCGTGTCGGGCATTTGGATTCTTGGGTGAAAATGGGAATGACGCGGCTTCCGCGACTCTATAAACAAAACGTCGATTCCAAAGTTGGAAGGTCCCATCATGAGCTTGTCTTTCTAGAAGTGTGCATCTCGATTCCAACCTCTCTGTCCGCTCCCTCTCTGCAGCCTGTTTGCGTAAAGTCTCTCCAATATGGTGTCCCACTCGCATCGCAATCCACCATTTCGTGCCGAGCAGGTCGGCTCTTTTCTGCGACCTCAATATCTACTACAAGCGCGTCATGCATGGAACGAAAAGGAAGCGTCAGACGAGGAGCTTCGCAAGGTTGAAGACAAGGCAATCATAGAGGTCGTCAAGCTGCAGCAGGATTATGGGTATCATGCAATCAATGATGGCGAATATCGTCGCCATATGTTCTGGGGTACTTTCTGGCCCAATCTCGAGGGCATGAAAGAAGTTGTTGGACCTGATCCAGATATTTTTCGTCCCTATATTCCAGATGTGGCGGCATTTCTTGAGATATAGCTGACCCCTTCTCTTGACCCAGGATAAATGATAACAAAGGACACTGCCAGAAAAACCACAAACCAGGTGAGACTGTCATCTGCGTTGGTAAGATCAAGCACAGCCCAGCGGCATCAAAGGCACATATCGAGCAGCTCCATTATCTCCAAAATATACTGCCTAAGGAGGAACATGGAAAGATCAAACTGACCATTCCTGCTCCAAACTGGTACCATCTCCGCTACAAGGAGGGCTCGGCCTATCCCAAGGATGTTTACAAGTCCGACGACGAATATTTCGTCGATGTCATCCAGGCCTTTCAGACGGAATTGCAAGTCCTTTATGACCAGGGTCTGCGCAATGTGCAGATCGACGACCCCAACATCTGCTGTGAGTTTCGCTCTAGCTGCTATCAACTCATTCGCTAATTTCAGAGGCAGACTTCTGCAATTCAAACATGGTTGAAAATTTTGACAATGATGAAACCAACACGTGCACTGCAGATGAGCTATTCGAAAAGTATATTGATGTTTACAACAGGATCATGAGCAAATGTCCGGAGAATCTTCACGTTGGAGTCCATCTGTGCCGTGGCAATTTTGTTAAGTCAAGACATTTCACCGAGGGAGCTTATGACCGTATAGCCATTCGGCTCTTGCAGAACCTTCAAGTACACACTTTCTATTTGGAGTTCGACACCGAGAGAGATGGAGGATTTGCACCCCTACAATACTTGCCACCGAATAAAACCGTCATACTCGGTGTTGTGAGCAGTAAGTATCCAAAGCTAGAGGACCTGGACAAAACTGTTGCGAGAGTTCATGAGGCCGCGAAGTGGGTCTCAAAGGGGCAAGGCTGCAGCGAGAAGGAGGCTTTGAATCAGCTAGGCGTAAGCCCCCAGTGTGGCTTCGCTAGCCACAGCAGTGGTAATGCCATTACCTGGGACGACATGCTGGCCAAGCTGAAACTCGTCCGGGATGTGGCAGATAGAGTCTGGCCTGGTGAGCCATGAGAATACTGTGTTCCTTAAAGAGGCAATGCACATGTCAAATCTCGAATTGGGCTACGGCTCTTGCAGTCTTCAAAAGATCCATGTCGAAAGATCTTTGTAGATATTCAATTATCTACCTTCACAATCAATTTCCCGATCGTCCTCTGCCCAGTCAAATCATCGTGAGCTTCGCTACCTGTGTTAAGACTATACTCTCCTCCTATCGGTACAGAGATATTCTTCTTGTCTAACAGCTCAAGCAGTTGCTAAGCCCTTTCCATAAATTCCTCTCTTCCGGCGATATAATTTGCCAGAGTTCGGACGGACCACCTTCACATTCTTCTTGCTCAGGTCCAGAAGGTTAAAGTCGGTTACTGGTCTAATGCTGTTGCTGCCATACGACATGAGGGTGTCCTTTATCCGCGTAGCTGCTAGGTCATCGGTAAATGTGGACTTTCCAATGCCACTTAGCACAGCATGGCAACCTTTCCCACCGGTCAACTTCAGGACCTGAGACAGCACGCTTTGTTCGCGGAAGTCGATCACATGATCACACCCATGCTGCTTTGCAATCTCGGCATTCTGTTCCGTTGATACTGTGCCATAATTCCAGCTCCTTCCCGCCCTATAATTCCAGACAATTTGATGGGATACAATCCACTGCGTGGATAGGTGTCGACAAAGTTGACTCCGGCGTACTCGACTTTGACCAAAATCTCGTCGTCCTTTATCTCTGGCACCGGCACGTCGTCCTCAACGCGGAGGACGGAGGAGTCACCAGTGGAATGAAAACACACTGCTATCATTATGCGGGGGTGAGACGGGAAGATGCTAACGGTCTGGCCTGTGTGGCAGGCGTAGGATGACGACTTAAGCAACAGCAAATGTGTTGACCATGCCAAGGCCTAAGAACCACCAAAAAGCCTACCCATCGATCTCAAAGGCCAAAATTCCGCCCAGTGCGGCCGGGAAGATTGAGCGATGACAAATACGAGTGTTTGACGACCAAGTTCCCTGGATATCATTGCACAAGTCGCCTTCACGCCTTGAGATCGCCTGAACGGGAAGCCGTGCAATTGGGACACGGGGAGCTGACGGGCCCAATTGTAGCTAATTGGATGTGTGGCATTCCGAGTCAAATTTGCCCCCTCATTAGCATCACCCTCGTTGGCCCCAGTTTAGTCCTGACACCGAGCAGCATGGTCAGTCGCAGCGGAGAGCGGTTGCTATCTCGCAGATCACATGAGCTTTTATGTATTCCGCAGCTAGTGCCTTCAAAGCAAAGCTTGAATTGCCATGCATGGGGTATCCAGGGAAAAGAGTGACCATCAAGTTTGTACGCGAGGCTTAAGAGTCCTTGATATAGCCAGCTTGATGCACTGTGAAGTACAGGAGGAGAGACATAGAGCTCGAAGGGACATTCGGGCTCTCTGCTCGAGTTATATAGTTATCCAGCTGAGACATTCCCCCCTGATTTACTAGGTCTTGGTGATTCAATGGCCTTCGAAGGAGTTCTGAGTGAGCGTAAAGGATTGTTTGCTGATTGCCAAAGAGATTGATCGCTACTTAGGCCAGGACGGTCTTAATATATAGCAATTGGTTCAGGGGTTACATGGTCACGTGACAGAGCAATCAATGTCACGTGGCCACGAAGGCGGTCACACGCGCAATCCGAGGGTCTCTCAAGGTTGTGCCGTGACAACGGACTGAAGACGTTCAAGAGGACGGTCGACGGGTTGGAAAGAGAAGTATTCTGGTTATTAGAGTTTGATTTTATCCTTATACCCCGAAGCTGCGTGACTAATTCATAGTCACTCTCGTGGACAGACTTGTTTTCGTGCGTGGAACACACCGACAAGCCAGTTAATGCGCTTGGGCAAACTCAACGCTGATGACACAGTTTTAGCACGGAGAGTACTAATTCGATTCTCCTTAGATTCCTTGTAAAGCTCTAGTCATTGCTCTTTGTTCTGGCTGTCGCAGGCTAGCATGTTAAGCGGCATGGCCTCTAGGATGTTATTGAGCGCATCCGCAGGAAGCACTAAAAATGGGATGGTCGACCGGATCACGGACATTGTCTGCATAACTCGAGGCTCACTCATTTTTTGAGTCTCCCCTTCCGAAGTCACCTTGGAGCACAGCATGAGTTGTGCGATAGTCCAATGCCTATCCGGCCGACTCGTCACCGTTGATCCCTGGTCATGCTGCAGGAGCGAGTCACTTACTCCAGCCACATTCCGCATCCGGCGGGATCCCCTCAAAAAAAAAAAGTCCCTGTAACGAATGGCTGCGCGGTTTTATGTTTGGGATGAACTTGCCACTTCCATCCGTAGTAGATGTCTAGGGAACCCGGAATACTTCCGTGTCTGGACCAGTACATAGCTATAATAATAGCCTGACGGTCCTTTGGATCCCTTCTAGAGTCCACCATATCCTCTTTAAGTCATAGACTGTACCATTCGGGAAAGGATTCAGGTCAATGACCAACCAAAAGTAGGGAGCTCTCTGTGAAATGCTTCTTTGAGGTGTGGGATCAACTGTCTTCTCAGGATTTGCAGGTGGCGGAGGGCAAGGAGAAATGGCCTTGCTTTCTCCCGCATTCAGCACTAGTGGCATTTCACACCTTCATTAGGGAAGAGATTGAGGCAGCAATCATTGAGACGGATCATGGCGGAGTATGTGATGCTATGAATTTTCTTGATAAACTCGTCATCACTGGTATTACTACCATCGGACTGGATTATATTGCGCGACTCGGTCTCTCCGTCGAAAATGTGCCCTGGCATAAAGCAGAAATTTTCAAATCGGGTGCGCCTGCTTTCTCCTCATCTCAAGATCAAGTAGTTGTTTCAATACTATATGCCCGAGCCGCAGAGAAAGGGGGTGTGACTCTTCAAATTCGTGGGGGATCTGACGGTTCCGAATGATGCAATGGCTCTCTTCAAGTGTCAGTATAAAAAATCGATTGCTCTGTAGCTCTTGCTCTTGCGAGTGCTGTGCTTGAGCATAAAACATCCCCAGAGCATCACCACCTAACCTCCTCCTCTGGCGTCTCGCAAGGGACTGAGTGGTTTGCCTGGGCGGGGAAGTTCGAAGTCAGTGGAAGGAATGAATCAATGGTTATAGCCAGTGAGAGCATTCAAAAAGGTAGACGAATCGCTGACGACAACTGGACATCGTTAACGCTTCGGGAAGCAATATTGCAACACACCCCATTGACCACGGGCGAAACCAGCGCGTTCCTTTGCAGATCATCCAGGCTTTGCTGTTGCGAGAACACAGGTGCTTCATCCAGCGGGATGACGCAGCCCTGTATCTCGCCCAGGTCAAGGACGCACTCGAAATATTTTTTCCGACGCCTTCAGCTTTGTTACAGAGGTTTCCATATATGACACTATACAGTGGCTTTCGACATGTTCAGCGACTCTTTCCGCAGTTGTTGTCTCATGTACAACGACGGAAAGGTTTGTCACTCACAAATTGTGGGATGAGATTTGGCATAACAGAAAACTCACGAGATAAGAAGCAATGCGCTCAGCAGTCCAGACGTTCGAGAGCTTGAGCAGTCTTATTCAATGGATGGAATGTCATTCCTGCTGTTTTCAGAATCTTAAAACAAATGCTCTGGGAATGGAGATGATAAGCGATCTAGTAGCCGGAGGTTCCTCCACTATCGCGGACCAGTGAGGTTTGGGAAGTTTGAATAAGTCTTAAGCCTGCAATGAGACAGCGTGCCATTTTCCATCGTTTGGGTCCCCTCTTTGTACTGTACCCCACGAGTACTTGTAGGCATTTCTGTGCACGGGATTAGTTGAACCAATCACGCTGAGGTATGGCCAGCTGACGGAATAAAGCCTCCGAGCCTACCCCTAATTTTCGGAACAAAGCCTCCAATCAGCACTGCTTTATGCGTAATCTGGCTCTTGGGCTCAATCCTCTCATCCGCCCATGTCAGTCCGAGTGGTGGACATACATTCCCCGAATAGTCCCTAGGAAGAGTGTCCTCAAGCTAACTTATACAACAAAGCCACTGCCACCCTAACTCCCTGCCAATCGAGCTTCTCTTGGTCGAGGCGCTTCTGCGGCACCTCTCCTATGCCTAGAGCCCTGAAAATTCCGTTTATTGTCTGTGGAGGTTCTTGAATCACATTGGCTGCACTTACCCCGGATCTCTTTGGGCGGCATCGCAACCACTCCATTCTCCGAAGTATAAGGACATGTCTCTCCACGACTTAACGCGGTTCTCAGCTACAGAGAACTCCTAGCCGTCCCATACCTTCTTACCAAATATACCACTCGATCGAAACCATGCCTCAGGAAATCACGTCTGTTGATAGCAATCAGTCCATCTACCGGGCTGCCCCCGGCACTGAGATTCTGTACGACATTGCTGAAGACGGCCTAGGATCTCGCAGGCTACACGATCTTCAGCATGTCGAATCAGGAGATGGCCATCTGCTGCTCGTTCCTCAGCCATCCTTGACCGATCCCAACGATCCTTTGCGTTGGCCCACCCTCAAGAAATGGGTCACTTTCTTTTACGCCTTGGGCTATTCCTTCATGGGTGCTGTCACTGGGCCTATCATGACTGCTTGTAAGAGCTATTAGGCCATTGAGGTGACTATTGAGCTAATCAGTGCCGCCAGGGATGGTAGAAGGCGCGACTTTCTACAAGACATCCATTCAACGGATGACCTACACGGTTGGCGCGACACTCATATGCCAGGGCGTTGCGACTACCCTATGGATGTTCGATAGCTCTTCGCGCTATTTTGCTTGTTTCCGAGTACTCATGTACGTGACAGGCCATTCGCTGTAAAATATGGTCGGCGACCAGTCTACCTCTTCTCAAACACGCTGATGGGTGTCGGCTGTATCTGGCTGGCGATTGCCAGCAAAACTACGTACACATCTTTCCTTGTCGGTCGAGCCTTCCTTGGTGTCTTCGAAGCTCCTATCGAATCCATCGTGCCGAGCACAATCACAGATATTTTCTTCTTACACGACCGAGGTGCTAAGGTCTCGTACTATGGACTAAGTGAGTACTCACTTCGACAAGAGTTTGGGCATACCTCGAGTCCTCGATAATGCACCTTAAATCGAATTTTGTCTTTTCTAAAGCAACCTTTACAGGCATCCTAGGAGGAAACGAGCTTGGGCCGATGTTGTCGGCACTCATCATTCAAAGTCTCGGGATGGCCTGGACATTTTATATTGTGGCGACCTTTATTTTCGCCCTCTCGATCGGTCAGTTCCTCCACATGCCGGAAACAATGTATCTCGGGGCTCGACCTACGTTAGATTTCCAGCAGATTGTGACCGACGCTGGTAAGGACTCTGAAGGAGTGTCTCAGATTGAGGTCGTCGAACTGAATACTTTCACCGTCCCGAAAAAGACTTTCTTACGGGAGCTATCTTTCTGGGGCCTAAATGACAAGAGTGTCTCCTTGTGGCAGGCCTTCGCGCGACCATTCGTACTGCTTGCTTATCCCACCGTAATCTGGTCATGTTGTTGTTATGGATTGGCAATAAGCTGGAATGTTATCATGGCCACCACAAATGGACACGCCACCGTGAGTGCAGGATATCTTATCCTTGGGTGTCATAAATTACTAAAATCAACAGGCCGTATTCATTCAGCCCAGCTGCTCAGGGTCTCATCTTTGGTTCCCCCTTGATCGGGTCCCTTGTCGGCACTTACGTGTGCGGTCCCGCGGCCGATAACGTTGCGAATTTCTTGACGCGCCGCAATAATGGTATCAGAGAGCCGGAAATGCGTCTTCCAACCTGCGTCATCGCCGCTGCTTTGACAGTCATCGGCTATCTAATTGCTGCTTTATGTCTTCACTATCAGACACACTGGGCTGGACCTATTATTGGCTACGGTATCCTAAGCGCTGGTGGTCAAATGGGCGCCACCATTGCCATGAGCTACGCACTAGATTGCCATCAAGAGCTGAGTGTCGAGCTCATGGTAACGCTGGCTTCCATGAAGAGCGCGATAGCCTGGATCTGGACATGGGTGATCAATGACTGGTTGATCCGAGACGGCCCTCTAGTAGTCCTGATGGTGGTCATGGCTGTCAACCTAGTGGTGTATGCATCTGCAATGGTCCTATACGTCAAGAGTAAAGCCATCAGGATCTGGCTACACGAAAATAACTTCATGCGGGCCTGTAAGCTCGCTTGAGAAGCCTCAGACGAGATAGGTATATCTTCGTGAGGGATGAGGTTGCGGATGAGATTGGAATGGTATTGAAGAAGCACAGTACTCGGCGCCTAGTTCAGCTGCGAAAGATGATCATTTGATGCAATGGCCATAAGAACAATTTCTTAGGCAGACCACTTCGGCAAATCGCCAGCGATTCCCACACTAATAATTTTTAATCTACCACGATAGATAGTAGGCAGAGCGCATTCCGAAACCGTTCTATACTCTCTACTTATATTGTAACAAGGCAAGGTGGCTGTGCTGTGATGGGCCGTGCTGGGCTGGTAGAGCGGTGGCAGGGAGGAAAAGTTGTCTAGTCACATGTCAAACCAAAATGGGCTTGCAGAGAGGGGGGTGCGGAACAGTTTACAGTGCTGGCAGTGTGCCATTTCTTTACAGTTTGAGCAGAGTATCATGAATTCTATGGCTTTTTGGCGCTGTCTACCTAATTCCTGAGTGTTTTTATCAGTTCTGTCCTGTTCCTCGATGCTGCCGCTGTGCTAGGTGTTCGTTGCTCTAGCCGCTGCCTCTCTGGGTGGTGTTGGTGGTGGTGTTGGTAGTGGTGTTGTCTTGTCAGTATCAACCAGAAGCGCGTTCTCGATTCCCGATCTGCTGGACAGGCCTCTGTGCGTTGTTGCACGTGCACGCCGAACCCTGAAGTGCTCTGTTACAGTAATATCCTTCGTATACTCAGCGTATCTACAGAGACTCAAAGCCTTAAAGAGGCTTTGAGCAGAAAAGGGGAGAGGGTGCGGCTTTTATACGTTCCTCCCCCGTTTAGCGTCTTGGCCCCTTTGCTGTGTTTGTTCTGTAGAATTCCGGGAACATTCCCTAACATCTGTCTGAAACAGGCGCCTAGCCGAGGGGCAACTATGGCCGATTTCCAGAGCGCCAGATTGGGCTCACGGCGTTTCGCTCAGTGATGTTCAGCTAAAGGCTCAGTTAATGCTCAGGTTAAAGCGGCCTTCACTCACCCACTAGGATCAAAAACCGTATATAGCGATTTAGGTTTTTCGTTCTCGAGTAATCTGGGTACGACGCGGGGAATGCGGTCTCAACAACCTGAACGTGTCCAAGTGCTTCCGCCAATCAGAAGCCAAGATTTATGGGCTCCGATACCCCTTTTCCGCCAGCCTTGCCGGCTCCAAAAGAAGTTGTTTCCACCTTAATCAGCATTTTTTTGATCTTGAAACCCCTTGCTCTCAGACAGAAGACTACCTGCGAAGGAGCTTTGCAGTTGCTCGAAGTGGCCACAGGTGCGGGATAGTCTTCGCCCTAGTCAAGTCGCTCTGCACAACGCCTGTTCCCAGCCACTGGACCATCAAGGCTACCTACACCGTTCTACTGGGATATCGATCGGGACGCTGTCGGTAGCTTTGGCTATCCTGTCTGTAGGGTATTAGAGTAAGCAGCCAGCGAGACAAACCCCACCCAAGGCCCCACAACCGCCCAAGATCACTGTCGGACGGACTGTCGCTGCTCCGACCCCAGGGATCACGTAGACGGACACTGGGGACCTTGGGTCCACTATAGCCGTGACCGCCATGAAACTCTCTACCTGGAGTCCGTACATCCTAATCATGTCATCACTTCGACCTGTGTAGAAGGCTGCCCTGGAAGGGCACAAGATACTCACCGCACAAAGAGACAGTCTCTGTGCAGGATTGTCTTTGGGGA